AGCTATGCCTCACTGGTTCAAACTGCACAGCTCTCAGTCTCTCTCTCTATTACCGAGCAATTACCATGATTGGAACTCATCTACTGATCAATTGATTGCAAACACTTTTCAGGTTGCCTGACCACGGCAGTCGACAGGAGACTAATCACGGCACCCTGGCAGTTCTATATATAACAATGGTCACACTGATGCCATGGAGAATATGCTCAACATCAGATACCCGCCTGGAGGGCTTCATCACAGCCTCATTAGGAAGACAAACCTGACGGTCATGTCTGACAACATCTATATATGCGTTATTTCTCCATGTAGCCAGTTTGGTAGTGCAGGTACTGATTTGCTATGGATCAATATATTATATTTATAAACAGATTAAGGTAACTTTGAAGTTTTTATCTGATAACAGAGAGGAAAATAAGCACGATAAGATACACAATCATTCAAATTTCTGATGTGCTACATGAAATTGGGGAAAAAAACACTGAATCATAGTGTATTCATGTAGATGTGTGATTGTTGTATTCATGTAGATGTGTGATTGTTGTATTCATGTAGATGTGTGATTGTTGTATTCATGTAGATGTGTGATTGTTGTATTCATGTAGATTTGTGATTGTTGTATTCATGTAGATGTGTGATTGTTGTATTCATGTAGATGTGTGATTGTTGTATTCATGTAGATGTGTGATTGTTGTATTCATGTAGATGTGTGATTGTTGTATTCATGTAGGTGTGTGATTGTTGTATTCATGTAGGTGTGTGATTGTTGTATTCATGTAGATGTGTGATTGTTGTATTCATGTAGGTGTGTGATTGTTGTATTCATGTAGGTGTGTGATTGTTGTATTCATGTAGATGTGTCATTGTTGTATCCATGTAGGTGTGTGATTGTTGTATTCATGTAGGCATGTGATTGTTGTATTCATGTAGGCATGTGATTGTTGTATCCATGTAGGCATGTGATTGTTGTATCCATGTAGGCATGTGATTGTTGTATCCATGTAGGCATGTGATTGTTGTATCCATGTAGGCATGTGATTGTTGTATTCATATAGGCATGTGATTGTTGTATTCATCATGTTCATGTCGGTGTGTGATTATTGTATTCATATAGGCATGTGATTGTTGTATTCATCATTGTTCATGTAGGCATGTGATTGTTGTGTCCATGTAGGTGCGTAGATATAGCTAGTTACTTTAATAAATAGGAATGTCTTAAGTTACCCTTTGAAAATGTTCTTCATCTGTTAGACCTACTAAATCTGAAAACACACACGTTTATCCCCTAATTCCAGACTGCATACAAACAGGTAGGCCTCAAAAGCTGCTGGACTGATCAACTGGTGTTGAATTTAACATTCCAAAATGAGAGTTTGAACTGACATTTGCTGCAGACTAGGGGCCAAATATTCGCCTAGAGCATGTCTAGATACATCACTAATTAGCTGAAAGGTTGAATACCTTGTATTGTGTGTAATCATGGTCACGTAATTGCAGAGAAGGAGTTGTGACCTACTGATATCACACTGGTCCGATACCTATTATTCTACTTGCACCAGTTAATTGCAATACATTGTGTTGAATGCAACACTAAATGACCTTGCTGATTCTATGATGAACCAGGGAGTTTATTTCATACATTACACATGACCAAATGCATTCCTTATGCTTTTGAAATGTTATAATCATACAAGCAAAGGTCCTGGACAAAGTGGCTGATGTGACAACCACCGATCCCTGTGATTCATGCTAATAAATACTATGCAGCTGTCATAAGCAATATTGACTTCTTGGGATGATTACAACACATAAGCCATGTGTGATCTCAATAATGAACCGTCACATTCTTGCAACTAGGAAACAGGAACTTAATTCAATATAAGATATAAGGAACGGCCCAAGATCTGTCGCTGAAGATATAGTTCTGACTCACTAACCTAAGCATAGAATTTGTGTTGTCTTATCTATACATCATGATGCTGGTCATGCTGGCAGTGACACACACATACACTGACATCATAGGAAATCCAAATATTAGAATTTTGCAATACTTGAACAGAGGGACATTTGTCTAGGTGGGATGAAGAATCAAGTCAATATTACCTGCATCCTGGTACAAGGCACATTCAGCATAACATTTGTTAGTATTCAAACTGACAGTTATGTCTGATACATTTAGAATCTCACAAATAAAGTTTCAGATTTGTACGTCTTTATATTTTTCAGATATTTTGAAAACATCAAAGATGGCCATCCACATGATCCAAGATCCATATCAAGTTTGGATTTTGATGGTTTGCAATGAACCATAAAAACCATCCATGTCAGGAACAATACAATGTTTACCATGTTTACTTGGTTTATGCTTAAACCATCTTGCAGTCTGGAGAGGTTCGAGAGATTGAGTATAACGTGCTAAAAGGAGACCAATGTGAATGTTAGGGTGTCTCCTTATCACTGTGACTTTAAGTACAGGTTCCATATTGGATATTGAGTTCAGAAATTTCCCAAATTTTCACCAAACATGACCATGATGACCAACATACAACTTCAACTCCTCTACAGACTACTACACCTACAGGTGACCATTCCACACAAGCTTACACAGGCAGTGATAGAAACTAACAATTTTAGTCCATCAAACTGTGGGTACTTTCAGGATATGTGCATGTTCCTATTACGTTTTACAGCCAGGAGTCATTAATTTATGACACTGGCAGCAGACCGGCCTGTGTTTCAACTTTGATCAATTTATGAGACCAGAGTGTAACCTGGTTTTCTTTTGTGCAACTTGGTATTCATGTCAACCAAAATGTCAAAATGCAGTATTTTGAGGTCTATCCAAAACTAACAAGTCTCTGGTCTGGTGCAATTCAGAAATGAATTTTGGCTACTTTTACCCACTTTTGGTTCATTGCCATTGGATATGTTCAGTTCAGTGAAGAAAAGATAATGCTGTTCAGTATTTTTCAATATCCCTCATCTTGAAAAGTCACCAGTTCACAGCTAGACTATTCTGTATACAAGTTTCATCAGGAAATATTCAACGTTTTTGGAGTTCTGCTGGGGAAACGACCACAACCCTCATTTTCTGTAAGTCCAACTTGTCTTCATCATGTTCAAGACAAGAAAACAAAAATTTTAAAAATAAAAATCCCCTAATTATCAAAAGTCATCCGGTCCACCATTAGACTGATCTGTACAGCAAGTTTCAACAAAAAATATTTAACAGATTAGGAGTTCTGCTCCAGAACCAGAGGACAGACAGACAGGCTGATCGCTATATCCCCCCGTTTTTGAAACCAGGGGTATTAAAAAGCAAACACTCAACAACAGATTAGCATCTACCGGTACTCAGATTCGTATGCTCAGGAATATACATCGATATATACTCTTGACTATTGTACAATTACATTTGTATGTGCTGGCGGCTACCAGTTTGGGGTCTGAATACAACTCCTGTCTCCCCATTGTAGTAGGTTGATCTGTGGAGATGCCAAGGCAAGTACAAACCCAATATCCTATACATGTAGAACTGACTAAAACGAGGATCCCATGGTCACAATGTCCACTGAATATGTTTGTTGTTTAACGCTGCACCAAGCAATCTTCCAGCTGTATGATGACTGCCTGTAAATAATCAAGACTGGACCAGACAATCCAGAGATCCACACATTAGTGGTACAATGACACGCAATCAACCAAGTCATTTAGCCAGACCACCCTATCCATCTGGTCGCCTCTTAAGAGCAGCATCGGTTGGAGGAGACCAATTTTAACCCCAAAACCTTATGGGGAGACACACAGTATGAATAGTGAGTGGTAGGACCCAGCTATGACCGGTCTTACTATATGACACCGAAATGGATGCTCTCATCATGGAGCCCTTGTCTGTCAGGACCAGGCTTGATTACATCGCTTCAAATGAGTCTGTAGACAAATAGAGAATTTGCAATCACTGCCAAGTCTAATAGACTTCACAATGACATCTGAACCATGTGTGCCCCAAGATAACACATTGAGTGATAAATCTCTGAATCTTGAAGAACAATCCCTTCATCAATATTATCATGTCAGAAGAAAGCTTTTGCTCGGTCCCCTTTAGCATATTTACTGTATAGCAAGGGTTTACTAAAATTACTGCGACATTGTAGGTGTCCCCTGGGGCTGAAATGATGCACAAACAGCAAGCTATAAGTATTGAGCTTCTCTGTCCAAAAGATAAACAATTTAAAACAAAGTCTGCATGAATGTCAATCAACTATTTTGTTGACCATCTGCGTCAGAAAGTAAATGAATGAATGCTGTTGCACAATAATAGTAAGAAGAGTAAGGCTTATTAGCCTATTGCCAATGCTGTGTACATGTAGTGGGGTGTAATTTTGTTTGTCTGCCATTTTGTTGCCAGTTCAACAATTATATGCACCCGATTCATACTTTTTTATGTAACCATGTGTTGTCAGTGTGTTGACAAACTGCCATGCCTTGCCTATGATGATGAAATAATAGACTGCCATTAAATGGTCTTGAATGACTACTGAAGACTTCTTCGTCTTTTTTCAATCTGATATGTCTGATGCAGCCATAGAAATGCAGTCTTTTGTAGACTAGTCTGGAGGACTTGTGTAACCTTATTTTCTAGTTTGTAGGCAATTCTGCTTGAACAAGCAGATTTATTACATTCCAATTTGCAGCAAAATTGAAGCATTGAGAACTGGTTCAGAATATAAGCCCCCAAATCATGCAAATGCTACTAGTCGATGAGAACAACCATCATTAGATTATTACTTTCCTCAGCACAATTTTAATGGTAATCTAGCAGACAAGCATGAACTTCGGGGGCTGCTGATGTGCAAATAATTTTCATTGTGTGAAACAATACAAACTGAAATGTAACAGCTATTGCATAAATAAATGCACTGAATACAGAGTCGCACTGGTGAATTGTATCAGCCTCAGTATACCCTGTCTACATAATAATATGATAATTAGAGAATTACCTCAAGATGTGCAGAATCGACTCCTGCTTCAAATCTGTCCCACATCCCTCGACTGGATTTGTCCTTCAGGAGAACAAGCACCAGGTTCATATCAGAAAGGTCAGTGGTGCAATGGTCACTAGCAAGCTTGCATGATGGATCAAACTTCAAATATGTAGAATAGTACATAGGGAAACAGCCTGAACCAAGAGAAACAAAACTGATCCTAATGCTGTTGGAGTCTGGGAAGGAATTTGTGATTGTCTCTCCTGATATATTTCTGACGTTGAATATAAATGAGATGGTTTCATGGTCTTGATTGTATGTGTAATCGGGTAATGAAAATGCAGTGGACTGAGATGGCGAATAGGTGGATTTTTCAGAAGTTTGATTAGATTCCTGCACACCATGTACAGCAGTTTCATCTGGTTTGTCAGCCTTGGTTTCAAGAGATGACAAGACCTCAATTTTTGGTGTATCAGAAGCTTCGATTTCGCTGGTGTCATGTGCATCTCCATTTATCCGTTTCTCATCTTCAATGAAAGATGGTAGCTTTGGAGTTTCCAAAGGGACGACGGGAAGAGTTATTGTCAAGCATCTCTTTGACTTGTCATACTTGGCAGTTCCTTCATCGTCATTGACATTAAAAGGAAGCTTGATGTCTAGTTTATAGGCTGCTGGTGTTTTGGATTCTACTGTCAATCTTTGCTCAAAGATGTCAAGGTCAACATTTCCTGCAGATGGCAGAAGTGGCAGGAAGACTTTCACGACTAAATCTTTCGGGCGAGTTGAAGTGCGAGCATCAGGAGCATTGCGGTACTCTTGCAGGTCCATGTCAGATCTATGGGTTATTGTGTACTCTGGTGTAGTGACTTTGGTCTCTGTTTTTGCTTTAGATTTCTTTGTTTTGGCTTCTTTTTTCTTTGCCTCTTCTTCTCGTTTGGCAATTTCAGATTCTCTTTCCTTCATTTTTTCTGCTGTTGTTTTGTCTTCATATGGATATGGCATATTTTTCAGAATGTCAGCTGCTTCACTGTTGTCATTGCTCATTCTCTTACCATTTCCTTGTCTCGTCCTAATTACTGAAGCCTGGGGAATGCCTTTGAAATCCATTTTAGTTTTCTTGATATTCTTCCTGTCAAGTTTCACATCGAATTGCTTTTCAATGGCATCAATAGCAGTATCATGTACAAGTTTGAGAAACCGGTCATTGGTTTCCGACATTCTATACGTATCAGGGTGGAAAACGGCATCAAAAACTTGACATTTTTCTCCATTATCTTGGTCGTCACGAGGAGGAGACAATGAGTGAGGGATCTGCCACATGACACCACTTTTACCATTCGGACCCACCTGTCGTGTGTTTGTTGGCTTTGCAAGTTTTTCATTATGACAAATATTAATGAATGCTTTGGTAATACCATTCACACTTGTTTCCAAAACATGTCCAGGTTTCGGATGGATAAACTGCACATCCATCCCACGCTCATTTTCCATTTGAGATATCTCTTGCTCGTACAGACGCCTGTTTTCTGGATCAGAAATCTCTTGAGCATACTCAAGAAAAAGTTTTCGAAAGTTTTCATCTTTCAAAGCGTCACCTATTCGTTTCAATTCGTCTTGGGAGACATTCAAATCTTCCAATTTCGTCTTCGACGCCATGTTGCACCGGTATGCTATGAGCATGCGTCGTGTAAACAAATTACGAAGGGAAGCAACTCCAGCCGCCTTACTTGTACACACGCCCCCACATGTCGAGTGTTGTTATGGTGATTATATACACACACAGATTACCTCTTACGCTATGAGAAGATTAAGATCATTAAGACAGTTGTCCCTATATGTTTTAGTAAAAGGATTCATGACAGAAGCTGAGAAGCTAGAATAAATAATTTACCATCACAACTCATAAATGATTTAGAAAAACGTAAAACTTTATGGATAACAACTTTAGTTTATTGCATATAGCGACGTTTGGATGTAGATTCTTACACTGTTATCACCGTGCTTATTTGCCAACTTCTAGAATGCCAATCAAACAGTTCATAAATGATTAGTTTGAACTGAATCACAAAGGTCTAAATAATTGAATCAAAGCCAAGCAAACGAACGGTAGATTGCAGAGACCGACACGATGACACTAGCTTCAAAGTCACATTTTGTGGCCACCCAATCCTCATTTGTATTTGGTTCTTTGAACAAATTCTGGCAGTGGATAACACGTGGATAATATCTGATGACCTAAATCTAAAAAAAATGGATAAAAACTATTGTAATTTGAAAGATCATATGGAAGTATGGAAGAGTATTCACTCTGTGGAATGCTTCCTCACAAAGATGACCAAATAATTATGGAGAAATTGTGTCAAAGGGTTTAAGGTTACTGCCCTTAGTTGAGGCAGGACCTGCAGATCAAGGGTTCAAATCCCACATTGGGTTTGATTAGGATTCTTTGTCTTTCCGCACCACTCCCATGTTCACTGGTTTTACCATATTAAACTGACATAAACTAAAATACTGACTAAATCCATTTACTGAAAAGAAAATATAGAAAAACAAGTGATGGCTTGAAGAAAATGTTTATTTACTAAAATAAAACATTTAAACATGTTACAATATTTCTATTAAACGATACATTGAAATCTAATGTAGCATTAAACAAACAAATTTGAGTATAAAATTGTTTTGTGTATGATGTATACAAAGGGGATACAAAACTTATTGTAAGGTTTTGTGGTTTAATAACAGGACTGTATCTATCAATCTGCAATTCATTGATACAAATATGACATCTAACTGTCAAATTATTAACATGAAACAAAAAATTAATACCAATATCTTAACAGTAAAATAACAAAAAGTATATTTATGACTGTGTTGTATGCTATTTCATGCTAAGCACACTCACATTCATTCCTCAGTGCCTCTGAATGGGTCACATAATAAACCTCTTCATATAGATTACCAGTGCAAAAACAAAGTGTGATGGATGCACAATGACACATGACATTTCACCTTATATAAAATAATTGATCAACAATAAAATCATGAATGAAAAACAGAAGAAACAATCAAAATGAAAAATAAAACACTTGAAAATATCATTTAAAGCAGTTCTAAAAAGACACAAAACAATGTTCGCTTATAAAGACTAGATACGGTTTCATCAAATGTTAAAAAAATAACAAAGTTGATTGGTCACAGTATACCACCATGAAATACATCCTCCACATTCTTCACAAATAGCTCCACAACGATGATTGGCTTATCTTATGTGAATATGCGACTTTAATGCATGTCAATTACTTCAGAAACCATTCTCAGATGGATACTGTGAATTTTCGACTGCAGAGAAAAGATAAAAATTCTCCCTCATTCTCTTAACTCAATAACTTAATATTTGTGTAATACTTTATGTTAAAATCAGTGAAACATTTATTAGCAACAAAAATGTATTTCATTTTGAGTGCGATCACTAGCAGTATTGACCTCTCAGATTTTAGATACAAATCAATCATAGAAATCTTAAGCACTGATAAACATATGGCACTGTAGTTGTTATATATAGTCATTCATTGAATAAACATTAATAAAATATTCACTAACTCTAATCAACCTCCTAAATGTCCCCCCCAAAACAAATGTCTTGAGGCTGTTCCACTTCTCCCCGACATACTGAGCACCTCCGATCTCATCAGAAATTTCCTCCCAGCCTTTCAATTTTCCTAACACTTGGGTCCCTAACCACAAAACTTAACAGTTAAACACAGACTGGCAGATGCTGTAGTCCAACAACCTCTTTGCTGATCGGGGCTAGAGATGTACATAGGGTTGAATATGTCACACCATGGTATTTTACAAATCAGCAGTGATTACTGAAAAGTTGATATAATTATGTGACCAGACCAATTTCTTTTCTTGTATCACGGATCTGCCAAACTCATTTTCCCCTGATTTTGAAGAACAAACAAAATATCAAAACTAAAATATTGATAGACTTCTAAATTGTGTCTAGCCATCAGCAGCGTGTAAATAATTTCATTGGATGACTGTGGTGTAACTGCCAATCAAATCACTTCATTTTTGCATAGCGGTAACTGAAAACTTGGCCTAAACGAGGTCGGTTACAGTTTGTGAATTGATCCTTGTTGCTGTTTTTTGTATGGTTTTGCAAAATGTCAACAAAAGTGCTATAGCCCAACGGTCACAAAACATAGCTGAATTGAAGCTCACTGACTTTTGGTGATTTGTCATCGGATGTTATGGCCACATTCCCCCCCGGTCTGATTGACGGCATAAAGAAGTTTTGCTTCTTGGAGTCGCAGAAGTTGTTTCCTGAGTAGATAACCGTCACGTCAGGAAATGTTTAACGTTTCCATCCAGACAATTTGGTCCAAAGTATCCATAATACAAGAAACAATTGGTGTGGTCTTATTAAGCATCCCATAGTGAAACATTTGCTAGGCTGAGATCAGCTCCCAGTTGCCAAGTAACACTCTCAAAACAGGCATGCTAATGGTTTGTACTGCATTAGGGGAAAAACACCTACGATTTTTGGGAATATATCTGCTTTTCTATTTCTTTGTTCTTTGATAAGTAGTTCTTTGCTGATGCTCATGTAAGCCATTTTTTTCAAAAATAGTGAAATAAAATATCCGCTTGATAAGGCACAAAAGTATAAATATCAACAATCTCATAAAGACATTTCTAGATTTTGAAAAAAAATATGTGTTCAATAAGTAGTATTGATGGTAATTTTGCGATAAAGCACTTGGAAGTAGGGAAAATGTAAATATTTGAGAAACATCAAATCGATAGGACGGATGTACAAACATGTTGTTTCACAGACAACATGGAATGTTGGACAGATATTCTATACATGGACATCCACATTTCACCAATTAAAGATGAAAAACTCTTCTCGCTATTCTACCAGCAACAGAAGAAATAAAACATGAATGGTCTGAGTACAGATCTATAAATCGAGGAACATTTCCATAAGAAAAATACAACTAAATCAATAAGAATATTGAACTGACCAAAACAACTTTCCTCCACTGTTGAAAAATATAATCCATAATTAAAGCAAAAAGGAATATGAAAAAAATTGCCAATTTCTTTAATAATTTCTTTATTAACATGGCAGACTTTCATGAACTGACTGTGACCAAGCACAGCCTTAGTGAGGATTGCTGTGGAGACAGGACCATCTAAAGGATTTCAAATTCTTTGTTATTTTTTTTCATCTGATGTTTCTGTACAGATGCTGATATTATTATTAAGTGAGTGATCCTGTCTCCATGCATACTAGCATCTTAATGCCTCTTACAGAAAAAGCATGCAGTAATTATTTCCTTCATCTGCAATTACTATTTTCATTTAATCGAAGAAAGTGTGGTGCATGTTGTCTGTAAATGACTGTACACTGCTTTATTTGCTGGTGTCTGCTGCCTGTGTTAAGAACAGTGTTGACGGTGGCTCCTGCTTCTTGGCGACATTCTCTTCATCAGAGTCGTCTCCCATTGTTATGCGGCTGCTGACGTCCTCCAACTCCTCCAGTTGACGTTTCATGTTCTATACAGAAGTTTATAAGTTTCATGATATATACAGACGTTTACAAGGTTTATGTTTTTTATAGAAGTTTATAACTTTCATGTTCATCTAGACCCATGTTAACCTACCTGTAGATCATCTAGAGCCACGTTAACCTCCCTGTAGATCATCAAGAGCAATGTTAACTTTCTTGGTGTTTGTCAAGAGCCATGTTAACCCACCTGTATGTCGTCTAGAGCAATGTTAACTTTCTTGTCGTTTGTCAAGAGCCATGTTAACCCACCTGTATGTCATCTAGAGCAATGTTAACTTTCTTGTCGTTTGTCAAGAGCCATGTTAACCCACCTGTATGTCGTCTAGAGCAATGTTAACTTTCTTGTCGTTTGTCAAGAGCCATGTTAACCCACCTGTATGTCATCTGTGCCATGTTAACCCACCTATATGTCATCTAGAGCCATGTTAACCCACCTGTATGTCATCTAGAGCAATGTTAACCCACCTATATGTCGTCTAGAGCAATGTTAACTTTCTTGTCGTTTGTCAAGAGCCATGTTAACCCACCTGTATGTCATCTAGAGCAATGTTAACTTTCTTGTCGTTTGTCAAGAGCCATGTTAACCCACCTGTATGTCATCTAGAGCAATGTTAACTTTCTTGTCGTTTGTCAAGAGCAATGTTAACCCACCTGTATGTCATCTAGAGCAATGTTAACTTTCTTGTCGTTTGTCAAGAGCCATGTTAACCCACCTGTATGTCATCTAGAGCCATGTAACCAACCTATATGTCGTCTAGAGCAATGTTAACTTTCTTGTCGTTTGTCAAGAGCCATGTTAACCCACCTGTATGTCATCTAGAGCCATGTTAACCCACCTATGTCGTCTAGAGCCATGTTAACCCACCTGTATGTCATCTAGAGCCATGTTAACCCACCTATATGTCGTCTAGAGCAATGTTAACTTTCTTGTCGTTTGTCAAGAGCCATGTTAACCCACCTGTATGTCATCTAGAGCAATGTTAACTTTCTTGTCGTTTGTCAAGAGCCATGTTAACCCACCTGTATGTCATCTAGGACCATGTCGTTTGTCAAGAGCCATGTTAACCCACCTGTATGTCATCTAGAGCAATGTCGTTTGTCAAGAGCCATGTTAACCCACCTGTAGGTCTTCTAGGTAGGTCTGTGTTCTGTGGTTCATGTCCTTCAGTTTCTCCCTCATGTCCTTCACCTTCACCTGAAACAACCAGAGCCAAACAAAGTCAACATCCAGCAAGGTGCGATAGACCAGCTTCACACACTCAAACAATCTTGTCATGCCAGTCCAATTCCTGAGTTACTATCATGTTTGTTTGTTTGTTGTGTAACGCCGCACTCAGCAATATTCCAGCTATATGACGGCAGTCTGTAAATAATTGAGTTTGGACCAGACAATCCAGTGATTGACATCATGAGCATCAATCCACACAATTGGGATACAATGACATGCATCAACCAAGTCAGCGAGCCTGACCACCTGATCCCGATAGTCGCCTCTTACAACAAGCACGGTCACCTTTTATGGCAAGTATGGGTTGCGGAAGACAGATTCTAGCCTGGATATTCACAGGTCGTATGGCGGTTGTGCCTATTGTTGAGACATATTTCTTACCTTTGCCATCACCTTCTTCTGTGCGATGGCCTGAGCATCTTCATCACTTGGCTCCATGTTCTCCAGACTCACTGGAACAGAACCAACCTGTTTATCAAGCAGTAAAGCTGGTCCAGTGAGAGATCACCCTTTCCCATGTATTTACTCCCGACCTCTAAACATGTGCGTTGCACGTGTGTGTAATACACAACTGTATTTGGCTGTGCCTTAATACAGAACTTGTAACAGTCCATAAAGGATACTGGTACTGTTGGATGGAGAAAACACTGGTCTTCACCTCAATGTGTGTTCCTATAAACTTCACAATATTCTGTAACTCACCCTCTATCATTTGAGCAATGCAGCTGAAACAACCGTTTTTTAACAAATGAACTGTGAAGAATTTTCTCATGTCAGTGGCTTTATTATATTTATAAAAGTGCCATTTTGTACTTTACTATGTAACAGTGTGCCACTCACGAATAATTTCAATTTGTAAAGTTTTATCTTTATGACTGGTCGTTTATTAGGTGGGGGTCATGAAAAAATGACACACTGAAATTTATCACAACAATATTGGGTCGGGGGATATAAAAAAATGACAGTCCTATTTTTTTAAATACAAAAATGTGAACATTAATTAATCTGCATGCTAGCTCACAAACACATGTGCATTAATCTTGAACCCAATTTACCTCACCAATATGGCCTGAACAAAACACAGGTAGGGCAGTAATAAAGGATATGGGTAAAATACATTTGTATTTGCATTTTAAAACTATTTAAATACACAGAATCCCAGATTGCAGCAATGAATGAGAGACTGACCTGGATCAATGTTACTGGACACAAGCTTCCTCTCATACTTGGATCTGAGAAACAAGAGAAGATTTTCAGGAAGTGAAAGGAAAGTCAGAAGGATTTTACACCACTTTAAACAGTTACATCATGGTTAGGTTCTAGGTCAGAGAAGCCCACAGTGTGCAGGTCTCAGATGTTTACAGATTATCCAACTTGAATAGAATCTGACGACAAGAATGAACTGTTGACCTAAATGTACGATGTAATGGCGGGGTCCTACCATTCGTTCATCATTCGAGTGAGGGAGGGAGTGAGTGAGTGAGTGAGTGAGTGAGTGAGGGAGTGAGGGAGCCACAAGGCTACCCAACCACCCCTAGTGTTGACAGACCATGAATGATAATCTTAAGTATTAGAATGGAACCCATCACCTCTGGATCCTAGCATCAAAACAGTATATAACTAGCAATAACCTGGGTGAAGTCCAAGGTCAAATGGAAAAGTTAATGAAATACCAAAAAATCTTCGCATGTTGGGGGTACACATCAGAAAGTTTGTTTTTTGTTTGTCTGTTTTTGTTTAAGGCTTCACCAAGTAGAATTTCAGCTTTATATTACAGTAGTCTGTAAATAATCAAGTCTGGACCAGTCCAAAAAGTTAGCTTTCAAACATTCAGCTTTTAAACTCCACACTTGTCTGCTAGCCTGAGATAGCTATATTGTGCCTAGGACCATTAAAATTCCAGTGATGCTAGTTCTTGATGACAAGTAACATTTGCAATTTTTATTTTTTTCCAGTTCTCAATACTTTGATTTTTAATACAAATTAGTCCAGCTGAACTAGCTGAAAACTCTGAGGCCTAGTAAAATGAGTTTTGCAGTGGTCCTCTGATTGATTTCTAAGGCTGGACACTGTGAGCAGGATCCCATGTCGCCAGGGGATGATCAGCGTCATCACGTCACCAAGCCTGATCACCTGATCCATTTAGTCGCGACCGCCTCCGTGGTCTAGTGGTAGAGCGTCCGCCCGGAGAGCAGAAGGTCCTGGGTTCAATCCCCAGCCGCGTCATACCAAAAGACGTTAAAAGATGGTACTTGTTATTACCCTGTCTGGCGCTCGGCATTAAGGGGCTAAAACAAGGACTGGTCGGCTCGGAGTCAGTATACTGTGTCTGAGTGGGGTATTCATGTTAAACTGCGGCATGGTATCTCAGTGTGCTAGCACTATAAATCGGCATCAGTCCAGACTAGTATGAGCAGCCACACACACACACATACACGTGCATGCACATCACTATATAAGCGCAATAATCTTGGACGCGACGTTAAACCCCATTTCACCACCTCACCATTTAGTCGCCTTGTACTATAAGCATGGGTTACTGCAACCATTTAATTTATTCGCTTTAAAATAGGTTCCCCAAACATACATGATCCTGCCCTTATCTACCTGACAGACGCTACAGGTAAACACAGGTCTGTTGAAAATGTGCAGACACACATTGCAGGTTGGCAGCCACAAACTTGTCAGGTGACAGTGACAAGGAATTATAAAGACCTGTCCAAAAACTGGTATTTGGCCTGAAATCCAAGCCCCAAAGTTTAAATTTTCATCAAGAAGCCATATGGCTACAACTATTTTTCCCAGGTGGCCTGTGTAAAATTAAGAAGTCAAGCCAATAGTGTTGGTAGCCAAAAGCATTTGAAATTATCTTTTATTAAATAACTTTTTATATGTACAAGTCATAGCATTAGTCTTGGAATTACACTCATATTTATGTATTTCTGTTCACTGTTGACTTTATAAGGAATTATTTGTGAGTACAAATAGTAGCAGACATGTTTTTTTCTGTGTCTACATATGTGTAGCAATAGAATTTAGTCACCACAAGATATTTTTCAAGGTAGTCATTTGGCTACCTCTGAATTTTAGACAGTAGACAAAATGAAATTTAGGTCGCATTGGCGACCTTTTTAGTCGCAACTTTGAGGCCTGAAGTCTGTATCAAATATCAGTAAATATTCCAGAATAGTAATTACAAAATTCCTAATTCATGTTAACATGATTAATACATTACATCTAATGGTATGCCTTTGTAGATAGGACTTGTATGTCACTGACAACAGGACCAATCTCATTAAAATCAGATCTTAGTTCTCGTTACCGCAAAACAAAGATCTGAGGACATCCCATTACTGGTCACGTCAGACCGACCAATGGAATGGCTGACAAGAAGTCGACATTAGCCAATAAGTTGGCAGCTTTTTCGTGCTTTACAGCATTAATTTCAAATTGGCGAGCTTTGAAACGAATTTTGACAAGTTCTCGATAAAAAAATTAAAACCTGATCAAAAGAACATTTTGGAATGGCTAATTGATGGTCAAGATTGTATGGATTCCCGTAACTATCGTTCAGAATACCCCGTGTTAAAGTTTTCGAGGTTGCATGATTAGAAATCACATTCTGACTGTCACTTTCATGATCTGGTAAGCGACACTGATTGGTCGGATGAAAGGTCATTCAGATGTGACCCCTAATTGTATGTCCTCAGATCTTTGTTTAGCAGTACCGAGAACTAAGATCTGATTTTAATGAGCTTTGTACAGGACCAACAAAGGGGAAGAGGCTTAATGCCTTGTTTTACATAACTGCATTCAATGCAAAGTTAACATACTGTATAAAATACCTCACAAGTTAAGAACGTAAGAACTTTAAAAAAATTCAATTTTCAACAAAATAATATTTATTGCCCAATTTCTCAGCAAGGGCACCATCGGCTCCTAGACATATCCCTGTTGACAATCTCCCCCCTCAACAATGTGGACTGAGCCACTTATTCATACTGGGTCACAACACGTCTTGACATATCTGCTGTGTTTACCAGTTGTCAATCTTTAACAAGGTAACAGTAATAAGGGAGAAAACTCCATACATACAACTGTTCTTCCAAATCTTCATTTTTCTTTGACACTTCACCAAAGAGAGCTGAAAAACATTAAATGTACACACTAAGACAAGCATGAAGTACTCGCATCTACTGCAAAGAGAATTTGATGACATATGAAGGCATAGAATAAATCATTTCTGTTGTTTTAAAATAATGTATCTGCAGAGTCTCATGACAAATCTCCAATACCACAGTTGTCCTTTAATCCAGATAAAAATTATTTCAGAATCCACCATTAAGAAAAAAGGCTACAGCTCTGTCCAATATGATTGGATCAATCTGTTTTTCAAATTTGACGTACATCGTTATAGATGTATATAGACCTATTACTTACACAAAAATATATTTTCTCTGAAACAATGTTTTTCAATTCATATAATTTCCATCATAATACCCAATAATCTAGTACAATTAGTTTTCTTGGGTTTTCCCAGCAGAAAATAACCATGCTAAAGATCAAATGGTTAATCATGTTAATTCTTGACCAATTGACATACCAGCATGTGCTTGTTCCTTTTTGTCCAGTAGATCTTTCATGGTAGCAAGATGTTCCTGAAAAAAGGGTAAAGAAATGTTTTTAAAGCTGGAGGACATGGCATTAAAAAAACATCCTACAGCAGATTTTTGTGGAGACACAAACACATACAAATTGAAAACGGATGTTTGTTTGTTTGTTTGCTTGCCGCTCTCAGCAATATTCCAGCTATATGACGGTGGTCTGTAAATAATCGGGTCTGGACCAGACAATCCAGTGATTGATATCATGAGCATTGGTCCACACAATTGGGATACGATGACATGCATCAACCAAGTCAGCTAGCCTGACCACCCGATCCCGTTAGTCGCCTCTAATGACAAGCATAATCGCCTTTTATGGGTTGCTGAAGACCTATTCTAACCAGGATCTTCATGGGTGGAAAATAGATGCAAAAATTTATGGATGTTTCTATTCTTGTCAAAACTACACTCAAAGTTCAGCGTGTCCATGGTTGATTTTCTTAAATCTAAGACTGAAATCCTCATCAATAAAGGGATTCTGAACAAGTGTAATTATATATAACATCAATGATCAGCCAAATTGTTAGAGAGGAAGTGAAGCATGCCACATACAGTGAAAACCCTACATTCTAACTCGAAAAATGATTATAAATATCTGTTACAGAATACACAAATTTTAAAGTCTTCCCACAAAGTTAATTATACAGCCTCTTAAGCAGAGAAAGGACCAACGTGTGCATCTTTCACTGTGCGCTCAAGCTCTTCCTCCATCTTCTTATGGTCCCGGTCTAGTCTCTGTACACTCTCCCTCAACATGGCGTTCTCCTCCGACACATCCTGGCCACCCAGTGATCTAAAATCATTATACAGACTTTCTTAATGAGTTAATCCCTGTTTATAATGTATGCAGAAAATGTACCCTACGTTCATCATGTTTATGATAATATAAAACCTCTTAGCAAATTAACACTGGGCTAAATTAAACGCCATAAAAGAGCAGAGTATTAAAAAACACTTAAACAAAAAGAAGCTTGCCATGTTGAGAATATATCAAAACAAAAAAAATTTCAACATTTGAGTCTGAGACATAAGAGATTCTGGCCTAAAACTGTAGACAGACACACTGAGTCTTGGTCTTTCCAATACTGCACTTTGGTGATCTTAATATAAAGTGTCTTATCACTAAAATTACTTCAAATTTGAGAAATAACTTTTTTGACGGTACTTCTATTGTCATTTAGTTCACAATGACCAATGACCAAGACAAGTCTCTGCAAGAATGACAATCCAGTGATTGACATCATGAGCATCGATCCATGCAATTGGGATACAATGACAACCAAGTCAGCAAGCCTGACCACCTGATCCTGTTAGTCGCCTCTTACAACAAGCATAGTTGCCTTTTACGGCATGCAAGGGTTGCTGAAGACCTATTCTACCCCGGATCTTCACCCAATTCTTGGACTTAATTCCTGTCGGTAAAACATATTGTTAGAACTAACAAATGGGTCTTTTCATTATTTTAGGAATGACAACTTGTATACTGCTTATAATATATCTGTGCTGGAAGTGGTACTGGGTCTCATTGCAGTTTAAAAGTAAATGTAAATTATATTTTGGATAAACAAAACTTTAAAAGCAAACCTACATGCAGATTAATTCTCACTGATCATGCTAATCCCTAGCCTAGAGCTGCGATGGGGTCCTACAGTATGTAGGGTCATGCCTTGACTGTAGGACCCCATCGCGGATCTCGGCTATCTACCAATATGAACGACTGCATTATATGAGTAAAAGAAGTGCGTCCTAGACAACCAGGATATCAGTGCGACACATGACATAAGTGGATATAATTCTTGAATCTGTGAAATAAAGTCATGAAGAATCATATTTTGCATTGTGTTGTCATTAAACATACTTACTATTATTATTTTTTATTGTGTACGAGATTGTTTTGTGTACGAAATTACATTTGTATAGTATACACCCTTTACAAGTGTAAAATGACTGTGAGTCGATTAGAAACTGTTGTTAACAGTAAATATTCTATAGGGATTCTTGAGTTCAAATATATGAAACAAAATAACGCACTTGACACTTCTATTAAGTGATTTCCTGGCATGCTTTGGTTCCCGTGGTCCAGGAATGCGCGTGCCAAAGGCTATTTGTTTCTCTTCCATTTCTCCATTACTCTTGTGTAACTTCGGAATTGTTTTCTTTGCAGATAACGAACCGGCCATTGTATCCTTCCTGGTGGCGCTAAACCAACATACACAGTTTCATGTCTTCTTAAACTAAACCAGTGTCATATGATTTTTAACAGGCCTTAGCAACACCACTTGAATATTTGCGCGCAATATTTTGTTTTCATTTGTTTCCTTCCTGAATCTACTTTCCTCTCTAGCGTGCACAGACGAGTTTAAAGTAAAATCAGAATAGAATGCAGAGATAATTTTGGCATACTATAATTCCCTTAAATGCTTGTATTTCAATGTTTTGGGCGTTATTGTTTAAAACATCATCATTCTAATGTACATAGTATAACTATTCTGCTTTTCTACCGTTAGTGCTAGAATAATATGTTGTTCTGTAGCTAGTATGGTACATCAAAGCTCCGAACAGTATTATGGTGACACGCGCATCAGAGGAGCTCGAACCAAACTTTCCACAAAACGCGCACCTGCTCACGTTGAATTAGAGTTTACGTATCTGCAGTTCTATTCCGTGTGCAAGCGGAATGCTTTGAGACTACTATTATTAATACACTAATTTATATACTTTAATAAAAACATTCCGTCCAAACAAAATTAATTTTCATGTAAAGGGTTACTATACGTCTATAGCACTAGTTCGGACTAATGCCGGGTTTATAGTGCAAGTTCAATGACTTACCACGCCGCTGTTTACAATACACATTACGGACAGAGTAAACTGACACTTAGCCAACCGGTCCTTGTTATATCCCCTTACTGCCGAGGACAAGGCGGGGTAATAACAAGTAACATCCTTTAACGTGTTTTGGTATGACGCGGCCGGGGATCGAACCACTGCTCTCCGGGCAGACGCTCTATCCATTAGACCACGGAGGGGGTCGCATGGACTTTGGTGTTCAGTTGGTACTGTCCGTTAATTTCCAGTTATCTTAAATTCTTTGATAAACACCGAATGTTTATTTATTTCGGAAGTTGCATATAACCGATGTTTTCTACGAGGGAGGAGTGTGGGTAAAGGAGCTTATACGTTATTTTTTTCGAATTTGTTTTAAATCTCTCTCTCTCTCTCTCTCTCTCTCTCTCTCTCTCTCTCTCTCTCTCTCTCTCTCCCTCTCTCTCTCTCTCTCTCTCTCTCTCTCTCTCTCCCTCCACAGGTTTTTCGGGAACAGATCAAAGGATTAATTTTGGGATAAAAAAACGTACTTCCTCTCATCCATACCCCCGTACGTCTCTACAAGGTCGTACATTGGTCGTTTTTAAAAGAGGACAGTTTGTGTCATTCTCCCATCTATACTGCTCAAAAGAAGTTATAGAACATCCGATTTTTTCACGTATAACTATAGTTAATCTGTCATGACATGACATGTTTATTTATTTCGGTGCCTCGGTTGACCAGGCGTTTATTCGTTGTGGATGTTTATTTAAAGGGGCACTGATCTAACGCAATTCCCCGGACTGGTTGTTGCCTTTGTTATTGTTTTTCCCCCGTGAGTACCCGGATGATACGCAACGCAACTGAGCGTGACCAGAGATTGGGCTACCGTCTGCAAGGACAGCTAAATAAACTTGGAGGCTGGAGGCAATATTTGTTTTACGCATTTTTGCATAAACACTGATTGGTTAACCGTGATCTATAAAGATTTCGACAAAGGGCGCATGTTAATTAATTTCTTCAACCTAAACAAACAGACAAAAAGAACGACGGAGCTCATCGGATGTCGTCATTTGGAAATACCCCAGATGGTTATAGTTTAATACTAAAAAAAAGTATCCATGCATTGAAAGCATTTTCGGATTTCGGATTGCGTCGATAATACTATATCTACTCCCTTGTTGTCATCCACGTTTTCTCGTATAACCCTACACTTGCGTCAACTTGTTCAATCTTTATTTCCACAAGGATCACGTGGTACATGGAAACAGCTATACGTTGTTGTTAAGATAACTTGGCTTTTGTTAATATTTTAGAAAAAAACAACGATGGTTTGAAGGTTGTGCAAATAAAAAAATGGAGTTAATGGACGTTTGGATCTGAGAAGTAACATCCAAAATCACTGCATTGTCTGTTGCTGTTGCTTTAAGTGTTTAAAAGGTCGCTTTCTGCCTTCGCAAATTTTGGCTGACCTGTCCCTCTTCGGGACTCGTGAGTGAGTGAGTGATTTGGGTTTAACGCCTCTTGTAACAGTATTCCAGTTATATCGCGGCGTGTCAGTTTAAAGTGGGAGGAAAGCCCGAAGTGATGCAGGTCTCAGACGTTTACCACTTCGGTGAAACCCACGAGCACGGTTATGGTGCTGACAAACCTAGAAACATAATCGGGGCGAACCGGGATTCGAACCCACGATCATAGGTTTCTGGCGTGCCCAAGAGACGCACCTCTGCACAGCGAATCGCGGCGCCTTAGACGACTAGGCCACCCGTGCCCCCTCGGGACTCATGTGTGTGAGTAGGGTACACATATCTATTGCGAGTTTTGGTATTCATATACTTTCTGCTTTTGTATTGATGTGATTTCTATTTTCGTATATTGATATAATTTCTCTTCGGGAGATCTACGACAGATAGCGGAACGAACTGCAATTCTTGTTTTAACCGAGTTCGGGCTAGGGCGTGGTCTTGGCATTCCCGTAACAATTGAGCAATGGATTCAGGTTGATTGCAAGATGGACATATCTTGTCGTAGTGCTTTTTGTGACCGAGTCTGAGGCGTGAGATGGCTATTTAAACTTTCCTTTCATTTGAGTATGAGTATAGCTTTTGGTGGATCTTGGGTTGAATTTTGTATAGCCATCTGCCGATCTTACTTGCGTCCCACTGGGCTTGCCATCCTTGGTTTATGATAGGCTTTGGTTTTGCTTTTTAAGTCTAGTTTACTAAAGGGAACAGGCTGCAGCTCCGCTTTGTCTAGAGCTAACTTCGCCAGTGTGTCTGCTTTTTCATTTCCATGAATATCTATGTGAGACGGGTTCCAACACATCTCCACCGGTTGTCTTTGTCCGATAGTTTCGTATATTCGTATAGAATATTATTGTCTGTGTTTAACCTGGAGTTTGAGTTTCTGCCGCTGATGGCTTGAAGTGCACTTAGCGAGTCTGATAGCATGACTGCCTTTGCTTCCGATATGAGGTTGAGTGCATGAACTAGTCCAATTCATCAGTGAATACTGATTGACGATCAGGCAGGCGAACCGGAAGTGCTTGGAGTTTGGAGCTGTGGATGTGGATCCGTAACCAGCACTGTTGTTGATAGGAATCTTGGATCCATCAATGTATATGAGGGCCTAGCTGTCCCAGGTAGTTTGAATTTTAGTGATAGCTACTGATCGTAGTAGGGTTGGGTTTTCTTATTTAGTGTCTTCTGATGTTAAATCAGTGTCAACTTTGGGAGTTTTGAAAGTCCAAGGAGGGTGTAACCCTTTGTAGTGACTTTATGGTGTCTGAATGTCATCACAATTCGGATGGATTCACGTATACTTATATCCCAGATGGCTTAAGTGAGGGGTTTCTCCGAACTAGGGCTTCAACTCGGCTGTTTTTGTCTTGCCATATCTTTTTCACCAAAGGGTTTGATGTTCGTCCCCAGAACGATAATATTACTCTTTTTAGTTTCAATGGGAGGTCTCCTGTTTCTGGCTTGTAGGGCTTCGGGTGAAGTACCTGTTGCTGCACCTGTGGCCAGCATTAGAGCTTTTGTATGTATTCTGTCGATGCGGCACATGTTGCTGATGAAATTATCACTTCATTTCCCTGCACCTGGTAGTATTGTAAAATAAACATTTCCAATCTCCATTTCAACTGCTACTGGGATCAATGTAAATTATTATTTTATATAACCTAATTTATTGTGTATTTCATAGGGCTACGAAATTGCTTTCGACTTGGGGTAGGAAATGTCTCATTTCTAGGGGTACGAATTCGTTCAGGTTACAAATTTACATACATCCATTTGTACAGGTAATTGATGTTTCGCATGTTTAAATATAATTACGTCTTTTATTTTGAAACTGGAATCACGTTGTGTCAAAGCTCACAAGTGTCTAAAATCAAAGAACATAATGTGTGTTTTCACTCCGCTCGACACGGAATCGAACCCATGTCAGAACGTGATAGTACAAACCTTTGTCAGCACCGGAAATGTCTATAAGCTCCACGGCAATGTTTCTGTAAGCCGAGCTCCGGCTGTTCAATGCATGTATTATGTATGGCTACTAAGCGCTGCGCATATACTTTGCAAAACCCGTTTTTCATGCTGAATCGATGTTCGGAGCTTACTATTCCTTGCCAAGATGTCGGAGTCAACAAATGCGTCTCAGGTCTGAGTGTTTTGTTGATCTTTCGCTGTAGCTCTGAATGATTTAGATACTTCTATGGTTCTTCAAATTATTTGTTCTAAAATGTTTACAGGCAAATTTAACTGATGTTCGAAACAGTATCAATAACTGACGAATCGATTATTGAGTTCGGAGAAACTAAGTCAAACTCGTCAATATGAGTCAGGGCTGACAGTAACTCTAGTAACAGTACACTGACATAGGCTATGATTATTAAACAGACACGACGACATGTGCTATAAGCGATTCATAGTTCCACGTCGCGTATGAACATAATCTAACCAATATCAGACTATACTGTACCAGAATGCATTGTGCATTGAATGACCGCCAAGTAATCGAATCCTACAAATATGTATCGATAACTGGTTTTGCCTGCCAGTTTTATGGCATGTAATTATTGATATGTATAACTGGCTGCTGTCTCATATGTGATGATGCATGCGGCATAACTGACATATTATTCACGTGTCAAAATACTATGTATAATGACCAATATTGGCATTATCAATAATGATTGGTAGATATATCCATTTCATCCCTTCTATGTATTTCATTTTAACATCCTTCAACAAAATAGTTCTGAGGTGAAATTGGGTTTAACATGATGTTCCACAATTATTGAACTATACCATGTCTGACTACTACTAGTACTACTCCGGACTGATGCTGGTTTTATAATGTTTAAAGTTGGCCTACTGAGATACCATGGCACAGTTTAACATAGATACCCCACTCTGTCACGGTATACTGACTATGAGCAGACCAGTCCTTTTTTTATCCGCTTTATTCCCAGTGCCGGGCAGGGTAACCACAAGTACCATCTTTTAACATATTTTAGTATGATGCGTCCGGGAATCAAACCACTGACCCTCCGCTCTCTCAGCAGAAGCTCTATCCACTACACCAGAGGCATTCTTCGACAAACATGACAAGACTTGTTAATTGCTAAAGTTTCTGACAAAGCATATATTCATTTCAAGTAATGCTGAAACTCAAGCTGTCTTTATCATAAATCTAAATTTATAAACTCAACACATTTAGCTGTTGCAATTATGATCTGGTAGACATTCCTGCTCCTCCTGCTTGATTTCTAATATAATAATGGTTATTAAGCCTTATTGCATTAATGGTCAAGACTCACACTGTATTAACAAGCCATCATTTGATGTTTTAGAAAACGACTGATTTCACGAACGTTCCTCTCAGCCATGGCGATTGTCAAGACAAAGAGAACCCGAAGAAGAAGCCAAAGCGTGTACTGCACTTCAGTGATGGTATCCTAGAGGAGTACTCCACAGACGAGGAGGATGTACAGATCAAACCAAAAGAACCATCTGTCGACCCAGTCAGTCACACAAAAATGGCATACAGTTTTTATTTCAATTGCCCACTGACCCTAATTTATTACACCAAAGATTACTGACTCTTCACTAAGCAGAAATGGTATATGTGGTAGATTACATGTTTTTTTCCAATTTGTCATAAACTTACCAGTCAAACAAATATTTCCCATATTTGATAACACTGATGTAGAAAATTATGTAATTGGACATCCTTTATCTAGAAATAGTTTTCAATGTTCTTGATGTTTAAAAATGTGTTCACATTTCCTTGAACAAGTAAATTCCCTTATCCTCAGTTAAAGGCCACTTGTCTCCTGCCATTGTTCTATGTACCAGTAAACAAGGCTGTGGAAAGCATGTTGCGCAGCTTCACTACCGCTGAAGCCTTATGTAAATGTTTTAGTTGGTTGAAAAATTAAATGACTTTTTACAAAAAAACAGACTCGTATAAAATAGAGGTGTAACAATACAGTGTGGTCGCGATACAATATGTTTCCCGATGCTTAGGGTGTGACACAATTGGTATCCTGATACAGTACTTATATTTCACAAGTTGATATTCTTTCTTTTTGCATGTGAATCACAAACCTGAATCATTTGTTATTATAAATTTTAGAGATCAAAGATGGGGTATTGTAGACAGAAACATATTGGGAATGTTACGCTATTTACGGCCAAACATGAAATACTAGAGAATCTGCATGAGCTGGTGGTTGAAGAGTTTCTGTTATTATTCAAATGATTTCACACCAATATAATTTACAATGAAATGTATCATATGTATTGCGATACATGGCCCGATAACTAATGTATTGTATCGTGGGCCTTGCATCATGATACAATACTGTATCGCCGTATAGTTACATCACTTATTAAAAATGGTGAATAATACCAATAAAAGTAAACAAAAATTCTTTCTGACAAAAAACACAATCAGTTATCTTTTAGTATTGTTTCGGAATCGTATTTCCATAATGGTGTGACCTATGGCTTTGTTTTTCATTCATAAGTAGCCGTACTTATCTGGAAGTTGAAAATTATTATTAATTTCTTTTTTTTCGACCACCTACAGTTACATTGAATTTTAGGTCAAGTTTTGTGTTAACCAACTGATAAAAACTAAAAGACCTCATCATTATTTACTGCTTTTTTGGCCTCATGCATGAATTGTCATACTGTCATTAGCAGCTCCTAATGGACATGCTTTATGATTTTCAGAAAAAACTGTCTTGGTTGCCATGGTTCTGGTATTGCTTGATGACAGCATCAGCTCGCACTCTATCAGGTAAATTGTCAGAGACCTCTTTTCGCAAGAAGTTAAGTATATTATGATAACTAAAAACGAGATTAGTAAGAGTTGTGCCCCTACAGAGTGAGTGAGTGAGTATGGTTTAACGCCGCTTTTAGCAATATTCCAGCAATATCACGGCGGGGGACACCAGAAATGGGCTTCACACATTGTACCCATGTCGGGAATCGAAACCCGGGTCTTCGGCGTGACGAGCGAACGCTTTAACCACTAGGCTACCCGACCGCCCCTGTGCCCCTACAGAATCTCCATAGGATGCTGAGGAGGTTGGACGCATCAAACCACTGTATAGTGATAGTAAAAAAATAAAAATGTTGCGATGCACATTGAGATTCTGCTCTTGAATAAGGTTCCCAGCAACTAGTGAGACAACTGATAGGTTCAGGGACACTGTGACTTGGTTGATTGAGTGGAAGCTGCTCATAATATCATTCACTGGTTTGTCTGGTCCACTGTTATATAGATGAGTGGGGATGATTCAGCATTAAACAACAAACTGTTGTGATACTATTGCAATAGTGATACAGCTATTGCACTTCTATTGTGGCAGTTCCTGTAGCAACATGCAACATTGATTCATTTGCATTATCTCCCATGATGACAAAGCTTATCACTATCAGGGATGCAACTTTCTCAGAAAGGCTTACTGGCCTGAATAGGGATATCATAAAAAGACACTTGCTGAAATGTCTGCTAGCCTCAGGATACATTTAACATCAGCTAAGTCTTTAAGTGGCAGTTTGGAGTGATACACATCAGAAAGTGAATTTATGGATGTCAACTTGACCTCCATTCTCTTCTTTATAAAATATTCACACACTAAACATGTCGGCCGAGAGGCAATGTCAGTTGTTTGACAGACAAAGCTTTGAGTTTTTATCACAGGTGGGAAAGTTTAAAAGATTTTTTAATTTAATTTTAATTGATGGTTATTATTGGAAGAAATAATTTATGCAAATTATCTTAAAATGTGAACATGTTGTATCAGCCAAAACACCTATGGTTGGAACAAAAGAGTCCATGCAGATGAAACCACTATATACATCTGTTCTCTCCTATTCATCCTCTTGATCTATGATGACTGGTAGGGATTCTGAATAACATACATCTACTTTTGACTCAGTCCTCTGAATTGTCAAGTTACAAAATTATACTTGGTTATATTAAATTTGATAGTCAAGTCCCTTTAATCGGACATGGTTGGTTGCATATGATTGTGTCGGATTAACGAGTATGTCAGATAAACGAAATTAAGTAGTATCAATGTTTGTGATCGAAAATCGGACAATTAACGTACACGATAGATAAAGATACAAACACGTAATAGAAAAATGAAAAATGATTATCTGATTTTATTGAGATTGAGGTAATCTAAGCAGGTGATTAATCCTGTTTTCTTTATTTAAAGCATTAATTGTTTATTGTTAAGCAAGTTTATCTCTGCAGCCGTTGAAATATGCAACTACCAGCCGACTCGTCTCGCATCAAAACACGAGGCTGTGTACTCACGGGCACATGACCACGGAGTACGCTAATCACTGTGTCGGATTAACAAGACTGATTAATGAGTGATTTCAGTAATTCGTTGCAAATTAGGTGTGTTGGAGTCGGAGTGCGAGACTGTCGGATTAACGGGTATGAATAGCATTGATTTAATCAGTTCCCATCATTTGTGTTGGACAAAGCTGATTGTCGGATTAACAGGAGTTGACTGTATTAACATGCAATTGATTGATCCTGTTAATCATTAATATGTGTTGACATATTTGGGGTTGATGTGTTGAAACAGTGTGACCATAGTGATACAGTCAAATGCCCTGCTCGTAAGGAATGGCAAATATATGCAGCTTCTGCGATGTGGTTTGTATGTCAGTATATGGTGGCAGTGAGATGTATATTCCTATGAATATAAAATGAAATCTGATCTTTCCATCACTACAGTGGCAGACCTGTGTGGAGAGAAGTTGGCCTGGTTTTTCGGCATCACAGCTCCCAAATACCAGTACGCCATTGATGAGTACTACAGGCTCAAGGAGGAGGTACTGTGACATAGAGAACATGGACTTATAGTAAATAGTATCATATTACAGATTGTTTCCTTAGCCATGCTTAGCTAGGGGTTTCCTGATGTGTGAGGATTTCTGTAGCCATGCTTAGCTAGGGGTTTCCTGATGTATGGGGATTCCCTTAGCCATGCTTAAGCAAGGGGTTTCCTGATGTGTCAGGGTTTCTGTAGCCATGCTTGGCTAGGGTTTCCTGATGTATGGGGATTCGCTTAGCCATGCTTAGCTAGGGGTTTCCTGATGTGTGGGGTTTCTGTAGCCATGCTTAGCTAGGGGTTTCCTGATGTGTGGGGTTTCTGTAGCCATGCTCAGCCAAGGGTTTCCTGATGTGTCAGGCTTTCTGTAGCCATGCTTAGCTAGGGATTTCCTGATATGTGGTGGTTTCTGTAGCCATGCTCAGCCAGGGAATTCCTGATCTGTGGGGTTTCTGTAGCCATGCTCAGCCAGGGAATTCCTGATCTGTGGGCTTTCTGTAGCCATGCTCAGCCAGGGAATTCCTGATCTGTGGGGTTTCTGTAGCCATGCTCAGCCAGGGAATTCCTGATGTGTGGGGTTTCTGTAGCCATGCTCAGCCAGGGAATTCCTGATGTGTTGGGTTTCTGTAGCCATGCTCAGCCAGGGAATTCCTGATCTGTGGGGTTTCTGTAGCCATGCTCAGCCAGGGAATTCCTGATGTGTGGGGTTTCTGTAGCCATGCTCAGCCAGGGAATTCCTGATGTGTTGGGTTTCTGTAGCCATGCTCAGCCAGGGAATTCCTGATGTGTGGGGTTTCTGTAGCCATGCTCAGCCAGGGAATTCCTGATCTGTGGGCTTTCTGTAGCCATGCTCAGCCAGGGAATTCCTGATCTGTGGGCTTTCTGTAGCCATGCTTAGCTAGGGGTTTGAAATGAGTTTTTTTGCATTGATTAATAACAGAATGACGTTATATGATAAAGAAATTATTAGCTTTGTAAGCTTCCTTAATGTCATATATTCGGAATGAGAATTGTATTATGCAACTCACTTTCTGCGGACCAGAAATAAATAAGTAAAACAACTCATTTACTGTCAAATTTAAATCTATTATTTAGAATACTTTTAGTAAAATGCCAAAACACAATAAATGACAACAAATCCCTATACCTCTCTCTCCACTCTCTCTCTCCCTTCCCCCCCCCCCCCCCCCCCCCCCCGGCCTACTTATGTAAGGAAATAAAAAAATATATTTGAAATTGGTTTTTTTATGTTCTTTTTTTCCGACCTACTGACATGAATGTTTGGGTCAAAAATCTGTAAAAAATTAAAAAACAAATGTCTGGCCTAACAATGATGTTTCTAATGCAGGAGGACAAGGACAAGGAGATGATGGAGCGTCAGCATGCAGAACTTTCCTCGATCAACATCCAGGTAGTGGAGCAGAGTAAAGTCCCCCAGCAGCCTGCCTCCCAGTCCCCCCTCAAATACTGACCACGGGACAAGCAGAGAACATACAGAAATCCATCCCTTATACCTATTTATTGTACAGTATTACATGAAACTGGAAAATAGGAAGTGAAGATGTACTTGGGGTTCCAAGGTAAACTAATGAGTCCTCGATGTCATAAAAATATTTGAGGGTGTGTGTTTTAAAAAAAATATAATGTAATTACATGTTTAAAATTCATGCAATTATATTAACGATTTTGGTAACATATAGAATTATGCCAATTTGATTGCATTGTGGTACTTGCATGTACCCGGTAAGCAGAACCCTATAAATCCAGGTGGAAGGGAAGCAATAAAACAGCACTATGACAGTTTACAGTGCAGTGTTTCAGGACATAAAATACATTGTGCAACATTTGTATGCACTAGGGTTACATAATGAGGGATTTTATGAACAACACTTTATCTCTTTCTTTTCAATGTTCGTAGACTTTTACTTGGAAGGGTTGAGGCTTTTTAACTTAAGGAGGATTAGTTATTTCAAAAAGTGTTTTCAAGGCATGAACGACAAAATAGTAAAAACAATTTTTACGATCTCTGATTTATTTAACTATTAGTCTTTTAAACTTTCATCTGTCCTTGAAAAAGTGTAGGTAGAACCTCTGACCTCCTGTAAAGAACAGTGTTATTAAGGTAACTAGATACAAGTGTTATGCTCAATACACTGTAGGATCTTAAATCACAAGTCTTAGTGTGGTAACATTATGACATGGTAATGATTTGATGTCACAAGTTCACTGAGTTACAGGACAGTGGCAATGCCTAGTGGCTAATTAGCTGTAGCCCATCAGGCCTTAGACCCAGGTTCGATTCTCCACATGGGTACGAGTGGCCAAGACGTCTGAGGTGCCGCGATTAGCTGTGCAGAGTTGCGTCCCTTGGGCACGCCAGAAACCTATAATTGTGGGTTCGAATCCAGGTTCGCCCCGATTATGTTTCAAGGTTTGTCAGCACCATACCCGTGCTCGTGGGTTTCACCGAAGTGGTAAACGTCTTAGACCTGCATCACTTCGGGCTTTCCTCCCACATTAAGCTGACACACTGTGATATAACTGGAATAATGTTAAAAGCGGCGTGAAACCCAACTCACTCACTCACTCCCCACATGGGTACATCATGTGGGGCCCTGGTGCCCCTGGTGTAATATTGTTGGAAGAGAGGTAAAATCATTCTCACTCATCACGTTACACATGATCTGTAGGTCATGAGTGGAGCTGGTGAATCACATAGCCTGGTTACCTCAACGGTGTCACTCTGTCCCAGGGATCCAAGTGTTACCTGCAAATACATCAATGACAGTTCAATATCTGTAACCATGGTAACATTCCCCTGATTCAGAATAATAATGCATTCCATACGTATATGTTGATGCTCATTTGTCATCCCAAACTGCCTTCCACAGTGAAATTGCAGAACAATGTTTTTCAGACCATTGTGACGTAATCGGTTACCATGACATCTAAAAAAAATACATAACTAATTTCTCTGCCATTGAAGCCGGAGAGCTTTATTTTTTACACTGTATTACTGTCTACGAAATGAAAAAAGTTGGAAAAATGATTTTGGATGCTAAACAGAATCTCACCCTTGTGTCTCTTGATGTCAAATTTATCACCCTCAATAAAAGTTTTAAGCTCTTCAGCAAACATCAGTTTTAGACTTTTAACAACTTCTGTTGATACATTTTGATAAAAAGACACTGGGTAGATTCTTCCTACACATAATCATCAGTGGAATGTTTCCACACACTATATCAAAACATCCAGTGCCACATTTCTCAAAGTGTTTTATTTGGATACCCATTGGCACAGGAGGAAACATTGGGAATATGTCACATAGCAAGACCGTAGGACGTAGACAATGCATGTGCTTATACTGACCATGGAAGCACCTGAATTGTCAGTATCTGATGTCCCAAACTAGTCACATTTTGTTTGGACCTGACTGACGTGCACTCTTCCCTGTCCGAGATGATGTCAGTTGAGTATTAACTACCTTCCTGTACTGACTTTACTAGTTGTGCTTGCTATAGCTCTGAATATTCATATCAATAATCAGAGATCAGAAATTGATTATTAATCAAATATATCTGGAGTGTTTTTCCCATATGAAAGTTATGAGACTTTAATTGTTTTCTTGAGGACAACTGTTACATTGCTTGATAGGCTGGCTTTGCTGTGACTGTGCACCTCACTGACTGAATGATCTTTATGGGGTTTTTTAATTTGTGAGGCAGGCTTTAAACTGCTGTAGCTTTAAGACATATTTGCAATGGATAATCAGTGTAGGTGTGAAGATCAATTGCTTAATCAATTATTAGATCAATCGCTCCACCTTTATAAACCAGTACCGTCAATAACTGCAAATTTGCTGATGCGCATTTTGCACTATTCTATCTCACTACAAAGAAATATTGTAGCTTGTGTGACAATGGACCAGTTGCCGTCCACACCATGGGGGCACATGTCTTGACACCTCAAGCCTTCCTCTGGCTTCGATTATCAGTGCGGGCAACTCAATACATTCCTGAGTGTGCTTTGTGCAGACACCAGACAAATGTTACCACTGTTCTTTTGATACATCAAAAGTTCTTCTTTCTGTTGGAATCTTTGTACAAAGTTGCTTTCTTCATGTTGTGTGAAAGATGAAATACTCATATTGATGTACGACATGTGTAAATCTCAGAACCAAAAATGGTGCAGATCTGTCAGGACTGAAGTTTGTATTGTATTGTAAGATTGTATTTAAAGCAAATTGCGCAATATTCATGAGTTAATAAAACAACTCATATGGTCAAGAGACCCTAAGTTATTCTCAAATCCGTATCAGCCAAGTTTCATATCGGAAAATGTATGTATGTTACTATGCATCTGTTTGTGAACATTTGGTAACCAAAGAAGTAAAAAGTAGAATATATTGAATTATAGTTAACTGTTGTTTGCCTATTAAAATTTATAAGCATGTTTGATGATTGAATTTAATACTACTTGCATTACATTTTATGAATTTATGTTCAAACAAGAAGACAATTTCATTCCTTTGATTTACCATTTGGAAGAAGATCTGGTTAATGATGACTGCTATCATTGTATCTTTAGTGATTGAAAGGACTGATTTAATTTTGACTTGCATTTAATTTTTAAGACTTGGTGAAAAATGTGTTTGGTATTTGAACAGTACATGTATTTGAAATTGCATTAACACTTGCATAATTATATACTGTTTTTTAACTGACAGTATCAGTCGAAATTCCTCTTCAGCATTAAGGGCACTTGGTCAGTGATACACCATACTTTTGGGGGTGGGGGGGTGGGGGGGGGGGGATTACCGTGTGAAATATACCCTGTATGCCTTGACAAATTTTGTGATGAGGTGATGTGAGTGGGTGTGTTAATAATTTGGCAAGTTTGAAAGTGTATATTATCTATGTATTGCTATATTTATTGTATATCTGTGATATTTCATAGGTTTTGATTTCTTTTTTCTGAATGGTGTGGAAGCTGTTTTTCTACTTTTATGATTTCAAAGTATAGTATTTTGTATTTCATGACATTGGCATGTGTCCATCTTAATAAATGGATTGCATGTGTACTGAATAAATTGATATATAAAAATATGATATGCAATGAACTAATTAATGTACACACAATACATTTATAAAAGAATTCAAAGGCAACCAAATTATGAAAAAAAACTATATAATTGAACAAAACTACAATGTTAAAGCTTTAAATAAGTGTTTAAAGTTCAATGAAAAAAACAAAGAAATGACCATTATTGCTGTTTTTTCTTTCTGCAAGTACATAGTATACCCAGATAAAGTAGACTGGATCAAGACGCTCCCTACACACACTGAACATGAACAGACTTTTCTGTGGTACCAACATTGTGACAGTTGTCTCCCCTTGTCTCAGGGCCATAAGAAAATGTCTTCCCATGAGGAGTCCCATCTGCTGAACAAACCATCCATTCAATAACAATTTTTAAAAAATCCAAGATAAATATAAGACTCCTTTTGAAAGTCCAACCTTGGACGAACTTGCATATGCATATTAAGAGGTGCATATTTGTATAAGGCTCATGCATCAAGTTCACTGAGATAAACTCATGGTATCTTAGCACCTTGGGAGCACATGGTATCAGAGACCATATAATAGATTATTGATGGTATGCAATACCTCCTTAAGTGATTGATACTTGAAAATAATTTTATTGTAGTCAAACATGTACAGGTATTTCATTATTTGCTTGTTCAGAAACATGACTCGAATGTTTATATAGCTGTTTATAAGCCCGATGGTGTAGAGAGATGGATCCAGTCTACAGTATAGGCGACTTGTGGTGGGGGTCCTCCCACATCTGCAATTGTGTGTTTCCATTGTCCCATCTTCTTTGTGATGGATGACTGGTGCTTGTGTTTCTGAATTGAAATAAACTTTGAATTCTGCATACACACGTTTTGTTCTGGTTTGATGGATCTTTCTCATAACTTAGTAGTGGAAGAGACCCTATGCCAGTATATGGTCTCTGGTAGTGATATGGAAAAGGGCGAACTTATCTAGGAGTTCAGTTCTGTTTGGTATGGTATTTGGGTTTTAGCGCGACTTGGACCATTTAAGATCTGTTTGCGCCCAACACATCAAATGTCTTTTAACCAGAGCAATGTGAGTAGTGGAAATGAGATGATAACGATAAAGAGAGTTGTCTCCCTTCAGCTTTGTGCTTCAAGCCGAAGTTTCAATGTATATACCCGAGTCCATTTTGCATTTCATTTCATTGGCATGGATGGAATGTTTACTTAATGAATTGATATATACTGAACCACAAAAGAAACATCACCCCCAAGTAGCATTGCATGAAAAGTTGTCATTTAAATGTCTGGGTAATCTTTTTCAAAGTTTCTAAAATTTAACATTATCTTGTCCGGAAAAATGAAATTTGATGATAAAAAACAAAGCGGATGACAATAAAACCGATCGCCCAAACACATCACGGCAACGTCCATGGTAACCCGATGCACGTGAGTTCCGTGCAAATTGAAATGCACATGCGGTCCCCCATTTCTTACCCCAAAAAAATCCACCCAGATCGGATAACATTCATTCGTTATTGAATTGCTACCACATGACAAGATTGACAAGAAATCAGCGACACCAAACCCTTGGACGATTGCAAGCTGGACAAACCGCCCGGCAAGTAGCCAATGCATTTCAAGTCCACGAAAGGACCATATACAGGCTCCAGAAACGGTACCAGACCACCAACACTACTGCTGACTGACCACGTAGTGAAAAACCAAGGGTCACCACCCGACGTCAGGATCGTCACATTGTGCGACAGCATCTTCAAGATCGCTTTGTAACTGCTGCGGAAACTGCTCGACAGACCATGGGGACACATTGGTGCAGACACCGTGCGTCGACAATTTACGAGCAGACACCTCCACTGTCAAAGGCCACACCGAGGACCCATTCTGACTCCACGTCATCACCGACACCGTCTTCAGTGGGCAACACAGCACCAGCATTGGCGCAACCAGCAGTGGAGAAGAGTTCTCTTCTCAGACGAGAGCCGTTACTGTATCTCAACAGTAGATGGCGGCAGAGAGGGTGTCTGGCGACGCCATGGGAAACATTATTCGGATGCTTGTGTTGTTGAGAGAGACTCGTGGGGTGGTCCGAGCAACATGGTGTGGGGTGGAATTGGTCGTGCACAGAGGGCCGGCCCTGTGGTCTTCCAGAACATCGGTCCAGGGAGAGGCAATGGTGTCACAGCAGCTCGGTACATTGATCACATCTTGAGACCACACGCCATACCTCATTTGGGTGGAATATTGCTTCATGCGGCATTAAACAACAAACAAGCTATAATAATCAAAGCTCGTTCAAATGTATTAAGAAAAAAGAAAGAATTACAGTCTTATCAACTAGTGTTAAGATAATTATTTCGCTGAGTAGAAAGTATGTGCTTGATAAAACATAAATAACTCTGATATAGTTGGAATTTAACTGATTATATTTGGTTTGGAGTAACATACTTGTCTCTTGCAGGTTTCATAATCCCGGATATAGATGTATCTCACCCATGCTATTTATTACATTAGATTTTTTAACTTCTGTGAGTATTTTATGATGATGCTATTAATACGATAGTTTTTTTTGGTTTTTTTGTTCTTTTCAAACCAAATATGCTATGTTGTAGACCTCTTTAAGAAATGCTGGTTCCGCCCTTGCTCAAACATGAGAATATACCTAAAGAGAGACTGTGCCTGACGGACCGAAACACTTTTCGAGGGCGTCAACCCCCATCTCTAGGCACCCGGCATACCCTTGTATTTGTGTTGGCATCCATTAAGAACTCTTGAGTCATATCAGTGTACACAGCTGGTACAAGTACATAAGACTGTAATTTCACATTGATTGTATGACGCACGCTCATAAGTTATGGGCTAAATATTTTATTGATTTGTGACTTTTTGAAAGAAAAAAAGACGAAAAATAAATTTCAACACTGAAATGTTGACATTCGCTTACCGGAGAAACATTTCATGACACCCGCTGCACTCCTCGGCTGGCACTGTCAGTTTCAGTTTTGGTCTCGACTTGATAGTGTGTGAAACGCTGCCTATTTGGGTAATCATCAACTGTTAAGTCCTATGTACATCATAAATTCGATTCATGATTTTCCTCTATAGTCTCCCTTTAACACGAGAGACGGCCTGCCATGTTGAAAGGTGCTCGTTTCCTCTGTTGTTCTCATTGGAAAAAATCGCATTGTGACGTCACAGATTTTATGCATTCTGTACAATATACGTTTTCGAGCATTATGGCACTATATAAAGTGACACGTTGTGAAAAAATCGCCTTTTTGTCCCCCTAGTACTGCATGGAATTTGGCACCATTTTGGTAATTTCATATTAAATGGCGAAAGTTGGAATTCCGACCAAAAGTTTATGTTTTTTCGACAACTCCTCTGTCGGATGAATACGGCAAATGTGTTCCAAGATATATTAGAATCTCACTTTAAAGACTGTGGCCGCCATATTGAAAGTATAATTTTGCCCATTACCTAGTTATTTCCGCAGTTTGAAAGTTGATGGGCATTACAGGTACAATTGGTATGTGAAAAATATCTTAATTCAAAATCCTTATTTCTCATATTTATTTTTCTATTTTGCATATTCCTCTTACCCTTGTGTCAAGACAAATATTGCAAAATGCCCCAGAAACATACAGGTGAGCTACAGACCCATAACGGTCTATTTTTCTCTCCAACACTATGCACCAATTTCAGCATCAAATATATATTACATAATTTCTCGAAATTCCATAATGTCTCTACTAGATAACTCCCACCAGCTACATGAACACTGCATATGGCTGCGGACGTGGCTGCGGACGTGCTGGTGTATGGCTGGAGGGAGGGGGTGGACGTGGATGTGGTACTTTAATCAGTACCAGTGTGACAGCGGTATGTATCTAACCTAGCATCTGTGCCCGTGATGGTAAACTCAGCTGGCTTCACCATCACCCGCAGAATCAAGATTTAAGACGCCATGCTCCCTTCCCCACCCTCCACCCCCCATCCCCTGCTCGAGCTCTCGATCCCTACCGGCTTCTCCGGCCCCCACCTCGATATGCAGCGCAGCTGTCCTTGAGCTGGGGCATTACGTCATGTTTCATTAACATCACGAAGAACACCAGTTTCTGGGCAGTCAAGGCTGTCCCCTGTTTTAAAATAACTACATTTTTTAAAACGGACAATTATTCAACACAATACACAACCAGTAAACCCTGACTGCAAATATTTTTAATTAAATTGTATTTTCATCTCAAAATAGTTTATATTGGGGGCAGTCGATCCTTTAGAATATGGATATGTGGCGAATGACGTATTATTTATTGCATATGCATATATAGTGCATTTAGCGTTTCAGTTACTAAGAGTAATTAAGTGTAAATTATTATTTTTAATGTTATGTGAATTATTCATTAAATAGTCTTTCAACTTGCATGAACGATTCATGTGTACTTATAATAGGCAGATCAATAGCTTTTTCTTGAACAAAATCTATATAATTATATATATTTCTTCGCTGCCTCATGTAGAATTTACAAAATGTGGTTATTTTTAACTGACAATAACATCGTTACGTCAAACAAACATCTCGTCCCGTTTCCTCTCTTTAAATAGCCTTATTATTTATTACGTGACACTGCATATTTGTAATCGAATTATCTAAATGTCACATTGACCGATTTGTCAAATTTGTTGTCACTGCACACTAATCAGTTAGTTTATGAACAAGCACCTGTCAAACAGCCACTGTCATATACATATCTCATTATGTGCGCCGAATTTACCATATCAATGGTAACCTCATAATAATATCGTAGCGGTGTGTAGCATAACCTTCTAGGTTTTCATTCTCAATGGAATTGATTGACCGAGTCACCGTATTTGGCCGTGGAAACCATATTTGGTCTCCCCATTTTGCCATACATGGCGCGTGCCCAAAGAGGACACGTTGTTCATATTCATACGCCAATACAAATAATTCATAACTAACATCGACAATCTGATCAAATGTTGCTTAATGTTGTTAATGAACCGAATTGAGCATTTGTAGATGTGCAAAATACGTAATTTGACCAGTATCTGCTATTATTTGGAACTATTTTCTTCCGCGCTCTAATCTGCAGTGCACTGTGGTCTTCTTCCCTTTATGGCGATGCAACAAACAAGGTAGTAAGGAAATTGACAAATTATTCCTTTGCCGACGACCACGATGCAGGTATCTTCGCACACCGACACCCCTATTTCTAGTGGAGGACAGCTGATAACTCCTGTTGGAATTAATGGAAGCCACGCTTCTAACCAGGTAGCGTATGCAAATGCTCAGAAACAGTTAATTTTAGAGAACGTTGATCCGACAAGTTTAGAAGAAGAGGATTCGGATTCCGATGGGGCCGATGGAGCGTTTGTATCTCAAGTTCACCAACAAATGCAACTTACACCCGGTTTACAAAACATGGCACCCGTTCTCGCTGGACCTAAGCCAGGAAAAAAGACGAAAGGCAGGGTGAAAATTAAGATGGAATTCATTGAGAACAAATTGAGGAGATACACAACGTTCAGCAAGCGGAAAACGGGAATCATGAAAAAGGTACATTTTACATATTCTTTTATGCGCAGGATATAAAATGTCAACACTGTGTTGTATGTGATTCATGTTAGCATACGTGTAGATAACGTTTTCATTCATGTGATGCATACAAGGGGCGGTTGTATCTCTATTTTGACAGCTGACTGTACGCTAACAGTAATCCCTTGTAAACACGTGCTATCGTGTTTTCACTCAAGCAGCACGAAATTGTCATTGTTACGTCATTGTTTGTCTAAAGAATAGCTTTGTGACTCCAATTTAATGCAACAAATGAGTGATGACAGTTGATAATCTTTTCAGAGATTCCAACTGAATTTTACTTAATAATGTTGCACATACAGTATGGGTTGTTTCACCGCCCACTCGAATATTTGCAGGGTTTGATCAACTTTGATGGCAACAACGTTTCACACGGTCTTGAATAATACATTGATATATGTATATTTAGAACAATCAGCTGATAACCGTAGAGCACGGCCGTGTCCTTATAGTATGCATTGTAAAATATCATTGATCAGCGTGTTTTAAATAGAACAGGCGACGAGTACCATAAATGGAAAGAGATTTTTTACTATCCAATTATATTCATTCCCATTCATTCCATGTATTGAATTAAATATGAGCACAAAGTGTACCCTTTGAGTTATGCAGTGCACTGAAGTATACAAGTGTAATATTTTGCTCATGTTACTTACTATTGCTACATATAATATTTATGCGGTATATTTTGAATAGATAGCTACAAGTACAACCACCAATACCTTTATTGATGAAATATTGATTTTTTTTTAAGATTTTGTGCATACCGTATTCAACGTAGTAAGCACCAGTAAGCTCTCAAAATTAGAATTAGAGGGCTCTTATTAGAATAATATTTTGGTGAAAACAAAACAGAGTTGAAAGATAAACTTTGTGGTTTATGCTGACTGCCTGAAATGTTTATACGCCAGATATATTTTTCCAGAATTTATAATTGCCCATAATAAAGGGTGCATTATAACACACGGGTGCGAATTAAACGCGAATAAATAAGTCTTGTGTACATTGATCAATCGGAAGGGGTGCTAATTGGGATTGTTCACTGGCCAATATATCAGCAAATATCGCCGTAGACGCTTATTAGAGCGGTGCGCTTATTACGTCGAATGCGATACTTGCATTTACAATTACTATGAAATGCTTGAGCCATTCCTAACAGCTTACTCTTTTCATGCGTGCATTCGTTTTGGATTCTGCTGTAAATAAACTGTTCCTTGGACAGTATTTTTTACATATCAGTCATTGTTGTAGAAATAAAGTGGAACATGTTGAGGGTTGGAAGATTACTACTGACTTGGTAAATAAATGTTAATGTTATAGGTTCAAGAAGTATTACTAGTACTGTTACCAGGAGTAGAAATAAACCTGGAAAGTTTGCTAGCCTGAAAGAAACACCTCAATGGTGTAATTTCTACTGGCTGTCATTATAACTTATATGTTTGGCACCTTGGGTATATAGACATTCATAATCAGGATGGCATGTCACAAAAATAAGTCTGTTTCTTGTTACTATGGTTACCATCTAGGGCTGGGTCGAGTCCAAATTTACAACCCGGGTACCCACCCCACTATTACCCGACCCTACATGGGTGCCCACCCCCCTATTATCCGACCCTGGCCAGGTACGTACTGTAGGTCTCAAGAGATTTGTAGAAAATGTCTGATTGGGAATTTATGACCATGACATGGCAAAATGTATTTAGGTACATGTATCAAACAATCTGGGCATTCATACACTTGAAGTTGACTAACGTTATATCTTTATTCAACGACCCATGAAGATTCCGGGGTAGAATAGGTCTTCAGCAACCCATGCTTGCTGTAAAAGGCGACTATGCTTGTCGTAAAAGGCGACTATGCTTGTCGTAAAAGGCGCCTAACGGGATCGGGTGGTCAGGCTCGCTGACTTGGTTGATGCATGTCATCGATCCCAGTTGCGTGGATCAATGCTCAAAATGTCAATCACTGGATTGTCTGGTCCAGACTCGATTATTTACAGACCGCCGTCATATAGCTTGACTATTGCTGAGTGCGGCGTTAAACAACAAACCAACCAACCAACCAATCTTTATTCAACCATATGAAAAGTCAGAAGGAATTGGTGCATGGTCAGAAAAAAATGAGAACATTAGTGACTTGTAGTGTAACCATACATAGAGCTCTAGAAACTTTTTGTCATTAAACAAAATATCAGGTGACTTACATCAAGGTCCGGGTAGTGTGGCTACCCGGGTCCTACTCAGTACCCACCCAATCCAGGTCCCCGATTTACCCATCCCAGCCCTATTACCATCCACACACATAGAGTTGCTGAAGTAGGGCAGCACTGTTTAACTGTGCATTGTATGTACTCTCTGGCAACTGTAAACCTCTTACAAAAGGAACCAATCAGTCTCGGGTGTAAATACATACACATGCAAGCTGTTGTAAACAGCTTAACATCCTAGACAATAATCATGGTGATATCATCTACGTATTTCCAACCAAACTGACCAATCAAAGCAACCACATGCCAAATAACATAAATATAAAAATAATGTATGTTTTTTTATTTATCTGATCAACCAAAGTTGTATGTCAGCACAAATGTAAATTCATAATATTATCTGATTATAGAAATGTGACATAACTGGTGTAGTATAGAACACCTGTGTAGCAGGGATATACCCACCAACTAGGTGGTTGGTGGGTGGTTCTCCTGTGTGAACATGTTGATGTAAGATGAGTTGCTGGTTAAAAGAATCCACATTAGCATGATTAGGCCACAAGAAATGTATTATTAAATTCATTATTATATTTTCATCAAACTTTTTGAGAAAATATGGGGCTCTTTATGTTTTATAATTATTTCATACTTTAGAACTGTTCAACATGTTCAATTTATCTGTGGACATCAGTGTTTGAAATTATTTTAAAACCCATCAAGACAGTTGGGCAGGTGAACATTGAGTCTTTCCTGCCCATCTTCAAAGTTACCTGCCCACATTCAGGCATAATGAATATTGTAAAATAGCAACGCAACAACTGAGATACAAATCACGTCTAGATTCAATTGAAATAATGCAAAACATAAGAAGTTGTAAGGTTATCTGCCAGACAGTCAGACAGGTGGAGGGAAATTTCATGGTAGGTGGTAGTGAAATTCTTGATAATTTATTATATACACTTTTGTGTCTGCTAGCCTGAATATGGCTCTAAGAATCATTTTCAGTAAGCATGGTAAGGTTTAGCGTTGTTATGTGTAGCCAGAGTACTGGCTAAAGTCATTGACTGGGGCCATATGATTCACACACATAAAACTTCATAAATCCTCATTTGTTGCAGGCTTATGAGTTGTCCACTCTGACGGGGACGCAGGTTATGCTGCTTGTGGCCAGTGAAACTGGTCATGTGTACACCTTTGCCACAAGGAAACTCCAGCCCATGATCACCAGTGAGAGTGGGAAAGCACTCATACAAACCTGCCTCAACTCCCCCGACCCCCCTCCCTTCAGCCCCGGACAACAGCAGGCTGTGGAGCAGAGGATGAACCCCTCTGGCTTTGAGGAGACAGAACTCACATGCACAGTTGGGGAGGAGGACTCAAAGGTAGTGATCACAATGTTATCTGCACCAGAGAACATTCATATGTTCCATAGTAAAATCCAGATACAATAAAAAATATCCTGTTCTCTGCACTAGAGAATGATATGAACCATATCCTATGATCTGTAGTAAAATGAAGATATGATATAAGGCATTTCCTGTTATCTGCACACAAAAATGATATGCAACATGTCCTATAATCGGAAATAAGATGAAGAGGCGATATAAAGTATATCCTGTTTTTGGCACAAGAGAACAATACGAAACATTTATCCTACAGCCCTCAATTTTGCGACTAATTTGGTCACCATAGTGACCTATTTTCGTAGTTTGCAATCAGTATTTTCATGTCAGTCACCAGCTTGCGCCTCGTCATTAACACAAGTTTTGCGACTAAAATAGTTTTCGTCATAAAATTGACAACATGATTGAAAAATAAATATCAGTAAACGAACTTGTCCAGTAAAACCAGCTCCACGCATTGATCGAAGGAAGCGCTTAAAGGTTATTAATCACGGCGCTAGTGTTAAGCGTTCACAATGCTATATGTTGTTTATTTTTGCGCAACATGGTGGGTGGCTGATCATCCGATACAGGGAAAGTTTGTTTTCAAAATTTGCCCAGCTAAAACTAGTATAAGCAACAACAAAGTGCCATGATGGTTTGGATAATGAATCAGGGGATAGGGGGTGAGATTTATGGCAGTATTGTCCCCAGGCCCGGCATGGTAGCCAGGTACGCGGAAGCTATGCACAATATTTTGAAAGTACTGATTTAACTTTGAATGTTTACTACAGTAACCCACACTGTCGAATGAACAGAAGCTGCCTTAACTTCACTGCAAGGTGTCACTCTGAAAAGACATTTGATTACTTTGTCTGAAATACAGAATAGTACCACAAGCACATGCACAAGTTGATTGGGACTTATCAATAGAATTGATTTTGTCCCAGCAAACGTTTGTGTTGTTTTTGGTGAAGTATGACTTAATTTCCTTAACTAATTGTACGGTTGGCTCCCTACATATTTTCTTAGCTCCTTAAAAAAAACACTTGAGCCAAGTGGCTCCCTGGAAAAAATTTTAACATCGAGGCCTGTCCTATGATCTGTAGTAAGACATGATAGCCTCTGCATGTTCAAACATGTTGCTTATAATATCAATCAGTGGATTGTCTGGTCCAGACTTGATAATTACAGGCTGCTGTCATATAGCTGGAATACTGCTGAGTGCTGCATTATGCAACAAATTAAAAAAAACAACACATTTGCAATGAGGAGAAGTTGATTGAAACAAAAAAAATTTCACAATATATGTTTCTGTGTAAATATATGATTTAGATATTACAACTGAAGACAATAGCTGATTTGTTCTACTTCATATTATTTAACCACACCAGTGTAGAGTCTCTTAAATGGCATACAGATGATTTGAAAAATTAACATGTCTAAATATTACCAAATGACACATTAGGCAGTAGCTTGTAGCTTGTAACAAGTTGAATTAATTAGTGTGGAGGTTGTGGCACTGTAAGCATGGTAAGATGTTTGCACCGTAGGGTATGTCAGATGTGGTGCTGGGGTGAAACCCAACACCCGTGTATCTGGTCCGCTGGTGCCCCCTCCCCCTCAAACAGCTGGCCATTGCCAGAGGGTTCAGGGCAGTAATTAACCCCAGTCTGTGTACACAACACAGTACACACTCCAACCCTCAGGAATGTCCTTAGTCAGAATCAATGCAGGAATATTCTGCTGTCCCATTGATCTTTCTTATATAAGTTGTAACAGAAGATCCAAGAATTTAGGAAATGGGTCCAAATTATCCTTTAAGTTGGCCATATGTGTCTTTCTTAAAAGAAGGGATGCTAGATACGTCTTCAGCCTCGCCTGTGCCCCCAGATTTTGATGAAGATGGAAGTGATTTTGTTTTTGTATATCACATGTTTACATTGTGTACTTATCATTATTCCCAACTTTCCTAAATTTACTTTGGTGTAAATATTTAAGTAATATCTATGATGTCCACCAATGAGTTATTAATGTGGTGTTTCTCTATTGAATCAATGCATGACAAAATATAAGCATCCTTTAAAAAAATATAATTAGCTGAATATAATCATGAAAATTAAGGATTAGTAAATAATCTGCCAATAAACTGTGGCTTTATTGTCGTGATAGTGAAGAAGTTGTTTTGCCTTTTGATATAAAAGATAAAAGGGAACCTTGTTTGTTTTTTGGTTCAGAGTTAGTTGCATTCCGCCTGGCAGAGAAAAAGAGACCTACAATAAGACCAGTGCAGTGTTACTGTGCTATCAACATAACTTAATCATTTAAAATAGTAAAATAAAAACCTGTTGAAAATTTGACACCCCCTGCTATTTAATAGGATAAAATTAGAAAAAAAGTTTGAACATACTGAAATAAATAACAGATCTTTGACACATGAAGTCTAGGTCTTTGTTGATTGCCCCCATTCATTATGTAATCATGGTAATTGACTGTATCAAGATTTTTCAAATGCTAACATACAGTTATGCCTTTTTCCATGGCTCTATTGCCATGTTACCATGGTTACTGTTATGACCCTTACAGTCTGAAGTGGGCAGTTAAAGTTCGGAAAAATATTGTCAACCACACCCACTGAGATTATCGTACATAATATTGACTACCATATTGCCTCTGGTAGATGTCCAGGCATACCATTGGCGCAAGCTGTTGACACAGCCTCTATTTTATTTAATGCTGACAAATACATTGTAACGCATTGGCACATGGTCCAGAGACCATGGTTTAGAGAGCGCAGACCACAAATCAGGTGAAGTTAAGTAACATTGGTCGCGGAGAGTAGTTGGATGGATGACTGCATTCGGCGGCTTGGCTGCTGAAAGTATTTAGGACTTTGGTCCTGCCACCCACACAAGTGCATGTGGCGCAAGTGACTCTTTCCTAAATATGCCTCTGTTCACCCAGCGGTTATTGGGTGTCCGAAAGGTTGAGACTGTTAAACTTGTAGCCCCTCAAAGGCGGCTTGGGTTTTATCCTCCCCAGGGAGTTGAGAAGGTCCATTGAGTACACACTGAATACATTGACAGGTGATGTTGTTGTGCTTTTTTAGGGTATTGAATAGGCACGCTATTATTATTATTATTATTATTTCACAAGCTCTGTGTAATATCAGAAAAATAGATACTTACATCATTGTTGCACTGTATACAGAAATCAACAGTCATGCACCAAAATACACCATCTATCATGTATTGCCATGACCAGGGTCATACATATGAAAAACCATCCTCACCCATGCGCAATATTTATACATTTGTAAGTTTTATATACATGATAGTTTTTGTGTTCATTTTGGGATATGTTTTCTGGACACAAAAAAAAGATGACCGAACACACAGTTTGTTCACAGAATGAGAATATTTGCTTTTGTTCAGCACTATTATGTTAGCTCATGATCACAAAATGCTCCCCTCTGAGAAAAGCTGTATCCACACTTAAAATTGTTAATTAATTACACCAAGATGAAACATAAGAATATATTTCTAGAGGTATCGGCATCCAAGAAGACATTTATAAGTAAAGCAAGCAGCATGCTAGCTGGCAAGTAATCCCATGCATAGCACAGTGTGATGGTCCTAGTCGACAGTGGCAGGCAGCTGTCAATGGACCTGTAGCTTCAAGCTTCTATGATTCTATCTGGCTGTGTCTGTACGAGCAGCCCTGCTGGTGTAGAGTTGCCTTATTCAGGGGATGAGTAACCTGGCAACTGACATCAAAGCTCCCCCTCCCCCTGCACCCCTCCCTTCACCCTGTTACATATGGCCTGTCTTGCCTTATATGGTGTGGGCCTGCTACCTAGCTTGCTAGGTAAGAAAGCAGACCCAGATTTTTCTGGGCCATAATTGGCAGCTCACCATGTAGGTAGCTGCTCATTCCTGCTTATCTGTGTGATGATGCATTTCGGGAGGATTTGTTGGAAAGGTTAAGGGTCATTTCGGGGCTAAAGTCTGTTTCAGCCATACAGGACAGATTTACGGTGATGGGAATACCATCAGAGAGCTATAAAGCTGTTTCCATGTATATGGTTTTGTGTTGCTTCATGTCATACAAACAGCACAAACCAAGCTGACATGTTTCTTTTGTCATGGTCTCAATGCGTTGTTCACCGAGTGCATTGTGTGTGATACTATCAATATACCATGTATACTGAGGTATGTGTTTAAAGCAGTATACCGCCGTTTTCTGAAGTACAAATTGCAGTACTTTTGTCTTATACTAACATAAATAAAAATATTTGCTATAATTAGCAACAAGGTAGCACACAAGAGCTGCAAATTTATAAAATCTAAGAAAAGTTACTTTTTGCTCCAGCAGCTGATTAGTATATGAAAACCAGTTGCTAGGGAAGAGTCATCATTTATAAGTTGTATCTGTGGTGACTATAATAATAAAAGTATTAATATCATTTATAAGTTGTTTTTGAATACTGTGTATTCGACGTAATAAGCATAAGCCCAGGGCGCTCTCAAAATTAGAAATGGGGGCTCTTATTAGAATATTATTTTGGTGAAAAAAACAGAGTTGAAAGATAAATTTCGTAGTTTATGCTGACTACCTTAAATTTTCATGTACGACAGATATATTTTTCCAGAATTTAATTGGCCATAATTAAGGTTTTATATAACACACAAGTGCGTATTATACATGAATAAATAAGTCTTGTGTACATTGATCAATCGGTAGGGGTGCTAATTGAGGTTGTTCACTGTGACAGCAAATATCGCCGTGGGAGCTTATTAGAGCAGGGCACTTATTACGTCAAATATGTATGTTTAAACATTAATCATACCTGACAAGAGAACTAATCCTGGTTTAGTCCGACAACAAGTGATTTGTTAAGTTTAGATGCTGAAAATCGGGTCAGGAGTTGGTGAAACGTATTGGATTTTAATCAATCAAATGAAATGCCTTTTGCTTTAAATGTGCACCTGGATTGTTATGGGTTGCAGTATTATCAACTAGTGTTGTGTTTGTCAAGGATTATTTTATATACTGGACAGGTTAAACACATGGGGGACTAAATAGCAATCTGGAAACCAGAATCAAACATATACAAGTATATCATGTATATTGGCAGGTATCACAATACTCACAATTAAAATGCACACATGTCTGGGATTATGTTTTTCACTGTTCTTATAATCTGTGCAATTTACTTTGACAATTCATGACAATTTTTCATTCATATGTTGTCACGTTAATTAACATGTTAGTATTCATGAGACATAACAAAAGGGTATACTAGCCCTTGTTTAATTTTTTCAACAAGTGGAAAATGGTTGGGTGAGTTTATTCTTCAAAAAAAAGTTAGAAATTATTGTCCCACAATACAATGAAGTGATGATGGAGTGATGGAAATGATGATTAATAATTATGTTTACTCTAATTACATAGACATGATGTCACAACTCAAATTTATTACTTGTAACTACCGTATTCGACGTAATAAGCGCCCAGGGCGCTCTCAAAATAAGAAATAGGGGGATCTTATCAGAATGTTATTTTGGTGGAAAAAACAGTTGAAATATAAATTTCGTGGTTTTTGCTGACAGCCTGAAATGTTTATGTACGACAGATATATTTTTCCAGAATTAAATGCCCATAAGTAAGGGTGCATAAAACACACGAGTGCATATTATACGCGAATAAATAAGTCTTGTGTACATTGATCACTCGGAAGGGGTTCTGATTGGGATTGTTCAATAGCCGAGATCTTAGCAAATGTCGTCGTGGGCGCTTATTAGAGCGGGGCGCTTATTACGTCGAATACGGTATGTTTTGTTTGTTGTTTAAAGCTGCACTCAGCAATATTCCAGCTATATGACGGCAGTCTGTGTAAATAATGGACCAGGCAATCCAATGATTGACATCATGAGCACTGATATACGCAATTTGGATCGATGACATGCATCAACCGAGTCAGTGAGCCTGACCACTAATCCTGTTGGTTGCCTCTTACAACAAGCATAGTCACATTTTATGGCAAGCATGTGTTGCTGAAGACTTATTCTGACCCGGATCTTCACGGGTATATACCAGTGTAAAAGTAACGTGTACCCTATTTACATAGAGACAATGTTTCTTACAAGAGAGTAATTACTAACTTAATGGCCTCTTTTCACAAAGCCACCTTAGTGCTGAGACAATTGTAACTCCCATGCTTTAATATTGATAATATGATAGTCAAAGTGCAGAGCTCCAGATAAGCGTGTGGGTATTTTACCCATCCATTTTAAAATCATTGGGTATCAGTAATTCTATCTAGGTATTCAAATTTCTGTTACCCATGTTACCCACTAGTTTTAACACATGTGGGTATTTATTAAGATAAATATTTAAAAACACTATTCATCTAGTCCCTGTAAACTGTTGTCATGTGGGTTCAATAGCTTTATAAGACTCAAAAATGCCGCGATACTTCCACAAGAAAGTATGATGGCAAATGATCATGATGTAACTGTCATCGTGGAGTTTTGCAAGGTTGACGGAATGTCTGTATATAATTTCAAAATAAGTTGCTGATTTGCTAATCGAATACGCAGGGTTACTTTACAATGTTTTGATGATACGCACAAGTTATATTTTTGTAGCGTATCTGTAGTGTTCGTTGCGTATTTTATTTCACTGCGTTTTTCTGCATTTCTGATGCGTATTTTACGCAGATACGCAGCTTATCTGGAGCTCTGAAGTGCTAAGATCACTTTGTAGAACAGGGCCCTAACGTAGATGGGAAATGGACTATTGAGCGTAGTCCCTGTGTAACACCTTGAACATGTTAAATGGAGTGGTAGCTTTTCCAGTACAGACTGTAGTGGCGCTGAGACTTGGGAAGGAGACTACCTGACAGAAATGGCTGTTAGTCTCTATTTGGCTGATTGCCCTTTCCAGGAATCTGTGATGGTTTGACTGGCATCTGGCCAGCAACATACAGGGAAGATGCATTCCCCATCCCCCCAGCCCAATCTTGTCATTAGAGCAAGCACAGCTGTGCTTTGGGACAGTCCATTTATTGAATAGGGGTGGCTTAGACATGATGGGAAAGATTATCTATTGTCAAAACGGTTTAGCAGATCTTGAAATAATGTTTATTTGAAATTGAAGTTGAAAATTAAATTGCCTTAAACCTGTACCCGGAAAGTAAAAAAAAAATCAGTTTTTTTTTTTACAACTTGTTACCCCTCTGTTTGAACTGGAATAATCTTGTGTAAATCATACTGAAGGTAAACTGTGCATTCTCACTATGTAGTTTTGAGTGACTCATTTTAGCAGGAAATTCCACTTTGAAGAAACCTATTTGTAGTGGAATTTAAATAAATGCTAAACATAATTAAGCAATTTGCTTATCTGTTTCCTTGGTTACTTTGGAAGTAAGATTTCCATAAGTATTTTCAGTTTTATTATTTGGTATCATGGATCATAAGATTCTCAATTGATGATGGTAAAGAAAAACCTACGAGAAGTCCTTTGTGAAATAGAATTATGCACATGAACTAGTGAAGTAATTATTTTAAAAATGTCATTATATGACTATGCATACACTACCTGGGAAATGGACCCATGAAGATCTGGGGTAGAAAAGGTCTTCAGCAACCCATGCTTGCCGTAAATGGCGACTATGCTTGTCGTAAGAGGCGACGAACAGGATCTGGTGGTCAGACTCGCTGACTTGGTTGATGCATGTCATCGTATCCCAATTCTTTGGATCGATGCTCATGATGTCAATCACTGGATTGTCTGGTCCAAAATCGATTATGTACAGACCGCCATCATATAGCTGGAATATTGCTGACTGCGGTTTTAAACAACAAACAAACACACAAAACTTGGGAAATGTCCAATAAAACATGCACAGGCAGTATACGGATAAAAGTATATTCTTGGAATAAATTAATCCTTTTATTAAAGATGTCACATAAAATGGGGGTGGGGTGCAGCGAAATATGATACAATCCTACGACTAATCTTTCTTTCTCTATTCCCTCCCCCTCCCCCCAAATATTAATACATGGCCAGTCTCTTAGTGCTACATGTGGTATGTGGAAAAGGATGTTAATATTATGATTAACAGCATAGACCTAGTACTTAACTTCAGTAAGAGAAGCAGGCCACTACAATCAGAGATACCTCGTGATAGGTATGGGTACACCCTTATCAATATATGGGGGTGGGGTGTTTACTTTTGAGTTAAACATGTAGCATGTACACAGAAATCAAACTGAGCATTTTGATGGGTTATTTCTGGGCAAGATATGCGATATTTGCACAGGCCTGCAGTAATAGTCATGAGTGTATGAGTGTTTAATAATACTTCTTGTATTTCTACAGAACATGTCGAAATGCTTGTTGTCGTGGTTATCCTAGTTTATTGCAGATTAATGTTTAGCATTGTAACAATGATACCTCTGACGGTGAGTGTGTCTTTGTATTATTATTTGTGAATACTGCATATCTAATCACATTTTCCCAATAGTTTATCAACACTCATGATATCTTTATATGGTAAGTGATCAGTCCTTTGTGAAGTCAACATTATGGGATTTGTCGATTTCCAGGCATTTAATACTCTAATAAACAAAGAAATCTGAAAATACACACTGGATTATTGGACATTGTAAGGCTATCGGTAAATTTCTGCAGCACTCTCTTCGACATGTATCCTAACAGCTGTGAGAAAGACATGATACCTCTCCCGTATTGTGAGTGAGTGAGTGAGTATGGTTTTACGCCGCTTTTAGCAATATTCCAGCAATATCACGGCGGGGGACACCAGAAATGGGCTTCACACATTGTACCCATGTCGGGAATCGAACCCAGGTCTTCGGCGTGACGAGCGAACGCTTTAACCACTAGGCTACCCGACCGCCCTCTCCCGTATTGTGCCTTCTAACAGTGGATATTGTGATACAACAATCACACTGCCTGATGAACAGAATGCAGAAAAATATGACTGAGCTAGATTTTCGGATATAACTATTGTGATGCTGAACACTGGGAAAACAATTTCATGAAATTATTCCCATCACTTCAAAACCAATTTATGTTTCTCAACCAGTATATTTGCAACACAATCTAATTTCTTTTTCAGCTGATTAATCACTGTAGATAATCACTATCTATAATTGTGTTAAGGGTGAAGGGGTACCTTAATGGTTCAAGCATGGCTTGTAGTACTTTAGAACATGGATTGACGCCGCACATGGGTACAATGTATGAGGCCCAACTCTGCAGTTATCATGGTTATAGAGTCCTCTGTCCTGATATGTCAAAAGCAGTGTAAAACCTAGTGTCTCCCAGAACCTGGAGCATATATTTAAAAAAAGGAGTCCAACTCAAGTCTAGAATGATATTTTACTTTTTATTTTGTATATTTAAATTAGGTAACTTTATTTGAAGGACTAATGGTCTGTCAATGTAAAACCCTATTCACTGTAAGCCTTGTTTGTTCCTCCAGGCCGGCATCCAGGTGATCCAGGAAGGTCTGACTAAGCAGCCCATGTACCAGGTCTCCTCCGGTATGGTCCAAGCTGACCAGTCCACCTACCAGACCACCCAGCCCACTGCCGTGTCCTCTCAGTCAGTACAGTTAGGCACAACACAACCCACGGTCACAAGTTTTGTCCAGCAGGCCAACACTGGACACACTGTCACAGTGTCACATGCACCACCCTCATCGAAAGCAGCCACAGCAACTGCAGCAACCAACATCTCCATGCAGATTCCTGCTGGACTTATCCTCCCTGGTGAGTTGCTAGAGTTGCCTCCCTTATGTGCCTAGATCTGCTTCTTTTTGGTTGGATAGGCCTTGCAGGAAGTTACCTGTTTTTGAGACGAGGGGACTTAAAGTATTAATTAGGTTGGGTGGGGGAGGGGAATGACCACAGGGGTCCAATTCTAGGACGTGTGGCACATTTAACTCCATATCATGTGATTGTTTACCTTCTAGCGCCTAACAGGCAGCTTGGGTTGTATACTCCCCTGGGAGCTGAGAATGATTCTTGAGTGCACACTGATCCAGTGACCGGGGTAATAATAGCACTATGAGTATGCCCTGTGTGGTGTGGAAATATGTGCAATATAAATGGCCTATTATTAGTAGTATTAGTATTAGTAGTATTATTTGGTTTGAATAAAATGAAGCCCTGGCTCATGGTCAACTGAACCTCCTAATGTTGAGTGTATTTCTTATGAAACTAGAACACTCAGTTATGTATAATTGCACTTCACCGGATTGTATATCACCATGTTATGTGTTAAAGGTACCCCCATCACTATTCCTATACAGCAGGGACATCAGGCTGTTGTAACAACACAGCAACAACAGCAACAACATCAGCAGACAGTGTATAGGATACCCTCAAGTCAGCTCGTCTCGGTTGCAGGTATGTGCAAGAAATTAGATGCAGACCGCCCCTTTAAGACACAGCTTGACTTCATATAAGTTGCTTGTCTCTATATAACCCTGTGGGGTTCCAGGTTAGAATAGGTCCCAGCAACCTATGCCGGTTGTACGAGATGACCTAATGGATCGGGTGGTCAGGTTTGGTGACTGGGTTGATTGTGTGTCATCACTCCCTGATGACTTAGTTATATAATCACTGGATTGTTTGGTGCTGACTACAGACTACATATTGCTTGAATATTGCTGAGTGTGACGTTAAATAACAAACAATGATAGCTTTGATGGCATCAGAATCAATACAGGTATTTTTCTTTGAAAACAAATTTCAGGCTAGTTTAATAAAAATTAAGATAAGTTAAGGTGAGACTTTATTATTAATTTATATAGCACAGTTGATTAGCACTGAAATATGAAAATAAGAAATTTATGACATTAAAATATGTGTCCAATTTATATTAACACATCAAGGTGAACATCATTATCTATTGTTATTGTAAATTGTTTCAGGATTTTTTGGTCAAAACTCATGAAAGCAGAGTAAATCAAAATCACAAACATTTTATGAAACAATAAAACTGTCAAACAGTACAATAAAATATAATATTTTTTATATTTCATTTTTTGGGCCAAGCTCATTCATAGATTAAGAAAAGAATTGGTAATGCCAAATTGATATACTCCTAAAGATTAGCTACATTAACTATTGCAATTTGTGGGGAAACAGCTACTACTGAGGAAGCATTGAACCCTGCATGGTGCATCCATGATTGCAGACAAGTGGTTATTTATCAGTAGTTGTATGATGTCATTGAGCTGAAAATATGACTATCTTCTGAAGCGTGTAAACATGGACATGTTTTTTAATGTTGCAGGTAGTCAGTTAAATACAAGTAGCAGTGACACATCTCAATCACCTGTTTCATCAGCATCAACCACTCCCTCCAACATCACCATGGTATCGGGTAAGTATTGAAACTGTAAATCTGAAACAAACACAGCTTCTACAACACAGTTCTGTCTGATTAATCTTTATCTTGTCAATGTGAAACAGGGGGCGGTCGGGTAGCCTTGTGGTTAAAGCGTTCGCCCGTCACGCCGAAGACCCAGGTTCGATTCCTGACATGGGTACAATGTGTGAAGCCCATTTCGGTGTCCCCCGCCATGATATTGCTGGAATATTGCTAAAAGCGGCCGTCTGAACACTTTTTTAATTCCTGCTATTGATGAAATTTCTTTGAATGTGTTATTCCATGTATACACTGGTACAGATGGCATATGAATGTGTTATTCCATGTATAGATGGCATATGAATGTGTTATTCCATGTATAGATGGCATATGAATGTGTTATTCCATGTATAGATGACATATGAATGTGTTATTCCATGTATAGTTGACATATGAATGTGTTATTCCATGTATAGATGGCATATGAATGTGTTATTCCATGTATAGATGACATATGAATGTGTTATTCCATGTATAGATGACATATGAATGTGTTATTCCATGTATAGATGACATATGAATGTGTTATTCCATGTAACGATTGATGATATAGATAACTTACATGCTTTTCCACCTGTAGATGACATCTGAGTGTTTTATTACATCCATAGACTATGTATGAATGTGACTACTTGTGAATACTTAATTCCACTTAAAGATTCCCTATGTGATATTTCCCCTATAGATGACTATTGAATGTTATATTCCACATACATCATGATACATGTAAATGACTTATGGATTTAATCAATTCCCTATCTGCAACTACTTTGTAGCAGATGGACTTCTTCCAGGATCAGCATCAATGAGCGGCAACGCAATGACCCCCGGGATTGTGATGTACCAAACACCCCAGGGTGTGGTGTATGCCACTCCCACTGCCACGTTACAGGACCGGGGGACCATCTTCAACTTCCAGCAGCCTGCAACAGCCATCTCCATGCAGCAACAGGACCAGCAAGGCACGTAGAACTCACCCCATGGGTAGAATCAAGGGTTGAAAAACACATCACGCTATTGACTCTTGCCAACTTTGAAGAGTCAAAATTATTATGGAAATAAGAATTGTTAAAATTTAAGAAAATCTGTGCTCTTTACCATTCTTAGTGCCATTGAGACACGGTGGGATATTTCCATCTAATTTAAGAAAAGGGAATAATTTTTTTTATTTATTTCCATATTTTCAGGTACAGGCAAGCAGCAAATGTTACATTATCGTTGAAGTACGCATACTATAATTGACTTAGCATAAACAAAAACATTTATTATGCAGTATTACATACTGCTGAAATTGTCATGGAAAACTATACAAGCTAGCCGTGTATATATATAGATACATACTGAATTCATGACGCGACGTTAAAGCCCCACCCTGACTATAAATAGCCTGCAAGGTGGCGGTGTTTCAGTTTCGAACAATGACTTTTTTGAAAACCATACGGGAACAAGATCACCATTGACCGTTAAACTTCGTATCAACTTGAATGACAAACCATGGATACAACAAATGGCTCCATATCAAGATATAAGTCAATAAATTTTCTGTAGTTTTATCCTAAAAAATCGAATCGATCGTGTTTGTCGTCTGCATCGATCACAGTGGGCGGAGCTTATTTACGTTTGCGCTATAAATAGCAAAGCACATGGTCATGTGTACATGTGGCACATTTAATGCATTTGTGGTCAAAGTGTATTGTGTTGTATATTTTTACGGCAGAACAGCAGCAGAACATCAGTTTAAAACTTACGTCCTTGTTGTCAAACGGCCCAAGTGGGTGGGTGTTTACATGACGTCACCCGTTTACGCAATAACCAATGAAATGTGTGTGTTATCATCACGTCATATTGACCTGTCAGATCACTCGTATAAGCTCCGCCCACTAGAGTGCGGTAGGTCCTACCGCAGATGGGGCTTTAAACCCCATTTCACCTCACCTCACCTCACTGAATTCATAAAACGGTACATATAAAATGATAGTTAATAAGAATATCACAATATACAACAAGTATAGGTTTTGATATGCATTGGAAACTTAATGGATCGTAAACACAAGTTTTTCTCAACTTTAAAGATAAGGTACATTCAGGTACATTCAGCAAATTACTTTCTTTAAACAGTGTAGAGATGACCAGAAGGAAAAGAACTTTTATTTTTCTCCACTCGAAAAATAAATAAATTTAGTAAGGTCATAAGAAAAGTAAAGGGAATAATGTAAAAGTTGTGAGACTAGTTTTGGGTCAAGTGGCCAACAGTCTGTGTCACACCCTGGTTAATGCACCACATGAGGAAATGTAGATATTAAGTAATATTGCTTTGCTTTAGCCCTGACCCAGGTTAGAACTGGTCTTCAGCAACTCATGCTGGTTGTAAGAGGCGACTAACAAAATATGACATATCAGCGACATAGAAATTTCGATTATTTGATTATTTACGGATCACCATCATTAGCTGGAATATTGCAGATTGCAGCATTTAACAACAGACAATCAATCAACACTTTGCGTTAAAGAACAAGCTGTGCGTTAGTTGCGATGATATGTCCTCAATGGGATCCCAAACTACCATGAACTGGAGCTATTCATGTGACAAAGCACGGAAGAAAAAACCAAAGACAAACACATTTTTTTCTTGACTCTCTATGCTCTGCTGATTTCTTCTTTGGATCAAAGTATAGCCGGGTTATATAAATTTGCATTGATTTTTAAGGTTTCTACAAGGGGGTCTCATTATAGGCTAGATTGTATTATAGATGCCATTAAGACCGCGATATATGATACACCTTATTGGACTTACTGTTATAGTGATTTCTATCTGTGTGATTTATATATTTCTATTCTGTTTGTGTTCCAGTTGGTAGTGGAACCCAGCAGATCATTACAATTCCAGTCCCCGTGTCACTGGCAAATTCAGGACAGGTACGTAGATCTTTTTTTGAGAAATAAATAGAGTTTTATTATCTCTTTTCATCATTATTTTTAATTAGGTGTCAGTGAAGATTTTTCATTGTCACAAACTACACTGAAAGCTTGCTAGTCTAGAAACGCCACCTTCTACTAGATTACTACATATCAGAAACGTCAGTGTGTTTATACAGGAACATTACCCTGTACCCATGGTTTATTTATCCTTGCGCTGATTCCTGGTTATAATTAATCCCCAGCATCTTATACTGGTTGTATGAAGCGACCAAATGGATCGCCTGGTCAGGCTTGATCAATCGGACCCTGACAACATGGATCAATGTTCACAATTATCAATCACTGGATCGTCTGGTCAAGACTTGATTATTTAGCATCCACCGTCATGTAGCTAGAATATTGCTGGAATAAGTGTGGCAATAAACAACAAACAGACTACATGTTAATCTGAACAATTTCATTGGGTAGATACCATCCTGATTAAAGCGGTGTCACTGTATTCTGGTACATTGATCACATTACTATGTGTTTGCTTCCAGGTGTTCCACCTTGCAACAGCTCACCAAGAGACAGTGGAGGTGGCGCCCCCTCCTGTGAAGAAAACTCGAAAATGAAGTCTCGGAAGCCTCAGTGTCTTGTGTTTGGAACCCTTGTGAGGAAGATGAGCCATGCAGTGACAGATGTTTAACACATGTCGTCACCCTTTGTTACGTGGGAATGGGGACGGACAATAATGTGCAATGGTTTCTGATGGTGCCTGGTTAGGTATGGCCTTTTGCCCGGTGATAGCCATGCCTGCCTCTGTAACCATGGTAACATCCAAATGGACCAGGATTGTTGTTTATACAGGATCATCCGGGATTGGCATTTTCCAAAGGTTTCATATCTACCTAGGTGGTTCAGACCCAAAGGTACACAGCCTACATGAAAGAAATCATGAAAAATTCAATGGCGAAAATGTGTGATGTTGCATTTGAATCTAAATTTGTGGTGTATGTTTCATGAACTTACAGGAATTCTGTTCAGTATGGGATGTATCAATGGTCAGTCCTTTTGAGACAGTTGACCTCAAAGGCAACCCTGGATGGATTGGTCAGTTTTATGTTGAATGATTTTATTGAGCCATCACAGCATTCAGTGCATGAGTCCACTTAGAGTTGTCTCCCCTTTACTACTAGACAAGGTCATGTGTGAAGCGGAGCCCCCCTGGTCTGTGTGTGGATATGTTTATACCCCTATCGGGATAGTGCTTTCAATGCTTGCCAAAATACATATTGTTATTTGTCAAGTTTGTACTAACTATGAACATTGTTATGTGATTTGCATGATGAAATTAAAAACATCATGAATTAGTGCAACGTGCCATTGAACATTGTTGAGGTGCTGGCCAAAAAAGTAAATTTGATTGTCATTTTTCCATTCTTACACTTTCACAGAATGTAACATGAATTAAAGTTAATCATGATTATGAGGATGAACATTATGTCCTAGGTCACACCTCAGTGTCTCTGGCTGTTTGATGCTTTTGTGGATTTCTTCCCTTTTAACAGGTATAGACTATGCTATCTAAAATGGGTTCAACCACTCAAATGAACCACTAAACCTGAAACGAAAGTGTATTGGGAGTTGTAAACTTTATTATGGTGATGTATTATGATGTATAAAATTATGGTTATGATACCAAATCAATTTTGCCATTTTGGAACTTGGAGAAGAAAAATTTGTGTGCTTTTTGTTACATTGCACCTTCTTAGCCAGCAAATCTTTAAGTTTGAATTAAGGATGACATCTGCTGAGAAAGAATCTCAGTGCTTAGCCTTATTCCTCAGTGAATTCATCGAGGATTCCTACTAGCGCTTCATGCATACACACTTATTGATTTACATATTTACTCACACCTTAAACATGTTAAATATGAAATATTTTTTCCATTTATTGAGTATTTTGTAAAGTGGTAAAATTTGTTAGTGATTGTCCCGTTCTAAATTTGTCACCACCTTGACAAAGGTGAACGATGTTTTGTTGGTGTGCTGTAGAGTGCATTGGATATTGTCATGGAAATTATCTCTGAACAAAATCACTGGCACTTGACATCCAAATTTGAAAATATCATGATCATTATTTTTCAACATTACGTTTCAACTTGAAAGGCCTGTACTGTCTTGTTGTCCAGTGCCACGGAAATCAGTGTTGTAAGGCGTTGTCTTGATGACAGTACAGTGATGTAATATATAAGTGCCTCTACTGACCTGTTCCTTATAGTGAAGGTATGTGTCAGCTTATCACTATTTTAGCTCTATGCACGTTTTCACAATTTGTCTGTGAGATTGCTTATTTAGATGAGTCATGAGTAGATGCATGCACTCTCAAAATACAGTTTTAAAATACCTCTGAATTTATGAAAATACAGCTTTAAAAAAATCCACATTTTTAACATGTTTAACAAAATAAGGATTTTTGTCCCCAATTTGCCTGTCAGAGACAATTAATTTGAAATCCTTGATAAATCCTGGTACTGTATTCGACGTAATAAGCGCCCACGGCGATATTTGCTAATATATTGGCTAGTGAACAATCCCAATTAGCACCCCTTCTGATGATTCAGTGTACACAAGACTTATTTATTTGTGTATAATATGTGTGTTATATGCATCCTTAATTATGGGAAATTAAATTCTGGAAAAACATATCTGTCGTATATTTACATTTCAGGCTGTCAGCATAGACCACGAAATTTACAATCTTTCAATTGTTTTTCACCAAAATAATATTCTAATAAGAGCCCCCTATTTCTAATTTTGAGAGCGCCCTGGGCGCTTATTATGTCGAGTACGGTATATTATGCAAAAAGTGTATTGAACTACTTCACAAGATTTACCTTACAATACAGCAGATGAAGTGTTTAAGTCTCTAGCAGTGCTTAGCCTTAAAGAAAAACTGACAGTTAAACAAGACATCTTGATACTGCTTCACGAAAAAGTCACTTTCTTATTCCTATATCAGACATTCACACCAATAAAAATGGACAAATTTCTAAAAGTCAATTGTCTTGAGAACCAATTGGTTGATTGCTGGAAGCATTATATTTTTTATTGCCTGCCTATTGAATGGCTTTGGTAAATTCTTTGTTTGTTCCACACATGATGTGTGATCGGTTTTACCCTTTTGTTTAATATTTTATTTAATATTTTATTTCACTTCAACATAGATAATATGTTACATTGAAAGATGATTCTAGTAATGCATAAGATATGATATTTAGACAATGGTAAAAGGTGCTGAAATCTGACAAATGTCCTGAGATTCCTACCTGCTCATACACTACTTATCCCATGGCTTTCAGTATTGCTCGTAGAACAGATTGACCTTCAGTCCATCCTTTATCTTGATGATAGTCTTGAAATATATATTTTTGCTGTGTTTATGTTTTTAATGTAGATATATCTGAAGTATCTATCACACCACAAGGGCTGTTGTGGGGCTCTTTCTGTCTGTAATCTTGAGAACTTTACACACAGATTAACAATAATTTATCACAGGATGTTAAGTTAAGCATGATTTCTGCTCATGGCTCCGTTGATCATATTCCAGAAATCATTACAGAAGCAGAGAAACACGATATAGGTTATTACTATGTGATGGTGATGTGTCCAGGTGTTTGATATGCTTCCAACAACATCACGACATCCACATCATGACATAATATATTTAATTCAGTTTGCAGTGTCCAAATGCATGAACTCAGATAAGTAGAGCCAGTGCAAGAGAAATAATTGTTAGCTATTCCCTTTCCTCAAGAATCCATGGGACGGTGGGGTAGCCTAGTGGTTAAAGCGTTCATTCGTCACACCTAAGACCAGGGTTTGATTCCTGGCAAGAGTACAGTGTGTGAAGCCCATTTCTGGTGTCCCTGCCGTGATATTGCTGAAATATTGCTAAAAGCAGCGTAAAACCATACTCACTCCAGAAGCCATGAGGATGATGTAAAAAAACGTAACACTTTGAAGAATGTAGTATTATACAAGACCGTGAGGTATTGGCGATGGTTATTAAGTATCTCATTTTCAATTCTCTGTCATTCCTACCAGAAATTTGCATACAAAACTAAAGACTTATGTATGAATTTGGGTGTGAGTTGGACCTTGATAGACCTTTTAGTGATCCAAGCTTGTCCTTAATTCTTCATCTGCTACTGCTACTACGTCCCTCCTGATAAAGTGATTTGGTTGGACTGTCTGGGCCACAGGAATTGTCACAATAATATATGGCCCAAACAGGTTCGAAATTAGGAATGAAAGTCAAGGGGTCCTTGTTATGCTCCCTATGTTAACAGTTTAACACTAAGGAGGTCCCTGTACACAAATCTAGAAAACTGCAAGGACCTCATGATCCCCTTTGTTTAAAACACTACCATACATGCCGCTTACACAACAACATCCATTATCAGATATGTACTGTATATCTGATATAGAATCCATATTTGATCTGTACTTAATGGGACAAGAAAGTGGTATTCATATGAATAACATCTATTGAGGCCAGGGATTGGTTGTCAGTTGTGTATTATCACTTATAATATATAGCGCACTGAAACAGTAGGTGGAGTTATTCGTTAAATTTTCATGTGGGAGAAACCAATGTATTTCCTTTTAAAGTCAGTGTAGATATATTTAGGGTTATTTAACCAAACATGAGTTGCATCCAATCCTATGGTGATGACAGGTTGCATTTGTATATGTTAATGTCAAGGCTGAAATTAATTTATTTGGATACTAATTTAGTAACATTGTTCATAGCTTTTGTGTTAATATTGTATATTTTACATTACCAAGATTAACAAACAGCATGAAACAGAAAGAACTGTTGTTGACCTAAATGTCCAGTGTTTCACCTTGACCCCCCATTCCTCCCCACCCGACCTTCTATCTTCTGTGTGGAAAATCACCCTTTCCATTGACAGGCCAGACCTTGTGATGTTAAGCATTTTGTTGATAATCAGATTAAATATTGGAAGTATTTATTTATGAAATGTTTGCTATTTATTCTACCAGTGTCTGTCTGTTAATATGTGCTTCACCACCATGTTGTCATGGAAACAGATGCTCTATTTTGTATCTATGGTGGACTGGACCTTCATATTTTTGTACTATTTGCAATGCAATAAAATGTTGAAAACCACTTGCTTCTTATCTTCCATTATATCTCACCTGGACCTTCATATGCCACTGCTCTGCCATCCACATCAAGGGGCGGTGAGGTGGCCAAGTGATTAAAGCTCCTCTGGCCAACTCAGGTTTTATTCCCCACATGGGTACACAGTGTGGAGCCGATTTCTGGTGTCCCCACCGTGTTATTTCTGGAATATCAATTGCTAAAAATGGCGTAAAACCATGCTCGCTCGCTCACTCACTCACTCACTCACTCACATAAATTATTACAAGGGATAAATATGTCCGTGTAAAAACAGACAAGGTTTTTAATAATGTTATTTCTCATTTGTTTTTAAAGAAATCATAGTTGCTTGGAATAATAAAGTGTAGACTAAACAAACCAAATTTATTACCCGGGTACCCGACACCCCTATTACCCGACCCTACCCGGGTACCCACTGAAGGTCTCAAGAGTTTGGAACGAAATGTGTGATTGTGAATAGTTTTACCGCAGCCCTGGCAAAAACTATTTAGATACATATCAAACCTACAGACCATGCGCACACTGAAGTTGACTGAAGCTTTATCTCTACTCACACATATACAAGTCAAAAGGAATGTGCATATCGTCTGAAGGAAGTGCGAAATTTAGCGACTTGAAGTGTAACCACTAAGCTACAGTGAGTTATTGTCATTAAACAATATATCACGTGACTAACCACGGGTCCGGGTTGTCCTGACCCAACTCAGGAACCACCCGACCCGAGTACCCGAGATACCCGTCCCAGCCCTACTGACCACCCATCCAATTTAGCATGATCGATGAGCAATGAAGCCATGAGAACCTTTCCCCCTCACCGAGTCCCCACCAGAATTGCCAAAAGACTTGTTGTTACAACCTTGGTATATTTCAAGGGAAACACTCTGCACGATACAAGATATACCTGGCTAGAAAAGCGTAGTTTTGTACTGCTTCACTCTTTGATATTTTCAAGATGCGCTCAGTATGAGTGAATGTGTTCTTGGGCCAGAAAGATCTGGGTAGAGAATAGGTCTTCAGCAACCCATGCCGTAAGAGGCGACTATGCTTGTCGCAACAGGCGACTATAACGGGTTCGGGTGGTCAGGCTCGCTGACATTGTTAAAGCATGTCATCGTATCCCAATTGCGTGGATCGATGCTTATGATGTCAATCACTGGATTGTCTGGTCCAGGCTCGGTTATTTACAGACGTCTGGAATATTGCGGAGTGCGGCGTTAAACAACAAACAAACAAAACATGACATATAAGTGGAAAAGAACATTTCGATTATTCGATTATTTACAGACCTCTGGAATATTGCTGAGAGCGGCATGAGACAACAAACAAACACACAACCCTACTGAAGACTCATTATGGCACAAGCGTCAATGTTAAAGGCAATAAATATTCACACATTTTACTGACGCTTCCTTCAGTGACGCGGCACCTGCATGAGATTTTTTTATTATTAACAAGTAAACGTCAATGGCTATGAATGACCGCCAAGCGGAGTAGCGTTTGATATACACCCAAAAAGAATATGTTTAAACATAATGTCAACAAACAATTTTTCCTATGCGGAACCTTTGAAGAAACGATTCTTAAAGTAAATATATCAGAAAATATCCAGAGAAGAATTCCATAATATGCCACAACCAAAGGAGCTATCGCAAAAGGCCAAGGGGTTTTGATGCAAGAAGCATGGAGACAATTGTTGGAAGCAGTTCTACTGGCAGGTCCCGAGGATCGATTAAATTTGGCTTTTGAAGACACCCAAAACAAAGTTAAATGAAAATCGTGAATTCAATTTGTCTTTTTAATTTGTTTGTATCTGGAACTGAACAGTCTACATATACGCATATAAAAGTGAAAAGAACCGGGCCACTTGCTAATGACTTATCCCTGATGCCAACATGGGATAAATCCTTGATGAAAGCTCCACCTCAGTGCGTGATATATTATTCACATTCTTCACCACTCGCCCCTTTCCGTAAGCTACTTGTCCCGGCGCAAGTTGACGACGCGCATATGGAGCCGGGAACCAGCTTAGAAACCAGTCTATCGCGAATGTATATCGCTGTGAGGAGCTTGTGGCGAATGATTCAAAGTTCCTCACAGCGAGAGCCCGTTCAGGGAGCTCTCTATATTACCACCGAGAGTGTTACGAAGGTGTCACGCGCTGGGAAGGAGCTTGGATTCAGTCCTTGATCGTACGGTTGCATACGGAAGTAGTCACATGACAGTCAGGCGATCACGCGAGGGAAGGCTGTGATCAGAGGAAGATTTGTTTGCCAAGAAAATGGAATCGAAGCTATTAACTGTTGCTGTTTTGTTTGGAGTCTTGTCCATAGTTCACAGCCAAGGACCACAATGGAAGCCTTGTGGTAAGTATTCTCAATGTCGCGATGTTCAGCGTGAACGGTAGTTGCGAAAATTGTACCTGTGAACTTTTACAGCCCGACATCCGACATCCGCGAATACACATAGCAACTAGGGCTGGGACGAGTCAAAATTTACTTTCCAGTTACCCACCCCCTATTATCCGATTCTACCCATGTGAAAATTCACATCATTTTTTTATTGAATGTCCTTTATTTAAATTAGCTAGAAACGAATTGATACACTCATTATTGTTATTTTGTGAAAGATACTTGTGATGTAAATATTGACTTGATGCTAGTTGGAAATGCAGTTTACCTAATCATGTGAACGAAAGCATTTTTAGGGAATGTACATACATATATAAAGAAAACAAAAAGGTTTGAGTGAGCAGTGTGAACATGTCGAATGTACATACGTTTCTCTATCTCTTTCCTTTCCTTTCTGTCATTTGATTTATTAACTGTAAAAAAGCATACATGTAAATCTATGGGAGAGACCGTTCTAATTTGTGATAACTTGTGCCAAATCCTTTTCATGAGAATAAAATATGTTTAAACAAAACCCGACCCTACCCGAGTACACGCTGTAGGTCCCAAGATATAGGTCCAAATGTCCAATTGGGAATAGTTTGACCGTAGCCCTGGCAAAATGTATTTAAGTGCTCATATATAAAACGACCTGGTCATGCATACACTGAAGTTGACTGAAGTTTTATCTTTATTCAAGCATACAAAGTCAGAAGGGAAATGCAAATATTAGTCACTAATATAGTGTAACCATAGAGTTCCAGGTAATTTGTGAAATTAATCAATATATCACGTGACTAACCGTGGGTCCGGGTAGTCCTGTGTGTACCTGGGTCCTACTCAGTATCCACACAATCCGAGTACCCATGCTATCCGTCCCAGCCCTAATAGCAACGATTCACTCCTTCATCAACTGTTCAAAATGTTGTACTAGAGCCCAATGCTGATTTTTCACCAGCCTTTACAGAATATCGGCCATCGGGGACATGTGGTTATAAGGGCTAAGAAATATTCACAATAACCCCATAGTTACACAACAAAGTCAAAGACTGAAATATGTTTGAATAAAGATAAAGCTTCATCTAGTCTATGGTCTGGAAGGTAATTTAAGGTACCGACGTTTACTACGATATCTGAAAAACTATCGGACCTACTCCAGTCAAAGTTGGTATGAGATTATTAAACAGTCACACATAACTGGATATTACATTTAAAGACAATCGGTGCATGAATAAAAAATCTGTCTATTTAGCTATCACTATATTTCATCAACAACCAGTCCTGTGCGTCACGGGTAGAACGAGCATCATTGAAACAGCCATCTGCATAATGCTAGCCCTGCGTCACAGGGCCATATGACTTGAAAGGGTGCACAGGAATCACGCACACACGAATACGGTGTTAGCGTTGGCCGTCTCAAGTTAATGAATCGAGAAAATAAGATATGTATTTTAGTTCCCATTCATAATCCTTTTAATCCATGAATAAGTAGAATCCAAAATATGAAATATATTGAAGATAAAAGTGCTTTCATAAACTAGCGCTTGCTATGAAATGAGCAGCAACAGGATATTTTTAGTATACAAATATTCCAAACTCAGCATTCCTGGGCTTTTTCAATGACATTGCAGGAAGATATGATACCGGAAAGATCACCGAGAGGAGCTTATACACACTTGATGACCCAGCAAACTCTGTTGCAAGGCAGACGTCACAGGGCTTTGTTTCGTGTTTTGCAACACAATTTTACAAATTAATAAGAAACATCTGTGTATGTGAAGGGGGCATTATGCATTTTGATTGTGAAACATTAGTGGATAGGTCGGATAAAAGGCAAATACATTGTACATGATTTTTGTTATTTATCTTAAAGTTTGATTTGGATCGGAAAGTGATAAAAATATGATGATGTATTTTTGGAAAATCTTCTGGTTCAATCTGTTAAAAACTGCTTGATTAAACTTTGTCAAAGTGATATTTAACCTTTTCATTCTGATGTATTTTTTCTGAATTTTCAATTTTTGAGGTTGGTGGATCCATAATCCAAGCAAAATAAATGAGACAAGTGTCCATGAATCTGCAACAACCTGAACAGAAAAATGTTTGTGTGATCATAATTTTTGGGTGTGAACATTGACAATGCTTGATAAGGACTTTTTATTTTGTCACAATTCTTTATCTACCCTGTAGACATGGTAGAGCTGAGTATCGCCTGGTATCTTGTGATACGATTCGCATCACGATACGCACTGACAATACTACTGGAAGCACGTAACACCACATCAGATAGTAAGAAATGATGACGTCACTAAAGTACAGCTCTAAAACCTCTTTCTGCATGCATTTAGTGATTGTTGTCTCAAAAACAAAAACGTTAACAAAGAAAACCACAGAACAAAACAGTTTTGAATGAAGAGACGGTTATTAAATTTAACAGTTTGTCAGTGCACCTTCAGCTACCATGTCCTGTTCTGCCATGCTCACAGGTGGCGCTATGCTTCTTCTACCATTATGGGAGGTAACTCTATTAGTTCCTGTTCTAAACGTACGGTTCAAGTATCATGTGTACCTGAGTAGCGATGATATCGTTGGTATTGGTGCATCGTTACATCCCTAATATCCTGCATATAGAAAAGACTCATTTCAAACTAGTAGTGGATCATACTTATGTATTCGCTCGTCACTCCGAAGACCCGGGTTCGATTCCCGACATTGGTACACTGTGTGAAGCCCATTTCTGGTTTCCCCCGCCGTGATATTGCTGGAATATTGCTAAAAGCGGTGTAAAACCATACTCACTCGCTCACTCATACTTATGTATGGTAACTAATGTTTTTTGGTGAAAACAAGTAGTCCTATCATGTTTCCTTGTCTTGGTCCTTGTGTATAGCCCTGCTTTAGTGATACGAAATGCTTGTACACAGTTATCTGTTATGTTGCAGACTCTTCCAAGTATGAAGGTGTGGTGGCTACAGTTGGCACTAATGCCACAGTTACTGGCGGTGTAGTGCAACTCGTGAAAGGCACTGGTGTTATTTTTGATGTGTCATTCAAGACAAGTAAGTTTGTACTTTTATCATGCTGATAAACCATGTCTACTGGAAAACAAAACTAATGTTCCATCTTAACTCAATTCTGATTGGGCAATGAACATTTGTGACTGAAAAGGAGTCTCTTACATTTACTGTTTCGTTTGTTTGTTGTTTAACGCTGGACTCAGCAATATTCCAGCTATTTGATGGGGTCCTGTCAATAAAAGTTAGCCCCAGACAATCCATTGATTGATAATGTTAGCAAAGAATACACCCTGTCGGGGTACAATGACACACAATCAACAAGGTCACTGAGTCTGACCTCCTGATCCATTTGGTTGCATCGGTTGCTGGTAACCTCTTTTAACCTGGAATATACACTGGGGACCATAACAGAACCACAGAGGCAGATCGGGAATCCCCACTGGGGACTATACCAGTACCACAGAGGCAGATCGGGAATCCCCACTGGGGACCATAACAGAACCACAGAGGCAGATCGGGAATCCCCACTGGGGACTATACCAGTACCACAGAGGCAGATCGGGAATCCCCACTGGGGACCATAACAGAACCACAGAGGCAGATCGGGAATCCCCACTGGGGACTATACCAGTACCACAGAGGCAGATCGGGAATCCCCACTGGGGACCATAACAGTACCACGGGCAGATTGGGAATCTCCACTGGGGACAATAAAATCACTGCAGAGGCAGATCGGGAATTCCCACTGGGGACAATACCAGTACCACAGAGGCAGATCGGGAATCCCCACTGGGGACCATAACTGTACCACGGGCAGATTGGGAATCTCCACTGGGGACAATAAAATCACTGCAGAGGCAGATCGGGAATTCCCACTGGGGTCAATACCAGTACCACAGAGGCAGATCGGGAATCCCCACTGGGGACCATAACTGTACCACGGGCAGATTGGGAATTCCCACTGGGGACAATAACATCACTGCAGAGGCAGATCGGGAATCCCCACTGGGGACCAGAACAGTACCACAGAGGCAGATCGGGAATCCCCACTGGGGACCATAACAGTACCACGGGCAGATTGGGAATTCCCCCTGGGGACAATACCAGTACCACAGGCAGATCGGGAATCCCCACTGGGGACAATACCAGTACCACAGGCAGATCGGGAATCCCCACTGGGGACCATAACAGTACCACAGGCAGACTGGGAATCCCCACTGGGGACAATACCAGTACTACAGGCAGATCGGGAATCCCCACTGGGGACAATAACAGTACCACAGGCAGACTGGGAATCCCCACTGGGGACAATACCAGTACCACAGGCAGATCGGGAATCCCCACTGAGGACAATAACAGTACCACAGGCAGACTGGGAATCCCACTGGGGACAATAACAGTACCACAGGCAGATCGGGAATCCCCACTGGGGACAATAACAGTACCACAGGCAGATCGGGAATCCCCACTGGGGACAATAACAGTACCACAGGCAGACTGGGAATCCCCACTGGGGACAATAACAGTACCACAGGCAGACTGGGAATCCCCACTGGGGACAATAACAGTACCACAGGCAGACTGGGAATCCCCACTGGGGACAATAACAGTACCACAGGCAGACTGGGAATCCCCACTGGGGACAATAACAGTACCCCAGGCAGACTGGGAATCCCCACTGGGGACAATAACAGTACCACAGGCAGACTGGGAATCCCCACTGGGGACAATAACAGTACCCCAGGCAGATCGGGAATCCCCACTGGGGACAATAACAGTACCACAGGCAGATTGGGAATCCCCACTGGGGACAATACAAGTACCTCATAGGCAGATCGGGAATCCCCACTGGGGACAATAACAGTACCACAGGCAGATTGGGAATCCCCACTGGGGACAATACAAGTACCTCATAGGCAGATCGGGAATCCCCACTGGGGACAATAACAGTACCACAGAGGTAGATTGGGAATCATAGGTATAATAGGTCCCTAGTAACCATGGTAACCTATGCTTGTCATACAAGGTGACTAAATGGGTTGGATGGTGAGGCTTGGTGACTAAATTGATTGCATAACATTGTACCTTGATAGCTTGGTACTTTACTCATAATATCAACCACTGTTTTTTAAGATCGGGTTTCATGTCTGGAATATTTCTTTATTACAAGGTGATGTTGTTAATGTAGACTACATAACCATGCGCCAATAATAGTCATACTTTAGTTTTTACTTATTTCTTGTTTTTTTCTTTTTTAACGCATTTCATCGCACCTGTTATTTCGTTACCATAGTCACTATGAAATATAGTTTGATAAAGTCTTTATTTTGTTGAAGACATTGAAGTCACAAGTGCAACAGCTGTGGTTCACGGAATAATTGCTGGTGTGCCGGTTCCCTTCCCACTGGATAACCCTCAAGCATGTAAAGACTCGGGATTGACCTGCCCCCTAAAAACAGGAACTGGGTACAAATACAAATCTGTGATTCCAGTGAAGTCTTACTACCCAGATGTAAGTACTATTTAGCAAAGAATAGCTCCATGGAATAGCAACATTTATGGAAATAGTCAAATATCATGGTGTACCAAGTCATGTCTGCAGGAACATAGCTTATGTCATAATGGCAGTGTTCGAAACTAAGCATGAAATCCAATAGGGGTCCTTGTCAGAACCACAATGTTAAAAACGTTAATATTTATGGAGTCCCTATATTTGTGTATGCAAATATACCAGTCCTCTTTTCATAGGGATATTTTTATCTTTCCATGATACCAAAAATTGTCTTAAAGTGTCAAAGTGTATATTTAAATATATGTGACATATTTGATTATCTCAATCAAACATTGAGTAGTGTACTAGAGCAGCATCCCTCAAGACTTCACTTAATTTTAATCACTGTAAAGGATTTAGGAATAAGGTTATTTAAATGATTTAGGAATTAAGTTATTGTATCGGGGGAATTTCTGGCACACTGGTCCAAGTGAGCTAATGGTAATGCTTGTCAACATGGCCAGTCACGTCCTTCACCTAGTAATATCACTTCGTGTTGCTTTAACTCAATTACGATTACAGTCAGCATACATTTCTGGTGTACCCCGCCGTGATATTGCTGGAATACTCTGTGAATACATGTACCAGATGAGCTTCAGCGCCATCATATAGTTTTGTTTTTTAAGAACTATTCCCCAAGAAGCAGCTCAGTGAGTGAGTGAGTTGGGTTTAACGCCACTTTTAACAGTATTCCAGTTATATTGCGGCATGTCAGCTTCATGTGGGAGGAAAGCCTGAAGTGATGCAGGTCTTAGACATTTACCACTTCGGTGAAACCCACGAGCACGGGTCTGGTGCTGACAATTGTAGAAACATAATCAGGGCAAACCAGGATTTGAACCCATAATCATAGATTTCCGGCGCACCCAAGGGACGCAACTCTGCACAGCGAATCGCGGCGACTTAGATGACTGGGCAGTTTGTGCCCCCAGAAGCAGCTCAAGGTTGGAGATATTGGTTTTGGCTAAGTTATGCTCTCTAATCTGCAGGTGAGGCTTGTGGTCAAGTGGCAGCTCAATGACGAGAAGGCCAACATCATCTGGTGTGTGGAGATGCCGGCAGAGATCAAGTGATTCAACCAACCTTACAACTTTTCCAGTCTCCACAGGATTGAAGAATGAAAAGACATAAAACCATATTTTTATAAAACATTGTGGGTGTATTTCAGAATCTCTCTTTCTTTTTAAGATCTTTGTCATGTTAAATCTCTACTATGTATGTGAGTACTCTTCTTTTGTTGTACATACATAAATTGAAATCTCTTCATTTATACATGAAACCATTTTAGATAATGTCAGTGGTTTGCAGATGAACATGTCTGTTAGTGGTTGAATCAGTGCTTCTCTCAAAGGCAGGAAAAAGTTTGGCAGCTATCACAAAAGGTTCCAAAAGAAATCAAATCAGCCAAAATATAACTCACAGATTGTACTTTTTCCAGATTGAAGACATTTTGCCAAGAATTTTACAGACACAGTCGTTATCAGCTTGTTAATAATATTATCACTCTCTAAATTGTTAATCATTGTTGCTTATCTACCACGTTTACTCAAATTTGATTAAATTTACAATTATTTTTCTTCAGTTAGTTTCGAATACATTAACAGAAAATGTTAAGTTGTATAACCTCTTGACATGCCATAAAATGTGCTGAGAGTTATCTGCCCTTGTGTACTAAAATTCAAGGTCAGGAGACTCAAGGTGTTGCTGAATGAGACACATATTGGGCAGTGTTGGTACCTGCATTTTGAAGATGCTGTGATAACTTAACAACCTTACAGCTAATTCTTGTCATTGATTTGAGACATTCTAACTCAAGAACACTGTGTGCCAAATGTACAAGACATTTCAAAATGTCAGTATTGAAGTCTGTTGAAAATAGTCACTGCATGTGCAACTGTTCACATTCCTCATATAGAACCATATTTTACGTTGTTGTATATCTATCTATAACTGCATGAAGGTCAAGTGTTTCTCATTTTACAAATTGTAGATTCTGTATAGCTGACCTGAGCGAAAGTCAGTCGGTTATTTGAAATATTTGTCTGAGACAGAATGAGATTGATATGTTATATGCATCTATCTTTTATATGTTGCAAAATACAAGCCCTGTGTCATGCATGGTTAGATTGTAACACTAGCCCGCTATCCAGGGGCTAGTACTAATTTCCAAGTTACCCATTGTTTTAGCATTACAAGGGTATTTATCTTTACCCAGGCTAGTATTAAAAGCTTTTGAGTTTAGTCTAACTATGTATCATGTCGATGTAAAAATTTCTTTATGATTCCTGCTGCCTACTTGAGTATCCATATTAAAATGTGGTTAGATCTGTCCCTTTTTTTTTGTTCAAACTTTGTCATCACTTGCTGTTGGGTGTCTTGATCTGACCAAGTATTTTGTGGGAGTATAAAACTAATAAAATAAGTTCACAAGAGTAAATAATGTCTACATTTGTTATTCACATCTTTTGATGGGTGTTCTCTCATCAAAGCTTGTGGAGCTTGTTGTGACATTGAGGTTTAGGATGCAGATATCTAAGGAGACGTCCACACATTGATGGCCTTATTGTCAGAAGTTTGGTTTGACAGTGTGTCAGAAAACAGTACACAGGGCATTTGGGGCACAGACGTGAACATGGGAATGAGTGAGAAATGTACACTGACACCTTTTTATAAGAATAAACTATTTTCTATTATGAGTATGTGTGTTGTCATTTCTAACTGATCAGGGGTGGAAGAGGTCTTCGGGAACCCATGCCTGCCGTATAAGGCGACTATGATTGTCGTAAGAGGCGACGAACAGGATAGGGAGGTTAAGCTCGTTGACTTGGTTCATGCATGTCATCGTATCCCAATTGCGTGAATCGATGCTCATGATACCAACCTCTTGATTGTCTGGTCCAGACTTGACTGTTTACAGACCGCTGTCATATAGCTGAATGCGGTGTTAAATAACAAACAAACATTTCTAACTTTGTGTAGCGTTCAAAGCATGCTGTTCCCTATGTGTTTCGCCATACACAAAATATGCTGTGTTGTGCCAGCCCACAGGTCACAGGCTGGTGACGTTTGGCAAGCCTGTTGCCAGAGAGGTGAGGTGATGTGAAACAGGGTTTAACATAGTATTCAAGATTATTGCACCTATATAGTGACACAGTATGCTGACTCCAAGCCAGCCAGTGCTTATTTCATCCCCTAATGCTGAGCGCCATACCGGGAAACAACAAGTACCATCTTTTGGTATGACCAGCCATTGATTGAACCACCGACCTTCTGCCCTCTGGGCAGGCACTGTATCTACTGGACCACAGGCAGACGGTGGCAGAGTGAAGTTCGATGGCTGGTGCTAGAATGAGTTTGAGTTTATTGAGCTTCAATTGTGCCCAGTACTGAATCGCTTCATTTGTTGACTTCTGAGGCAAGTAGCGTCTCTGTTATCTTCAAAGGAGTGGACACAGGCAGTATGCGTATGCATTATTAATTACTGGTGACACTCAGTGGAAAGTGGACTTCTTTTATTATATTCAGTGTGTACATCGTGTGGAACAAACTCTTCACCCCGAAGCTGGCCCACAGAACCTGTATGATATCAGCTTCTCGTCAAGCTGACGAACGAACCGACGAACGAACGAATGATCCCATTTTCGCCAGAGCATGCAACTAGACACTGTATTTATCGGCACGATAGTCTCATGGTTAAATATTTCCATTATCCTACAGAAGGCACGGGCTCGACCCCCCCCCCCCCCCCCCCCCCCCCCAACCCCCAACCCATGTGGACAATATTTGAAGCCCATTTGAGGTGTCTCCCGTCGTGATATCGTTGGAATATTGCAAACAGCAGGGTAAATCTCAACTCTTCGTGTTTACTGTATACTGCGTATCAACAGCTGTGTACACACGGAAGGGTTTCACATTCCGTCTGTGATATACACTGAACTTCCTCCAAGTTAGTGAAGATTTATTATTCGAGATTTAGCGCAACTACTTGACTTAGACTGAAAATGGCGGTAGTGCTCCACACAACCGGACATGTCATATTGGCGGGTGATATGCATGTTTTTATATTAAACAATGTCCCATCCAAAGCATATTGCCTGTTAGGAACAGCAGTGAAAAGGGAAAGTGGCAAACCCGGAAGGTGCCGGAAGTGAGTGAATGTTGGTTTATGCAAGACTCTACAATGGAATTTAGAAAATACTCGATTCTCATTGGTCAGTATGAGGTTTCACCACCACCCTATCACTACTCAAGTTAATATTTACAGACAAGTGATGTTGTTCTAAATTAAATTTAGCCCAGTTAAATCATTGAAAACAACAGCAATTATCAAGCTGTCATTCAACCAACCAACCAACCAATCTCATTAATAGCAGATCATTTAGAGATTTGATTTTGGAGAAAGGAAAGGTCAGAGCCCGGTAGTTGAGAACACGGTTATTTTAACGTCAGGGTAACTCCCAACCCACGTTATATTTAACCACAGGGTAGATTATTTAAATACGGGTAAATAATTTTAAAGATCTAACATTTTATGAACATCCTTTAAGACTGTGACGAGACTCCAGAACATGATATACATGATATACAACATAACTAGTTTAAGACTGACTTTGGCTATAACGTTTCACATCTTACATGTGCCTTGAATGATATGTTAAACACATGTGAAATGGATGGTGTATGACTTAAACGAGTTGTGAAATATACTACATGTATTATTTGGAAGTGATAATTCATCATTTCGTCAGTAGTTATATGCTATGATTTTAATAAGCAGTTGTTATAATTTGCCACATTCTGCACTTCAAAATATTGTCAAAAATACTGAAGTTTATTTAACTGGTATTTGTTTAAATTTGATAAATCAAATTTACACAAACACAGTTTGGCCAATTCTGTCACACAGGCACGGAAACAAATATATCCATCACAGCCCATGCAAGTCTATAATGTTTGGCAAGTATCTGAAAATAAAAAAGTCTCTGGGCTTTTTTTAATTATATTTTGATAACTATAATTTAACAACGGGGATATCAGTAAAATATGTTCGTTTGTACGGTGGCCCATACCCGCCCCTGGTGAGATCATTTTTCACTGTATGCCTCTATATTTTATCTGGCGGCCGCCAGATACGTCCACTGGTGAGATCATTTCCCCCTGTAAACCTCTATATTTTAACTCACCAGTGGAAGTATCTGGCGGCCGCCAGATAAAATATAGAGGCATACAGTGAAAAATGATCTCACCAGTGGCGGGTATGGGGGCCACCGTACGTTTGGCCCCACAAGTATTTAGTACCAAGGTCTTGCTTTCTCTGAGGTCCGAGCCAGGGATATAAATAATGGTGCTGTCCTTCCATGGGTCAGTTCCCACTGTTGACTCACACCACTCGGATCTTTCACTGGCGCAGGACATGGGGGAAACTTGGTCAGTTCCTTGGTTCTTAATATTTTGTTTGTTTGTTGCTTAACGTCGCACTCAGCATTATTTCAGCAAAATGACGGCGGTATATAAATAATCGAGTCTGGACCAGACAATCCAGTAATTGACATCATGAGCATCGGTCCATGCAGTTGTGTTAAAAGATGTTAAATCACTGTTAAACAAGGCAAAGAAGACACAATTTATGGAGTGAGTGAGTATAGTTTTACGCCGTTTTAGCAATATTCCAGCAATATCACGGCGGGGGACACCAGAAATGGGCTTCACACATTGTACCCATGTCGGGAATCGAGCCCGGGTCTTCGGCGTGACGAACGAACGCTTTAACCACTAAGCTACCCGACCGCCCCCACAATTAATGGATAAGAACTTCTTTAATACTGTAAGGGCGACATTTCGGTATAGATCCTTATACCGTTGTCTAGCAAGACTGAATGAGGAACATTGTACAGAATATATATAGTAGGTGGAGGATTAACAGTAGAGTATTAACAGTAACAACAATTGCATACATGAGTGTTTGTTTGTTTATTTATTTGTTGTTTAACGTGGCACTCAGCAATATCCCAGCTATATGACGGTGGTCTGGATCAGACAATCCAGTGATTGACATCCAGTGACTGACCTCCCGATCCCATTAGTCGCCTCTTACGACAAGCATGGTCGCCTTTTTCGGCAAGCATGGGTTGCTGAAGTCCTATTCTAACCCGGATCTTCACGGGTCTGTTTCTCATTACCTTGAGCACACACTGTAGTGTGTCAAAATAACAAATAACTACGACAAGTGATAATGTTAACACCAGATCTAGGTTAACGCCTGGTTAAAAAATTCTTATTAACTAATTCTGGCTTTAACATTATAACTTGTCATAGTTATTTCTTATTTGACACACTACAGTGTGTGTCTATTTTATACAGAAATTTGGGTATACAAAATACAGGAAAAATGGAGTAATATGACAAAAAAGGTCAAGGCAACCTTCACGGACATATCTGATGGCAAGAAAACCCATACATTTTATTTAGTACACAGAGCGAATGGTCGGTGGTTCGATCCCCTGGCCGCGTCATACAAAAAGTGACGTCGAAAGATGACACTTGTTGTTACCTCCTATAGGGAATAACTCACGGGCTGGCATGATATGTCAGTGGGCTAGCACCATGAAACCGCATTAGCACACACACGCACGCGCACGCACAAAATATATATAAACTTTTAAACGCGACGTTACACCCTATTTTACATCACCTCATTATGTCAATCGGGTACACGGGTGGCCCAGTCGTCTAAGGCGCCTATGAAACCTATGAAACCTATCGATTCCTGGTTCGCCCCGATTATGTTTCCAGGTTGGTCAGCACCATACCCGTGCTCGTGGGTTTCACCGAAGTGGTAAATGTCTAAGACCTGCATCACTTTGGGCTTTCCCCCTACATTAAGCTGGCACGCCGTGATATAACTGGAATACTGTGAAAAGCGGCGTTAAACCCAACTCACTCACTCATTATGTCAATCAGAACTTTCGACTCCTGTGGTCAGACTTACAGCGTTTGGCAGATTGTACGTGCGCTTCATGTGTGTCGTTTATGCGGGAACAAGTATCTGTTGTGAACCGTGAAATTATATTTGTAAACATTATTTCAATTTGGGAAATCAGGGGACGTATAGATCAGTACTGATATTTCAAACAAAGAAATAGGTTTCAATACCACAAGTAGTCATATACCCCGTTCACATGCACCTCTATACATATGTGTGTATATGTGTATACGTGTGTAGCAATACATACGTGAGTATACTGGTCATGTGAACGCGTTTACTCATGTGTGTATATTTACACCAGGAGCAAATTTGCATCACGTCTGGAGCAGGTGCAAATGTAAATGTAAATTTGCACTGTGTGTATATGTTGCAATGTGAACGTTTATGTCAACGTAAAAGGATGATCTAATTAATAACTTTTCTTTTGCCAACGCCCATCTTCCCGAGGCAAGGGAGTTAACTGACTATAAAACTCCAGTTTTCCCCCTTGCCGAACTAGGCTGGTATTATGGTGTTAAATTTTGGCTGGACTAACGATGCTATGCATAGTTCAATCAAAATCGCGCACCGAAATCGAAATCAGGTTTGTAAACTGTCATGCAAATTTCGGTCGATTGCAGGATTTGTACAGCATGTGCACCAGCAACTCGTTGTCAACAGATATTTTCCAAATCTTTTCAAGTTTTTAATCATGGTGCTCACGTGATTTGATGCATTTCGCGATATAAGACCCGTTTTCTCACACTATAGATCGTGATTGTCGAAGCAAATGCAAGTGATACGAGAGGTGGAATCTGATTGGTCCATAGGAGAGGCATAGAAGGGACTTAACTCGTAACAGCCACTGGTGGCGCTATGATCGAGCCCAGGAATTCCAGCCTATTTCGGCAAGGGTGGAAACCGGACTTTTAAAGTTAGTTAACTCTCTTGCCTCAGGAAGATGGGCCCTCCAGATTCAGGGGCTAAAGGACAGGTCGCCACTGATGGCTCTACGTAGATAACATCACAGGCTAACATAATAAGCTGTTGTTCTCAGTGACGTCCATTATCACTATCACTAGACTTAAAACTCCGCTCCTTGATGAGTGCAACATGCAAACCATGGGCGGATACAGCTTTTTTTAAAAGGGGGGGGTGCACAATTAGGATCTATTTATTGTCTTTGGTGGTAATTTATACACCCCCCCTCTCTCTCTGTATCCACCCATACAAACGCTGGGTCACACTAACACATGCATTTGGGCTCAGGTTGTGGAAGATTAGTACATAGTACTGTGTCGATATTGACGACTCACCCTGTCCTTAGATTGCTGTCCCCTGTCACAATTCCAGCCTATTTCGGCAAGGGTGGAAACCGGACTTTTAAAGTTAGTTAACTCTCTTGCCTAGGGAAGATGGCCAACACCAGCCAAATTGTCAACAGTTGCCAATTTTTATGCGTTTATACAGAGTTGAGCGGACGGTGTTTTCTTTTGGTTTCAAGGAGTCAAACTTTGTGTACAAATTAAATCAAACACATGTTGCTTCACGCGCAAATTTTCGGTGAAGTAACTCTCTTCTCATAATATTTTGATTGGAAAACAACCTGTTTTGTGTTGAAAGTCGTAAACAGACCGCGAACATGTGTGCCTTACACAATTTACATACTTTATTTACACACCTAAGATGCTTTTCATGTGAACGTATAGTAAATTTACATATACGCACGTACACTCTCCAAAAAAGAAACGCACAGGTAGAGTTTTAGTAAATTTATTTTACCTAATAAAGTCGATATATTTAATACAATATCTTAGATACAAATATGATATTTTGGAGCTCGATAGCCACATGTTGTCGTTGAATAAAGGCATTGAAAACTGTTCATTGTCATGTCACATAAGGCCACAAGCTTGCGCTGAACTCAGTTTCTCGTGTGACCGTCCCGGGCAGCAATCACGGCTCTGCATCTCATCGGCACTGACTGGATAAGTGTACGAATTCTGTCCTGAGGAATTCTGCGCCATTTTGCTTGTAACGGGTTGGCCAGTTGTGGGAGTGTCTGCGGCGTGTTTTGACGTTGACGTACTCGTCGATCGAGTACATCACAGAGGTGTTCGATTGGGTTGAGATCTGGAGATCTCTACGGCCAGGGCAAGACACACCATGACACTAACGCCACCGAAATTTTGACAATTGAATGACAAATTATTGGCTTATGCTTGCCTTTTCATAGCAACTGCCACGAGTTACGAATGCCATAACTTGCACGTGCATATTGCTTTACTGTTTTCCTCCATGACATTTTGGAACAAGTGTGAAAACAATGCCGTTTAAGACATTGCAAATCGTTTTGACGCACCGTTTGTCGAATATCAAGCCACCAACATTTTCCAATCACATATATCCAATCTATATCCAGGATGTTTTGTGTATTCGGATTCAATGAACTACATACAACCCGTGCGTTTTCTTTTTTATTAATTATTTTAATAAATACTGACGTCAAACATTCTGGAAAGTCACCAACTTATATCAAGAATCCCCTCACAGCGTGTCCAAATTCTATTACCTTTATTCCCACAGAGATTTGTATACACCACTACCGTAAATACACCGTCAGGCGGACACACACCACATTGTCATTGCTAAGCAACCATGGTACTTGTTAATAAAATGTGATATTCTGAAAATCAAATTATTTTGTTGTACGTCTGCTGCTGGGAAAGTTAATATGGCCACAAATTGTTCAGCGTGTGCATATACACCCAACGTAGGTTAATAAAACCAGTGCTAATTGACACAGGTAGAAAATGAGTAACCACGACATTATTAAAACGATTATATAACAGCTGTTGCCATAGCGTCGAGATCCACAAACCCAGATCACACTCACTGTTTTATTATATAGTCTGTCAGCGCGAGACGCATGTAAAGTTGATTTCCCGCTCCTCCTCTCCAACCTGAAAGGTAAGCCACGTATTGTCGGGGCGCAGGTGTGGCCACGTTGCCTATGGCGTCGCAGGTCTTGCCAGAAAACCCATGCCCATGGGTTTCAAACCCAGATTCGCATTGCCAATATATTTCTGTAGGTTTGTCAGCAAAATACCCCTGCTCGTGGATTTTACCAAATTGTAAAATTCAAACTAGACCTGCATCGACTTGGGATTTCTTCCCACATTAAGCTGACATGCTGTGTTATAACCCAAATATTGTTAAAAGCGACATTAAACCAGATTCACTCACTCATGTAATCCCGTGAAGACCTGGGATGGGGACACTATTGAAGGTTGTGTTTTAATGTTTGTCTGCCTGTCTGACATTTAGAGAAAAAGACATTTTTTTCCAAATTATGTTAAAGGAAGCCATCGACCGGTACCCGAAGACTGCAAGCAACACATGGACTAAATGAATGAACGAGTTTCTGCACACGCCCCACATGTTACATCACCACTACAACGTCTTGATTTGACGTAACTCGTGACATTTGGACTAATATTAGAAAGACCCTGTGATACTTAAGATGGCTCAAATAAGTACGTCTTGTTTTTGCATAAAAAGCAGCGATGAGATTGTACGCTCAATGTGTACCTCTAAACACGACCGAAAGCTATATACACAACCAATTATAAAAAAACATGCATAGTAAGTTACCATTTGCGATGATGCATGTATGGATTTACGTTCTGATATTGCAGATGTTGCGGTGTGTCATTCTCGTTCTTGCGGCGACATCAGCAACGGCCGATATCGTCAAGGACTACAAAGATTGTGGTATGTAAAGAATACTATAGACCCACAGGTTATGCTCTGTCGCGCGATTTCATGGGCTACATACATATTTCGACAGGTGAAATATTGTTTAATAAACAGTGGGGCAAAAGAAACTTTACCTCTCAGTTGATTTTATCCTACGTTTGATTTTCAATTGAAAATATGTTAAGTTACCGATATCATATAAAAACAAAAATAAATGTGCTTAGTCAGCACTAAATTAATACTTAAAGGGGTAGGGCTTTTAGACACCTTATCCTTGACAATCAATAAATGTGATTTTTGTCGGTGCAAATTTACAATATTTGATAGGGGTCATATGCTTGTAATTCATTTCTTTTCCCAGACTTCATTTAAGTTTACGCAAAATTAACCATTTCTTTCAACTTTTAAATACACAACAAAAACAAGCTGTATACTTTCTTTTGCCCCTCAGTTTATAACGTATGTATGGTGAGGGTGATAGGGAAGTATTGGATATATTTATTTTCAGTTACGATTATATTATAAAATAAAACCCGAAAATAAACATTTGTTTGAAAGTGTTCACGGTACACTCGCCGTTAAGTTAAATGATACCGAATTCCACCACTCAAACAAGAAAGGAGCCCCAGCAGGTTAGGTGAAATGGAGTTTCATGTCGCGTTCAACATTAGTGACATATATGGCGACGTGTTTGCATGCATGAGCGCGCGCGTGCGTGCGTGTGTATGCTTGTTTGTTTGTTGTTTAACGCCACACTTAACAATATTCCAGCTATATGACGGCGGCCTGTAAATAATCGAGTCTGAACCAGACAATCCAGTGATTGACATCATGAGCATCGATCCACGCAATTGGGAACGATGACCGTGCATCAACCAAATCAGCGAGCCTGACCACCTGATCCCGTTAGTCGCCTCTTACGACAAGCACAGTCGCCTTTTACGGCAAGCATGGGTTGCGGAAGACCCCGTATCTTCACGGGTAGTGTGTGCTTGTACTAGTCCGGACTAATGCCGGTTTTATATTGCAGTTTAGTATGGATAGCCCACTCACACACAGTATACCGACTTCGATCCGACCAGTTCTTGTTTTATCCCAATAATGCCAGGCAGGGTAACAATAGGTACCATCTTTTAACGATTTACGGTATAACGCGGCCAGGGAAGCGAACCATCGACCTTCCGCTCCCGGGGCAGACGCTCTATCCACTACGCCGCGGCGGCAAGTCCCAGGCAAGTGTACTTGAAGTCGATCAAGTACCACTTTTTAAGTAAATTCAAATTTAACGATGTTCATGAGTATCCTTATTACACACAATGTCTCTGTTTGACGCTTGTCATATAATAGCTGTCTGAACCGAGACCAAGGGTAGAGCCCCCCCCCCCCCCCCCCCCCCCCCACACACTTTGTCTTTTTATGAACTGTCATTAAATATTAACATCTTAAAGTCTTACAGGGTATGTGCCTTGATCTCCGATTGACCTCAACACACCTAAGTCAACCCAACAATTATTGTAAGCAGAGCTCATAACATTTAGCAAGTCATCCACCCTCGTTTTGTACGGATGGATGTCAAAGTTCGTAACATCCTGAATTACACACTGGTCTTGAAATATAGGCCAATGTGTAATTCAGGATGTTTAGACCTTTGACGTCCATTCTGTCCCGCTGTCGCACGAGACTGGACGAGTTCATTGTAACACTTAGGGAAGTCAATATACTACAATCATAGACAATCATAGAACAAAGAATTTATGTCAGTTACTATGAAACATGGTCGGCTATGAATGGTAAGAATTTGGACAATGGTACTTATGAATTATATGGACCTTTTGCGAAATCGGGATCTTGAACGACCCATTACCCATGACCCCTCCCTACCTGTGGTAGATGCACCGATTGGTATGACACTCGTGAGCTCCTATGCTCGTGGCTGAATTGAACTGGCAGGAGGACAAGACAGACAGCTTGTGTGATTTATTCCGTTATATTCATCCAACATGATTCGAATTTTCTTGTTAAGTGTAGCTGTGTATGCGGCTATTGCAGAGGAAGTAAAAGACTTCAAGGATTGTGGTGAGACTGTTTGTATACACGCTATATCGGACTTAGAACGCGATTCGATCGTTGGTAACTCATATCTCCATCTAATACGTTACGAGCAGAGATGTAAAATATGTCATTTCTCTATAATAATTGAATCGTGTTATTTCACACTATAACAGAATGGAGTTTAGCTATCACAAACTTACATAAGCATATATACATTGTAAATAAACATTTCAATCTTAGGGTTTGTTTATTGATAACAAACTCGTTTGGTTAAACCTGCTTCGATTTTGAAGAACATTATTACCCCTGACTAGAAGCGTCATAAATCATTTATTACTTAAGGTTAGGGATGAGCTGCCCGAACCCAGGCAAAAATTGAAGCATGACTTACCTGAGAAAATCTTTCACTGGTTTGTGTATCAATATTTAGTAATAGAGAAATATCTCGTTGATTACCAAAGTAGATGTGGGCGTGTATCAGCGTGACGTCATCATATTATGGTTCACTCGCGTGGTGACCGTATTCCCTCGTCCGTTCGACCTGTGTTCATATCGTTTACGTCGCTATATGGCTGAAATAATGCCGATGCGACGTTAAATTTTAACTCATTCACTCATATCATTTACCATACTCTGGGTGTTTATGTCTTCATGGTTGAATGTTGTGTTTATCGTCGGTTGTGTATGTTGCAAGCTACTGGATGTTAGATGATGATGTACTTTATGATAAAACTCCCAAACCATCTGTCGCATGAAGTGTGCTCCCCGGGAAGCTGACTGTGTGCACTGATTCATTAATATTATTTTGCCGCCATGAACACGCTTCAGGGCATGTATACTGCTCCAAATAAGCATAATGTGTGTGTCTGTTTAAAAAAAAAAGATTTATGTTATTTATGTATTTTGTTACTTATTAATTTATCTTGTTATAAAAGATTTGTTTAAATTTGGTATAATAAATTATCATATTATTATTTCTTTGTTTATGTATTTATTTTATTATTATCATAATAATCATCATCGCATATTTGTCTCAAGGCCAGTGGGCTGTTTCCAATACGGAAAGTCGTTCATCGCGATGATTGTACTATTCGTCAGTTTACATATTCTTGTATTTTCTGTATGTTGCAGGTTCTGTCAGCGGAAAGATCAACACCCTTGACATCACGCCATGTCCCTCCTTCCCTTGCCAGTTCCCCAAGGGCAAGAACGTCACCGTCTCCATCACCATGACAGCGAGTAGTGTGACATTTAATGGATCTGAACGAACCATCCAACTCCCGTCCTTTCATATACACCATTTGTCTCCCTAGAGAATAAATAAAAAAGGAGTCCAACTCAAGTCTAGAATGATTTAGCAAGTCTACATTGCCTCAGCTCTCGGCTGAGTCCGAAATTAAGGATTGTTCTGGGCTCCATTTGGATATTATTATTTTTATATTTTGTAGATATATATTTTTAAATAAGACAACCTATTTTTGGAACGAGATGTCGGTCTTATACAGCATATATAGTGGTCATGTACTTCATCGACATTGGTAAATTCTCCATAATTTACTTGGCATAGTTGCGCCCTTTGGTGCCCGGGGTAGAATAGGTCTTTAGCAACCCATGCTTGCCGTAAAAGGCGACCATGCTTTTCGTAAGAGGCGACTAACGGGATCGGCATCAGTCCGGACTAGTACAAGTAGCCACACAAACACACACACGTACATGCACGTCGCTATATAAGTGCAATAATCTTGGACGCGACATTTAACCCCATTTCACCTCACCATTTAATCTTCACCATTTATTTTGCCTTTTACGCCCAATGGAATCTCGGCAGATAGTTGAGACTGATTATTCTCTGTATTATAATGTCATACCAGGCCCGTTAAGCTGAGTCGTTAATGCACTCAGTACGTTAAAAGCCATTCAAACTCAATTGAGGCATAAGATATACTATAGCGTGTAGAATTATATTTTTAGAAAATCTACTGTTACGTTTTTTGAAATATGAAATAACGCAAGTATACCTCTTTAAAAACACGATTAATTAAAATATGATGTCAATAATAATCTTTTCTTTAGCTTTGAGTTTCTAAAACGGCTACATGTGAACAACATTCCAGTCTTATAGGAACTGTCTCTTGTGTGCACAGATGCCAAGCTGACGGAGGCTAAGACCGTTGTCCATGGCATTATCGACGGCGTCAACACGCCCTTCCCAATCAGCCAGCCGGACGCCTGCCAAGACATGACCTGCCCCGTTAACAGCGGGTCGGAAGTCACATACACAAATTCCATATTCGTTCGGGAGGTCTTTCCTAAGGTAATGTCTTCGGCCATACAGCCCTGTGGGGAATTCAGGTCGGAACATGTCCCCAGTATGTTATGCCTGTCGTTCATGGGGGGTCAGGTGGTGAGGTGACTTGACTGGTTATGTCATCGTTCCCCGACAACGTGGGACGTTGCTTATGCGAAGAGATTAGTTTCACCTCACCTATCCTGGTCATTCTCCGACCGGGGGCACGGGTGGCCCAGTCGTCTCAGGCGCCGCGATTTTCTGTGCAGAGTTGCGTCCCTTGGGCACGCCAGAAACCTATGATTGTAGGTTCGAACCCCGGTTCGCCCCGATTATGTTTCTAGGCACCATGTCAGCACCATACCCGTGCTCGTGGGTTTCACCGAAGTGGTAAACGTCTGAGACATGCGTCACTTCGGGCTTTCTCCCACATTAAGCTGACACGCTGTGATATAACTGGAATACTGTTAAAAGCGGCGTTAAAACCAACTCATTCACTCACTCACCGCTGTGATAATTACAGCTGAAATAGTTTTGGCCTGAAACTACCAAAACATTCACGTGGAATCTATCATTTAAACACTGAAACACACACATAGACCTGCTATACAGAAACAGACACGTTGAAATGGAATGACCCTATCTCACATGATACATTTCACTAAAATCGGTGTGACCTTGTTATTCATTATTGGGGTTGTGTTGTGTTGTGCTCTTGCTGTAGGTTGCCACTGTGATGAGGATCGAGTGGTCAAAATAGCTCCCGGGTATGAATTTGCGAAATGTGACACTCGCAATTGGGCCATCCTTGCCTGAATTGAACCTTCCGCGTGTAAACCATGTGAGGAGCTTATTATTTCTGATCCCCCGCCGTGATATGGAAGCGGTCTAAACATAACTCACTCATTGTGTCAAAGACAACTGTGTACAGCTTCCAGTTGGGTGAACTGATGGTAAAGACCCCAAAATCTTTGTTGAAACGTTGCTATAACACGTTAAAACCTTTTCACTCACTGACCTCTCCACAGTAAAAGGGGCGGTCGGGTAGCCTAGTGGTTAAAGCGTTTCTCGTCACGCCGAATGCCCAGGTTCGATTCCTAACCTGGGTACGATGTGTGAAGCCCATTTCTGTTGCCACCACCGTGATTTTGCTGAAATATTGCTAACAGTGGCGTAAAACCACACTCACTTACTCCCGTGACCCGTGAAGATCCGGGGTAGAATAGGTCTTCAGCAACCCATGCTTGCCGTTATAAGCGACTATGCTTGTCGTAAGAGGCGACTAACGGGATCGGGTGGTCAGGCTCGCTGACTTGGTTGATGCATGTCCTCGTATACCAATTGCGTGCATCGATGCTCATGATGTCAATCACTGGATTGTCTGGTCCAGACAGCCCGCTGTCATACAGCTGAAATATTGCTGCGTGCGGCGTTAAACAAACAAAACTCCACAGTGGAAACAATCACACGACATCAAGTATCATAAATCTACACTATCCATCTGTTGTTGTGAAGGGTTGAAATTCAGACTGCTTCCTATTCCAAGGATGTTGACAGAATGTTATGTGATGTCATTAAGAATATTGAAAATACAATGTAATCGTGACTCTGGAATGCCCTAATGCCATTTGTTGCAAAATCGTTTTTCTTTTAAATCAGCACTCTGACTGGATGCCACGTTTTTCAGATCCGCCTGGTGGTCAAGTGGGAGATTCAAGACCAATCTGGAAAGGACTTCATCTGCTTCGAGGTTCCGGCGGAAATCACCGACTGAGCATGTGCAATATACGTCACGTTTAAGCATGTTGTATTTTTACAGGAATTTGTGTCTGATTCCATTCTTGAAGTGATTGTTAAGTTTGGTTTGTTGTCGAAACACTAAACTGTTACCGCTGTCATGTGTTTTGCGTTGATATTCGACCTAGTTAGAATATTGCCGTTTGATCGTTCGCTTGTAGAGTCGAGGGTTCGATTCCGAAGTATGTATCTGGTGTTCATCGCCTCGACATTGCTGTGATATTGCGACGAGCAAATAATCAATTTGTGGTGACCTTGTAAGTGATGTGTACATGTACAAGACTCCGCAACCCATGCTTGCCGTAAAAGGCGACTATGCTTGTCTTAAGAGGCGACTAACGGGATCGGGTGGTCAGGCTCGCTGACTTGGCTGATGCATGTCATCGTATCCAAATTGCGTGGATCGATGCTCATGATGTCAATCAATGGATTGCCTGGTCCAGTCTCGATTATTTACAGACCGCTGTCATATAGCTTGAATATTGCTGAGTGCGGCGTTGAACAACAAAGAAACAACCTTGTACAAGATGATGATGTGAACAGTACGTTTTGACAGTGTTGTCTTCACAGTATGATTTACGATGGAAGACAACGCTGACACCACGCAAAACCCAAACCGGTGAAGTTTAACTCACCTATAATGACATAGGGATCACCCCCGTGGTCAAGTGGATAGAGCGTCTACCCCAAGATCGGAAGGTCGGCGTTTCGACCCCGGCCATGTCAAACCCTGACTCAAAAACGATGACAAGCCAGGATAAATGCAAGGGCACTGTTTGTATGAGTGAGTGAGTATGGTTTTACGCCGCTTTTAGCAATATTCCAGCAATATCACGGCGGGGGACACCAGAAATGGGCTTCACACATTATACCCATGTCGGGAATCGAACCCGGGTCTTCGGCGTGACGAGCTAACGCTTTAACCACTAGGCTACCCGACCGCCCCCTGTTTGTTTGAGCGACATAAACATTGCCATGATCATATATATATCTTCTAAAAGCAAGCGTCAATTATGATTCATATCATAAGTATGTGATTATTAATTACTATGCATTAGTGATGATACCAGGTGTGCGTATCCTGTCTCCAGAAACACATGCAAAGGCAAGGTAATTCTTCACCTGAACAAACAGGGGAACATGTGGCACAAGTCAAAATAGGGAACTGTATCGGACATAATTTTGATCACCTGATGCGTCAAGTTTGAAAATGTCCTCCACATGACTGCAACAAAACGTTTTCAAACTGTAACACTGTTCAAACATCTTTTTAGCAAGAGTCGTGTAATGCTCTTTGAAGTGTTTGCAGAAAGGGCGCGTGAGTTGGGTTTAACGCATCTTTTAACGGTATTCCAGTTATATCGCGGCGTGTCAGCTTAATGTGGGAGGAAAGCCCAGAGTGATGCAGGTCTCAGACGTTTACCACTTCGTTGAAACCCGCGAGCACGTGTATGGTGCTGACAAACCTAGAAACATAATCGGGGCGAACCGGGATTCGAACCCACAATCATAGGTTTCTGGCATGCCCATGGGACACAACTCTGCACAGCGAATCGCGGCGCCTTAGACGACTGGGCCACCCGTGCCCCCTCAAAAGTCGTGAAATGTAGACACCAAAGGCGGGAGCTGCTGGAATATTGGTTGACATGAAGGGAAGGTTGAAGTCATCCCTTTTTGTGCCGTCTTGTGGTAACTTGTCTTCATGCAATGATCTAAATATGAAACAGACGAGGCAGTTTCCCTGGTCTCTTATTTCTAGTTTTGATGGATGAATTAGTGGAAGGGTTATCCGCTTTTGGACAATTATTGAAAAATATAAGATCATCGCTATACCTGAAGCTTAAGTTCCCATGTTTTGATTTTGCCACCACGAGCAGAAATGCTGGTTCATACGCATAAAGACATAGATCAGCTAGCAGCATATTTGGTCCTCTGGGATGCCAACTTTTGCCTAAATGTCCTATCTCCCAATTTCAGAGAGAAGTCCAGCATTTCACATATTGTGTTCTCAGTAAACTTGGGTGGTAATTGCTTTTATTTTTGATTGTCTTGTTTACCCTGAACCCTTGAAGATAGAGATGTGACACAACCTATTGGCAACACTTTTAATGACAAATGTCCCATGGATGAAGGAATCAAGTTTTTCCTAAGTTTGTCGCGTGGAATTGTGATTTATAAAGCTGCCAAATCAACTTTTGACATAACTGAACTTCGTTCTTTTCTGAGATTTCAATAACTCAAGAAATACATTTGGGGTTTTGAGACTCCACCTGATCTTAAAATCCACTTGCCTCAAATAATTTCTGGGAAAATAAAGATAGTTCTTCCTAATTTGCTGTATCTTCACGAAGCAAGGGAGTAAACTGACTCTAAATGTCCAGTTTCCACTCTTGCCGAATTGGACTGGATTTTCCAGGCTTGATCGAAGCGCACTCAGTGGCTATTACGAGTTACGTCCCTTCTATGCCTCCTATTGACCAATCAGATTCCACCTCGCGATCTGATCGATGGTCAAGATCTATATTGTTATAAAACGGGTCTTACCTCGCGACGTACATCAAAACACCTGAGCACCTTGATTAAAAACATGAAAAGATTTGCAAAATATCTGTCGACGCACAGTTGACGATACACATCCTTTGCAAATCCTGCAGTCAACCGACATCTGCACGTTGAAATCCATGTGTACGAACCGGATGTCGATTTCCTTACGCGATTTTGATTCGACTATGCATTGCCAAAATATAACTCCATAACTATAGCCTAGTTCGGCCAGGGTGGATACAGGACATTTATACAGTCCGTTAACTCCCTTGGCTCGGGAAGATGTGTTTATGTTAATCCTTGAGACAGTGATTTGGTGGTACAATTGCTGGACCAAGCAATATAAATCTCTTTATTAGAATGTTATGAAACTTTGGAGTCCATTTCAAAAGAGGAATGGACATGTTTTTCCACAAAAAAACATGTGCAGCAACACCGGACTTCTTACCTCAAACGTACCAAAACAGAAGCGTAACGCCACGTGAGAACTGCGGGATCGATGCAAGTGCTTGTATTGCAGGTGAGACGCTATGAATAGGGCCATAAAAGTGGGAGTCTGTGAACAAACTGAAGCACGGTGGAACAACATCGTCGTTGGACGTCTGGAAGCAGGAGAGCTGTAGCTATGGTATTCTATGTGTCCAGTGGTTAAAGCGTTCGCTCGTCACGCCGAAGACCCGGGTTCGATTCCCGACATGGGTACAATGTGTGAAGCCCATTTCTGGTGTCCCCCCGCCGTGATATTGCTGGAATATTGCTAAAAGCGGCGTAAAATCGTACTCACTCACTCACCATGTGTCCGGACGGCCTTTACGTGGTCTGGTGGTAGAGCGGCCGGCCTGAGAGCGGAGGGTCCAGGGTTCGATCCACACTTAAAAGTCGTTAAAAGATGGTTCTTCTTGTTGCTCTGTGTGGCATTCAGCATTAAGTGGCTAAAACATGGACTGTTTGGCTCGGAGTCAGTACACCATGTCTGAGTGGGGTATTCATGTTAAACTGTGGCATGGTATCTGTCACGTATTGAATCAACCACAAACGCGAATTAAGTTTTGATAAAGATTTATTCCCTCCCTTAAGTTAACTTTAAACCCCAATAACAATACTTAAATGCATACTAATTCCAAATTAACTAACACAACTAACCAAACTAGCTTAACTTATCCTATCCTACTTCTATTACGAATGTCCCCCTGCCAACAATACTAATATCTACTACTACTACTAATATCTTACTACAAACAATACAAATATCTACTACTAACAATACAACTATCACGAAATATCTACTTCTAACAATACAACTATCACGATACTACTATACTAATACTAATAATCTCATCTAACAATACTAACACAACACTAATACAAATGTTCTAATAACAACACAACTATTACACATTAATAACATCATGGATATACATAAATTAAAAAAAACAAAAAACAAAACAAAGCCACTCCACTGTCACTTTCCCATCAGCTATATACATAAACTCAAGAATTTCTGATGTCACTGTACAGTTCACAAGAGGATACTTCCTCGTGATAGGGGGCGGTCGGGTAGCCTAGTGGTTAAAGCGTTCGCTCATCACGCCGAAGACCCGGGTTCGATTCCCGACATGGGTACAATGTGTGAAGCCCATTTCTGGTGTCCCCCGCCGTGATATCGCTGGAATATTGTTAAAAGCGGCGTAAAACATACTCACTCACTCACTCCTCGTAATAGGGAATGGCGATCTTCACACCCAGGCGATGTTTTCCCCACGGGTCGAGGGTGCCTGTGTTGCTTTGATGCCATGGCTGTGTTCATCCTATGATATGCACTGCAACGGAGATACTCAGTGGGCTACCACTATAAAATCGGCATCAGTCCGGACTAGTACAAACAGCCACACACACACGTGCATGCCCGTCACTATATAAGTGCAATAATCTTGGAGGCCACGTTAAACCCCATTTCACCTCACCCATGTCCCAGCGCACCATGTCTAGACTTCCGTATCGTTATAAACAGCATAATGTATGAAATAGGAACCTGTGATACAACGGCAGCGCAGGACTGCTTCATGCGACTACGTCATGACAAAGGTGTACAAAATCATCATCTGCAGCAATTCCAGGACTGCGGAAGATGTCTGACCAGACTGTACGGAACTGCATTAACCAGGCGTGTCCCAGACGGCCTGTGAGACAACGTCGTCCAGAGTATGTTTAGTTTGTTAGTTTGTTAGTTTGTTGTTTAACGTCGCGCTCAGCAATATTCCAGCTGTATGACGGCGCCCTATATATAATGCAGTTGAGACCAGACAATCCAGTGATTGACATCATGAGCCACGATCCATGCCGTCGGCGTTCTATGGCACACTATCAACCAAGACTCCGAGCTTAACCTCCCGATCCATTAAGTCGCTTCTAACGACCATCATACGTTGCTAGAGAACGATCCTTATCCCAACGGGCGCATGAGTAAGTAATAATAATTACGCGATTTAGAATGATTTGTTTGAGCAACGAGTCACATATGTGTATGCCTCACTGATGCCTCTAAAATGTGATCACAAAATGCGGATCCGATTTTTAAACATGTCCGCCGGGGCAGCCATATTGGAATCAAGCCTGTCTAGTTGTACTGCATATTCGACATCTCAGACACCTCCGGCTTTTTTAACTTTGTGATCTCAGCAATGTTGTATCCAAATATGCTCACAGAACATTGATCGATCTGAATTCTCACATTGGAAGTGTGATATTCACCCAGTGTGTCATTTGTTTTACTGTGCAATTTAATGAATATTATGTGGTGATGTTTGTTTAGCAGAGACAGTTATCTATCTGCATATCCTTGATCCAGCGGTCTAAGGCACTGCGATTCGCTGTGCAGAGTTGCGTCCCTTATTCGTAGTTCTCGGTATGCAGTTCGTGGGTTCCAGTCCCATCCACATTCACTTCGACATTGATTCGTGGTGTGTCAGCACCATATCCCTGATCGTGGGTTTAAATTGGTAGCGGACATTAAATTGAAATTTGAATGGCGCATTACATTGTAATTTTAAAAGACACACAATTCTATATCTACCTAGCATATTAACTGTCTTCTTTAAACAGCTTCGGAGCGGTCGGGTAGCCTAGTGGTTAAAGCGTTCGCTCGTCACGCCTAAGACCCGGATTCGATTCCCGACATGGGTAGAATGTGTGAAGCCCATTTCTGGTGTCCCCCGCCGTGATATTGCTGGAATATTGCTAAAAGCGGCGTAAAACCATACTCACTCACTCACACTCCTTAAACAGATTAACTCTTTATACACTGGAATGTTTTGTCAAATCAAAATATTAATGGGGTATTTACTTTTAGCAGCGCTTTTGTTTTATTGTTGTTTTTTCTAGTGGTCTCACTTTGACTTAAGTTCCAATCCTACCTGTATTTCACACGATTTCAAGTGAGTATTTTGACATAATCTGGTTGCAAAACTAGGGCATGGTCTACATAATCTAGTACACTGACTAGATAACGGATTATCACTCAACCACCGAGTTATGGGCTGATAAGGACCAAGTACGGGACAAAAGCGGACTTGACCTTACACACAGACGAATGACCCTTCCATTTACCAACCTGGAATTAACCTTCGCATCATACGAGAACAGACTCGTCCACTTTTATAGGGGGTTTGGGCATGACACTCACGTCTTTCGGCTTTTGACCCAGTATCGTGGCCCCTATAACAAAGACATATACAGGAATGATTTCAATACCTTCATAATTAGATTCAGTCTACCAACGTGTTGCATCTGTTGAATAATATTCTCCTACGAATGCTTATTACCCCAGAAATGTGGACCATGCCAAACGACTGCGTGTTCCGGCCGTTCCTTTTAATGTCGGACTGGCCGGTTGATGCAACATTGTAGTATTTGATCATTTTATATTTGTAACAGCTAACCATGCTTCGCGCTTGTGTGTTATGCGTGATTGTCGCCGTGGCCCTTGCCGATCCGGTTCCTGACTTCAAAGATTGTGGTAAGCTTTGGCAATACCATACCTTGATTTCCATCAACTTGTGGATCTAATATAATACATTGGCTGTACTCAATATACCCCGCCCAGCTGTGTGCTCATGTAAATCTGAAGCACTGAACGGCAAGGGATAAATATTATAGGAGACTAAGCAAATTGGGGTCAAACTAGTTTGATATCAGTGGTTAAAAAGCGCACTTATTCTGGCTACCCAATTCTATGATTTATGAAATGGTTTATACAAGCTATGAATAGTCAATGCCTTTCGGGATTTTTTTTGTTCCATCCGGGATTCGAACTCACACTCTCAGAATAAGGCACCTAGTAATCACCAGCACGCAAAGTCAGCAACCTAACCCGCTCAGCCCCATGGCAGCTGGTAGTCTAGATCACGTACTTTGTGTACCCCTCTGATAAGTGTGAATTGACATAGCGGAAAGCTATGAATAGACGATGCCCCTCCCGGATGGGACTCCACCCAATACTAGAATTTGTACCTAACTAAGAAAGTGAAGTCCCAAATACAACATATGGTATATCAATCTAGCTGAGACAAAGCCTAACTTTCACATATCACGGCTCACAGCCCCCTTTCAAAACAGCTGAGCACATGCTTATTTAGACAAATTGTCGGTCTTCCTCATGAAGATCCGGGGTAGAATAGGTCTTCAGCAACCCATGCTTGCCGTAAAAGACGACTAACGGTGTCGGGTGGTCAGGCTCGCTGACTTGGTTGATGCATGTAATCGTATCCCAATTGAGATGTCCTCAGATTTTCACGCAGAGGTATCGTTTCGGAGTAAATGAATTATGAGATCCGTATCAAATACATCATCATCAAATAACCATATCTTGTTGTTTCTTTTTAGCCACCATCAAACATGAGTGTATACTTTCTTTGCCTGGCGACCGCCTCCGTGGTCTTGTGGTAGAGCTTCCGCCCGGAAAGCGGAAGGTCCGGGGTTCGATCCCCGGCCGCGTCATACCAAAAGACGTTAAAAGATGGTACTTGTTGTTACCCTGTCTGGCGCTCGGCATTAAGGGGCTAAAGCAAGGACTGGTCGGCTCGGAGTCAGTATACTGTGTCTGAGTGGGGTATTCATGTTAAACTGTGGCATGGTATCTCAGTGAGCTAGCACTATAAATCGGCATCAGTCCGGACTAGTACAAGCAGCCACACAAACACACACACGTACATGCACGTCGCTATATAAGTGCAATAATCTTGGACGCGACGTTAAACCCAATTTCACCTCACCTCACCTTCTTTGCTTGGCAGTTTATCGTCCGGATTTAAGAGGTTTTATTCTTTATATACCTGATTCCAGATGCCATGTTCAATCGAACCGTTCCCGTGAAGATTCCGGGATAGAATAGGTCTTCAGCAACCCATGCTTGCCGTAAAAGGTGACTATGCTTGTCGTAAAAGGCGACTAACGGGATCGGGTGGTCAGGCTCGCTGACTTGGTTGATGCATGTCATCGATCCCAATTGCGTGGATCGATGCTCATGATATTAATCACTGGATTGTCTGGTCCAGACTCGATTATTTACAGACCGCTGTCACATAGTTGGAATATTGCTGAGTGCGGCGTTAAACAACAAACCAACCAATCATTCAAACCGTTCCTGTTTCGATTGGGCCTTTATGATTCAGTGTATGTTGCAGGTTCTGTCAGCGGAAAGATCAACACCCTTGACATCACGCCATGTCCCTCCTTCCCTTGCCAGTTCCCCAAGGGCAAGAACGTCACCGTCTCCATCACAATGACAGCGAGTACGTTGACAAGCTGACTCCTTACCAGAGGGACATTGTAGCTCATTCAGTTATCCGAGACGCCACATTTTGCTTTGCAGAGTTGTGTCCCTTAGACTTGCCCAAATACCTATGATCGTGGGTTCTGATTATGTATCTTGTGTTTGTCAGCACATATACTTGCACGAGGTTTTCACCAAAGTGATAAACGCCAAAGGCTCGCTTTCCTCCCACATCAAGCTGACACGCCGTGGAATAACTGGAATACTGTTCAAGGCGGCTTTAAACCCAACCCAATTCTCGCAATTAGACCCTGAAGTGAGTGAGTGAGTTGGGTATAACACCGTTTAACATAATTCCAATTATATCACAGCGTGTCAGCTTAATGTGGGAGGAAAGCCCGAAGTGATGCAGGACTCAGACGTTTACCACTTAGGTGAAACCCACTGCACGGGTATGGTGCTGACAAACCTAGAAACATAATCGGGGCGGACCTGTATTCGAACCAACAATAATAGGTTTCTGGCGTGCCCAAGGGACGCAACTGTGCACAGCGAATCGCAGCCCCTTAGATGACTGGGCCACCCGTGCCCCTGTTAACAAACAAACGGTTACATGGTATTTTATGTAATACAAAGGGGCCCTAAGTATCTCTTAAGTTTAAAAAAACCCTGATGACATTCAAACTTGCTAACCTACATACGCGGATACTGCAGAGGGGGTGGGAGGGGCACGTATCCCTCATGTTAACGAATGACGAAGTGTGTTTAAGTGTCTTTCTGACACAGGCTGCTCTCTCCGAGTCACACATGAAACTAACTCCGCTAAAGGCGATGAGTGAGTGAGTGAATATGGTTGTACATATCTTTCAGCAATGTTCAATCAACATCACAAAATGAGGACACCAAGAATATCCAAAATTGTACCCATGATGGGAATCGAATCCGGGTCATTAGTATCAGATGTAGGTAAGACGAGCGAACGTTTAACCCACCAACTACCGCCAAACCAAATATAATAAGTGAGTGAGTGAGTGAGTTGAGTTTTGCGCCGCTTTTAGCAATATTCCAGCAATTTCACGGCGGGGGACACCAGAAATGGGCTTCACACATTGTACTTTGGGAATCGAACCTGGGCCCTCAGCGTGACGAGCGAACGCTTTTACTTCCAGGCTATCCCACCGCCCCCTAATATAAAGATGCGGGGGGAGGTGTGTTTGTGGTGTGGTGTTACACATCCTATGTGAAGCTGAATACGGGGGATGGAGAATTGTGTGAGATAGGTCCGATTAAGCCTATGAAATAATATATACGCTCTTAAATCTCCGGGCAGGTGTGTAGCGTAATAGTCGTTATATAAATGTAAGTCCTGCCGTGGGATTTCTGCAATGTTGCAGTCACCCACTCACTCAATACCTCAACTGCATTCGCCACCGTGGTCAAGTGGACACAGCGAGAGCGGAAGGTCCGTGGTTCGATCTCATATGGGTGCAATTATCTTGAACTTCCAATTTCACCTCACCTCTTTGCATTCAAAGCCTATCGATGACATCTATTATTCAGGTGCCCAGGTGACGACAGCCAAGACGGTAGTCCACGGCATCATTGCTGGCATCCTGACCCCCTTCCCCCTGGCCCAGCCCGACGCCTGTCAGGACATGACCTGCCCCGTCAACAGCGGCGTCGACGTGACCTACAGCAACAACATCTTGGTGCAGGAAGTCTACCCTAAGGTACACGATCGTCAGGGCAGAAATAACACCCATGTATGTTATGTTTCACGTTATACCTCCCGAGACTGGTAATGTAGCGAACAGGCTCTGCACATTTCGCACAATGGCTTATTTTATGATGAAGCTCTTCATTTAAATCACGAATGAACATAATTTTCAATATCTTGAAGTGTCATATGTGCTTGGTGTAAAAGACTAGATACACCGTGTTCTTCATGTTTGAATATCCGTCTTGAATTTTTTTGATGTCATCGTACATTGGCCCGTTGTTGCAGATCCGCCTGGTGGTCAAGTGGGAGATCCAGGACCAATCTGGACAGGACTTCATCTGCTTCGAGGTTCCGGCGGAAATCACCGACTGAATGTGTGCAGTGTTCGGTACCGGAAATGCTTCAGGGTCGTAGAAACTGTTGTTTTCTCTGAATTTTGTTCAGAGTTGGTATCATTTGGTTCACTAACTGTGTGGGCTACTGATACCAGTGGTTTCTGTATATTAAAACGTGTAGATGAGTGCGCCATTGTTGTTGTGGTATACATACTCACTCAAAGCTTTTCACAAACCGATTGTAGCGCTACGATCACCGTAGCCCCGTCTGTTTAAATGTCTACTCACGATAGTTGTAGCGCTACGATCATCGTAACACCGTCTGTTTAAATGTCTACATACGACAGTTGTAGCGCTAAGTGAGTGAGTGAGTGAATAGGGTTTTACGCCGCTTTTAGCAATATTCCAGCAATATCACGGCGGTGTAGCGCTAAGATCATCGTAACCCCGTCTGTATAAATGTCGACGTACGACAGTTGTAGGGCTACGATCATCGCAACACCGTCTGTTTAAATGTCTACTCACGATAGTTGTAGCACTACGATCACCGAAGCCCCGTCTGTTTAAATGTCTACTCACAATAGTTGTAGCACTACGATCATCGTAACACCGTCTGTTTAAATTTCTACTCACGATAGTTGTAGCACTACGATCACCGTAGCCCCGTCTGTTTAAATGTCTACTCACGATAGTTGTAGCACTACGATCATCGTAGCCCCGTCTGTTTGAATATCTACTCACGATAGTTGTAGTGCTACGATCACCGTAACCCCGTCTGTTTAATTGTCTACTCACGATAGTTGTAGTGCTACGATCATCGTAACCCCGTCTGTTTAAATGTCTACTCACGATAGTTGTAGCGCTACGATCATCGTAACACCGTCTGTTTAAATGTCGACGTACGACAGTTGTAGCGCTACGATCATCGCAACACCGTCTGTTTAAATGTCTACTTACACAGTTGTAGAGCTAAGATGGGGACACAGGTGCGGTGTGCTCGTCAAGTCGAAGGATTCGATTCCAACATGGGTCATTGCAATAGTTGCAACCATTCACTGTATGCCATGGTATGAGTATCCAAAACATCGCGATGTGTATCGATACACATAGGAACACAGGTATAATCTTAAGGATGACGGTATGAAAATGGTATATCAAACACTTTTCAGGACGGCTTAAACAAACGTCAAGATGATGTTAGATAAACGGATATATATATATATACAAAATACACTTGAAAATGAAAAATCACTCATGACCGTGTCTGTTGATGACCTAAACCAGTGCATATGGACGGCATATTTAAACATTGTGAGGTGCCCATGCTAGGCGTGCAAGGTCAATTGGAGCGCTGCTGGTGCAGCCCAGTTGTTGGACTAACATATAAGTACGTAGAAAGCAAATAAAATTAGGGGTAGGGTTACACGGCGAGAAGCCGGAGGTGAAAAGGAAATAAGTATAGCTGCTAGATTGGTTGGTTGGTTTCTTGTTTAACGCCACACAATATTCCAACTATATGACGGCGGTCTGTAAATAATCGAGTCTGGACCAGACAATCCAGTGATTAATATCATGAGTATCGATCCACGCAGAAGAGAAGAGGGTAAGTATAACTGCTAGAGCTGAGAGGGGGGTATCTATAGCTTCTAGAGTTCAGAAGAGGAGAAATATAGCTCCAAGACCTGAAAAGGAAATAAGTATAGTTGCTAGAGCTGAGAATATGATGACTACAGCTCATCAAGCTGAGAAGGGGATAAGTATAACTGCTACAGCTGAGAAGGGGGTATCTTCAGCTTCTAGAGTTCAGAAGAGGAGAAATATTGCTCCTATAGTTGAAAAGGAAATAAGTATAGCTGCTAGAGCTGAGGGATGGGTATTGCTGCTAGAGCTGAGAGATGGGTATAGCTGCTAGAGCTGAGAGATGGGTATAGCTGCTAGAGCTGAGAGATGGGTATACCTGAGAGATGGGTATAGCTGCTAGAGCTGAGAGATGGGTAGAGCTGAGAGATGGGTAAAGCTGCTAGAGCTGAGAGATGGGTATAGGTGCTAGAGCTGAGAGACGAGTATAGCTGCTAGGTCTGAGAGATGAGTATAGCTGCTAGAGCTGAGGGATGGGTATTGCTGCTAGAGCTGAGAGATGGGTATAGCTGAGAGATGGGTATAGCTGCTAGAGCTGAGAGATGGGTATAGCTGCTAGAGCTGAGAGATGGGTATAGCTGCTAGAGCTGAGAGATGGGTATAGGTGCTAGAGCTGAGAGATGAGTATAGCTGCTAGATCTGAGAGATGAGTATAGCTGCTAAAGCTGAGAGATGAGTATAGCTGCTAGAGCTGAGAGATGAGTATAGCTGCTAAAACTGAGAGAATGGTATAGATGCTAGAGCTGAGAGATGGGTATAGGTGCTAGAGCTGAGAGATGGGTATAGCTGCCAGAGCTGAGAGATGAGTATAGCTGCTAGAGCTGAGAGATGGGTATAGCTGCTAGAGCTGAGGGATGAGTATAGCTGCTAGAGCTGAGAGATGGGTATAGCTGCTAGAGCTGAGAGATGGGTATAGCTGCTAGAGATGAGGGATGAGTATAGCTGCTAGAGCTGAGAGATGGGTAAAGCTGCTAGAGTTGAGAGATGGGTATAGCTGCTAGAGCTGAGAGATGGCATAGCTGCTAGAGCTGAGAGATGGGTATAGCTGCTAGAGCTGAGGGATGAGTAGAGCTGAGAGATGGGTATAGCTGCTAGAGCTGAGAGATGGGTATAGCTGCTAGAGCTGAGGGATGAGTATAGCTGCTAGAGCTGAGAGATGGGTATAGCTGCCAGAGCTGAGGGATGAGTATAGCTGCTAGAGCTGAGAGATGGGTATAGCTGCTAGAGCTGAGAGATGGCATAGCTGCTAGAGCTGAGGGATGAGTATAGCTGCTAGAGCTGAGAGATGAGTATAGCTGCTAGAGCTGAGAGATGGGTATAGCTGCTAGAGCTGAGAGATGGGTAGAGCTGCTAGAGCTGAGAGATGGGTATAGGTGCTAGAGCTGAGGGATGAGTATAGCTGCTAGAGCTGAGAGATGGCATAGCTGCTAGAGCTGAGAGATGGCATAGCTGCTAGAGCTTAGGGATGAGTAAAGCTGCTAGAGCTGAGGGATGAGTAAAGCTGCTAGAGCTGAGAGATGGGTATAGCTGCTAGAGCTGAGAGATGGGTATAGCTGCTAGAGCTGAGAGATGGGTATAGCTGCTAGAGCTGAGAGATGGGTATAGCTGCTAGAGCTGAGGGATGAGTATAGCTGCTAGAGCTGAGGGATGAGTATAGCTGCTAGAGCTGAGAGATTGGTATAGGTGCTAGAGCTGAGAGATGGGTATTGCTGCTAGAGTTGAGAGATGGCTATAGCTGCTAGAGCTGAGGGATGCGTATAGCTGCTAGAGCTGAGAGATGGGTATAGCTGCTAGAGCTGAGGGATGAGTAACGCTGCTAGAGCTGAGGGATGAGTAAAGCTGCTAGAGCTGAGAGATGGGTATTGCTGCTAGAGCTGAGAGATGGCATAGCTGCTAGAGCTGAGGGATGAGTATAGCTTCTAGAGCTGAGAGATGGGTATAGGTGCTAGAGCTGAGAGATGGGTATAGCTGCTAGAGCTGAGAGATGGCATAGCTGCTAGAGCTGAGGGATGAGTATAGCTGCTAGAGCTGAGAGATGTGTATAGATGGGTCATATATACAGGTCCCATCAAACATGACGTTGAACGTCCTTAAGTGAACTGACATCAGCAAAATCCGAATAAATAGTCGCAAAATATATTTTGCGAGGGTTGTGTTTTTGGATTGCGCATTTTCCAACCTCGATGAGTGAACCTCGATCCCTGGTCGAATGTCCATCAGTTGTATCTCAGTAATTGTACCATGCGCAATATGACCCCCAAAACAATACCCTACTGTTAAAGAAGAAGGCGACACTCGGAAATAACTTAAAATTTCTTAAATTGTAAGAGAGTGAGTTGGTTTTAATGCCGCCTCGAACAGTATTACAGTCATATCACGGCGCGCCAGCTTAATGTGGGAGGAAAGCCCCAAGCGATGCAGGTCTCAGACGTTTACCACTTTGGTGAAACCCACAAGCACGGGTATGATGATAACAGACCTAGAAACATATTCGGGGCGAACCGGGATTCGAACAACCATGGATTTCTTGCATGTCCAGGGGACCCAGCCCTGCACGGCGAGTTGCGGCGCCTTAGACGACGACGCCTACCATGCTCCCCGCCGCTGCCCGTCCTAATTGTAAGAAATATTAGTTTATAGTAAAAGAAGATAATAATAATAATAATGGACGAATTAGGAACACGTTACAACTGGTAGTGAAGTATGAAAGTGGATGTTATGACTGCCACCGATCTTGATGGACGAAAGGGTAAGATTGGAAATTTCAAAGTTGACTTTTTAGGATCAGTAGTGCTTAATACCGTCACGACTTGTCAACAATTCATTCACTCGACGAGGCATACTGCGTATGAGTCTCCCAACGGCGATTTGAGTCTGTCCCACTCACCGTGCAGCGCCTGGCCAAGTTCAACCAGGGTGGTCGGCGGCATATGACGTTGAGGCACACGTCTCCCTATCATGGCCCATGGTCCCTATCACGTGTTAAATTGGGTAAAGATCTGGGTTCATTGCCGGCCATGGCATTTCTATGGATGTTGTGCTGCTGTGAGCAATGACGATTCATGCACGGTGAGCACGGGCGTTGTCGTCCTGAAAGCGAGAAATATAAACGTCAACACACACGCCTTGCATGCAAACTTTAAGGGTGTTAGTATGTTGTCCCGATAGTACTGTCCAGTGACCCTTCTTTGCACAATATGGTGTGGGGCTCCCTCAGTCACAGTGATGCCATCCCACGCCATGACCGATCCATCGCCAAATCTGTCACACGGTCACAGGTAAACGTTGGGTTGACGTTCATTTCGACGTCGCCAAACACGACCATGACTATCAAGGAAGTGCAAATTGAATCGAGACTCATCTGAAAACATGACACGTGACCAGTGCCGGTTACCCCAGTTTCGACGTTGTCTACACCATTGACGTCTGTTGGCAATATGACGATTTGTAAATGGAGATGATCTAAATGTAGACGATTTCCAATCGTCGGACCCGTAACTCGTACTCCAGTAGCGTGAAGAAATTTGAAGCAGTTTCATTTGCCGTTTGAGGTCGATTTCGTAGAGGCTGGTTTCGGATCAATTCACCCTGTACTCTTCTCGTTGACCTGGGACGCCCTGAACGGGGTCGATCATCAACATTTGGGTTTGTTCATACCTGTTCCATAGTCTGCAAATCGCAGACAGTGAAACAGAGAACGTATTGGCCCTGCACGCTGGCTTCTGTCGGGTTCCAGAATGGCAACAGCCCATACACGCGCGTGTTGCAGACGTCGATGCGCTAGTTCATACTGAAAAAATAAATAAAATCAAGTAAAGCACAATGCCAAGCAGAATCAATGAGATTGACAGAAATAATGTTCCACAGAGATTAATCGACCTTTCTTGAAAGTGTCAAAATCACGAAAGACACCGAGCCACGTGTGTATCGCTACTGCGTGCGGCACGTGCTCAAGCAAAATGTAGAATGCGTTTTGGTTTTACAGACATAAACATGTTTTGGTTTTACAGACATAAACGCTCTCCCAGAGGACGTTTGTCAAAATGTATATTTCATGTTTGTTTGTTTGTTTATTTGTTGTTTAACGCCGCACTCAGCAATATTACAGATATATGACGGCGGTCTGTAAATAATCGAGTCTGGACCAGACAATCCAGTGTTTGACACCATGAGTATCGACCTACGCATTTGGGATACGATGACATGCGTCAACAAAGTCAACGAGCCTGACCACCCGATCCCGGTTTATTTCATGATCCCCTGCTATTTTTGAAGAGTATATACAAGAAATAATGTAACCACATATACGTCCAAATGTGAAGGTCGATAAGAAGATAAGAGACCATGGCTAGTGTGCTGACCAAGTTTGTACACTGACATTAACCTCGTGGTTCAGGTGAAGTCGTGTTGGACCTGACTCAACCCTTGAATATGTTCCTGCATCTGGCGGCCATCCTGATTCTCACTGTGGGGTCATGCTCGGGAAATTCCGTGACGGACTTCGGAGACTGTGGTAAGTGACGTAATGGTCGGAATAACACCACGTGGGAGTCACGAACGAGCACCGTGACTCCTATCTAGACAGTGGACAAAGGGTTCACAAAAATCGTAATTTTGAAAAAAACATACATGTTTTGAACACATACTATGTTGACGTTTTACCATGAAGTGAGAAAACTATGCGGCAGGCAATCCTATAGTTTTACGTAAGAAAATTTAACATATCCGTTTTAGTCAACTCAAATCTAACGATGCATATAAATCTATAGCATTATCTATGTTTTTGGTTGGTTGGTTTGTTGTTTAACGCCGCACTCAGCAATATTCCAGCTATATGACGGCGATCTGTAAATAATCGAGTCGATCCACGCAATTGGGATCATGACATGCATCAACCAAGTCAGCGAGCCTGACCACCCGATCCCGTTAGTCGCCTTTTACGACAAGCATAGTCGCCTTTAAAGGCAAGTATGGGTTGCTGAAGATCTATTCTACCCCGGATCTTCACGGGTCCATTATCTATGTGATTACCCTTATACTACAAATGGCACGTATTTTCCTCTTGCAGGCTCGAGTGTTGGTGAAATCAACAACATTGACATAACTCCTTGTGACCACCCCTCCTCCCGGTGTAGAATTCCCCGGGGCACCAACGCCACTCTCGCCGTCAACTTCACCGCAAGTACGTCATGCAGGGTTCCCCGAATGAACAACTCGTCATCGAAACCTTGAAACATACTTTCCTAGCTATTTATTAAATACACATATACAACTTCCTGTTTAACCTGTCATTTAACAGCTTTCATACATTCTCTGTTGAAGATGGGCAGATTACTTCAGCTAAAACCTTCATATGGGGAATTGTTGACGACAATATGTACCCATTTCCGGTTCCGCTGGATGCGTGTGAGCACATGAAGTGTCCTTTACAGAGCGGAAGCCAGGCCGTCTACAACAACGTATTCTTCTTATCTGCAGTGTTACCACCGGTACGACCAAAACACACGGGTGGCCCAGTCGTCTAAGGCGCCGCGATTCGCTGTGCAGGGTTGCGTCCCTTAGGCACGGTAGAAACCTTTGATTGTGGGTTCGAATCCCGGTTCGCCCCGATTATGTTTCTATTTTGGTCAGCACCATATCCGTGCTCATGGGTTTCACCGAAATGGTAAACGTGTCAGACCTGCATCACTTCGGGCTTTCCTCCCACATTTAGCTGACACGCCGTGATATAACTGGAATACTGTTAAAAGCGGCGTTAAACCCAACTCACTCACTCACTAATCGCTTGATGGTGATGTGTAATCTCTTAATGGTAATATATAATCTCTTTATTGTGATGTGTGATCTTTTAATGGTAATATGTAATCTCTAAATTGTAATAGATTACTTTTTAATCCTGCACATATCAAATCCCTGTATTGACGTTTCAGATAAATGCGACGGCCAAGTTCGAGCTGGTTGATCAACTCGACAGACGAATTATCTGTTTCACTGTTCCCGTACTGCTCGCGTGGTGATGTCACCGGGTGGCCATATCATATATTTATAGTTAATAAAAAATTAAATGAAGCAAACGAATTTTAATGATTTAACAGCATCGTTGACGATATGACCTATCATTATCACATGGTCACTATATATTATCACAATGAAACTTACTCGACAGGGTTTTCACCACTACATCATTACTCCAACTTAAAAAGTATGTTTAGAAGGGGAGTGTTACAGGAGTGAGCGTATCATTGATATACGAAGCTCAATTACTATTACTATCACATAATGGAATTGTGATATCATTTTCAAAAATTAATATCCTTCCAGCTTTAAATAAATACATTATATTATATATTATAATAAATATATTACCAATTCCGTGAATGTTCTGACTCCCAGAAATACCACATGTACAGGAATTGACTGCGAATGAGTGAATATTGTTTTACGTCAGTCAGGAATATTCCAGCCGTATCACCCAATACTATTTGAACGTGAATTTAAAAACTACATTTTGTCATGCCGAAACTGTGTCAGAACTGCCATCTGCCTAATCTCTATATTTTTTCTTCTTTATATTTTTGTTTTTGCAAACGTTAGCTATGGAACACAAATAATACAACAGATATTACATCAGAAATATATTACTGAATGCCCGTCAAAGTACAACTCGGTCTTACATGTCTATGTTTCACCCTGAAGTATCCTGCTAAATGAATCATTAAGTATGAACAATATAAACATAGCTTATCGGCAGTTGTAGCAAGTACTTGAAACACTTCGCTGTGCACATCTGTCTCAGTTTCGCGCATTGCCCTTATTTTGTTATTGTGTGTTTGTTGAACAATTTAACGCGGTACTCTGCAGTATTCCAGCTATATGACGGCGGTCTGTAAACAAGAGAGTCTTCATATGATAAGATACATTAATTATTTTAAACTTCTCAAATCCAGTTTAACTTGCCAAGAAACGTTTAAACATCGCATTTACGGTAAATTTAAACGTTGCAAGATGTCCACGCTATGCCCTATGTTTACGTCCGAAGACTTAGTGGTAGAACTACAAGTGCAACTCAACTGTTATTTATAAAGAAATTTAAGTCATGTATGTGGTTAAATATATATATTTACATATATATGAAGAAACATAGAGTATGAGGTTGGTTGTATTAAATATATATTCTGAGGTAAGTAAATAAGACCCACTAAACTGTCAGGGCCTGTGAACAAAATTGAACAGAGAACACTCCCGTGACTCCGCCATGAAGGCCGGAAAATACCGGAAGTGTAAACAGGTAGTTCTGGTTGTAAATCAACTACCTGCCTTGGGTGTTGGAGAGGAAACCGTTGCTCCCGGCTGAGCCACTGCAGTGTGAGTTAGCATAGTAGTATTGTTCGCATCTCCAGGACAATACTGAGACGTACATAAACACCTCGTAAATGTTTGGTACATTCATTACCGTGGAAATGGAAAACAAATGTTTTGATTTGATCATACATGCAGTATATCTGTTACATAACCATTACCGATGTGGGTGTAATCGCCATGGCATGTAATTAAAAAGTAAGCAATGATCATGGTGTTGTTTATCGTCCAATAAAACACTACAGGGAGAAGAAACCATGCGGGGAGCTGCCAACTGTCTTATAAAAAAGTGTGACGTCATAGATTGCCTAATTAGAAACAATTACATTAAAGATTGAATATAGTTTGGAATTGTATTTATTTCAACGTTCTTTTAGCTCCAAAAACATTCTTCTTTTCATGTTTAACATGTTTTCAAAGAGGATTGATAAGAAAAAATGTCGTTCTGTGAATTTGATCTGCATCCTCAATTCCCAGGTACATTAACATCTATTATGGACATATATATTATATATATAGCAAACATTAAATGAAAGTACACAAAAAATTCAAACAGGTTGGCTCTTGATAAAGGTGCTCTTTGGTCCGACACAGCAGTATATCTAAAGAGTTTTGTCATCGGCAAGACCTCCAAAAAAGTGAACTAAAATTTTTAAAATTCAGAATTAATATTCGCAATGAATTTATTATTGTGTAATGTTCGCAAGAAGGTTGTAGCGTGGGATCGTGGAACATTGTCCCTGTTTAAGGCTATGTTAAGGTCTGCTGTTGCATGGAAGTCTACTTGGCAGTCTCGATCGTGTCTCGTTCACCGGAAAGATCGTTATGCGTCGCTAATGATCTGTCACGTGTCATCTACATATAACGAGAAGAGTAACTCACACGTTAAAGAGTTCCCGGCAATCTTCCGTCACCCTCAATCATCTCCGGTCATCTGCTATCAGGTCACTGGTATCAGGTCAATGGTCTTTTCATCTCTGACCTAATCGAAACCACCCCACAACATGAGTTTGCATAGCATGTGGTGTGAAATCATCTTGTAACATTTATGAATAGGTACTGACACAAACATCTTTAATTTCTAGAGAAATACGTCTCAGCCAAACTTTATTATGATAATGCTAATCTTTTCAAAATATATATTTTGCATTTTCCGAACTCGACGTGAAATGCAACATGTCGAATATCCATCAGTTGTACAACATCACTTACACCAGGACCATTGTCTCCTTGACATTTATCTGAAACAATGTCAGCACATAAACGTCCAAATTTGAAGGTCACCATGACGATAAGATACCATGGCTAAGTTAGTACACCGACATTAACCTTGTGGATCAGATGAAGTTGTGTTAGACTTGACGCATCCCTTGAATATGTTCCTGCATCTGGCAGCCATCCTGATTCTCACTGTGGGATCATGCTCGGGAGATTCCGTGACGGAGTACAAAGACTGCGGTTAGTGACGTAAATACTCTACATTTTCGGAATAACACCACGTGAGTGTCACGAACGAGCACCGTGACTCCTATCTATAAAGTGGACATAGATTGCATGAATTCTTTTTAATAAAAACATAAATTTAAACATATATTGAAAAAAGCTTAATGCAGACGATTTGCTAAGTAAAGGATACTATATTTTAAGTGTTCATGATGAGTTTTACAAATGTTATTCAAAATTATCCTATTTAGTCAACTCGGTGGTTTTAAAACGATGTATATTAGTCTATAACAGGTTTGATTACCCTTATTGCACAGAGATAATGTCTCAGTTTCACACAAGGCAGCAATTACAACACTTAGACGTTCAGTGCAAACGGGCAGCGGATTAGTTTAATGCAGATTGGCACCCACCATGTCTTTGTTTATTTGTTGTTTAACGGTAAACCTAGCAATATTACAGGTAAGTGGCGGCAGTCTGCACACAATCGAGTCTGGATCATACAAACCAGTGATTGATATTATGAGCACCGATCCTTATACAACCACGTCACCAAGCCGGACCACCCAATTTATAACTTCGCCTCTTACAACCAGTATAGGATGTTTTGGACCTACACTAACCCATCTTTCCGAGGCAATATATAAGCTTAATATATATGGACCTTTCTACCAAGTTTTGCTGAAAAGGCTAGTTGACGGTCTTGCCTCGATGATACTAACCGGCATTCCTACGTCCCTTATAAAGACTGACAGAGTACAACGTCAGAGATGTATACGCCCTTTCCCCAACATTTAGTAAAAGTTAATAACAGCTGGCAAAAGGGCAAATATACCTCGTGTATGAATTATCAGTATTGGGCGTACTTTCCACTTGCAGGCTCGAGTGTTGGTGAAATCAACCGCATAGACATTACTCCTTGTAAGAGCAGCGTCAGGTGCGGCATTCCCCGGGGCATCAACGCCACTCTCGCCGTCAACTTTACCGCAGGTACGTCATGTAGGCTTCCCCAAACGAACAACTTGGAATCTGAACATTCGACTTGAAACCTACTTACCTGAACTCCGATTTAATATACTTACGCTTTCCTGTTTAACTTGTTTCTCGACAGCAATTGTGATCTGACAGCACACATATGCATTCTCTGTTGAAGCTGCACAGATTACCTCAGCTAAAAACTTCATATGGGGAATTGTTGACGACAACATGTTCCCATATCCGGTTCCGCTGGATGCGTGCGACCACATGAAGTGTCCTTTACAGAGCGGAAGCCAGGCCGTCTACAACAACGCATTCTTCATTTCTGAAGCATTTCCTAAGGTACTACCTACACACAATATCATTAGAATGAGATCCCTTACTCAGTAAATGTAACGAGTAAAAGTTAATATAATAAAATCTAATTTTAAAGATCGACCGTATACAAATCGTTGATTCTTACAGCAACAACATAGGTCACCGTAGTTTTTTAGAGTTGCGTCGTATGAGGATAACAGATGTGGTTTTGATTAAACTGGAACTATACTGGTGGTTGATTCGTATACCTGCCTCACAGGTAGCTCTAAATACGTGTGCCCTTCTCCCGTTCTCTTTGTTTTTGCCTTAAAACTTAATTGTGATATGTAATATTTTAATCCTTAACATAGCAAATCCCTGTGTTTCAGATAAATGTGACGGCCAAGTTTCAGCTGGTTGATCAACTCGACAGACGCATCATCTGTTTCACAGTTCCTATACAGGTCTTGTGGGGATGACCACATGTATTTATAGTTAATACAAATCTATACGAAGCAAACGTGTTATAATGATTTAACGTGAGTGAGTTGGGTTTAACGCCGCTTTTAAAGGTATTCCAGTTATATCGCGGCGTGTCAGCTTAATGTGGGAGGAAAGCCCGAAGTGATGCAAGTCTCAGACGTTTACCACTTCGGTGAAACCCACGAGCACGGGTATGGTGCTGACAAACCTAGAAACATAATCGGGGCGAACCGGGATTCGAACCCACAATCATAGGTTTCTGGCATGCCCAAGGGACGCAACTCTGCTCAGGGAATCGCGGCGCTTTAGACGACTTGGCACCCGTGCCCCTAATGATTTAACGAGTCCTACAGAACTGTTGACGTAAAATCACGTAATGCAGGTATCATTGTCACATGGTCACAACATTATGTTGGACGGCTTGCTAATGATAAAGAAGATAACATATCTTTACTCCAAAGAATCATGAATGGAGACAAAGAGAGTATCATATTATTTTTGACTTAACTCGCGTTCAATCGTAAAATTAAGAACGAAATATACTGGTTGGTAAACATACTGTGACACCCATTTGAGTGTTATCTTTGGATCGCATGACCACTGTATATATGACATACATAATACCATCACCACGCGCTGCCTTCTTGAAAATGTCACAGGATCACTTTGTGAATTTACGTAACAGATTAATGTATCATTATATATCGAGGCAGTCTGTAAGTTATCAAATCCGTGCCAGGTCTTGATAACAACAGCAACAGGTCATGGCTTCAGCATGTCACATAATCAACCATGTAGGTCACTGTAACCACAGAATCCTAATTTTGTGTCAGCTCTGACGACACACCAGGGCCTTGTTTCGCGAAACGATTATAGCACTACGACTGTTGTATCTTAACATACAATCACGACAGTCTTAGCTGCGGTCGCTTTGTAAAACGGGGCCCGCTAACTGAAATCCACTAACAAAACACGAGGACGGTGTGGTAGCCCAGTGCATAAATCGTTCGCTCATCACGCCCACGGCCCGAGTTCGATTCCCAAAATAGCCCAACTCACACAATCTGTAGATATACATTATAGCCCAGCATTCAGTTTGATCATGATTAGGAATAATATGGGAGACACCACAAGCACAAATAATTGCGCCATGCGTTTGTCCTGGGTCGGATACCCGGATGAACCCTCTGGCATTTTTCCTCTTAGCGGTACATTCTGCTATACGAGTGCAGTTATCTTTCCCCTCACCTTACAGCCCTCCCAACGGCCAATCAACAACGCTAAGAGTTACTAGTTTGTTTGTTGTTTAACGCCGCACTCACAATATACCGGCTATATGACGACAGTCTGTTAATAATCGAGTCTATACTAGACAATCCAGTGATTGACATCATGAGCATCGATCTAAGCAGTTAGTATACGATGACATGCATCAACCAAGTCAGCGAACAACACAGACAAGGTGTTAGATGAGAATGTTACTCGCGTATAATCAGTGGATAAATCCATTGTCATGTGCAGAAGCTCATTGAAACCAATTGACCAATACCACCGATCTACGTACTAGCCTACATCGAGTTTATCAGCAGGACTAGGATGAGATAAATAGCCAGTGATGTCGAGTCAGTACTGAGTCAATAGCTTCATGACCGTGACGTGAACGATAAGATTTAGTGTCATCAACACCGACGCCGTGGAATACCGGACTTCTGATCTTGTAAGATTTGGCCAACTGCAAACACACACCGTCATGAACGTACTCGCCCTCGTCGCTGTCTTTGCGACTTTGATGTTCATGGGCCAAGCGGAGCCCATCAATTTCAAGAACTGCGGTGAGAGCATTTTATTTTCTACTGTCGTCCTTTAACGCGAAAAGACGCGTAATTTTAACAGGGCGTGACAAGATACCTTAGCCCAAGGCATATTTGCGAATAATGAGAGCTCATAATGTATTTGCACAAAGCGATCTCAACGCTTCAACTGTCGCAGCTCCCAAAACAGTTTTACTCGATGCGAAATCGTAGCTAAGTACTTATCCACTTTTACTTTTCGACATCTGCATGTCGCTAAAAAAACAATTGTAGATACTAGAGTCAAAAGTTTCCAAAGTCAGCAAGGAGTAGTTCTGAGAAAAAAGTGAAAACGTAAAAAGTCCTTTCCGTCCATATTCTCAGAAAATAAGTCAAATATTTAAATGTCTAAAAGAAACAATAAAAGGCTTGAAAATTATGATGCCAAATTTGGCTTTGTTTTTTGTTGTTGTGTTTTTTTGGGTATGGTAGAAAACAAAATCTACTAACTTAAAAGAGGCCAAAGTAGGACTATGCATGTTTATGTTTAATACCATATAATAATGTTCAATAACAGTGTTATTTTTTACCGAAAAGGGTTTTATGGGGTTCGTCAATAATATAATGACAACAGTATGTCTACCATGTACAGATTAGCCTTATTATAATGTGTCTAAGTGACAGAAATACACAATCCTATGCACAAACACTCCAAGTAAATTTATTTCAGACATTATGATAACTTTGTGTAAATGAATACAATGGAAAATAATATACTCTGTTCATACCTTTGACTTTGGCCCTAATGGAATTGTACCTTGGCCCTTTTTACAAAATTTTAGTTAACTATAAACTTGAAAGTCGGAACAGTACTATAAATTTATAGGACGTGGAGCCATGTCCAAGCATTTAAAATATGACACAAAAGGTTGAAACGTCCAATAATGACTTTGGCACCTTTTGACTGTGGTAACTGCAATTATTATTAGCGACCGGGACCCCGTTCCACAAAGCGATCGTAGCACTAAGTCGACTATACTCTGATACTTTAACATAGTCTCAAGTACAGCAGTAGTGGGGGCGGTCGGGTAGCCTAGTGGTTAAAGCGTTCGCTCGTCACGCCGAAGACCCGGGTTCGAATCCCGACATGGGTACAATGTGTGAAGCCCATTTCTGGTGTCCCCCGCCGTGATATTGGCGTAAAACCAAACTCACTCTCACTCACTACAGCAGTAGTGGCTCTACTATCGCCTTGAGGAACGGGCCACAAAATATTTCACGAAGTAACAACGGAGTTCTACAAAGCTACGATTTAGCAGATTTTACAACAGTCGAATCACAAGAATCGCTTTGTACAAGTCGGTCCATTCAGAGCGTCACATGAAAGCTAATAATGTACTTATCTTTATTTAGTGATTGTAGAAAAAAACATGAAGAAAATGAACACATTGCGTCATATTCACGCGGGCAATACAGCCATATTGTCCTACTGCGACCTTTCTGTACTTAACACTACAGTACACCGTGTACTGATATGGGACAGTCGAGGGGCACCTGACCTGTGACCCCAAGTAGATGCAGCTGATATCACTTATTATTATCACATTGTTTGTGTAGATCGCAAATACGTGCCAGCTATTTATGCCATATCTGCATTTAATATACTGAACCGCAAAAGAAACGTCACCCCAAGTAAAATTGCATGAAAAGTAGTCATTTCAATATCTGGGTAATTTTTGTCAAATTGTCCTCAATTTAACATAACCTTGTCCGGAAAAATGAAATTTGATGATAAAAAAACAAAGCAGGTGACAATAAAACCGATCGCCCAAACGCATCACGGCAACGGCAAGCTGGACAAACCGCCCGGCAAGTAGACAATGCATTTCAAGTCCACGCAAGGACCATATACAGGCTCCAGCAACGGTACCAGACCACCAACACTACATATGACGACCACGTAGTGGAAGACCAAGGGTCACCACCCGACGACAGGATCGTCAGATTGTGCGACAGCATCTTCAAGGTCGCTTTGTTACTGCTGCGGAAACTGCTCGACAGACCATGGGGACACACCAGCGACACATCAGTGCAGACACCGTGCGTCGACGATTGACGAGCAGACACCTCCACTGTCACAGGCCACACCGAGGACCCATTCTGACACCACGTCATCGCCGGGTCCGTCTTCAGTGGGCAACACAGCACCAGCATTGGCGCCACCAGCAGTTGAAAAGAGTCCTCTTCTCAGACGAGAGCCGTTACTGTATCTCAACAGTAGATGGCAGAGAGAGAGAGAGACAGAACTGGCGAAGCCGTGGGGAACGTTGTTCGGATGCTTGTGTTGTTGAGAGAGACTCGTGGGGTGGTCCGAGCATCATGTTGTGGGGTGGAATTGGTCTTGCAGGGTCGGCCCTGTGGTCTTCCAGAAAATCGGTCACAGCAGCTCGGTACATTCATCAAGTCTTGAGACCACACGCCATACCTCATTTGGCACGCCGCCGCAACCACGAGTTTCAGCATGATAACGACCGTGCCCACACTGCGAGAGCAACACGAGACTTCCTCCAGCAGAATGGCATCAGAACCATGCAGTGGCCTGCCCTCAGTCCCGATTTAAATCCCATTGAGCACCTGTGGGACGAGATTCAAAGACGGCTGAATGACGGCCGACCAAGGCCGACAACTGCAGCTGAACTGTGACAGGCGTTCCCCAGAGTGTGGGCTCAAGTGCCTATGGCCTTCATCAACCGCCTCATCCATTCCATGTATCGACGTTGCACGGCAGTCATCAGTACACATGGCTGACACACGAGATACTGACTTGTGATGCCATTTTCTCAGAGACTAGTGTTGTGTTTCACTTTAAGACCATTTGACACTTTAGTTTCAACCTTGATGATCAGTTTTGCCAAGTTTCGTCTTTTTAATATGTCTCACAGGATGTTTACAGTGTTTGGACAAATAAGGTTCCTCATATATCTATCCATGATGACGTTTCTTTTGCGGTTCAGTATATTAGGAAATGAATGTTTTTTATTCATAATCGTCCATTCATTTGTAATGGAATACCTCGTGAACCTCCGTGTTAGAACTACCCTTCAGCAACCCATGCTTGTCTTTAAGCACCATATACACGTGCTCTTTGGTGATACAAGTCTACGAGACCCGTGAAGATCCGGGGTAGAACCCTTGCTTGCCGTAAAAGGCGACTATGCTTGTCGTGAGAGGCGACTAACGGGATCGGGTGGCCAGGCTCGCTGACTTGGTTGATGCATGTCATCGTATCCCAATTGCGTCGATCGAGGTTGATAATGTCAATCACTGAATCGTCTGGTATAGACACGATTATATCTGAAATATTGCTGAATGCGGTGTTAATTATTTTTAGAAGCTTATAGCGCTATTCTTTGTCAGATTGTTTTTTAAACTTACAACAAATCTTCGCATTACATTACATATACATTGAAGGAATCTTATGGGGAAATCGCTATTGGTGAAATATGTCACCAATATTCACAACCCTATTTCATACATGTCTGTATCATTAACACTATGTAGAACTATGTATTCCAACAGTAAGATTCACATAGGAATACATCCAATCTTTCTATGTATTTATATTCATGCATACCAAGGAGGCGAAAATTTCTTCTTACACACCATTAACCCATTTCCGAATCACAGCTTGTTTCTTTGTTGTTTAACGCCGCACTCAGCATTATTCCAGCTACATGATGGCGGTCTGTAAATAATCGAGTCTGGACCAGACAATCAAGTGCAGTGATTGATATCATTAGCATCAATCCACGCAATTGGGATCGATGGCATGCATCAACCAAGTCAGCGAGCATGACCACCCGATCCCGTTAGTCGCCTCTTGCGATAAGCATAGTCGCCTTTTACGGCAAGTATGGGTTGCTGAAGACCTACTCTCCCCCGGATCTTCACGGGTCTCCGAATCAAAGACCAGGGTGCGACACTGTTCAGTGGGCGAATGAGTTGGTAATGTTTGCTCAACGAAGATGTCATCTTTATCAAAGACGTTGAAATTAAAAAAGACAAGTTTTAGACAAGGTACTCTGGTACCTATATTTCCTATTTCGCAGAGTTTGTCCGATGTTTGGCAGCCTATTGTATTGTCTGTTGAGTTGAATAGCTAAACTATATAAATGCGACTAACGTGGATGTATGTAAGGACAAAGTGGGAGGTGGGGTAGCCTGGTGGATCATGCTTTCGTTCGCCATGGTGAAGGCCTGGGTTCGATTCCACACAGTGGTACAGTTGTGTACACATGCTGGTGTCCTCGGTTGTGATATTGCCAGAAAGTTACTTAAAGTAACAAGGACGTGTGCTTATTCTAGATGTATTCTATTTCCACTGCTTCGTCAAACCATGCGTCTTTAGTACAAGGCAATCACAATAAAAACAGATCTGAGTTCTCGCATCCGCTAAACAAAGATCTGATGACATCCCATTACTGCTCACGTCAGAACGACCTTTCGGGAACAATATGTTGAAAAAGTTCTCGATTAAAAATTTCAAAACTGAACAAATGAACATTTCTGGAATGTTTTATGTATGGTCAAGACTGTATGTCAGTGCTCCCTCGGGTTATACAACGTCTCTTCCGTTCAAATGTCCATCCCTTTGAAGAGAGAGAAAGCGATGATTTTGACTTAATCAGTCGTACAGCCCGTAACTGCCGTTCGGAATACCCCGTGTTAATATTTTCGAGGTGGCATGATTATTGTCCGATTGTCACTTTCTTGATCTGGTAAGCGACGCTCTGATTGGTCGGATGAAAGGTCGTTTTGACGTGACTCGTAATGGGACGTCCTCAGATCTTTGTTTTGAGGTAGAGCGTAGGGCTGGGACGGGTAACTCGGGTCCCCGAGTCCCCGGGTCGGGTGGGTACTGAGTAGGACCCGGGTACCCACAGGACTTCCCGGACCCGTGGTTACTCACGTGATATATTGTTCAATGACAAATATTATCTAGAACTCTATGGTTACACTACAAGTCACTAATGTTCACATTTCTTTCTGACTGTGCACCCATTCCTTCTGATTTTTCATATGGTTGAATAAAGATATAACTTAATTCAACTTCAGTGTATGAATGACCAGATTGTTTAATACATGTTTCTAACTACTTTTTGCCAGGGCTATGCTAAAATGTTCCCAATCGGACATTTTGAGACACCTCCTGAGACCTACAGTGGGTACCCGGGTAGGGTCGGGTAATAGGGGGGTGGGTACCCGGGTAGTAAATTTGGACTCGTCCCAGCCCTAGTAGAGAGAACTATGATCTGATTTAATGAGATTGGTACAAGCAACCACTCCAACGTAAGAATCAGTTTCACAGACATTCACAAGGACATTTAATATAGGATAGGATAGGATAGAACTCCAATATTGTTCATGAATAAATATGGTTATGATCCATAATAACATAACGATCAATGTATGTAAATCTAAGTTTCACATCATGTTTACAGTATCACGTGTTTCTGATTCCAGATGCCAATGGTACTGTGACGTCAATGGACGTCACCCCTTGTCCCGTGCAGCCGTGTGCCTTTCATAAGGGCGACGATGCCAAGGTCAAAATCTGTTTCAAGTCACGTGAGTCATTTTCTTTAATTGTAATATTATTCTTCTATTAGATATTATTAATATTTGGTGGTGTTACTAAGTTACGTTGTATTCTAGAAGTGGCGTAATGTTTCATGAAACAAGGGGCGGTCGGGTAGCCCAGTGGTTAAAGCGTTTGCTCGTCACGCCGAAGACCCGGGTTCGATTCCCGACATTGGTACAGTGTGTGAGGCCCATTTGTTGTGTCCCCCGCCGTGATATTGCTGGGATATTGCTAAAAGCGGCGTAAAACCTCACTCATTCACTCATGAAACAACCGATGGGTGATGGTACTTTGTTTGAGACGTAATATTTATTGATTATTCAGTCATTGCTTCGTTATTTCTATTATATGAAGTGAGAAGCCTCATTTAACGGTGGTGTGCCTATGTTTATTTGAATACATCATACCAGTATCAGCTTGACAAACACAATTTTTAAATTATGTAAACCTGAAAAAATAACGATTTCAGCTGCGTCGTCAAGTAACTTGACAGCCGAGATTGACGGGATCGTGGCAGGGATTCCAGTTAAATTCCCCATGCCTAACCCTGACGGCTGTTACCAGTCAGGTATCGGGTGCCCCGTCTCCCAGGGCCAGACCTACTGCTACACCAACAACTTGGCAGTGCTGCCGTCATACCCCACGGTAACTGAGGATACTCCTTACATCATCTTTCATACCTTTATATACCCAGTCATATAAAACGTATATATACATAAAATAAATAAACACTCCTATCCACGGGAATAGAACGCCTTACTACCCTTCTATCCACGGTTATGGGGCGCATTACTACCCTTCTATTTCCGGGTATAGAATTCATTATTACGGTCCTATCCACGGATAGGTAACGCATAACTACCCTCCTATTGACGGGTATAGAACGCATTGCTACCCAACGTATTACACATATTGTTCCAGATCCGGCTTGTGGTTAAATGGTCTCTTTCTGGGGACAACAAGGTCCCTCTATTCTGCGTTCTCTTCCCCGTGGAGATAGATGATGCTGAGAGGGCGGGCCCTCTGTCCGTCGGGGACACACCCACAGGGGAAGAGGTTGACACGTTCAGTCGTGACGACGGAAGTACTAAGTGACTATTCCACCTGCAGCTACAGTCCTGGTTCATCCGCATCACCATGGTGACGACGCAGCATCAGTGTCCTCGGGAGCCTCACACTTCTTGTCTACGCCGGTAGTTGCTGCGTTTGCATCTTCCCGAGGCAAGGGAGTTAACTGACTGTAAGGTGTAGTTTCCACGTCAGTTAACTCCCTTGCCTCGGGAAGATGCTGCGTTAGTAGCTCAGAAGGACATTGTGTCAGCGTTATGGGTTTTGTAGATCGATGCTCTCGGTTCCATTTCATGATGTTTTTGTGTTAACCTAACAAGTTTGGAATGTATTTGTTTGTGTATGTGATGTTCGATGTTCTACGAGGCAAGGGAATTAACTGACTGTAAAAGTCTAGTTTCTACGTCAGTTAACTCCCTTGCCTCGGGAAGATGCTGCGTTAGTAGCTCAGAAGGACGTTGTGTCAGCGTTATGGGTTTTGTAGATCGATGCTCTCGGTTCCATTTCATGATGTTTTTGTGTTAACCTAACAAGTTTGGAATGTATTTGTTTGTGTATGTGATGTTCGATGTTCTACGAGGCAAGGGAATTAACTGACTGTAAAAGTCTAGTTTCTACGTCAGTTAACTCCCTTGCCTCGGGAAGATGCTGCGTTAGTAGCTCAGAAGGACGTTGTGTCAGCGTTATGGGTTTTGTAGATCGATGCTCTCGGTTCCATTTCATGATGTTTTTGTGTTAACCTAACAAGTTTGGAATGTATTTGTTTGTGTATGTGATGTTCGATGTTCTACGAGGCAAGGGAATTAACTGACTGTAAAAGTCTAGTTTCTACGTCAGTTAACTCCCTTGCCTCGGGAAGATGCTGCGTTAGTAGCTCAGAAGGACATTGTGTCAGCGTTATGGGTTTTGTAGATCGATGCTCTCGGTTCCATTTCATGATGTTTTTGTGTTAACCTAACAAGTTTGGAATGTATTTGTTTGTGTATGTGATGTTCGATGTTCTACGAGGGAAGGGAATTAACTGACTGTAAAAGTCTAGTTTCTACGTCAGTTAACTCCCTTGCCTCGGGAAGATGCTGCGTTAGTAGCTCAGAAGGACATTGTGTCAGCGTTATGGGTTTTGTAGATCGATGCTCTCGGTTCCATTTCATGATGTTTTTGTGTTAACCTAACAAGTTTGGAATGTATTTGTTTGTGTATGTGATGTTCGATGTTCTACGAGGCAAGGGATTTAACTGACTGTAAAAGTCTAGTTTCTACGTCAGTTAACTCCCTTGCCTCGGGAAGATGCTGCGTTAGTAGCTCAGAAGGACATTGTGTCAGCGTTATGGGTTTTGTAGATCGATGCTCTCGGTTCCATTTCATGATGTTTTTGTGTTAACCTGACAAGTTTGGAATGTATTTGTTTGTGTATGTGATGTTCTAAATGGATGTGTATAATCATGTGTGAGAACCTATACATCGGGTGGTCAGGCTCGCTGTCTTGATTGATGCATGTCATCGATCCCAATTGCGTGGATCGATGCTCATAATATTAATCACTGAATTGTCTGGTCCAGACTCGAGTATTTACAGACCGGCGTCATATAGCTTGAATTTTGCTGAGTGCGGCATTCAACAACAAACCAACAAACCAACTTTGTGTGTTGTAGGTGCGACTTGACGAAACGTCCGTCAAAGGCAAACCTTTCCGTTACATTAAAAACGAAAGAAACCCAAATTAAATTATCTGAGCTCCACACAAATATAAGACGCGTGTAGCATGGTCACAATTCTATTCACGGAAGGGAGATTTTGAACATCCATGGGGAAGTAATGTAATGGTGGTCAATCAGTTAGTCCAGTCACATGTACTCTTCATTTGGTTCGTGGCCACCATTGATAATATAGATGTATTCCCGGCTGGCTAAACCTTGCGTGTGTATTCAAGTTAACGCCGATGAACGCCGCCTATATCATGTATATATTCAAAAATTCATGTAAGACGTTAGCCTGTCCCCCAGACCCTAGAGAATAAATTAGAAAAGGAGTCCAACTCAAGTCTAGAATGATTTGGCAAGTCTAGATTGCCTCAGCTCCAGGAAATTAAGGATGGTTCAGGGCTCCATTTGGATATTTTATATTTTATAGATATATATTTTTAAATAAGATAACTTTATTTCTGGAACTAAATGTGATTCTTATAAGATTTCTTTATACTCCCTGCTATGATCCAACTATGCTAACGGGAAGACGTAAGTATACACTTGAAACTTGGATTTAACACAAAAAATTCAAACGTTATCACAACATTACTCGGTCGAAGCGGCGACTAACGGGATCGGGTGGTCAGGCTCGCTGACTTGGTTGACGACTCAATTATTTACAGACCACCGTCATATAGCTGGAATATTGCTGAGAGCGGCGTTAAGCAACATACGAACAAACAAACTACCGTATTTCCTCTATTAGACGCCGGGTCTCTAATAGAAGCCGGGTCAATTGTTCAGTGCAAAAAATAGAAGCCGGGCCTCTAATAGACGCCGGGTCGATCAATTGATACAATTAATGATCGCTTTCATAGTGAAATAGGGGCCTCCAATAGACGCCGGGTCAAAGGCCACTGCAAACAAAAGGTCCAAAACACAACTATGATACCCGTATCAAATACATCACCATCGAATAACCATTTCTTGTTTGTTTCATTTTTAGCCAACATCAATCAATTTACCTATGCTTGGAGGCTGAGCGTTCGCCTCCAATGTGTTATTTTTTATGTTTACTATGTATATATATTTGAAATAAACAATTACCGTTGTGACAAAATGAGAGTGTGGTTTATCTATTTTATATACACCACAATTAAGATGAGTTTTCATCACGTGGCTTATAGTTTTTTAAATGACTCGGAGATATGTTATCTCCAGGTGCTCTGGGACTCAACCATGTCAACATCGTGACATACTCCATTAATGGCGAGCAATACGCATACGTGTAACATTAATTTCTGGAATATTGCTAAAAGCGGCGTAAAAACATACTCACTCACTCACGTGTAACATTGTGGGCCTCGGACTTGGAAGTTCTATTCCACTAATCCAAGCTGTGGACATAGTTGGTCAAGTTCCCCCTCGGGTCCACTGGTCTTGGGGTCGAATCCAAGATCCAGTGAGCATTAGTCTTTAAGCACCATATACACGTGCTCTTTGGTGATACACGTCTACGAGACCCGCGAAGATCCGGGGTAGAACCCATGCTTGCCGTCAAAGGCGACTAACGGGATCGGGCGGTAAGGCTCGCTGGCTTGGTTGATGCATGTCATCGTATCTCAATTGCGTGGATCGATGCTCTTGATGTCGATCACTGGATTGTCTGGTCCAGACTCCATTATTTCCTTACCGCCGTCATATAGCTGGACTATTGCTGAATGCGGCGTTAAACAACAAACAAACAAAACAAACAAACACGTCTACGACCTGTGTGGGTTTTCCTCCGACATCAAGCTGACACGCCATGAATTAACTGAAAAAAACTGTTCAGAGGGGCTTTAAACACGACAGACTCACTCACTCACCCACCCACCCACTCACTCACTCACTCATTCGTGTCAGAGTTTTCAAGTAGACATTTTGTGTTTTAGATTATAATCAAGTTCAAAATGAATGCCATTAAATTCGTGCTTTAAATTATTATTTTTTCATTACACATGGGTAGTCCATATGCATATAAATCCATTTCAAGATCGGATACAATATGCTATAATACATTGGCGGAAACACTATTTCAATGGAAAGGTTTAGCTGTTATGAAAGAAGCTGTCATTTTTTTTTATCAAAAAGAATAAGAGTATAATTTTATTCCTACACAATAACATAACGTCATGAACATGGTACAATGATTTTTAAAAAAAATAAACATTACAAATTTACTCTGAACCGAATAGCTGACAAAAACATTCACCGACTCACCATTGCTAAGTTTGAAAATGTATGTAAATATAAATATTTTTATGTGCCGCTCGAGGTTTTATTGGGGACGAAACGGTTCCTTAAAGTACACAGCTTAAATAAAATTAACATGTCAAATGTACACCCTAAATGATACCGCAACTGTCTTTAGTTACAAAGAAGGGAGGTAACTGCCATTAAGTTGTGTATAGCAGCTTGTCGGATCTAAATGTGTCATGTCTACTTTTCATGTTTACGAGTAACAGATCGTAACTGAAAGGCTGTCATCTGATACATTTTCTGCAAACTCTCACCAAAGCATCTATACATTACTTCAGCACAATGTCGTCGTCTGGCAAGAAGTTGATCAATAAGGTTGATGCATGTGTAGACGAATGCCTGGATGGGTTGGTGGCGGTCAACCCCGGCCTGAAGAAGTTATCCGGACACAGAGTCATTGTTAGATCGGACATCGACTCGGTCATCAGCAAGGGGCGGGTCGGTCTACTCTCGGGGGGAGGGTCCGGCCACGAACCCGCCCACGGAGGTAGATATAACATTTATTACATATTTGTATGTGCACTGTTCATAATGGATTCAAATATTCTTCTTCTATTAATCATGTGGCCTATGTAAGATCATCCCCGTTTACCTGTATTTATCACTGTTAAACAAGGCAAAGTAGACACAATTTATGGATAACAACTTCTTTAATACTGTAAGGGTGACGTTTCGGTATAGATCCTTATACCGTTGTCAAGCAAGACTGAATGAGGAACATTGTACAGAATATATATAGTAGATGGAGGATTAACAGTAGAGTAACAGTAACAACAAATGCATACATGAGTGTTTGTTTGTTTGTTAATTTGTTGTTTAACGTGGCACTCAGCAATATCCCAGCTATATGACGGTCTGTAAATAATCGAGTCTGGACCAGACAATCCAGTGATTGACATCATGAGCATCGATCCACGCAATTGGGATACGATGACATGCATCAACCAAGTCAGCGAGCCTGACCACCTGTTCCCGTTAGTCGCCTCTTACGACAAGCATAGTCGCCTTTTACGTCAAGCATGGGTTGCTGAAGACCTATTCTAACCCGGGTCTTCACAGGTGCATAAATGAGTGGGATAACATGAGTAGGTATATAATGACAATCCGAGATAAATGCCTGTCTTTGCAAGATCAGAAATCATATGTCTGAACTTGGACCTCCTCATTGAAGTTAGGGAAGAAATTGCCTCCACAACCTGCTTTCTGGAACACCAGACTTGCCAAATACAATTTACAAGTTATTGTGAAAAGTGAATGAGTAGCATATACTTCAGTTAAATGTAGTCACAATGTCCATCTTGCAGGATACATTGGTGAGGGGATGCTGAGTGCTGCTGTTGCTGGCGCTGTATTCACGTCCCCACCCCCCAACAGCATTCAGGCGGCTGTGAGAGCCATCGGCAAAAACAACCCAGGTGAGACAATTGGTGTAAAGTGTTGATGCCTTCTGATAATTTATCTGATGCCTGTATTCTTCAACTGAGCACAGGGGGCACGGGTGGCCCAGTCGCCTAGGCGCCGCGATTCGCTGTGCAGAGTTGCGTCCCTTGGGCACGCCAGAAACCTACGATTGTGGGTTCGAATCCCAGGTTCGCCCTGGTTATGTTTCTAGGTTTGTCAGCACCATACCTGTGCTTGTGGGTTTCACCTAAGTGGTAAACGTCTGAGACCTGCATCACTTCAGGCTTTCCTCCCACATTAAGCTGACACGCCACGATATAACTGTAATACTGTTTAAAGTGGCGTTAAACCAAACTCGCTTACTCACCCAACTGAGCATGCTGGGATGATTTTGTGTTCACTTCAAAATTCAAACTGTTGTGTAGCCAGAGTTCTGTAACGAGGTACTTAAAGCCAGTCTATTGAATCTAAGTAACATAGACTAAAATTCAAAAGTTTAGAAAACTGAAAACATTGCTCAAGAAATGTTTTCGCACAGTACTGGGTCTACCTCAAACAATAAGAAAGTCATGATAATGTAGACATGAAGAGTATTAAATTTTGTATCTGACGGTGTAAACATAATTTCAAATATGAGATTGTTTTAGAAAAACAAACACTGCACTAAGGTATGTTTTGCGTAAGAAAACCAGCAAACGTTTAGTTGTACAGTGACAAGAGTGCTGGGTAAAGAAAATGTTTTGACAGCTTTACGTAAAATGTGAGTGAACAAAATACTGACTGACAAAATAATGTCGGAAGGATATAATGATATATCAAATGGATTTGTATGCTTACAAATGAGGTTACACATTCTATATGACACCTAATACAATGTGTACACCTCGACGAGGCATAGACACCCCCTGGGATCCAGATAAGCTGTGTATTGACATCAAATACGAAAAAAGAAATCATACTTCTCCCCATTAGTCTGGACCCAAGGGAGTTACTATATACTGAATACCCAAGGAAAACTCTGAATACCCACTGTGAATGATAACACTCAATCGCTCAGTAAGATATGTGGAACCCTGTAGGGCTGGGGCGGGGAACTCGGGTACCTGGTTCGGGTGGGTACTGAGTAGGACCTGGGTACCCATGGGACTACCCGTACCCGTGGTTAGTCATGTGATATATTGTTAAATGACAAAAATTATCTAGAACGCTATAGTTGCACTAATGTCACTTATGTTCGCATTTCTTTCTGACTATGCACCCATTCCTTCTGATTTTTTATATGGTTGAATAAAGATATAACTTAATTCAACTTCAGTGTATGAATGACCAGATTGTTTAATACATGTATCTAAATACGTTTTTGCCAGGGCTATACTAAAAATGTTCCCAATCGGACATTTTGAGACATATCCTGAGACCTACAGTGGGTACCTCGGGTAGGGTCGGGTAATAGGGGGATGGGTACCCGGGTAGTAAATTTGGACTCGTCCCAGCCCTAGAACCCTGCATCCTGTAAGTCGTATGATGATACACCACCCAAGGGAGGATCAAGCATTTTTTAAAGGGATGGGTCCAAAATATCAAAATCTTCTCTCTGATAATTAACTGCCTACAACATACTACATTTGGTTTTCAAAAGGGGAGGAGGGTCAGGACCCCCTGGATTGTGAGTTCCCCTACATTTGCACAGTATTGACCACGGTATTGTACACATACACCTCAAACAATACCTACATTAGTTTTTGTCATCTTCCCAAGGCAAGGGAGTTAGCTGAATATAAAAGTCCAGTTTCCATGCTTGACGGAATTTCCAGACTCAATCATGGCGCCTCCAGTGGTTATTATGAGTTATGTCCCTTCTATGTCCCTCCTATTGACCAATCAGATTCAGCCTCACATAGTCTCAGTCTCTCAAAATAGCGGCACCCAGTCAAGACAATCTGATCAATAATCAAGATCTATATTATAAGAAATGGATCTAACCCCCTGAAGTGCATCAAATCACTTGAGCACCTTGGTAAAAAAACTTTAAAAGATTTGGAAAATATCTGTCGATGCCCAGTTGCTGGTACACATGCTTTGCAAATCCTACAGTCGACCGAAACCTGCACATTGAAATCCATGTTGTTTATAAACCAGATGTCTAGTTTGTTACGCGATTTTGATTGGACTCTGCGTAGACTTGTTAGTCCAGCCAAAATGTAACTCCGGAATTCCAGCTTGGTTTGGCGAGATGATTTTTTGTCAGTAGTGCATATATATGACAACCTCCCGAATTAGTCCATTTGTATAGCATAACTGTTGAATTTGATGTTTGACATTGCCGCTAGTCTTAGACAGTTTGTATTTCTCTCAAAATGGAGTAACAATAGTAATACGAATTGTGGGTGAGTTGAATTTAGCCCATGGTGTCTCCTTGGGACCAGTATCAGTCTCAGGGTTAAAGTTGTCTATAGTTAATCCAACACCTCATGTGACAGGTGGGGTGTTGATGATCGTGAAGAACTACACTGGCGACCGCCTCAACTTCGGACTGGCTGCCGAGAGGGCCAAGGCGGAGGGGATCAGTGTCGATATGGTGGTGGTGGCGGAGGACTGCGCCCTGACATCCACAGACAAGACAGCCGGCAGGAGAGGACTGTGTGGGACAGTCCTTATACACAAGGTAGGAAGCCTCCTGTCAACCACTGTTAGCCTGACCCGAACATGCCTGGGCAGAGTAGTCCCTTCAAAATTAGACCGCCTCCGTGGTCTAATGGTAGAGCGTCCGCCCGGAGAGCGGAAGGTCCGGGGTTCGATCCCCAGCCGCGTCATACCAAAAGACGTTAAAAGATGGTACTTGTTGTTACCCTGTCTGGCGCTCGGCATTAAGGGGCTAAAACAAGGACTGGTCGGCTCGGAGTCAGTATACTGTGTCTGAGTGGGGTATTCATGTTAAACTGCGGCATGGTATCTCAGTGTGCTAGCACTATAAATCGGCATCAGTCCAGACTAGTACAAGCAGCCACACACACACATACACGTGCATGCACGTCGCTATATAAGTGCAATAATCTTGGACGAGACGTTAAACCCCATTTCTCCTCACCTCACCTCACCCTTCAAAATTCATGCATATCTGCTGAGGACAAGTTAAAATCCAATGATGGTTGTCCTCATTGTCCAGTTTCATTTGAGGGCTATAATTCTGAACCAGTCCTCAGAGCGTCAATTTTGCTACAATTTGGAGCTGAATAGAACTGACAGAAAATGTAAATGTAACGAAACCCCATGTGTGGCATGTGGGTGTCATACAACTTTGGTCCTATGTCCCTGCACATCACTTCTCAAGGGGCAGCGATATATTTGTGGATTTGTGTTGGCGCCATTGTGAAATATACAGCTATTTTCCAGATGTGGAAGACTTACCATCCCTATATACTATATAAATGGTCGACCTCTGTTTTTATGACAGTCTCCCAAAAGCTGGCCTGCTGGGGGTTACACACACATTATTGTCGACAGGCACATTTGTCGGGGCCTGTAAGGTGATTATAGTGTCACTCACTCAGCTATTTTCTAGTGCTAATTGAAGAGCTGATGTTGGATTTTCTGTTGTTGACTTTGTCATGTTCCACGCCCATGTGGTGTTTCACCCAGATGGTCAATGCTCGTGACTTCTTCAAGGTATGGTTACACATTTGATAAGATAAACCTGTGTGGCTTATTGTGTTGAGTCTGCCAAGGAGTGAAATTGCCTGCTTCTTTGTTTGTTATATGGCGTGAATTGTACCAGATGTGTGAAATGATAGTGAAGTTGTAATGCTGACAAATGTCTGTAAAATTAGTTTCAGGCGTGTAGATCAATGTCTGGTGTGTCCATCATGTTGACTGATACATGTACGACACCTTAATGGCATACTGTGTATTAACTTATTTGCATGTGTGCCCTTTGCGTTGCCCGCCATACTGCCTAAAGAAGCTGGTTGGTTGGCTTGTTGTTTTACGCAGCACTCAGCAATATTCCAGCTATATGACGGCGGTCTGTAAATAATCAAGTCTGGACCAGACAATCCAGTGATTAATATCATGAGCTCGATCCACGCAATTGGAACGATGCCATGCATCAACCAAGTCAGTGAGCCTGACCACCCGATCCCGTTAGTCGCCTCTTACGACAAGCATAGTTGCCTTTTACGGCACCTAAAGGAGCTACCCCAAAGGAGCTACCCCAAGCTGGGCCACATTGGTGGGTGCTGGGTCTTTGGCGTGAACTCTCAACCCAAGAACATCCCACAGATACTCTATTAGGTTTGGACTTAGCGGGCCAGTCCAATGTCCATATGCCTTGTCGGAGATAATCAGTAATGTCCTGGGCCTGATGTGGTCTGCCCTTTTCATCTTGCATTTCAATACTTCTGCTGATAATTCTAGCGAATGGGACGACAGGATGCAAAATTTCATCAACTACAGTGTAATCTTTTTCTGCGCATAATATTCAATTTTTTTCCACAAAATACTGAATCAGCTAGAGGGGGGTGCGCTTTATACTTTGGTGCGCTTTATACTTTGGTGCGCTCTATACTCCAGAAAATACAGTATTGCTGTGCAAATGTCCACTCACAATAACCAAGTCAGTTTGCCTGTCATGTGTGATGCCGCCCCACTGCATGACACAACCGCGCTTATACTGATCATGGTCAAGAACTGTTGCCCTGGTAACTGCATGTCGCTACATCGTCAACAACGATTTCTGCAATCTGTGAATCTGAGGCAAAATATTGATTCGTCTGTAAACATGATGTAATGTTATTAGCACACAGCCCGTCCCTGATGTTGTCTAGCCCACCCCAATCATTGCCAACTATGGTATGCTGTTGGGATCACACCCTTCACGGGACCCCATGCTTTCAGGCTGGCTGCATGTAACTGGTTTTTAACGGTAGATGTTGACATTCACTTTCCTGTTATCGTACAGAATTCTCCATTGATAACAGGAGCAGATTTGAATCTATTGCATTGTGCAATTTAGGTTATGAGACAATCTTGTCTATGTGTTGCCTTTTTAGGTCATGCCCAGATCTCAATGCACGCCCACCTGTTTGATGATACTTGTCCTACAGTCGAGACATACACTGTTTGATTATCCAAACATTCAGGCAACATGGATGTTGTCTTCCCCCATTCTTACACACACTTTTACTTCTGTGTGCACATGCATCACATGCTGTTCATGCATGATGCATATTTTCATTGTGATTAGATGTTGAAATATGTGCGTAGAAATTAGTGTGAAACCAACAAACAACCAACAAGTGGTGTACAATCATCAAATTTGTTACAAAATTCACTAAGTTTACAAATCAATACAAATTACTGCACAGCTATTACAGTGATAGTAAACAATAGAGTGGTAGTACAATATTCAATGGCAATAAATAATATGATGGCAGTGATCAGTATCAAGTACAAAAATACAGACGTGCTAGCAAAAGTCAGTGATGATAATATATATTCACCCAGTTGCAACAGTGGTCAAGCTTCCGGGATGGGCTAGGCAGGGAATCGGGGATGATGAGTGATCCTCACATGAAAGCTGGTTCCAAAGTGATGAAATGTGTGAGAGATATGTAAACATGCAATTGACCTTATATACAACCTAACAAACTACTGGAAATTCTCTACCATGCCCTCACCGCATAGAACATGACAGTAATTTGGGTAACATACGATCACTGTCCGCGGAATACTGGACCAGAAGTTTACACAACACACTAGCATCTTAAAATAGTAACTTCCTGACGACTGATCACTCTCCAAACACAATGCAATTAGCGTCTACCGAATCCCAACAGAAACAATGCAACACAGTTCCAATCATTGTAAAACAGTAAGATACACTGCCATATACCAGTATTCATTGCAGGGTAGGGGCAGTCTGGTAGCCTAGTGGTTAAAGCGTTCGCTTGTCACGCCGAAGACCCGGGTTCGATTCCCGACATGGGTACAATGTGTGAAGCCCATTTCTGGTGTCCCCCACCGTGATATTGCTGGAATATTGCTAAAAGCGGCGTAAAACCATACTCACTCACTCATTGCAGGGTAGTCCCTTTAGATTGTTTTTCTACCCTGTCAATGGTTTGTCTGAACCAGATTCAATTTTGAAAGCCTACACAGCTTTGAATAACATCACGTGTTCCTTGTTACAGATAGCAGGTGCCCTTGCTGAAGAGGGGAAGTCATTGGCTGACATTGCAACCATTGCCAGAGATGCTACTACCAAAATGGGTGCGATATTTAACCTCTCATTAACAATTCATTTGTGTAATGAAACTATTTATTTCCCAGTAAGGGTTTTGTATGTGTGGAATATAATGTATTAATGAATTTTTTTATTTATTTATATGCATTTGTGACTGGTCATATCTTACAGTGAACCCCCCAAATACAAGTAACATGGTTCCTTGCCCCCCCCCCCCCCCCCCCCCTCCGCTGTATCATTTTTTTCATGACAAATTTTATTCAACATGTTCATTCCGAGATGCATGAGGGAATGATAATCACTTTTAGAAGAAATAATTGTGTAAGATACCTGACCTTGGTAAAAATATTCTGTCCCTTCACTTCAGGTGAAGTTTTTGTTGGAACCAGTGGAAAAGAACAGATGTACTCAAAATGTTAATGTTGCTATTCATTTTTCGCTAAACGAATACAAGACACAATAACTCCCCATTACCTACTTTTGATTGGGGATGAATCCGATGGGGAGTGGATAAAACGTGGCAACATGTTATGACATTGGCCAGACATTGACTTAATACCCCTCTCTCTCTCTCTAGGGACTATTGGACTGTGTCTGTTTCCCTGCAGTGTACCTGGATCCGGACCTTCCTTCCACATCCAGGATGACGAGATGGAACTTGGCCTTGGTTAGCGCTTTACAATCTTTTTCTTCGACGTAACAAACAAGTGACTCAGTGAGCACATCAGTCTAGGGAGCGGCAGCTTGCTGCGCAGAGTGGTGTCCCTTTAGGGTACCAGGATTTTATCCTGCTTGAGCTGCATCGGAGTTTGCTAGTGTCGTAGCGAGGATCTTCGTAAACGATCATGTAGTCAAACTCTCTGACTAACTCAATGTATACTGAAACACTGAGTTTAAGATTAAAGGGTCTAAATGATGAGAAAGAACGCTTCTGTATGTATCCGTACAAGGGAATTCCCAAGGGTTTCCCCAGGAATGTGGAAGTAGTCCGTCAGTGTTTACGTCATTTCAAGAACACGGTCTCGTGAAAAAATGTATGAACGTCATATTGTGTCGTTCATACACTTATGAACGTCAATTTCACGGTAATGTGATGATCTCTTGTCCAATGGAAAAGCTGTATATCGTGTAAACTTCAATTAAAATAATTATAATACGTTAAACCTCATTCCTTGCACTTCTGAAGAATGTTTCCCATTGACATAACATTTATGACATATCTCTATCTTCCTGGATGTAGCCTGTGAAGATCCAGGATAGAATAGGTCTTCAGCCAGCCATGCTTGCTGTAAAAGGCATCTACGTATTATGACGTCATAAGAGGCGACTAACAAGATCGTGTGGTCAGGCTCGCTGACTTGGTTGATGCATGTCACCGTATTCCAATCGATGTAGATCGATGTTCTTGATGTCAATCACTGGATTGTCTGGTCCAGACTTGATTATTTGCAGAATGCTGTCATACAGCTGGAAAACTGCTGAGTGCAGCGTTAAACAACAAACAATACCAATCATTGTTGACTTTGTGAGGAGTTATTAGCGAGTACAATTAGTAGCAGACATGTTTATGTTTGTGTCTACATATGTGTAGCAATGGCATTTAGTCGCCACAAGATAATTTCAGACAAATTGAAATTTAGGTTGCATTGGCGACTGTTTTAGTCGCAACTTTGAGACTTGTTTGATTGTGTGCCATCACACCAAAATTGCTTTGGATGCTGCTCATCATATCAACCACTAGCTTGATTATTTACGGGCAATCATTGTATAGCTGGATCATATCAACCACTAGCTTGATTATTTATGGGCAATCATTGTATAGCTGGATCATATCAACCACTAGCTTGATTATTTACGGGCAATCATTGTATAGCTGGATCATATCAACCACTAGCTTGATTATTTACGGGCAATCATTGTATAGCTGGATCATATCAACCACTAGCTTGATTATTTACGGGCAATCATTGTATAGCTGGATCATATCAACCACTAGCTTGATTATTTACGGGCAATCATTGTATAGCTGGATCATATCAACCACTAGCTTGATTATTTATGGGCAATCATTGTATAGCTGGATCATATCAACCACTAGCTTGATTATTTACGGGCAATCATTGTATAGCTGGATCACATCAACCACTAGCTTGATTATTTACGGGCAATCATTTTATAGCTGGATCATATCAACCACTAGCTTGATTATTTACGGACAATCATTTCATAGCTGGATCACATCAACCACTAACTTGATTATTTACGGGCAATCATTGTATGGCTGATCATGTCAACCACTAACTTGATTATTTACGGGCAATCATTGTATAGCTGGATCATATCCACCACTTACTTGATTATTTTTATTGTACCATAATATATGTGTCTATATTCTCAAGGCATCCATGGGGAGGCTGGAGTGAAGAGGACTAAGGTAGGGATCTTTCAGTCACATTATAGGTTAATGACATTAGACCGGTCCCTCAGGGTATATGGTGTTGTGCACCCTGTGTGTGCACACACTAACATAGGATTACACACAGGGTACATCAAACCACACACTCCAATGGACCAGTTGACAAGAATTTATCTTACCAGCAAAATTTGCTACGTTATTCTTAAATCTCATCATCAGTATGGCTAGTGAATTTTTTCACTGACATCTTGACAGCTTTCATATACCACAATACTAAAATATCAAGCCTGCACTTCATTAATAGTACAGGTGTACTTATGATCTTTCCCTTGTGGATGACTTAATTGCTTTGGATTTGAACCTGTTATTCTAGCATAGCTAAGGAACGCATCTCTGCCCAGAAAGTACCTCTGGGCCATCATAGTCCCTGGCCTTGTATTTGTACACTGGTGTTTGTCCTAGTTTCATTAACCTCAGTAATATTTTCTACAGCTGGTGAGTGCAAAGGAGGCGGTCAAGCTGATGCTGGACCACATGACCAACCCCAAGACCACCACTCATCTCCACCTGTCCCCAGGTAAACCTTGATGACCCCAGTGCTGTCCCCCCCCCAGCATTTTTCCTGCTGTCCCCAGTGCTGACCCCAGTGCTGTCCTGCTGTCCCAAATGCTGTCCCCAGTGCTGTCACCTGTGATGTCCCCAGTGCTGACACCAGTGCTGTCCCCAGTGCTGTCACCTGTGATGTCCCCAGTGCTGTCCCCCCAAGTCTTGTTCCTGCTGTCCCAAATGCTGTCCCCAATGCTGACCCCAGTGCTGACCCAAGTCTTGTTCCTGCTGTCCCAAATGCTGTCCCCAATGCTGACCCCAGTGCTGACCCAAGTCTTGTTCCTGCTGTCCCAAATGCTGTCCCAAATGCTGACCCAAGTCTTGTTCCTGCTGTCCCAAATGCTGTCCCCAATGCTGACCCCAGTGCTGGCCCAAGTCTTGTTCCTGCTGTCCCAAATGCTGTCCCCAATGCTGACCCAAGTCTTGTTCCTGCTGTCCCCAATGCTGACCCCAGTGCTGACCCAAGTCTTGTTCCTGCTGTCCCAAATGCTGTCCCCAATGCTGACCCAAGTCTTGTTCCTGCTGTCCCAAATGCTGTCCCCAATGCTGACCCCAGTGCTGACCCAAGTCTTGTTCCTGCTGTCCCAAATGCTGTCCCCAATGCTGACCCAAGTCTTGTTCCTGCTGTCCCAAATGCTGTCCCCAATGCTGACCCAAGTCTTGTTCCTGCTGTCCCAAATGCTGTCCCCAGTGCTGACCCAAGTCTTGTTCCTGCTGTCCCAAATGCTGACCTCAGTGCCAACCCCAGTGCCGACCCCAGTGCTGTCACCTGTGCTGACCTCAGTGCCGACCCCAGTGCTGATCCCAGTGCTTTCACCTGTGCTGACCTCAGTGCTGACCCCAGTGCTGTCACCTGTCATGACCTCAGTGCCGACCCCAGTGCTGTCCCCAGTGCTGTCCCAAGTGCTGACCCCAGTGCTTTCATCAGTGCTGACCCCACTGCTCTGATACTGGTTGATGTGATGGAGCTGAAATTTGGCTTATAGGTTCCTGCTCATGAAGAAATTTTCTCCGTGATCAATCAATTTGATTTTTCCAAAAACCTAGCATCAATCTTTCTATATATAAACTCACCATATATGTTTGACCAATGTAAGGTTGAAGTATCACAAAGTCATTTCTCACAAGTCAGATACAACTGCAGACAGAGCCTTGTGGCTCTAGTTTCTTTCCTTGACAATCTCATTCTGTCAAATCAGTTGATGGTATGCACTGAGATCCTGCACCAAATGTCTTTGAAATGTTCAATGAAAGAGACATGTCAGTTGTTTCGGCCATCATCAGAGTGTCATGACCTGCTGTGTCTTGTCACAATGTGAGTGAGGGACAATGTCAGACATTGAATGACTTGGGTTCCTTTGCAGATTTTTAAAGTTTTCAGGCAATATCATGTCTTTGAAAAATTAATTGACCAAGATGCTGTGCACACTTCCAACCACACTCCACTTGTCTGTATCTGCATCCAGAGTTGCATCCCTTGGGCACGCCAGAAACCTATGATTGTGGGTCCGAATCCCGGTTCGCCCCGATTATGTTTCTAGGTTTGTGAGCACCATACCCGTGCTCGTGGGTTTCACCGAAGTGGTAAACATCTGAGACCTGCATCACTTTGGGCTTTCCTCCCACATTAGGCTGACACGCCGCGATATAACTGGAATACTGTTAAAAGCGGCTTTAAACCCAACTCACTCACTCACTCCCTGTATCTGCATCCATATTTTGCAGGCGACCGTGTGGCGTGTATGGTGAACAACTTGGGGGGTACTTCAGTCCTGGAGCTCACAATTGTCACACGAGAGGCACTCTGCTACCTAGGTACAGTTGATGAATAGAAGTCTCACCAGAGAGTCTTTTCATGTCAAATATATCAACAAGCCAGTAAAAGGTTTAAGCTCTGAAGTTTAAGAAGGAGTTCTAAACAAGTGTTTGATATTTTATATCAAAGGACAAGAGGGTGAGATTCTGTTTTTTATCCAGCATCATTCTTCCAACTTTTTCAGTTTGTAGACAGTAATTACCAGTGTTTTGAGTGTAAAAAATAAAGCTGGTACAAGGGTGTAGCGGTAGTGAGCACTGATATCAAATTTTAATGAGATTGCAAAATTATTGCACAAGTTAATGACTCTACCTGCCCTAAGTTTATGTTACCCGTGAAGATCCGGGGTAGAATAAGTCTTCAGCAACCCATGCTTGCCGTAAAAGGCGACTATGCTTGTTGTAAGAGGCAACTAAAGGAGATCCCATGATCAGACTCGCTGACTTGGTTGATGCATGTCATCGTTCCCAATTTCGTGGATCAATGCTCATGATGTCAATCACTGGATTGTCTGGTCGAGACTCGATTATTTACAGACCGCCGTCATATTGCTTGAATATTGCTGAGTGTGGCGTTAAACAACAAAACAAACAAAATCCTAAGTTTGTGTGAAACAATGATGTTGAGTCTTATTAGAATAGTTTGAATACCAGTAGTTTGCTGCCCCAGGTGGCGCTGTCAATGTGCCAGTGTGCTTGTGTTGCAGAGGGCAGAGGACTGAAAGTTGACCGCATGTACTGTGGGACGTTCATGACGTCGCTCCAGATGGCGGGCGTGTCGATCACCCTGCTCAAGTTGGATGACACATTGTGTCGCTGTCTAGGTAGGTAACGCAGTCTCACCATGTGGCTTGATAAATTGTGTTGCTGTCTTAGTATGCTGACTGAAAGTCAAGTGGCCTGTTTCTTGATTTCAATCCAAAATTGATACGGAAGCCATATTGAAAAAGCTATATTTGACAGTTTTCTGTTTAAATTTATGAATGTTTTGTTAGTTGTGTAATTCATCACATACTTATTAAGTTCTGTTTTGTTTTGTGCATTTTTTAAAATGTTGACCATGCTCTAATATTCTCTGAAAATTCATATTTGCTCCTGTAAACGTGCCAGACTGAGAGAGATGAATTTTTGCATGTATATTTCATCTAATGATGACATCATGTTTTGTTGAAATCATTACCGGTAGATTCTAGTGTCAGTCCTCAGCATGTATGCAGACCTTATTTGAATATCAATGCTGCAGCAACCTTTGTTAAGTAGCTGTCTTTGTTTTGTCTTTTTGTCCAGGTGAGCTACAGTGTCATGGCACTATTATTATCCTTTATGTTGTTATAAATGAATTCTGCAGGTTATATCAACACGTGTTGGCAGAGTTGGTCACAGACAGTTGAGTTTATGTAATAATTTGACATCTTGCCTTCTGTCGTCATGGTAACTCTTTTTTCTGTCCTTGTGATAACTTGAACAAATATTGGAAGATTTTACCCAGTATCATGTTTAGTGAAAGTTATTCATGAAACACATTTCATGCTTTGTGGTCGGGCAAAGAACCATGAACTTTGTACACAGTTTGAAAATTTCTACGGTTGATGTTGATCCTATGCTTGTCTCATGGTTAGTTATGGAGTTTTACTGGTCCCAATAAAAAAGTTGAGCAGAGTTCCGACACTTATTCTGTTTACTTAAATTCAATCAAGTTCTGAGTCTGTAGATTAGATGTAACTGGTGTGGTTGATTGTGTCGCCAGATGCTCCAACCTCCGCACCAGGGTGGTCGAAGCCGTACCTGCCCCGTGGAGTGACAGACAGACAGACACCAGGAGAGATGGCCTGTGATAACGCCAGCACTGTGGTCAGTGGTGGGGGGTCAGTCACCTTGTCAAAAGGTATGTACCCTCTGTTAGAAAGGAGATCAAGCGTTCCAGGATGAAAATGTTCTCATCATCAAATGTATATGTAAATATGAGTACATGTGACTGTATTAGCTGGTTGTGATATATACCAGAATTAAGTGGATGAAATATGTTCAGCCCATTTTGGCTGACTAGAATGGGCGATCTTTTTGTCCCAAAGGGCAATAACTCTCCTTTTGAAATGATATAAGCGACGGTCCTAACTGTCGCTTCCGGTCTGGTTCCCGGATCAATGCGCGCTGCGACAACTTCTGACATGTAGAGACGGAGCCAAGCTAAAGAGTTATCCTGTTGCACCTTCGTTCAAAAACGGTCGTTTACAACTGAATATTTTTAACTAGCACATATTTTGTAGTGATTATTAGTTTATAATATCAACATTTGTTGAGTCTTCAACTGCAAGACGAATTGTCACTTTGAAATATAGCGGGAAAAACGTCATGAAAAATGGTATATTGCCACGGTATTTTCTACGTCAGAAAACAGCGAGGCATTCTGTCAGTCTGGGCTAACATATTGCATCCATGAAATAATGCAAACTCATTTTATTTATCAGCCTTTGTGTTATTTCCCACAACAATTCAAGCATTCAAATTTCAACAAATACTACCATGGACTTCAATTTAATAAAATTAGTGATACGCCAACATTTGCAGCACACAGACATCTTTGACAGGCCTTTACCAATGATCTATATAGTAAGTATACATCCGTGCCTTTACAAATATTTTAAGAAGAAATAACGTTCAAAATAATAAAACAACTGATTTTAAATGTTACTTTTTATATCAAAATTAAAGTTGCATCTGAATATTTAAATTTAAATTATTATTTTAGAAATAGCCCAAATGAACATCTACCATGCATCTATTAAGCACTCAGTTACTCAGTTGCAATATACATACCAGTCATCATACATTGAAATAAGAGATTTTATTATTCTGCCCCTTATAACATGTGTCCCATCATTAAGTGCTCTGAGTCATCACAGGTGTTAATTCATTGATCCATCATTTCTTACAGAATTCTGATACTCATGCTCTTAAAAAAGTAGTTAATTACCGAGATGTGTCCGAACAAACAACAAATCATACTGACTAGCCCACAAAATGTGTATGATGCATAAATAGATCTAAATCATAGTTTTTATCTTCTTGTTTTAGTAACATTATATTTATTTTAATGTTGACAAATTATTTCCCATACAAACCCACACACTATCCTGCTGTATCTAAGTATCCTGATTTTCATTCGAGAGTGCTTCAAGACACCTGTAGTATAAAGTATATTTTGTAGATATTATTATCATATAGCAAATATGAATTTTATATGTAAATATGAATATGAAAGTTTATCATCAAATCTTCTGATGGTTAAATAAATGCAAATTAAACCCCATTCATTCCATGTAGATAAATGGATTTATTTATGTTATTTGTTTTTGCATATAACAGATTATACTTACATATGTTACTGTCAGTGTCTATAATCAGGCCCAATATGTATTTTGACTGAAAATTTCAGTCAATATGCATATTGACTGATTCACTCAGGTAAGGTATATATTTTCTTAAATTTTTATTCATTTATTATTGCCTGAAAAAATGGACCGGATTTTAGACAGACTGGCTGAAATGAATAAGACTGCATAATTTAATCTCCTCTATTTAATTTGAATCTATTTAGATCTTATCAAGATCAAAGTAACTTTTGTAAGAAATTAAATATGTTTTCACAATGAATTGATTGATTCTCCAAACCTGGAACAATACCAGAGTCGCTTTTTTATGTTACTTATCATTATTAGCATAATATTCAGTTCAGAAACAGATGACAGCTAAAAAGTAATGCACATGTAATCAAATACTAGTACACATGCACAAGTGCGCCAAGTTATTAAATAAAATAATAAGAGTCATTGTGCAAGGCAGATATCTTTTGGTGTGAAGAGAAAAAAGAATAACATTAATAATTTGTTTATGTTGGAATTTGAAACATCAGTTTAGAACAAGGAAACATAAAAAGCAAGGCCAAATGAAGTTAAGAATCAGCTTTATCTGTGTCACAATCATATGATTATTGTCAATGCAAACTGGATGTAGACACTGCATTGTTAATACCATCAACATTATAGAGATTGGCAATTAGTATGAATATATTGTTTTATTTTATATAAATTGTAGTTGGTACAAATACTCTTGAATATGTATTTTAACTAATATATAGGGTCCTCTGTGTCTGAATTTTTTTTTCTACTTTCTAAAATTAAAAAAAGGCCAAAAGAATATATATCTTTCATTGATCATATTGAAAAATAATCATGGTAGTATCTGGCAACAAACAGCTACCATTCATATACATAAAATCCTTGTATACAACATGCACCAATTAACCTTAAAATATCAAAACAGATTTCAGTGATTTCCATTTCTTTTATTTTGAACATTGTATCATGATATCTAGTTGATGACGTAATTGTACAGTGCCTGTTACTCTTACAATTTCTTGAGAACATTTCTCATTGCTCTCTGTTATATATCTGACAAATACTTACACGTGTTGCTGTCAATATTCACAACATTGAGGCTACGGGCAACGTTGCATAAGACCTTCACATTTCGCGTACCGTATCGCCTCACCGTTGTACATACTGAAATGCATGTATATGATGTAGCCTGCTCGGCGATGCTACAACAAAGATATAGGAACGTATACAATAATCTACTTAATTTTGATATTCATACATCAAGGGCAACACTTTCAGTACCGATTGCAAAACGCCAACAAAGCGACATGGGATGAACGATCAGCTGATCTCACCGCATCGCTTCGAACGCCTATCTAGTGGATAACTATACAATATAATCAGTCGTGGTCATCCCTGATGTATCATTAAATCAAGGAACATTTATTTCCGGACATGGCAATAGATAAATCATTGTTTAGGCGAAAAGATATGCTGTCCACACACAAGCGTGACCGTTGCCGACAGAGGTGAAGGTTATACTAGTTAACTGTCTATAGGCGTCATAGTAACATGTAGTGCTCGTATCGCGCATACCACATGCGCCGTCAGTTTAAGGTTGGACCGTCCGGGTCAGCGCACCTAGCGGGTTAGTGAAGGGAAGATAAATTGAAAAAGATCGCCCATTACCCCATTTGTAATCAGCACATAAAATTACAGCCATATCTCTGTACTTGATGTTGTTATTAATGCAGAATAACAATTTTTGTGTGTAATAGTAGTCAGTTGTATAACTTCATATATTTCAATGATGATTTCTTAATGTTTTTAACAGTTAATAAGAGATAATTTAGTGGATTACAAGTCCTCTTACATACTTGTAATTGTCTTAAGATATCATTTTGATGTGGAAGTCCATGTCAATCTAATTAAAATCAGATCTTAATTCTTGCTACCACTAAGCAAAGATCTGAGGACATCCCATTACGGGTCACGTCAGACCGACCTTGCGCGAACTTTGACCGACCACTGGAATGACCAATCAGAAGACAGATTTCTCATGCTTTACGGCACTAATTTCAAATTGGCGACTACGCTTCGAAACATATTTTGACAAATTCTCGATTACAAATTTGAAACCTGAACAAAAGAACATTCTGGAATGGCTAATAGATAGTCTAGATTGTATGGATGTAGTCGTTAAACCTGTAACTATCGTTCGAAGTTTTCGAGGTTGCATGATTAGAAATCACATTCCGACTGTCACTTTCATAATCTGGTAAGCGATGGTCTGATTGGTCGGATGAAAGGTCGTTCTGACATGACCCCTAATGGGATGTCCTCAGATCTTTGTTTAGCGGTAGTGAGAACTGAGTTCTCATTTAAATGAGATTGAAGTCCATGTATGGTTACCATATTTTTCAGAGGAAGGTGGTATGGTAGCCTGGTGACTGTTGCTTTGACTCATCTAGCCCTAGACTCTGGTTCTTTTCCTTGCTTTGTGGGAAGCCAGTGTCCCCCAGAATGATGTAGTGAGTGAACCCTTCCGTCTCTTTGGTTTCAGAGGAGGGTGGCGTGCTGTATGACGTCCTGGCTGCAGTGAGTCTGTCTCTTATGTCAGCAGAGAGTCAGCTCAACTCGCTGGACCGGGAGGCTGGGGATGGAGACTGTGGGACCACGGTCAGTCGGGGGGCTAAAGGTGAGTCTTGTGGGGGACAGGGAGACTTGGGGGGAGCTACAGGTGAGTCTTATAGGTGATAGGGTGAGTCGGGGGGCTAAATGGGTCTTGAAGGTGATAGGGTGAGTCGAGGGGCTATAGGCAGGTCTTGTAGGTGATAGGGTGAGTCGGGAGGCTATTGGTGAGTCTTGTAGGCCATAGGGTGAGTCAGGAGGCTATAGGTGAGTCTTGTAGGTGATAGGGTGAGTCCGGGGGCTAAAGGTGAGTCTTGTAGGTGATAGGTGAGTCGGAGGGCTAAAGGTGAGTCTTGTAGGTGACACAGTGAGTCTGGGGGCTAAAGGTGGATCTTGTAGGTGATAGGGTGAGTCGGGGCTATAGGTGAGTCTTGTAGGTTATAGGGTGAGTCAGGGGTCTATAGGTGAGTCTTGGAGGGGACAGGGTCTGTCAAGGGGCTATAGGTGAGTCTTGTAGGGGACAGTCAGTCAGGGGTCTATAGGTGAGTCTTGGAGGGCTAAAGGGTCTGTCAAGGGGCTATAGGTGAGTCTTGGAGGGGACAGGGACTGTCAAGGGGCTATAGGTGAGTCTTGTATGTGATAGGGTGAGTCAGGGGTCTATAGGTGACTCTTGGAGGGGACAGGGTCTGTCAAGGGGCTATAGGTGAGTCTTGTAGGTGATAGGGTGAGTCAGGGGTCTATAGGTGACTCTTGGAGGGGACAGGGTCTGTCAAGGGACTATAGGTGAGTCATGGAGGGGACAGGGACTGTCAGACGACTATAGGTGAGTCTTGGAGGGGACAGGGACTGTCAGACGACTATAGGTGAGTCTTGGACGGGACAGGGTCTGTCAAGGGACTATAGGTGAGTCTTGGAGGGGACAGGGACTGTCAGACGACTATAGGTGAGTCTTGGAGGGGACAGGGACTGTCAGACGACTATAGGTGAGTCTTGGACGGGACAGGGTCTGTCAAGGGTCTATAGGTGAGTCTTGGAGGGGACAGGGACTGTCAGACAACTATAGGTGAGTCTTGGAGGGGACAGGGACTGTCAGACGACTATAGGTGAGTCTTGGACGGGACAGGGTCTGTCAAGGGACTATAGGTGAGTCTTGGAGGGGACAGGGACTGTCAGACGACTATAGGTGAGTCTTGGAGGGGACAGGGACTGTCAGACGACTATAGGTGAGTCTTGGACGGGACAGGGTCTGTCAAGGGTCTATAGGTGAGTCTTGGAGGGGACAGGGACTGTCAGACGACTATAGGTGAGTCTTGGACGGGACAGGATCTGTCAGGGGTCTATAGGTGAGTCTTGGACGGGACAGGGTCTGTCAAGGGTCTATAGGTTGTCTTGGACGGGACAGGGTCTGTCAAGGTGCTGTTGGTCTTGAAGATAAAGAATTTATTATGTGAAAATTTCACTTAATATCCCATATCAATTTGTTAATCCATTATGATGTATATGTTACAGCCATCCTTTCCAAGCTCGCTACGAAGAACAACCCAGGGCTGCCGGTCACGAACCCATCTTACCTGGCCCTGTCTTTGGCAAACATTGTGGAGACGAACATGGGGGGTTCGTCGGGAGCCGTAAGTTGAGCTAACCACCCCTTGTGACTCTGTGCATAAGTCAGTCTAAGCTAATGTTCTTATATCAAGAAAAATAAGTCAGTCTTAGCAAATGTTCTTATACCAAGAAACGTGACTGTGTATAAGTCAGTCTCAGCAATATTTCAATATTTTTTCATCAAACTTTGCAGGTCTGTCAGGTACATGCTGAACTGGTGCCTTTTGCTATTTAGAAATTTTAGAATTTTTTTACATTTCTATGGCAACAAGATGGTCTTAGGTTCCAAACCCTTCTTTTTTTTACAATTTCCAAGACAAGTTCCACCTTGGTTAAAAAAGGTTAGGGTTTGTTTAGATTTAATTATGTCATAAAATTCTGCAACAGGGGCAGGGGATATAGCCACATTAGTGGCAAACTCTTGTTATTATTATTATCATCATCATCATCATCATCATCATCAATATCATCATCATTATACCATTTTGCAGCTGTACAGCTTGTTCCTGACAGCTGCGGCGAAGTGCCTGACTACATCAGCAACAGCTGCATCATGGAGCGAGGCGCTGCACCAGGGCATTCAGGCAGTCACTAGGTCAGTTCACCTGGTACATTGTGATGGCAGGATGACAACAACCCCATTACAGACACCAGTCTCATACTCACAGCCTGCTGGAATATTGCTCAAATAATATATTCACTGTTAATTTCTGACATGTCATTAATGTAATAGTGCTATAGTTGTTTTCGGACGTGATCAAAGAAACATTCATTTATTTGTCAATAAAACCCATAAAGATCCAGGTTAGAATTGTTTTTCAGCAACCCATGCTTGTCTTACGAGGCGACTAATTGGATCAGGTGGTCAAGCTTGCTGCCTTGGTTGATGCATGTCATATCCCATAGATTGATGCACTTGATGTCAATCACTGGATTGTCTAATCCAGACTCGATTATTTACATACAGCCATCATATAGCTGGAATATTGCTGAGTGCAGCATTAAACAACAAACAAACAAACAGCATTTGTCAATAAGTGGGACTTTCAGGATAGTTTGCACTTATGGTATGTTATGTAATCCTTCAGTAGGAGAAGAAGAAGACGTTTATTTGCATGAAGGCCTCAGGCCCATATACAAAGCCAAATACACACAGCATCTGCAAACATTATACCATATATAAATACAGACATTATCCTTCTGTAATTCAGGAAGATACGTTTGAGAGGCTGTAAGGTTGTGGAGTAGGGTAGTGATTCAAGTGTGTGCTGGTCACGACGAAGGCCTGGACTTGACTCCCACACGGGTACAATGTGTGAAGATCATATACACCTTTATATGGCTGGAATATTGCTAAAAGTGGCATAAAACCCAACTCACTCACTCACTCACTCACTCACTCACTCACTCACTCACTCACTCACTCACTCACTCACTCACTCACTCACTCACTCACTCACTCACTCACTCACTCACTCACTCACTCACTCACTCAGAATTTTGTGGAATCAAGTAAGTGTGTGTGAGTTTGCTCCATAGTGTTAGAGTTTTGATGTTGTGTTCTTTTGTGTGGCAGGTATGGAGGAGCAGAGCCTGGGGACAGAACCATGGTAGGTCCACACATTTACAATAACATCACAACCATCCTCAAAATCATCCACAGCCCGGTTTGAAAAACTGGGGATTATAGCGATTTCCATGTCCGTCCGTCTGTCAGACGTTTCTAGAGCAGAACTCCAAAACTGTTAAACTGTTATTTCTTGTTGAAACTTTCTATATAGATGAGTCTAGTTGGGAACTGGGATTTTTATTCCATTTCTTTGTTTTGTTTTCATGATTTTTCAGGATGAAAACAAGATGATTTCCGTTTACTGAGCAGAACTCCTAAACCGTTGAATATTTATTGTTGAATCTTGCTATTCCATTTATACACGATTTTCCAATTGTACCAGACCAGGGGGATATGTCATCTCCTGATGACTCTTGTTGACTTTTAAAGTTTTCAGAAGAGTTTTAGAAGAGGTGAGGTGAAATGAGGTTTAATGTTGTGTTACTATTGCACTTATACACATGGATGCACAAACATGTGTGGCTGCTTGTACAGGCGGACTAATAATGGCTTTATAGTGATAGCCTACTGAGATACCATGTATCACTTTAGCATGAAAACCTAACTCCCTTTAAAGTGATGTAGGTGACAAAACATGACAAGCTATTCTTTTTGTGTACAGCTTGACGCCCTCTACCCCGCCAGTGTGACCTTGAAGGAACAGCTGCCCAAGTTGCCTCCCCTGGAAGCATTTGCCAAGGCTGTCCAGGTACTGGTCACATTAAGTGTAGCGAAGTGTTCTCACTAGGACTGAGACGGGTAACTCAGGTACTCGGGTTGGGTGGGTGCTGAGTAGGACACGGGTACCCACAGGGCTACCTGGACCCGTGGTAAATCACGTGATATATTTAATGACAAAACTTATCTGGAACTAATATTTGCATATCTTTCTGACTATGCACCCATTGCTTCTGACTTTTATATGTTTGCATAAAGATAAAACTTCAGTCAACTTCAGTGTAGGCATGACCAGATCGTTTTATACATGCTTCTAAATACATTTTGCCAGGGCTACTGTCAAACTTTTCCCAATCAGACATTTTGTACCAATCTGTTGAGACCTACAGTGGGTATCCGGGTAGGGTCGTGTAATAGAGGGGTGGGTAGCCAGGCAGTAAATTTAGACTCGTCCCAGCCCTAGTTCTCACTGTCATTGTGTTATCATGGCCACGCCATGTCAAGAGATTTATTTGATTATTCATCTCAGGATGAAAGTCGTGGTGCCTATGTCCTTTTGGGTGTCTCCTCAGAAAGAAGAAGTCAAGGGTATCTAACTCGCTTACTGACTTCCAATCCAATTTTTCACATCATCAGGCATATTCGCATGTATCATTACAAATTTGATATTTAGTAAATATGTTGATATATGGAATTGCACACATAATTTCGTATATATTTTGATTTTTGACCATGCTTTTTGACTGAATATGAAATATTGATGTTTAAGAAATATTTAGGTGAGCTACAGAGACATGTGTCTTGTGTTTTGTGATTCCATCCCCAACTGCTGACACTTGACCATGCAGTGTGATGTTGTTACAGGCAGCGCAGCAAGGTGCAGATGCTACAGCCAGGATGAAGGCAGGGGCGGGCAGGGCCAGCTACGTGGAGGCGTCGAGACTCACCCAGCCTGACCCCGGGGCTGTTTCTGTCACCATCTGGCTGAAGGCAGCACTCGACAAACTCACACCATAATGACATAGGAAACATGCCAATGATAAAGATACAGTCGTATTAATGTGAAGTATTATATTATCAGGGGTTAAATATGATCCAGTGCTTTTTATTTCAATATTTTGGGATCCCATTTATTTTTTGCATTTATACCAAGGAGAAGTCTCTACCTGGGTGTAATGTACCAGGTGATTATTGGAGACCTAGCACCAAATAGTGTCCAGGCTATTATTTGGAGCTTTCTTCAGACTGGCACTTATCATCTTCCTGAGGCAAGGGAGTTAACTGACTACAATAGTCCAGTTTCCACCCTTGCCGAACTTGGAGTTCCATATTGGCTGGACTAACGAGTCTATGCATAGTCCAATCAAAATAGCACAATGAAATCGAAATCCGGTTCGTAAACTGTCATGCATATTTCGGTCGATTGCAGGATTTGCAAAGCATGTGCACCGCCAACTTGTTGTCAACAGATACTTTCGAAATCTTTTCCTGTTTTTTATCAAGGTGCTCACGTGATTTGATGCATTTTGCAGTGTAAGACTCGTTTTATCAAAATATAGATCTTGATTATCAGTTAGATCGTATTGACTGGGCGCCGCAGCCATTTTGTCAGGAATCTGATTGGTCCATAGGAGAGGTACGGAAGGGACATAACTCGTAATAGCCACAGGTGGCGCTACGATCGAGCCCAGGAATTCCAGCCTAGTTCGGCAAGGTTGAAAACTGGACTTTTAAAGTCAGTTAACTCTCTTGCCTCGGGAAGATGGGCACTTATTGGAGGAAATATGGTATGCTGCTTCTGGTATGACTATGTTGCTCTTAGGTGTGTCATTATGTAATCAGTGATGCTGGTCGTGATATATGTACATGTAGGATCGTGTTTACTTCTGAAGATCAGACACATAATTTTTCAAAAAATTATTAGATTATCAAATATATTTTGAATGTCAGTGACCTCATTTGTCAGTTTCCTTCAGGCAAATCTACAAAGAAGGAGCTGTAGATTTAGTACAGAATCAGAGTTAGAAATCTCTTTGTGAGCATGTTAATGTGTGGCCACATTGCCAGTGTTATGTTCTTGAAGGTGACCTGTACTTGTTGATCTGCTGTCAAAATCACTGCCATTTTCCATACATCAAAACTAATTGTATGTTTTAATCAATATCTTTGTTAAATAATGTATTACATTTAAATTACTTGATATTGGATAAGGTTGTTTCATAGTTGTCACACTCCTGTACTGTTCACGATCACTCTTCATGATGACTTCTGAATGCTTCTTTTCTTAAACTTCAGGCATATCAATGATCTGATAACGTTCAATAATGGTCGAATAGCCAAGTCCCTTTCTCTGATTTACCCACCTGAACTAGAAAGTGAAGAATTGCCACTGATTGGTGAATAAGAAGGAGAAATGTGTCATGCTTCTCATAAATCAGTGCCTAAGAGGGTTGTATGTCATCACAAATTTCAAATGACTGATTGTATAAGAAGGATGAATGTCCTCTTTCTTCTGATTCAGTGAAGGAGGACAAATGTGTCCATCAACTTCTGATTCTATGTGCAAGAAGGACCACTGTGTCTATCTTCTGATTCAGTGTATAAGAAGGTTGAATGTGGCAGCTCTGATTCAGTGTATAAGAAGGTTGAATGTGGCAGCTCAGATTCACTCAAGAAGGTTGAATGTGGCAGCTCTGATTCAGTGTATAAGAAGGTTGAATGTGGCAGCTCTGATTCACTGTGTAAAAGGTTGAATGTGGCAGCCCTGATTCACTGTATAAAAGGTTGAATGTGGCAGCTCTGATTCACTGTATAAGAAGGTTGAATGTGGCAGCTCTGATTCACTCAAGAAGGTTGAATGTGGCAGCTCTGATTCACTGTACAAGAAGGTTGAATGTGGCAGCTCTGATTCAGTGTATAAGAAGGTTGAATGTGGCAGCTCTGATTCACTGTATAAGAAGGTTGAATGTGGCAGCTCTGATTCAGTGTATAAGAAGGTTGAATGTGGCAGCTCTGATTCACTGTACAAGAAGGTTGAATGTGACAGCTCTGAATCACTGTATAAGAAGTTGGTTACAGTAAGACTATTTCTCCATTGTCTCCCTGTGACAGACATGAACATTCCCTGATTACAGAGCTGGACTTGGGGTAAACCAATGATATGTTTTAGACCTTTACTTGTTTACATTTACCTGATAAGGGTTATTTGTATAACATGGTGCTTTTTCATGTATGGTGTTATTACATCGATATGGTTTTGGATGATGTTGATGTTCTTCTACTGGTGTTACATGCATCTTCAGTATCATTCAATGAATAATTGTTAATCCTTTGTTCCATTCTCTCTGACTGCGGAACTGATGATCTTGTCAGGCTTGTGGTTAGTGGTGATATATGCTACTCCACTTTTGTTAGGGATGTTTTCATCTTTCAATGATCCACAAAACTGATTGTCAGCATATGACATATCTGATTATCCCTATCAAAAGTTGAGTAGTATTGTTCGTTATGTTATTATAACATTCACTTAGATATTTCTCCAAATGTGCACGCTAAAGAAGTACATTCCTAATAACAGATTGTGATTGTGTATTTTGATTTTGTTGTTTTTGATATTTCTCCAAATGTGCATACTCAAGTAGATAGTACATACCTAATAACAGATTGTGGTTTTGCATTTTGATTTTGTTGTTGTCAGCAATATTCCAGCTGTATCATAGAGCAGTCTGTAAACAATCACATCTTGGTCAGCCTGAAAAGTTGTTGAGATCATGTTCAGTATTCCATGCCTCTGACTTTTGTCACCACACACCTCTTTCCATAACCTGCAAGAAGACACGTCCCCCAATCGATGAATGTTATGTGCGAAAATACGACAAACCAATCAGAATGCGCGTATGATTTCAAGTTCTTCGTCAAAGAATCCCTCAGAATATTTTTAAATTTTACATATGTCTTGCATTTAAAAATATACCCAAGACACAGTTATATGTGTTCAATCATACTGTAAAATTCTGCAGTCCGGATGTGCTTTGAATTGCATCTGAAATATGTATCATATGTGGGGAAATATATGTAAACCATTACGCAACTATTTGACAAATGTTTTAGGTATGCCCGTTTGCACTCAGACGGAACCCGGTCACAAAATAGGACATGAGAGGAGCACGAGTCGCTATTCTGCTTGTCCCGGAATAACACGAGTTGGTCACGAAAATGCCTCTGAGTTACAGTGACAATGAGTCAAGTCACACATGAACACCTCCCCACAGTTAGTGGGTGTTTGTTGTTTTACGCTGCACTCAGCAACATATTCTAGCTATATAATGGCAGCCTGCAAATAATTGAGACTGGACCAGACAATCCAGTGATTGATATTATGAGCAATGCTCCAAGCTGTCGGGGTAAGATTACATGCCTTCAACCAAGTCACCAAGCCTGACCACCCAATCCATTAAGTAAGCTCTTGTGACTAATTGTAACCTTAAATCCCCACTGATGCCCAGTTAGTAGGCTCTTATGACAAGGGGCTGCGGGGTAGCCTAGTGGTTACAGCGTTCGCTCATCACGGCTAAGACCCCGGTTTGATTCATCACATGGGTACAATGTGTGAAGCCCATTTCTGGTGTCACCAGCCGTGATATTGCCGGAGTATTGCTAAAAATGGCATAAAACCATACTCACTCACTCACTCTTATGACCATCATGAGGGACTCGAGGCCTACTCTGATGACCGTGCATGACCACAGAGGGTTTCTCGTTGACTATATCAGTTGTTGCTGTACCTACTGTATCTACCAGTATGTTTTGAGGAATGCTTATTTCACACAGTGCACTAACTTGAATGTATTTGCATTGTTGATGATATACATGTTCAGATGGTACATCAGCCTGCTACAATACTATGCAATATAATAAAATAAATCATTTTTTTTTTTATATGCTTGTATGTTTTGTTTTCTTTCATTTTGTTTGTTTGTTGTTTAATGCTGCACTTAGCAATATTCCAGCCATATGACGGTGGTCTGTAGTTAATCAAGTCAGGACCAGACATTCCAGTGATTGACATCATGAGCATCAATCTATGCAATTGGGATACGATGACATGCATCCACCATGTAGATGTCTGGCCAATTTTAACATGGATCTTCACCTATACTAAGAGATACTAACTGCAACACACCAAACAGTTCTTGTAATTTCGTAAACCGACTATGCTTGTGGTAAGAGGCGACTAATGGGATTTGGAGGTCAGGCTTGCTGACTTGGTTGATGCATGTCATTGTATCCTAGTTGCATGGATTGATGTTCATGATATCAATCACAGGATTGTCTGGGCTCTTATTAGAATATTATTTTGGTGGAAAAAAAACAGAGTTGAAAGATAAATTTCGTGGTTGCTGACAGCCTGAAATGTTTATGTTCGATAGATATATTTTTCTAGAATTTAATCGCCCATAATTAAGGGTGCATATAACACACGAGTGCGTATTGTACGGGAATAAATAAGTCTTGTGAACATTGATCAATCGGAAGGGGTGCTAATTGGGATTGTTCACTAGCCAATATATATGCAATTACCGCCGTAGGCGCTTATTACGTCGAATACGGTATATGACGTCAGCCTGTAATCCAGTGATTGATAATATGAGCAATGATCCACTTTGGAGTGTGATGACATTCGATCAACCAATTCACTGAGCCCAGCCACCAAATCTTAAAAGTTGCCTGGTACCACAAGCATAGTTCTCTAGTTACCAATTCTAACCATGATTCCCCAGGGGGCGTCTTGTAACTGTTTGAACTGGTGGGCCAACGACTGCAGCATCTTACTCTGTTAAACATGACTGGTTGTGTTAGGTCTGTTCTAAAGGTTAGATAACCGCGCCCATCACTCCATCAGCGATCAGCATATGTTGGTAGGGGCCTATTCAAACCTGGAATCTCCAAGGGGCCTCTGTGTTCAATGGAAAGGTCAACACATGTAAGGTGAAGGTTAATGTACCATTCCTGGAAGTATGTAGGACGTCCATCCAGGCAAACTCAATCTTTAGGCTTTAAATGTTTGTGTCCAATGGATGAGATGCGGGAGGCAACGGTCTCGCATATTGCTTCCCTCAAAGGTTGAAGCGATTTCCATGAAACTATTTCAGTTTGAAATGACATGATGTGTGTAAGAGACGTTAAGAGGTTCTGAAGTGTATTTGGTCTCAGCAAAGACTAGTGAGTGAGTGAGTGAGTGAGTGAGTGAGTGAGTGAGTGAGGTTTTACGCCGCTTTTAGCAATATTCCAGCAATATCACGGCGGGGGACACCAGAAATGGGCTTCACACATTGTACCCATGTCGGGAATCGAACCCGGGTCTTCGGCGTGATGAGCTAACGCTTGAACCTCTAGGCTACCCGACCGCCCCTCAGCAAAGACTAAATATTAAACGTCAACGTCAGAGAACAATTAATCTAGGTCATCTGCCGAAACAGAGTAAACGGCAAGAAAGCGGTGAAATTTACATGAATCATCACTGAAAATCAGTTATCAGACAGTTTATTTCAGTAATTTAGGCATCAAGGCCCATAGTACGATGCAGATTGGATATTAACATTTGTCACGTGATGTAAATGATCAGATTTTAAATCAAGTTACACATTCCTCCATTATAAAGACATGTTTTAAGAATACAGAAACTGCATGGATCATATCAGGATTTTCAGAGTTTAGCAGATTTATCATTAACTGACGGTCTTTAAAAGTACCTTGCAACATGGGGAGAAATTTATACCTTAAATGGGAATACGTTTCACATATAAGTAAGACATGGTATTCATCCTCTACTTCTCCGAATGAACACTTTGTACAAATATAGTTCACAATATCACCGTCTTTGGACCTGCGACATATATTTACATTAAAATTATGTAATGAAATTCTTAGTTTACAATAAGCTCTGATTAAACGTTTATCATTTAAACAAGTTAAATATCTTTCAGTTTGTAAGAATGATTTTACTTTGCTGTAATTGCTAAGATAAAGTGATTCAGAAATACTTTGGTCCCACTGTTGACAAAATATATCCTTCAGTCTTGCTTAAATGAATATAAAAATAACTGTGGATCTTCCACATCTTGAGAAATCCATACATATGAAAATCAGTAATGACACCAAGTGTTCGCGAAAATGGTATGCAGGACCTGCTCCACGCGAAGCACCCACCATTAACACAATTTGCATCCAAAGTAGCTGCCTGTTGCCTGACGCCACGCATCTATCAAATACGTCATGTCCGTCAAGTGTTGCGTGTAAATACCCATATGTTTAGGTTTAAGGGGAAACGTGTTTATCATCCAAAACTGGCTCCCACAGGAGATATCGCTTGGATGAGATCAAGCGATATCTACACTGTAGATATCGCTGCAATGAAATTACATCACAATGCTTTGCAGACCATTGTGACGTCACTGATTACCATGACGTCACAATCAAATGACATCACTAATGGCTCTGCTACTGAAGCTGTGAGCAGTACTTTTTACACTTAAGACACTGCTTATTACTTTCTACAACTTGAAAAAGTAGGAAGAATGATATTGGATGATAAATAAAATCTCACCCTCGTGTCTTTTGATATCATATGTATCAACACTCGTTGATAAAGTGGCAAAAATCCTCGGCAAGCCTCGGAATTTTTCCACTTTTATCAACTTGTGTTGATATATTTGATAAAAAAAAAAAGAGGGTGAGATTCTCTATGTATCACCCAAGGAGTTGGTGACCGCTGTTGGACCAGGAGGTATCCATCCCTGCCAGCTCGTCTGGAAGCAGACCTGCCTGGGTGGCTACGAGTGCCAGAGCTGCATATTCCTAGCAATGACCATGGCTGTTGTCTTGGATGTTAAACTCTTTAAACGTTGTGACTTGTGATCCCAGATACAAACGGGAGTTGTTTGTGGGGTGTAGTTTTTAGCAAACGTTTGCTATTGCAGTTGTCAGTTTCAGTTCATTTAGTATTTATGGCAGCCCTGGATATTTGAAATTACCAGTTGTTTGAGGGAAATGCGTTTAAGTTTACTAATAACAGACCTCTGTGGAGAATCTTGGTTAATATAGATCCCTAGCAACCTAGATATGCTGGTCCTAAGGGGCAACTTAATGGATCGGATGATCAGGCTCGGTGACTTGGTTGGTGACGTGGCATCGTACCTCGACGGCGTGGATCGTTGTTCATAATATCAATCACTGGATCGTCTGGTCCAGTTGCTGAATGAGGCGTTAAACTCCATGCACGCACACATAGGCACACTTCTAAGAGATGGACACTATCACATGGACTGTGCCAAAGGGATGTAAAAGTACTCTTTAACACGTCCATTTTCAAAAAGTATTTGCGTAGAAATGAAACACCACCTACATGCTGTAGCTTATCTTTCGAGTTGTATTGTAACTGGATGACACTGACTTAGACATGACAACGCATCTTGTTATCAAAACACCAGCTGGAAGATACACAACTAGGTTAAGCGACGTCTGTGGCATCGACACTCTCCCCGGCCTTGACCCACGACTGACTCGTGTTGAAACGTGCAGTGACACATACCGTACACCTGGGTACAGAGAGTGAGTAGCCAGGCCAGGGTACAGTGCAGTGTGACAGGGGACAGCAATCTAAGGACAGGGTGAGTCGTCAATATCGACACAGTACTATGTACTAATCTTCCACAACCTGAGCCCCAATGCATGTGTTAGTGTGACCCAGCGTTTGTATGGGCGGATACAGAGAGAGAGAGGGGGTGTATAAATTACCACCAAAGACAATAAATAGATCCTAATTGTGCACCCCCCCCCCCCCTTTTAAAAAAAGCTGTATCCGCCCATGGTTTGCATGTTGCACTCATCATGGAGCGGAGTTTTAAGTCTAGTGATAGTGATAATGGACGTCACTGAGAACAACAGCTTATTATGTTAGCCTGTGATGTTATCTACGTAGAGCCATCAGTGGCGCCCTGTCCTTTAGCCCCTGAATCTGGAGCGCCCATCTTCCTGAGGCAAGAGAGTTAACTGACTTTAAAAGTCCAGTTTCCACCCTTGCCGAACTAGGCTGGAATTCCTGGAATTTTGCTCGATCGTAGCGCCACCATTGGTTATTACGAGTTATATGTCCTGCTAAGCCTCTCCTATGGACCAATCAGGTTCCACCTCTCGTATCACTTGCATTTGTTTCAAACAAAAGGGCGGCGCCCAGTCAGGACGATCTGGTCGATAATTAAGATCTATGTTGTGATAAAACGGATCTTACATCGCGAAGTGCATCAAATCTCGTGAGCACCTTGATTAAAAACATGAAAAGAATTGGAAAATATCTGTTGGCAACGAGTTGGCGGTGCACGTGCTTTGCAAATCTTGCAATCGACCGAAATCTGCACGAAAGTTTACAAACCGGATTTCGATTTCTTTGCGCCATTTTGATTGGTCTATACAAAGACTCGTTAGTCCAGCCAAAATGTAACTCCATTATACCAGCCTAGTTCGGCAAGGGTGGAAACTGGACTTTTATAGTCAGTTAACTCCCTTGCCTCGGGAAGATGGGAGCGCCGGACAGGGTAACAACAAGTACCATATTTTAACGTATTTTAGTATGACGCTGTATCATTGGACCACGGTGGCGGTTTCATACTCTCTTGAAATCAAAGAAGATATGAAGCATAGCATATAAGAAACGGTTCCTTATATAGAAATTAATTTAAAACCAATTCGGTTGGCATTTGAACAAGCAATCAAATACAGCGAAACATTGTAACTCGAAGACATTTGGACAGTCGAAAATATGAATTGAAATATCCGTAATTAAAATAAGAAGAAAAGAATGGAAGTATCGATGTTTGATGGCGATAAGGATTTTGTCATGTTAATCGCCATGTCGAGTTAATGACATTCGAGTTGATGAGCTTTCAGTCTGTAGAAAACTTTCGACGACACACAAATTTTAAGTCTATTCATTTAATTATCTCCAATTAACGCGTTGTTTCACATACGGAAGGTAGAGTTGGAAAGTCAGAGTTGCGACCCTTAGGCGTAGCAGACACCTATGCTCGTGGGTTTGAATCTCAGATTCGCTTTGATTATGTTTCCATGTGTGTCAGCGCCATACCCGCTCCTTGGTTTCATCAAAGTGGTGAACGTCTAAGGTATTTGGCTTTCCCCCTTTAAGCGGACACGCCGTGACATAACTGGAATACTGTTGATAAAAACAGCGTCAAACCAAACTCACTCACTCATTTTACCACCTTCTTCAGTCAGCACTAGCGCCCACAACGAACACTGCAGTATGAGCGGAAAAGGGAGCAAGAAGCTGATCAACGCCGTGGAGCGATGCGTGGACGACATGCTGGAGGGCTACGTGGCCGTCAATCCCGGGGTGCGTCTACTACACGGTCATCGCATCGTGGTCAGGGCCGACGTCGAGGACTACGCGAAGTCCGGCAAGGTGGCTGTGTTGAGTGGGGGCGGGTCGGGGCACGAGCCAGCACAGACAGGTGAGAACAAACGGATGCAAGTATACTACTCAAAATCAGCTAAAGAACATCCATATTTGGAAGGCAGTGTGTTGCAATAACCACAAGTATATGACAGATTAACTAGTCATATGAAAAACTCGGGTGTCCCTTAACTTAGGCATAATATATTTCAGTTTCGATATGGAACCCTGGATAAGGTTAGGATGTAAATTAAGATTGCAAACTGAAAATCGGTTCTTAATCATCCCAAATAAAGACGATACAATTAAGTGGGATTTTTTTCCCTGTGTCCAGGGTATGTTGGGCGTGGCTACCTGACGGCGTGTGTGGCAGGGTCGGTGTTCGCCTCTCCCCCACCCCAGGAAATACTTCCGGCCATCAGAGCTGTGGCCAAACGGAACAAGGGTATGCGTGGTGCTCCGTCTCTAAACTTGATAACTACCTGTGTGTAGCGTTGTAGTAAGAGTTGCTACTTTTCATTAACTAAACTAAGCGGCAAAAGAAAGTATAGGTTGGCAATTTGTTATCTTCCTAAAAACAGCGATAACTAGTGGAAAGTGGGTATTGGGAATATGACTGCCCAGGAACAGGTACCAAACAACACCTCACCCGAACGCGCCACCTTTGACGGCGCTCGTGCGGTGACAAAAAATGGTGAAACAGGTTTCCCGCCTATGGCATAAACTGCACGTGCATGTTACCTGTATAAATGCGTTCGTCTGCAGGGTATAACCACACGTGATGAAAGCACACAAAAGAAATGCCACGGCTGTCACAGGAGCAGAGAGAGAGAGGGAGAGCCATCGGTATGGCCGAAATGGGGGCAACATAGGTCCAAATTGCAAGAAGGTTTGGTTGTACACCATTGACAGTAGCCAGGCTGATTCAACGGTACAGGCAGACAGGGAAGACACAGGACAGGCCTAGACCCGGACGACCCCGAGTGACAACACCACTGGAAGACGGTCAGATTCGGCTTATTCCCCTGCGAAACAGATTCGTAACGGCGACGGCGAAGGCAGCAACATCGTTGGGACATCCCATTAGCCAAAGTACAGTACTACGACGACTTCGTGCTGCTGGAATCCGAGCGTATCGTCCTTTCCGAGGAATGGTACTGACTGCTCAACATCGACGCCTGAGACTGCGATGGGCGAGGCGAGGCGAGGCGAGGTTCGACGCTGGCAAGTGAGAAATTGGCGTCGAGTGCTGTTTACTGAAAAAAGTCGGTTTAACTTGTTTCGAAATGACGGCAGAGAACGAGTTTATCGACGCAGAGGGGAACGTTTGGCTCAGGCGTGTATTCGAGAGGTCCATCCATTCGGCGGGGGAGGTGTCATGATGTGGGGCGGTATTTGTGGAGATGAGAAGACTGATTTGGTGATTATACAGGGAAACCTGAACGCTGTGCAGTACAGAGACCAAGTGTTGCAGCCAGTTGTGCTTCCGTTCTTACAAAACCAACAGCAGGGGATATAGTTTCAACACGACAATGCCAGGCCCCATACTGCAAGACTGACTCGGAACTTTCTAAACCAGCAGAATGTTGACGTTTTGCCCTGGCCTGCCCACTCACCCGATATGAATCCTATTGAACATCTGTGGGACCATCTTGACAGACAGATTAGAGCACGCCATCAGCCTCCCGTCAACAGACAAGAATTGCAGCAGGCCCCGAGAGACGAGTAGCAACAGATTCCAGTCCACGTCTTCAGAAGACTGACGTCATCGATGAGGCGGTGTATCACAGCATGCATTGAGGCAGCTGGAGGTCATACACGCTATTGAAGGCAACTGTGTCGACAATGAACTTGTAGTGTGTCTGACACTTTTTAGTTGACATTTCAGACAACTTTTGAAAATGAAATTTCTTACCCCACCATTGTTTACCTTGAGCTTACATTACCTGTGATTGCACAATTTCACTCAAACTGTAGTTGATCAATCATTTGTTACCCCTCCCTAGATTATATTATAATTCACAACAAAACCTCTTCTTGTTATTTTTTTTATCGATCATGGAACTCGACCTATACTTTCTTTTGCCGCCCAGTTTATGAAAATTAGAATGTGTACTTAGACATTCTCTCCATCCTATCCTTTGTTCTCCATCTGAAACAACGAAGTTGATGTCGCAATGATGTGGAGTTCTCGTTAACGTCGTGCTTGGAGATAGGGATAGAACATCTTTCTCACAGTGATAGTCATAACGGTCCCCAGCAACACATGCCAGTTGACTAGAAGAAGCATTATTACAATTTGACCTGGGCCCCGTTCCACAAAGCAGTCTTAGCACCAAGGCGATCGTAACTCCCATACTTTAACATAGACTTAGACAGTCGTAGTGCTACGCTCGGTTTGTGGAACAGGGTCCTGGCTGATTTGTGTCATCATGCACCGACGGCGTGGATCTATGCTCATGCCATCAACCACTAGTTTACCTCAGTTATATGTAAAACATCGTGATCTGAGTAGGAAAATCAGATGTCAATAATTCTTAATTTCCTGTGCTATTCTCCGTTTTTTTGTCACTGCGTCTGTGCACAGGCGGATGTCTGTTGTCCGTATCCAATTACACGGGGGACCGGCTCAACTTCGGCTTGGCCTATGAGAAGGCTCGGCAAGAGGGTATCAAGATCGCTATGATTGTTGTGGGCGAGGACTGCGCCGTGACGACGAACGACCGCACCGCGGGCAGAAGGGGACTGGTCGGATATATCGTTACAAATAAAGTACATACAAGTCTTTTATCTTGTCTCAGCAACCTGACCACAGACGTCAGTCTTCCGGCTAACCATACTCGTACAATACTCATTCACATGAAAACAATGAAATCGAAATAAATTTCGTTTCTGAAGTTAACGCGTTCTGGAATATGAAATAAATAACTGTGGCAATACGTGTCATGTGTTAGTGGCTTGTGGAAACCCGTGTTGAAGCCCCTTGTCTTGATTTGTCTAAGCAGTTGTAACTCTATGGCCCAAGCATTATCCTTATCAGTAGCGTGGTATCCATGTACTCCAAATGGTCCACATTGTATATAATATGTTCATTGTTTGTTAGATTGCTGGAGCTTTAGCAGAGATGGGTCGGAGTCTGGAGGACATCGTTGAGATTACCACTGCTGCCATCAAGCAGATGGGTAGGTGGAGTGAGGTGACACATGTGTGGGGGCCATTTGTAAACACGTTTTCATGGCCACATTATAAGTTGTAGCAGGATCACGAAGGGTGCATGGGGTTTTGTGCGTCCCTCGTTAGGTTTCATATCACGAGTCCAATCACGAGTTATCTTACGGGCATGTTTAATGTGACATTGTAAAAGAATAAACACTTATTCAAAATTGATAGAAAACAGCTTTTCGATTGCGCTGAGGTTAACTTGTGCTATGTCACGTGACTTCCATTGACTCGCAAAAAGCGTGCGGCCTTTTGCTTTGAAGTGGGGTATAAGGGATTTATTCTGCCTATCAGAAATCCACGTGCAGCCTGTATTGCTAGTGGCGGTGTATAAGAGATTTATTCCCCAGCTGACAAATTTATTCCCCTCCAAGGCGGGTTACACAGTGTTTTATCAAGATATTGTGGACAAATCAGATATCATTTTCACACAGAGGTGTGATAAATACCCATATTCGCCAGGGCGAATTGAGAATGACTTGCAGTACTCATATTTGTATCGCGCTGTCACAAGTATTACAGAAACAGTCCAACCAAATAGAAGGACAAATTCAAGAAACTCAAGAATCATTATGTTGCGATGATGACACCATGTGGTCACGAAACACGTACCGCCATGGCTATACCATAACAGTGTATCTTTTCTCTATGGCCAAATCATTGATCTAGACGACACCCAAATTGATTAGTCAGGCCACCTTACCACCATAGATGCATGTGTTCATGCATAGACGGATCCAGGGAGTAGGGAGTAAAATTGACTGAGGATTTTCATATTTTGGACCCCTACCTTTAGAAAATGCTTGATTCGCCCTAGTTAAGAAGCAGTTGTTAAACCTTACTGACTCAGTGACTCTCTTACCCAGGGACTATCGGCTTGAGCTGGAGTGCGTGTTCTGCACCGGGGTCTGGCCCCACGTTCAGCCTCGGAGAGGATGAGATGGAGCTGGGGCTCGGGGTGCACGGGGAGGCGGGCGTGAAGCGCATGAAGGTGAAGAATAGGGCACAGCTTATGGAGGGATGCCATGTCAGACTACAGCTGGTCTCCAAGGCGATCTAATAGTTAGTAAGATTGAGGGATAGACGTAACGCTAAGATCGCATCGCGAGACCGGGCCCTGGTTGACAGAGTATGCCACAATCCATCGCAAACTAGATGAGCGATTTTGATTGGACTATGCATAGACTCGTTAGTTCAGCCAAAATGAAACTCCGGAATTCCAGCTTAGTTCGGCAAGGGTGTAAACTGGACTGTTTTAGTCAGTTAACGCCCTTGCCTCGGGAAGATACGATTTCGGTCGACTGCAGGGTTTGGAAAACGTGTACCGTCAACTGGGCGTCGAAATATATTTTGAAGCAAATGCAAGTGATATGAGAGATAGCATCTGATTGGTCATGAGGGGTGAAATTGAAGGGACATAACTCGTAATAGCCACTGGTGGCGCTACAATCGAGCACAGACCCGGATGTCTGGTTCGTTAGGCGATTTTGATTTGACCCTGCATAGACTCGTTAGTCAAGCCAAAATGTAACTCCGAAATTCCAGCTTAGTTCGGCAAGGGTGTCAACTGGACTGTTATAGTCAGTTAACTCACTTGCCTCGGGGAGATACGTGGCATTGGGCATGGAAAGAAAACTGAGCTATCACAACCCTTTACCCTCCGTGGAAATTTAGGGGAAAACATAACCCCCGCCTGTCCTGAGAGCCAATTATAACGTTACTTTGTACATGTGTGGCTGCTAGTGTACAGTCGAATCCTAAGGGCGGTGGTCTCTGTTATCATCCACTAGTGTGCCTTACCACGGTTGGCTGTTGTATGGAATCCTAGAAGGGACATGGTCACATTGTCGCCCTTACAAAAACAAGACAAAAAGTGTCAAAATTTACCAAAGCGCCACAAAGCGACAACGTGACATTTTGGCCATTTGTTGCATTGTTGCGCTTAGATTCACTTACAACACATGCGCTCTATTAATACATAAGGCGACAACGCGACAGTGCGACAATGCGACATTATCAATATGCCGCTTGGTCGCGCATCTTAACGCCTTTTTGACACATTTTTGATGGGGCGACAATCCGACATATTTTGACGTTGACACTTGACCTATATTTTGACACTTTTTGCTTGTTTTTGTTAGGGCTAGAATGCGCCAACGCGACAATGTCCCTCCTAGGATTCCATACTGTTGTCATCCTGTAATATAGCCGAATATGGAGTAAAACACCATTCACTCACCCTCTCACTGCCACTAAATGAGGTTCCTGTTGATAGATGACGAGTGCCAAGGAAGCAGTGAAGATCATGATAGACCACATCATCAACCCAGATAACCCCACACACCTCAAGGTTACCGAAGGTGAGAGTCACTACGATGTATTTTCCAGCCGTAACGTGATGATATTGCAACTCCCAAATTATCGCAATTAAATTATAAACAATATTATAAAACTGACAAACGTGGTTACGCACATTGGGTCTCTGAAATGCGGCCTCTAACATTGAACTGTCTTTGCAGACCAATAGGAGTCCTCTATAAAAATGGCGGCCATTGTCTTCAGTATCCAGTGTCCAAATAATTTAACAATTCCTAATCCTCCATACAGGTGATCGTGTTGCTGTCTTCGTCAACAACCTCGGTGCCACCACCGACATGGAGATGAACATCGTCGTGAGAGAAGCCATTCTGTACCTTGGTGAGATTCCTTATCTATACTACTCAACAGAAGTTAAGGACCGGCCGATACTTTCATATCACTATGGTTGAGCTGCCATGCCAGATTAACGATAGTAATATGAAATAATCAGGTTGTCCTTAACTTCTTTCAGGTAGTAAATGAAAAGGGTGAAGTCGGGTGTTGATTGCAGTTTGACCTATATAAGCGTGCCGCAGATGAAAACATCCACTCTCGGCTTTGCATTTTGTCTTACAGCATATATGATGAACCCGTGAAAACCCGGCTTAGAATAGGTCTTTAGTAAACCATGCATCTTGTAAGAGGCGACCAACGGGATCGGGTGGTCAAGCTTTCCGACTTGGTTGATGCATGTCATCGTATCCCAACTGCGTGGATTGATGCTCGTGATATCAATCACTGGATTGTCTGGTCCAGACTCGAGTATTTACAGATCGCTGTCATAGAGCTGGAATATTGCTGTGTGCGCCGTAAAACAACAAACAAGTATATATGATGACAACTGTGAATAAATAAGTAATGACGAGGTGCACCTACCTGATAGTAGACCCATGAAGTTCAGGGGTAGATGATATAATATATGTCATCAGCAACCCATGCTTGCCGGAAAAGGCGATTATGCTTGTCGTAAGAGGCGACTAACGGGATCGGGTGGTCCGACTCGCTGACTTGGTTGATGCATGTCATCGTATCCCAATTGCGTGGATCGATGCTCATGATGTCAATCACTGGATTGTCTGGTCCAAAGTATTTACAGACCTCCGTCATATAGGTGCAATATTGCTGAGTGCAGAATTAAAGAGCAAAGAAACAAACCTGATAGTAATAGGACATATTACAGAACACATTGGTGCATTGGTTGAGCGATGTTACTGTCACAACTTCTTGACGTCCATGGAGATGGCGGGAGTCTCCATCATGCTGCTGCTGCTGAATGACACTCTCACTCAGTGTCTGGGTAAGCTTGGTGGCATGACGCCTGCATGATGAAACCAATGTGCACGCTTAATTCCTGGCCTCCAATATTACCGTACATCCACCTTTCGAAGTGAGTTGAGACTGACGCCCGCTTTAGCAATATCCCACCAACGTCACGGCGGTATCCTTCTCAGACATAGCTGATATATTTCTGACTGTGGCATTTACCAATATGCACTCAGTCATCAAGCGCCAGTTCCAAATAACCCTCCCATGACGGGAAGTAAGTTACCTCGGGTTTGTTTCAAGGGCTTTCGTGTGACCAGGGCCCACTTGTACAAAGCGATCTTAGCGCTAAGACGATCCTAACTCCCATACTTTAACATAAGCTTACGATAGTCTTAGCGCTAAGTTGCTTTGTGCAAGCGGGCCCAGAGCTTCATGTCCAACAAAGAATGACCAAAAGACCTGGGTCCACTTGCACAAAGCGATCTTAGCGCTAAGATAATCATAACTCCCATACTTTGACATAGGCTTACGATAGTCTTAGCGCTAAGATTGCTTTTTGCAAGTGGGTCCTGTACCTAAAGCTTATGTTACCTGGCACGATTTATGATAAATATGTATATGCATGCAAGAAGCTACCTCCCAAATCTGGCTTTGTAGAGAGTCTGTGCCTGCATGTGGATCGCGCCTACAAGAGCCCCTTTAAAACCTCCCTGGAGATGGCTGGGATCTCACTGACCCTGCTTCGCCTGGATACCACACTAACACAGGCTCTCGGTAAACCGACATCCTTCATTATCCAGTGTATTATATATATCCAGGCCTACAGAAAAACAACCAACAGAGAGCTACCATCTGCGTGATTCAGTGTGTTGGTTCCAGTGAAACCGTACCGGGTTTTCCCCATCACGCTGAAAATAGCCGTCCAATCAAATTGCTCTAAAGCGAGAGAAAGGATGAACTGGGTTTGAGATTTTGAAATGTGACGTCATTTCCTAAACGAAACTTTGGTGGTGAATAGGCACAGGGCGCTTATCAGAATAGAATAAAAATTTGATACACTGGATAATCGAGGATGATAATGTGATTACTGGGTGTCGTTGTACAAAGCGATCTTAGCGCTAAGGCGATCCTAACTCCCATACCTTGACATAAGCTTCAAAAGCCGTCGTAGCGCTAAGGTTGTTTTGTACAGCGGCACCAGGTCTCTAACGTCGGTACAGTGTAACCTCGTTAGTCTGGAAACCCACCTTCTGGACGATGACATTTTGGACGTCTATATGTGATTTGTTTAAAGTACAACGTGCCCATGAATCGATAATACGACATTTGTTATTCCAAACGAATTCAAAGGCAATGGTTCCGTCCAGATTAATTAGGTTTCACTGTATGCAGCTGGGTTGTCACGGTACACCTTGTTGCGATACGTCAACCATGTTCAGCGTGATGATGACATTGATATTCAATGCACAATATTCACGTAAATTTACATTATAAATTTATTTTAAAAAACGGCAAAAAATAATATAGTTTGTAATCTTGAATCGTTTTTTTACGTAAGAAGTACATTTAAAATAATTTTCAGACCATATATTCATGACCTGCTTAATCATAAAGAAATCGCTTGTACATTGATGTTTCATTGTATCTCCCACCTTAATACTTGGGTGAACAGTGTTTGTATACTGGCATGTCAGCTGTTATGTTTCTTTACACTATGAATTTGTGGACGCAGGATATATATCATGGTAAAAGTAACAGGAATGTTCACTATATATTCACTATATACTAGTATTCAAATATGTACCATTGTAGTTTGAGAGCGAAGGGGAGTATCTGGTTCTGGTCAGTCATAGCATCCATTTCAGTGGCCGTTAACGGCAAATTTAATTTTGTTCTTTAATCTAGAATAGACATCAATTTGTTTTTATATTGTACATAATAATTATTCAAAGTCTCTTCGTTAAGTGTGAGCAATTAACGCGTTGTTTATTCTTGCTAAGTAATGAAAGAAATTCATGTATCCGATTGGAGAAGTCATCACATTTGTCTCGTGCAGATGCTCCAACAGACTCCCCACATTGGCCACGCCCACTTCTTCCATGTGGGGTGTCCGACAGAAAGACTCCGCCTCGTCTGGTGTTGGACTATGTTGAGGTCACGCCCACTACTACTTTGGTGGGCGGGGCTGTAGTAGAGCCAGGTACGTGATAGGATGGTTATCGAAGTCATATAAATATTGGTATTGAATCTTTTATGATAAATAAATGTAACATTGAAATAAGTGAGAAATCAGGTCCAACTAGTGGCAAGATCGAAACCAATAGATTTCATTTATTGTTCCTAAAAAAAACGCCGACTCGTGAAGATCCGGGTTAGAATAGGTCTTCAGCAACCCATGCTTGCTGTAAAAGGCGATTATGCTTGTCGTAAGAGACCACTATTGGGATCGGTTGGTCAGGCTCGCTGACTTAGTTCATGCATGTCATCGTATCCAAACTGCGTGGACCGATGCTCATGATGGAAATCACTGGATTGTCTGGTCCATATTTACAGACCGCCGTCATATATCTATAATATTGCTGAGTGCGGCGTTAAACAACAACCAAGAGAACAAACAAAAACCGTCATTCTGTAGTATATGCCTGGGTCCTAGCACTGTGACTAGTAAAAACCCGTTACATATTCCAATCAAAGGCAGCATCTCGTCACTCTATTTCCCACACCTTGACAAATTTTTATCGTCACCGGTCTGAATACCATATTCCTTAGCATGTGTTCGTATTTACGTGAGTTTGACAGTTGTCACTTCTACCCATGTCAGATTACGCAGACAAACTGTTCGACATTGTCGCGCACGTGTCCGAGAAACTTATTCAGAACGAGGCTCGATTGAACCAATTGGACACCGAGGGCGGAGATGGGGACACGGGAAGTACGTTAGCACGAGGAGCGCGAGGTGAGTGCCTGGCAACAAAACAAGAGTGATTAAAAAAGAAAACGAAAGAACGTCTCTATTAGATTGGTGCGTTGAATGAATGCCAAGTAGGAGAAAGCGTTGTGGTTTGAGAAATGGTAAGTAATGTTCTTACCAGCTGCTGTTACAGTAGCGAGGGTGCCAACCCCTTCCTCCTCTGAATCCCGAATACCATCTACATTTTCACTCTGAATGTCATTGCTCACCGTTAAATCCCAAATACTACTCAACACAAATGTCAAACGCATTGAGAAAAGGTGCGATTTGAAATTAAATTACTGAAAAAGTATCGAAAAAATAATATATTATGAGGGATAATTTTAAGTACACCATTAATTTATATATAATGCGTGCCAAATACGATTTTATTTTCGTCCCACGTACCATACTAGTGAGTCCCGAATGCCGTCTGAATCCCGCGTACCAAAATGGGGTTGGCAGCCTCAGTAGCCCTGAAATACCTATCTCTTCAAGGTGGACTTGGCTCGGGCAATTTTAGCATTCCCAACAAATTTGATTCAGATCATTCAAACACTACTTTATGTGTATGGTACACTCCTCCCCTCCCCTCCCCTCCCCTCCCCTCCCCACCCGTGGAGATTCTGGGTCAGAATGGGTCCCCAGCACATTACGTTGGTCGTATCAGTGGCTGTAGAATGGATCGGGTAGAGAATAGGTCTTCAGCATTCCATGCTTGCCACAAGAGGCGACTAGTGGAATCGGGTGGTCAGGTTCGCTGACTTGGTTGATGCATGTAATCGTATCCTAATTGCGTAGATCGATGCTCATGATATCAAACACTGGATTATCTGGTCCAGACTCGGTTATTTACAGACCTCCGTCATATACAAACAAACAAAATAAACAAATTGTAATGATCTGATGTCTCCCTTCAGCCATTTTAAAGCAGCTTGGTAACAAAGATAACCCTGGATTGCCTGTTGATAAACCATGGTCCCTGGCACAAGCCCTAGCGTCCACGGCTGAGAACCAAATGGGCGGCGCGTCCGGCGGAGTGAGTAGTTTAGATTTAATAATGATAAATGCACAATTCCATTCTAATTCTAAATAAAAGCGCCCAAACAAAGTCCATTGTACGATTCCGACTATATGATAAGCACATGTTTATGAATCACTATCAAAACGTGATGACACCAGGTGTTCGCGAAAAGGTGAGCGTATCCTGCTCCACCTGTGGCATCCGTCACAAACACATGCAGAGGCAAGTGTCCACCTAAAAAACCCACAGGAACACGTCAAAATAGGGAATAGCATCATGCATAATGTTGGTCATTCTGTTGTAATGGGCCGGGGACGTGTAGATCCCCATTACCCTATGTCTGTCACAAGAGTCGGCTAAATCGGGTGGTTAGAATGTGTTGTTAATTGTGTTATCGTGCTCCGACGCGGGTAGTTGCTCATGCTATCAACCGCAGTTCAACCAAAACTCAATTATTTGCAGGTTGCTGTGATATAGCATACATATTTCTGAAGCAAAAGGACCTGCAATGTCATCAGAGTACCCAATATTGCAAGACGTGATTACAAACACGAGGGACTTCTTTATGGCTGATTCTTCATATATACGGAGTTGACAGAATCTAATTAACGGGTTCTTTTTAGGTTTTTTTTCTGGAATATATTAATATTGTTCATGCGGCAACGTACTGCAATTGCCGCACATTGTTGTCAACGAAGGAAAAAGACCTTGCAGAATAATACATTACAGACTAGATTGAAGTACTAGATTGAAGCCGTGTCGATGATATGAGGAGCTTGGGTGGCCCGGTTGTCTAAGGCTGTCTTAGACGTGCCATAATGTTATGAGCGTGGGTTCGAATCCCAGAATCGCCCTGGTCATGGTTTTGAGCATGAGAACCAAAGTTGTCAACTTCTAAGACCTGCATCACGTCATTCTCTCCTCCAACTTTACTCAGACACGCCGTGATATAGCCGGAAGTATGTTTAAAGCGGCGTTAAACTCATTAACATTGTAACGCGGGGCGGTGGGGTAGCCTTATGGTTAAAGCGATGGCTTGTCACGCCGAAAACCCCGGTTCGATTACCAACATGGGTACAAAATGTGAAGCCCATTTTCCGGTGTCCCCTGCCGTGAAATTGCTGGAATATTGCAAACAGCGGCGTAAAACCATACTCACTCACACTGTAACGCTCTTCACTACAGCTCCACAGTCTACTGCTGACCTCAGCCTCCAGCAGTCTGAAGAACGCCGTGACGGCAACAGCTTGGTGTGACGCACTCACTCACGGCATAGACACTATCAGAAGGTGAGGCCATGACATTCCCTTACAAATTCTGTATTTCTTTTATTTTGTTGTCACCATTTTATTGCCTAATACACAAATGATTCTCTAAATCTTTATTTTGCTTTATATATTTATATGCTATATGATCCTTCAACATTTAGCACTTTCTTGTTACACAATAAATAAAGGTTGACATCCGCATGGGGTGACTAGTGTCTGATTTAATATATTTCAATAGATGAAAGCACTACGTATACCCAATACAATGACAAGAGGTGATCCACTGCTGCAAAAGTATTGTGGGGATCTGTTGAGTTGCTGTATCATTTCTTAAGATCGTGTTAAGTGTTTGTTTGTTTGCTTGTTGTTTAACGACGCAATCAGCAATATTACAGCTACAAGACGGCGGTCTGTAAATATTCGAGTTTGAACCAGCCAACCAGTGATTGATATCATGAGTATCGATCTACACAATTGGGATACGATGACATCAACCAAGTCAGCGAGCCTGACCACCTGATCCTGTTAGTCGCCTCTTAAGACAAGACCTGTTATAACCTGGATCGAGAGTGTTAGAGATTTCCTTTGGGAGTAAAGGGAGGTAGCTCATTATATAGTCTGTAAAGTTATTACCATTTACTGATCAGTATGTACTAGCTGTAGAAACGAATGTTAAAGTGTATACGACTATATATATCCTAGGGGGTTTACATTGCAGATATGGTGTATATCACTATATGCTAAATGGTGTACATTGCAGATACGGTGTACGTAACTATATGCTAAGTGGTGTACATTCCAGATATGGTGTACGTAACTATATGCTAAATGGTGTACATTGCAGATATGGTGTATATAGATATATGCTAAATGGTGTACATTGCAGATATATAACTATATGCTCAATGGTGTACATTGCAGGCATGGTGTATATACCTATATGCTAAGTGGTGTACCTTGCAGATATGGTGTAAGTAAATATATGCTAGATGGTGTATATTGCAGGTATGGTGGCGCTGAGCCCGGAGACAGGACGATGGTGAGTTGGTACACAGGCTCCATGTGTGAAACTCTTTCCTACCTGCAATACATTATCGATCATTATCAATATATTATATTAATCCCCCGCCATGAAGTGGAAGGGGGATATAGGAATTGGTGATGTCCGTCCGTCCATCCGTCACGTTTCGTTTCCGGAGCAGAACTAAAAATACATGAGAGATATCTTGACCAAACGTGGCACATAGGTAGGCCTAGTGGTGAACTGGTGCCTTTTAATAGTTTGGGAATTTTGGAAAATTTATTTTTCGAGTTTCCATAGCAGCCGGACTTGTCATATTGGCGGGGGATATGAATATTTCATGCTTGTTTAGGAACTGAATATCACTTTGTAAGTTCATTGGATTATGAGCCTTAGACTGAGGGCCAAACTGTATGGACGTCGGAGCGTGCGATACAATGCACACTCCATATAGGTTGATACTTTGAGAGATTCAAACAAAGTGAATGCCAATTCCTATAATTTTTAATTTATTATTTTATTCCTTGAATGTATACACAATTATATAATTATATTTAGTATGTGTGACTTCATGTTTACAACCAGCTGTGTCGCGGAAACAAATAATTCATCAAAAGGAGAGGTGACATGAGCGTGTATACTCTGATGTGACCGGCCAATCATTCAATGGAAAAGCCGTATAATGGTGTAAACGTCATATTAATATAGACTACTAAACGAGCTCCCGTGTAATACCAATTTTATGAAACGAGTGAATAGTTCTGGTATCTGGCGAGCGAAAGCGAGTCAGATACCACAACTATTCACGAGTTTCATAAAATTGGTTTTACACGGGAGCGAGTTTAGTATTCTATATATATTTGAAGTTGATTCAGAATGTTGTTGAAGACAGTGTTCTAAAAGAAGCTCTCAATCGGTATATGTCCTATTCAAAATAATAATTACAATTCCCATGATGGAATTCAAAATAGATACTTTTTGGGGAGGTGTGTAAAATAATCAGGCATGTTATTGTTAGGATATCAAATGCCTTTGCGAAGTTTGATGCAGAAATCATTTGGACATGCACCAGATTACCAGTTGCTGACGTTAACTGTCCCCTCACACGTCTCTCCATAGCTGGACCCTCTGTGTGCTGCGCGAGATGTGCTGTTAACAAGATTGCAAGAAACAGCTCCCGTTCAAGCCTTCACAGAGGCGGTTCAGGTAGGTGATGGTTTAGGGGTCTTGATGGGGAAATTATCTGATGTATATATATGATGTATTTTCATACCACTCAAGGTTGGGTCTTAATTAAATAAGCGAATGGATATATCGGTTCTCATAATATAACTTATTATTACTTGTGTGAGCGTGTGGCTGACGCGCTCCTACCGCGGCCTTCAAATGAGTGAGTTAGGGTGTTTTAAGCAGCCTTTAGTTATATTCCAGCAATGTCTCGATGGGAGTCAAAGAGCTTCACACGTAGCACCCAATGGCAACGTTACCTTAGTCTCCGGCATTAGGAACGAAAACGATTTAATCACAAGTTACCCGTCCCACATAATAATAATAGGCCTGAAAAGTGAAACAGAAGGCTTTCTGTTTGCTGCTCAGGACCAGTAAACCGTAAATGTGTGATTTTGCATGAAAATGTCTATATGAAATGTAGATTATGCAATGAATTTAATGAGACTGCCCAACTCATTGTCAGTGGATGCTCAGCTTTGCCACAAACACAGCATCTTAAGCAACATGATGGCGAGGCTCGATTCTTTTCTTACCGTCTTCGCTTTGTTTGTGGTTTTAATTCATAGGTCCATCCATGGCACGACCCAGAATATGTTGAGGGCGTCATGGAAAATGATAATTATTATATTCTTTGGAATAGGCTCGTATACAGCCTCAGACCTACACATGCCAACAAACCAGATCTTGTTCTTTATGGGAAATACAATGAAATCATTTATAGCATTGTATTCTCTATCCCTTTTGATACTAATGTAATTGGCAAGATTCAGGAAAAACATGCCAAATATGCGGACCACGCTTGAGAAATGTCACGCTTGCATCCCAAAGTACCAAGTTGTCCGACTCCCCATTGTTCTCGGTACCTAAGGTTTGGTACCTCCCAATCTGTTGACTGACATTGGGAGAGTACCCGGGTTTGTTGCCAGGAACACAAGCCTTCTGACACTCTGGGTAACGCAGAAGACTGCAGTGATGGGGAGACTTCACATTCTTCGAAAGTTGGTTTGACTAGGCAGCACTTCCTGGGAGAAGTCCCATTCGCAGTCTGAGCTGCGTGTAGAGGGGGCAAGGGCCCTGAACTGATGATGAGCCTGACGGTGCCAGGATTACCCCAACCCTCTTTTCTGCATTTATTAATTTTTTATCTGTAAAATATAATAATTGAGTGTCTAGGGTGATCAGCGGCGATGACAATGTAAGAGACGATATACAGAACAGGTTTGCCCGGCCAATGCGGATGGATTACTGTGATCTCACATATAGGCAGGCGGTAAAAAAAAATAAATAGATATAATTCTGGAAGAAAGAAATTTTAAAAAGATGGGTTTTTACAGCTGTCTTGAAAGCTGCCTGAGGAGATTGTCCTGATGGAAATTGGGAGATGTTCCACAGGGCTTGAGCTGCTGCAGCGAATGCTTAGCCTCCCATGACGGTTCTGGTGGTCAGCTGGGCCCAACGATAGGAGTCCCCAGATCGAAATGACAATATGGGACAATGACTCTCATTGCTCACCCCTGAATCCCGAAAACCACATAACACAAACCTCAAAAGCATTGCGAAAAGAGTGCGATTTGAAGTTAAATTACTTAAAAATTAAAATACATAAAGGACATTTTTACGTACACCATTATTTGTTTTTACATGTTGGATCTGCGTACCAAATATGACTATACTTGCGTCCCGCGTGCCACACGGCTGAATACCTCCTAAATAGAACCCCGAATCCTGCGTACCAAAAGGTTTGCAGCCTCATTTATACATTATGTACGTTTTTTTTATATGTATTCATGTACTGTTTTACTGCCATGTCCTATGGGCCTGTTGCCTAAGACTAGAGTGCTGCCTCCGTGGTCTTGTGGTAGAGCGTCCGCCCGGAGAGCGGAAGGTCCGGGGTTCGATCCCCGGCCGCGTCATACCAAAAGACGTTAAAAGATGGTACTTGTTGTTACCCTGTCTGGCGCTCGGCATTAAGGGGCTAAAACAAGGACTGGTCGGCTCGGAGTCAGTATACTGTGTCTGAGTGGGGTATTCATGTTAAACTGCGCATGGTATCTCAGTGAGCTAGCACTATAAATCGGCATCAGTCCGGACTAGTACAAGCAGCCACACACACACATACACGTGCATGCACGTCGCTATATAAGTGCAATAATCTTGGACGCGACGTTAAACCCAATTTCACCTCACCTCACCTCACCTAAGACTAGAAATAAAGCGACATTTAACAATGGTCTCCGATTTATGTGTGCATGTGTGTTCTGTCGCAGGCAGCCGAGAAGATGGCAGAGGCGACAGCGACGATGAAGGCCTATGCTGGACGGGCTAGCTACGTCAACCCCGACCGTCTCACCCAGCCGGACCCCGGGGCCACGGGGGTGGCTATCTGGCTCAGGGCCATACTGGAGAAATTGTAAGGAGCAGCTGAGACTATTTGAACTAAAACGGATTGAACAAACGAATGTTACTGTCGCCATTCAACACTTATTCCCATGCCGTCCAGAGTTCTGCTATTTTCATGTGTATGAGATGTGGCTCGTTCAGATGGACATCACCACAAAGTACACAAGAAATCTTGCAGTGTGACCCCTCTGTCCTGTCTAATCCGTTTTCCTTGTTAAATTGTTATTTTGACTCGTTCAAATTCGTTACGTATGTACTAAAGTACTGTCGGAAATGCTAGAAAACTGCTTTTTGCCTGTTAAAAAAGGATATAATTTTTCACAGACTGTTGTTATTGAAATATCGAGTTACTACCGATCGCCCTACCCGTGGTTTGAAGTATTTCAGTCACAAGGAGTCCTATCGACAAGTTTACAGGAGACAAATTCGAACGAAAACCGGAAGTTCACATTTATTCTAAGTCCAGTGATGACAGTCTGAAACGGACTATAGAAATATGCGCACGTGACTCTATTATAATGATAATAATGTAGTCTTCATAAAACATCTAACCCATAAAAATCATTTTGAGAAAATTCTACATGTGCATCTTCTAAAATGACAAAATGACGCTGCGTTTTGGGGGTTGACATTGCTCCCATGATTTTTCACTTGCTTGATAACGGTGTTGGAACCTACACCGAAACGTCGCTCTTAATTGTAATAAAGAAGTTGTTCATCCATAAATTCTTATCCTTCCTCAGTCAGTTAGGACAGGCTAGATTAGGACAATTCGCGTTATTTTGATGTATGCTCTTTTTATAGTCCTATGACTCGTATTTATTACATAAAGCCAGAAAAGCAGTTTTCTAGCATTTCCGACAGTACTTTAATATACCGAGTTCACGGCTATCCTATGTTTATATGAAAAAGGACACGCCACTCGTCCAAGGAAAATCGTCTGAATTGACAATTTTCCAGGTAATCGTTCCCAGCAGTAAATGATTGGAAAGCGTGTCAAGTCAAGACAAGAACATTTACAAGACAAGAACATTTACAAGACCAGAACATTTACAGGACACGTTACTGCCAGTTGGGATCATTATTGCATCATAGTAATAAAGCTGACCGGTGTTCCATAACGTTCCTCACATTGTATACACCGCCAAAAGAAACGCGAACTCTAGAAACATATGGAGCCTTGTGTACGTTAAGTAGATATGTTTTGAATGTGTACCACTTAATGACAACACTAACAATCAGTCAAGTGTTACCACAGAGTGTCTGTATTCTTATCATGATGTGCTGCACGTGATGTCCAAGCTTTCACACGCTAATCCTGCACAAGACAAATACTGCATCTTTAGTCATGGATCAATGACGTGAAATGTGATGCGTTCATGAGCGTCGGTTCACACGAACCAATCTAAGATATCTTGAATAAGAGTAATTCTTCATATATTAACCAGCATGTATGGTATTCGCGATTCTTTTGGTGGTGAGTATACTACACGGAATACACCAGGAATACCGAGGGATAAAGTATTAAAGTTTACATTATTTGCATTCCACTGTTGTTGTTGTTGTTGTTGTTGTTGTTGATGATGCAGTTATTGTTACATCTTCAATATCCAGGAAGTTTCACGGAGCGATGTAGGAATCCAGACGCCATTTTGGTATCAACCTTGACCTTGATAACTCTTACTGCAGCCTCTTGACATCTTTCTAAACTCTGTGACTGCAGCACTGAATGAAATGTCTTGTCCTGACACACATATCGCATGGCTGTGTTTGGCTGGACTAGTTAGTTGAGTAGGAGAGAGGATGGGAGTAGTTCGAGTTCCAGTCGCGGAGGAATACATTCTCCAGCTGATGGCGTAAGGACATGGTGTCGTTGTCAGTCTGTGGCTGTTCCATTATGAAACCTATCCCCGCTGTATATACAAAGTACTCCCCTGACCAGTTGGAGGTTCCTACAAGAAAAGTTGTTTTTTACAGCGTGTAGAACAGTTGACAGACTTCATAAACGAAATCAGTAGCTGTATTTGTGTCTGTACGTATACTGATATCAGAACTTGTATGAGTTGATTCACTGTCACTGATCAGATTTATAATATATATGTGCCGACATTTAAAAGGTGATCCATATGTTGGTTAAAGTCTACATCTAGACGTTCTACTTCTGCTTAACGTGTGAAATTGTTACAAAATTGTTGGGTCGTACAAGTGACCAACTCTCCTAGCCTTGTTCCAAGGCTACACCGAATCAATGGACGTATTGTAATTCTATCCTATTAGTATTAGGCAAATAGGAAAGCGGGCACGCCTGTCTTTTATAGGGACAACATCGTCTTATTTTTTTTAAATCTAGAAATTAGGATAATAATCATTTCCTAAGAGACTTGTGCAAGTCTACACGTCCCCCTCCATTAATGCTGTATATGCCTCGTTCTCACCTATATATGCGTGCTGATCTGTGACCATATACTTGTTGTGGTTCACCCGTGTATATGGAACCTGGTTCTGATCAGGGTTGGCTGGGAACTCGAATAATCTCTGATGGAATAGAGAAAGGTGGAGCATTTATTAAACACTGCACACATACCAATACTGGTCTTAATATATGGCGTTGTTTTGGTACTTGATCTATTATCATTTTTACGGGTGTTCAACGTATAAGTTAACAATACTACGTTACATTAGAAGCGCATTTAAGGTAACACCTTTTTTATTTTCGATTTAGTAATTGACGGACAGGAGTAAGGACAACAGAATGATTTATACTTTAAGTAATTTTTAGAATCTCATCCTACCGGGTACCCATTCACTGCTGGGTGAACAAAAGCATGTTTCGAACAGTCTCCTGTCTAAGGAGACACCAATGGGACACCTCATTTGATGTTATTACTGCTCACCACTTCCAAGTCTACCCGTGTTTGCACCGACTGGCCGAACGTCTCTAGGGAGCGCAGGTACAGGAACATGTCGGGGTTGGAATGTTGCCAGCGACTGGCGAGGAGGTAGACGGTGACGTTGTGGTCGTAGGCGGCAGTCTTCAGTGCGTCATTCAAGACCGGCCAGTACCTACAAGAGGCAAAGTTTGATGTAAGATACAGAGAACGAGTTCAACATTGGTTTGTGTGTTTAACGCGCACTCCAGCAATATTCCAGCTAAATAGAATATGGAATTGACAATCCAGTGATCGATATTATGATCAACATCCAATGCCGTCAGGGTCCAATAACACGCCTTCAACCGAGTCTTACCACCTGATCCATTAAGTCGACTCTTGCGACTAGCACATCTTGCTGGGGAGCAATTCTAACAAGAATTCTGAATTTCTACATTTGTATCATTCAGCCAGGAAACCCATCATGACATTTGGACCCGTGAAGATCCGGGATAGAATTGGTCTTCAGCAACCCATGCTTGCCGTAAAGGTGCGTATGCTTGTCGTAAGAGGCGACTAACGGGCTTTGGTATCCCAATTGCGTGGATCGATGCTCATGACGTCAATCACTGGATTGTCTGATCCTGACTCGATTATTTACAGACCGCCGTCATATAGCTAGAATATTGCTGAGTGCGGCGTTAAACAACAAACAAAAAACGGTGTGACACACACATACAGCCTGATCACAGAACAACGTCGGTCTTCACCGGGTACTGTCCATGTTCAGTACCTGTTCTAGGCACTGTGAACACATCTATTCCGACACCACTGACGTACTTCCCAAGACGCAAGTTTGCCCATTCACCTGTTGTGTGCGTCGAGTTGTATAAAGGGCATATAATCCATGACGGCGATGTAGATGAAGTCCCTGGCCTTGCTTATGACGTCCAGGATGGCGTCAAGGTCAGTTGTTCGACCTTCAGGGCAAAATGATGGTGGCGAGCTCTGGTGTAGAAAATGTATCATATATCCCATGTTCAAAATATATTTAAAAAATTATAATTTAAATATATTTGGTATTTACTCCAGTTATATGTTTCATCAAATGTATTATTATTATTATTATTATTATTATTATTATTATTATTGCGTGTATCGATGCTCATGATGTCAATCACGGGATTGTTTAGTCCATACTCGATTATTTCCAAACCGCCGTCATATAGCTGGAATATTGCTGAGTGCGTCGTTAAACAACAAACGAACAACGGTGTAACATACACCCAGCCTTATCACAGAAACGTTCACTCACTCGAACGACGCGACGCTGTAACGAAACGACACACATGTTGGAGAGACATTCTTTTGGAAGTTACTGATATGATAGACCGCCTCCGTGGTCTAGTGGTAGAGCGTCCGCCCGGAGAGCGGAAGGTCCGGGGTTCGATCCCCGGCCGCGTCATACCAAAAGACGTTAAAAGATGGTACTTGTTGTTACCCTGGCTGGCGCTCGGCATTAAGGGGCTAAAACAAGGACTGTTCGGCTCGGAGTCAGTATACTGTGTCTGAGTGGGGTATTCATGTTAAACTGCGGCATGGTATCTCAGTGAGCTAGCACTATAAATCGGCATCAGTCCGGACTAGTACAAGCAGCCACACAAACACACACACGTACATGCACGTCGCTATATAAGTGCAATAATCTTGGACGCGACGTTAAACCCCTTTTCACCTCACCTCACCTACTGATATGATACGTGGAGATTGTGACGTTCCCTCCCAAACGAAGCTATGTCAGAGAATGGGTCAAGAGCGTACATTATGAATCCACACACGTCGTCTGACAGAGGGGTGCGATAGGGGTAGTGTGTGTTTAATTACCAAACAAACCTTCTCATCTTTCATGGGCATAAGGGGTGGTCGGGTAGCCTAGTGGTTAAAGCGTTCGCTCGTCACGCCGAAGGCCCATTTCGATTCCCACATGGGTACAATGTTTCTGGAGTCCCTATATTACCGGGATATTGTTGAAAGCAGCATAAAACTTCACTCTAACATTCCCACTACTGACCGAGAGATACACCGCTCCCGTGTCGACAACATGTGGATTGCCCTTCTTGAATGCTGGTGAGAAGTCACGTGACCAGGAGGCTGGGACGCTGGCTTCCTGTGAGGCCAGTTTCCAGTAGATCTGGAAGATCTTTTCCATGTCGTCTGCTAGACAACTGCAGTTTTGCACTAACACTCCCAACTCTTTCACCTAAAACAAACACGAGAAGTCAGTGCACGTCTATATTTTTCCACTGCAGGGTTACCAACAAATTTGTTTGTTTGTTGTTTAACGCCGCACTCAGCAGTATTACTGCTATATGACGGCGGTCTGTAAATAATCTAGTCTGGACCAGACAATCTAGAGTGCATCGATCTAGGCAACTGGGATACCATGACATGCATCAACCAAGTCAGTGAGCCTGACCACCTGACCCGTCTCTTACAAGCATAGTCGCCTCCTACGGCAAGAATGGGTTTGCTGAATTATCTATTCCAACCCGAATCTTCACCTGTTCAACACGTTCGTACACGACATGGCAACTCTCACCTGAAACATTAAAGTTGGAGATTTGTTAAGCCATGATGATAAGCATACGCCTGCAAGTCAGCCTTTGAAATTCAGACTAGTCCGCTAGCCCGAGGCAACTAAATTGTGCTGAGAACAAGTAGATGGTGGTCGTCTTCATTGACTTGTAGCATTTGATTGCTATAATTCTGAACCACTTCTCAATGCTTGAAGTATTGTGCGAACTGGAAAGCAGCTGACAAAATGTAAACATAGTAAACAGGCAGGACAAGTAACAACATCTGAGGACAAATAAGGTCTACACTAGTCCTCTGTGGTGGGTGCTACCGGTAGGGAAGGACATGCGTCCTCACTTTGCAATTTTTGTCAATACTGTAAGTAATATTCCGGATTGGGGGAATGGCTTGTTTTTAAAATTGTCCGAAAAGAGGTGGGGTAACAAAAATAAGTCTTCAACGTAATGGACAAAGGGCATACACATCTAAAAACAAAAAAGTTCAATGACACGTCGCATAAATAGTGTGTATGACCAGACCCTCTGCTCTGTCAATAACTGTCCTCGGTATTCCTTGAGCCCTGAGTCGCCAGACCACTGTCTGTCGACTATCCATATGCCCTAAGGTGTTCGTCGCTGAAGATGTCATTGTCAAGAATCGATTCCGGAGATGCAAAGTACGCAAGTAACGGTCTTCCTTCGGCGTAGTTACCCTGTTTGGACGATGTGTTTTTCATTGATTTCGTTTGAACTTATGTTTATAAATCTTTGCAATTTCATATTTAAAGTGGTAAAGTTTCGTTTGGCCGTCAGTGTACCTGGGTGTAGGATCTCCAGTCCATGTTGGCGCTGCCGACATAGAAGTGTTGTTCATCCACCAGCCACATCTTGGTATGGAGGATACCGCCTCCAACCAGCCGGGTGAAGTTGATGCTCCGCACGTCCGCACCTTCAACACAGACACCACACCTGCACCACAACAAGCTCACGTATGTTCTCATAGATCGTAGCAAACAACAAAGAATCACTCACACGCCCACTTTTCCAAAGGGGTATTAAATTGATCCTTCCTTAGAGTAATATGAGAGAAATTGTATGTACGTTACATATATCGACATGCACAACGCTTGGCAACACACATAAGGAGAAAACGGAGGCTAAAGATACACAACAGTTTTGAAGAAAAGGTTAAATCTGATGAACGTTTCAGTCTCAGACAGGCGTGCATGTTTTTTTGCGGAAACAGAAACAGTCCGTACGTGAATGCGTGGACGTAACGCCGCTTTAAAACACGCTGTCGGGTTAATGGGAGGAACATCCAACGACAAGCATGTCATGATCAACCGATGAATACTTGAAAATTTGCGAATCTTCCAACAAGCAGACCTTGACAAGACTTAGAAGCGTTGTTGCGCCATGAACCACGCAAGCCTATGTTGGAGAAATCACTGGAATGTATTGATTTTATTTTCGAGATTACTTTTCGAGGGATTTCATGGATTCAAACATGCTATGATGGATATACAATTTCTCTATAAGTTTGTATAATGATCTATAGTTTCGTCAGTTGTTCTTGTTAACATTGGCTCAGAATCAACTGCAACAACAACAGCGGTGCGTAACGTTAACCATGAAGATTCTTGACATACATATGTACAGTGGAACCTCCATAAACTGGACTTAAACATTTTCGCTGAAATCGTCCAGATTAAAGAATCATGGGTACGAGTAAGTTTACCTTGCATACATTGCCAGCAGTAATCGTCCTGGATTTCCGGAAAAAACAGGGTTCAGATTATTGATTATTATTATCAAACCTGCTGCGGCAAGTCTCTCTGTGTCGACGTCTGGATACTCTGCAGATGGCTGATTCTGTACAATTTGAATTTTCACTTGACCTTGACTACCAATGTCATACAGGGCGTCAAACACAGCTTGTCCCTGTAATGACAAAAGAGTGCTCAGACCGACCTAACGCCCGTGTGTGTCAACCAGAACAAGTCATTCTCAAAACCACGTGGGATTCCGGGCAGCAACTTGTGGAAGGAGACAACTGAATAAATCTAGTGGTCTGACTCAGTGATTTGGTAGATTGCAAGTCATCCTCCACCGAACTCGTGGAGATCCGGGTTAGAATAGTTTTTCAGCAACCCATGCTTGCCGTAAAGGGCGAATATGCTTGTCGTAGGAGGCGACTTACGGGATCGGGTACTTAATTGATGCATGTCATCGTATCCCAATTGCGTAAATCGATGGTCATGATGTCAACCACTGGATTGTCTGGTCAAGACTCGATTATTTGTAGACCGCCGTCATGTAGCTTGGTGCGGCGTTAAACAACAAACAAACAAACAAACATCAGACACCGACGGAGTGGGACGTTGTGTATTTAATTTATCACTGGATTGTGTGTTGAAGATAGATTATTTACAGACCGCCCTCATATAGTTGATATTACAAAGTTGGAATATAATATCAAACATCCCACGATATGTTTCACAAGGCTTTCTAGTAGCGCAATGACTGCCGTACCTTAACAAAGATCTACGACAGTCGCAATGCCAAGAATACCATGAGAAACGAGATCTTGGTTTGAGAAGCCCGAAACAGTGAGTGAGTATGGTTTTATGCCGTTTTATGCCGCACTATTCCAGCAATATCACCGCGGGGGACACCAGAAATGTGCTTCACACATTGTACATGTCGGGAATCGAACCCGGGTTTTCGGCGTGAACGCTTTAACCACTAGGCTACCCGACCGCCCCGCCCGAAACATGGTTGAGCAGCAGAAGCATTTATGTATATTGTGCTGTATGAGATACCTCTATCCTTGTTCAGTGGTCGTGTGCCCCTGCTCACCTGTCTGGAGCTGGGGTCCATTGGTGTGGTGTCATTCTTCTGCAAAGTCCAGTAAAAAGACGCCACGGATATCGTCTGCTCTGCGCTCTGGATCAGATCCAAAATGGTAGGACCCGTGCTTGGGTGTGGCTGTTCATCGTCTTGGTAGTGGAGACTCTCAGGAATGGACTCCACCAACGTAAACCTGCAAAGTTTCCAATTTCTCGTTCTTGTTGTAGTGTTCCATTGCACATTTACGACAACAAGATTATGAGAGGCTTAGCGTATTAGACTCCTGTGCATTTCGCCGAACATGTCCCTATCTGGAAGGATCTTTTTTGTAATACAACCGCCAGCAGGTCAGTAACGTGTGGCCACAGACACTCCAGAGTTCCTCACCTTTTGCCGAGCGTTCCCCAAGGCAGTATCATGTAACAATATGGTACCTAGCCTGTGTGATCGACTCGGGATTTAGGGGTAAATTTATATAAATTAGAAACAAAGTGGAGGGTTAGTTTAAGGGAATGGGGTTGTTCTATAATGTTCTAATCTCCAGACAAAATCCCAGACATTCGGTTCGAAAACAATATGGATTTCAACTTTCGGATATTTTCCCATTTTTCATGTTTTTAATCAAGTTGCTCAAATGATTTGATGCACTTTGCGAGGTAAGACCCGTTTAATTACAATATAGATCTTGATTATCGATCAGATCGTCTTGACTGGGCTCCGTCCTTTTTGTTTTCAGCAAATGCAAGAGATATGAGAGATGGAATCTGATTGGTCAATTGGGGGGACATAGAAGGGACATAACTCGTAATAGTCACTGGTGATGGCGGCGCTACGATCGATCCACGAAATTCCTCGGCAAGGGTGGAAACTGGTCTTTTATTGTCAGTTAACTACCTTGCCTCGGGAAGATAGACACAACTATACAGCTGAAGAGCTAAAACAGGGGTTATTACATTACTTGAATTTCCCATACTCCCTGCGAATTTCAAAGAAGTATAAAGCGGAGACAAATATAACTAGGTAGTTTCTATTCGGAACCATATTGACTTACACAAATGAGGTTTCGTCGCTCATTAACATACATCTGCATTGAGCCAAAAGCATGTCCGACCACTTTCTAAAATAACACGTTTAGTTACCATCACCCAAATATATCGAGAAAAAGTAAGTCTTTGGAAGGCATTTAGAAATGATACACATAAGGAAGAGAATTTATGGATGTTAACTTCTTTATTATGAGGAACACAACGTTTCAGAGTATATGCTTACTCCTTCATCAGGTGAATGAATGATTCAGAGAGCATACATATGTACATGTAAGCAAAAGTAATAACAAAAGGTGGAAACTTCACAAGGGATGCCAACACATAATTGGCGCTGAAAGGTGATTAGCAATAGACAATGGGAGCCAAAAGAATTCTTCCTCGTGAGATAAAATAGTTATTATAAGTACAAATTAGGTTACTTCGGAAACGCCATTTCGAGGGAACACCACTACAAATCAATATAACGTTATAATAATAGGCTATTTATATTGCGCATATTTCCACACCACTCTGAAAAGCGCTATTATAACCCCGGTCAATGGATCAATGTGCACTCAAGAATCATTCTCAGCTTCCTGGGGAGTATACAACCCAAGCTGCCTGTCAAGCGCTAGAAGGTTACCAACCACATTGCCATCTCATCCTACCGGGTACTCAATCACTGCTGGGTGAACAGAGGCACATTTCGATCAAAGTCACTCGCCCAAGGATACGCCACGTGTTACATGTGCATCAATGTGGGGCAGGAAAAGAAGTCCTAGAAACTCTCAGGAGCCAAGCTGCCGAAACTCGGTCCAAGGACACTGCGCGACCGACTTTGCTTAACTTCACCTGATTTGTGACCTGTGCGCTGTGCACAGGACCACGTGCCACCACGTACAATATTACAAGACATCGGTAGCGCTATATTCAGAGGTATTAAAATATAGTTTTCTAATCTCTCAATTTATAAAAAATATAGCTTTACTGGTTCCTTTTCATGCAACATTTAAAGCTATTTGTGCTTTCTGTTCGAAAAATGTTAGACGGCAAAAGCGATTTCAACATAGCGGATCTCCCCGCAATTTATCCGCACGGGAGCTCAAGGCTTGTTGGACATGGTAACAGTATCCATGGTAGACGTGACTTCGTATATCTATCTACAAAATAAAAAATAATAATATCCAAATGGAGTCAAGAAAAATCCTTAATTATAGAGCTGAGGTAATCTAGACTTGTCAAATCATTTTGTACTCCTTTAATATATTCTCTGGTGTTAAGGTGAATTGGGGTTTAACGTAGCGTCCAAGATTATAGCACTTATATAGCGACGTCCATGCGTGTATGTGCGTGTGTGTGCGTGTACTAGACTGGACTGATGCCGATTTATATTGTTAGCTCACAGATACCATACTGCAGTTTAACATGAATACCCGTCTCAGACACAATATACTGACTCCGAGCCGACCAGTCCATGTTTTAGCCCCTTAATGCCGAGCGCTAGAGAGTACCATCTTTTAACGTCTTTTGGTATGACGCGGCCGGGGATCGAACCCGGGACCTTCCGCTTTCTGGGCAGCCGCTCTACCACTAGACCACGGAGACGGTCTTATTCTCTGAGAGACCCACTAAAGAAAGTATACACTTTAAGATTGGTTTTGAGCAAAAAGTTATCAATACGTTACTGCATACTTAAGGTCAAGTAATGATATCCGTATCAAATACACCGTCATCGAATAACCGTCTCTTGTTTGTTTCATGTTTAGCCATTACCAAATATGGGTGTATACTTTCTTTTGCTTGGAAGTATATTTGAATGTTTCGTCTAGACATGTGTTGGATCATCAGACCAAGACACAAATGGATGAATATACTACTTGCCAACATTGGTCGCTGCATCCTATGTCTGAGTGTGCAGTAGTGACCTCCTCGGCTGTCTGGGTACTTCCGTTTTGGTGATCGGAGTGAAGCTACACAGAGAAGGTGGTACAATCTCAGTAGTATAGAACGGGTCGCCAGCAACCCCCTTTTGGTTGATCCGGTTGATCCAGGCGCATCCGAAGGTGATTGGCTGATCCAAGTCGCGTGATCGGATAGGATGACTCATGCATCAACAGCGCGTCGGGAAAGAGGGGGATGAAAGGTGTGTGTTTATAAGGCAGAAAAGAATTCGTAAGAAAACAAAAGTAAAAGGTTATGAATAGAGCTATGTGTATAGCGTGCTGCCCTAAATAGACAGACCGTACCCGTCAGCCCAGTTTGAATTGAGCGCGCTTGACAACTCACGTGGACCTATATTCAAATAACCCGCGCTCGCTAGAGCGTGCGACCTGGTTTGATGAATACAGGGTGTGTGTTGAAAGTACATCATACCACAATAGAGACGGGTTATGTCAACACGATATACGCCGGGTAATGTAGGAATAAAAAATGTACGTCTAGCTGGATCAAATTCATCTTGTACGGTCTACACGTTGTATACCATGAACGTTAGACAACCTGTATGGAAAAAATATAGACAAAATAGATAAGACTTCACAATCAGCAAGCTAGCAGTGTCGTTTAATTACATTTAGCGCGCAACAACGAGGTAGTCACGTCACCCTGCATTGACTATAACGCTGAAGGCAGCCGGATTTCGAATCACCCCTCGCTGCGTACTATTGTGAACCATTTGTAAAGAATTATTCAGCCCTGTCCCGACTTGCATAGTTGATGTTTCAATGCTAGCGTTTCCATTTAACGTGATGACAAATAAGCCCTACGGTTTGAGTTTTAACCGTGTAACATGATGTGCACAGTTTTACTTCAGAACGTGCTATTTTGAAAATAGATAGAAAACTGATAAGTACATGTACCCGTGTGACGGCACGAAGCTAGGTTTGTTGGGAAAGTGATGGAAGCAATCTATAGGACATTTTCATGTTTACAATACTCACCCTTAATTCGAAGAGAGAACAGAGTTTATCATGGAAAATTGTTTGACGAGGAAAATGTTTTATTGGAAATATATGTCGAAGTAGGTTTATTCATAGCTAATGTATAGCAGAGAGACTAAGCGACCGACCGCCCATAACAATGTCAACATACCCCGGCCTTACAATTAATGTCAACATACCAGCCTCGCCTGAAGCTTCCCATTCATAAATTGTGTGAGCAGTGTCCCGTATTCATGATATGTCAGGGAAGATGTGTTGTACATTTGTTATTTTTAAAGGGAGTTATTTCAGAGAGGCGGGACTGACCAACCGATCCCCGTCAGTCGCCGATAAGCATGGGTTACTGGGCCTGCTGCCTGTGGAAGCCAAAGGTGAAGACCATCAAGGATTATTTACCAGTGTGTATTGTAAAACCAAATTAAAATACACATACTGATCGCTTTTTTAACATACTCACAAGTGTGCTGTGGAGAAAAGAGTGTCTTCCAAGATTCCCTGCACGTGTAAGACAGTATAAACTCTACAGTAGTGTAGCCCGACAAACAGTTTTACTCTCGCCAGCAAACGTATTGGACGTGAACAACATGAAGAAAGCATCAGAGATTAGACTTGACCCTAGAGATATATTTAGGAAGACTACGTTGAGAAAATCACAACAGAGAAAGAAACCACAAGCAGCACAAGAAGTCGACGCTGAAGACAAAGAAGAGACAGGTTACACCTAAAATGAAAACGATGACAACCAAACAGGTATCGAAGAAAACACCCCAACCCGTGAAAATACAACATGTGTCGGAGGTGAAGGCTGTGGTGGAACGGGCACTTGCTGCCTTGAAGCGTCAACAGAGTCAAGGGTATAAACGTAAGCTTCATACCCTCTAATCGCACACCATATTGGATCACCATGGGGGTTGCCACCTGTCCGGTCTGTGAAAAAAAGTTTTCAAGGAGAGATGTCATGTTACGACACAGGAGAAATAAACATAGCATACCGCCTCCGCCGTTACAAGCCCACCCACCGCCGCAAGTCCACTGGCCAGCGGCGGCGGCGGATGTGCTTGTAACGGCGGGTTGGCTTGACGCAGCGGCGGCGGTAGCGGATGGGCTTGCGGCGGCGGTGGCGTTAGCGGGTGGCCTTGTAATGGCGGGTGGATTTGCGGCGGCGGCGGCGGATGGGCTTGCGGCGGCGGCGGTAGCGGGTGGGCTTGTAATGGCGGGTGGATTTGCGGCGGCGGCGGCGGCGGCGGTAGCGGATGGGCTTGTAATGGCGGGTGGATTTGCGGCGGCGGCGGCGGTGGTAGCGGATGGGCTTGTAATGGTGTGTGGATTTGCGGCGGCGGCGGTAGCGGATGGGCTTGCGGCGGCAGCGTTAGCGGGTGGGCTTGTAATGGTCGGTGGACTTGCGGAGGGGGGGTGGGCTTGTAACGGCGGCGGTATGCTATGTTTATTTCTCCTGTGTCGTAACATAAAATCTCTCCTTGAAAACATTTTTTGACAGTCCGGACAGGTGGCAACCCCCATGGTGATCCAATACGGTGTGGGGCGGTCGGGTAGCCTAGTGGTTAAAGCGCTCGCTCGTCACGACGAAGACCCGGGTTCGATTCCCGACATGGGTACAATGTGTGAAGCCCATTTCTGGTGTCCCCCGCCGTGATATTGCTGGAATATTGCTAAAAGCGGCGTAAAACCATACTCACTCACTCACTCACTCCAATACGGTGTGCGATTAGAGGGTATGAAGCTTTCTTTTATACCCTTGACTCTGTTGACGCTTCAAGGCAGCAAGTGCCCGTTCCACCACAGCCTTCACCTCCGACACATGTTGTATTTTCACGGGTTGGGGTGTTGTCTTCGATACCTGTTTGGTTGTCATCGTTTTCATTTTAGGTGTAACCTGTCTCTTCTTTGTCTTCAGCGTCGACTTCTTGGCTGCTTGTGGTTTCTTTCTCTGTTGTGATTTTCTCAACGTAGTCTTCCTAAATATATCTCTAGGGTCAAGTCTAATCTCTGATGCTTTCTTCATGTTGTTCACGTCCAATACGTTTGCTGGCGAGAGTAAAACTGTTTGTCGGGCTACACTACTGTAGAGTTTATACTGTCTTACACGTGCAGGGAATCTTGGAAGACACTCTTTTCTCCACAGCACACTTGTGAGTATGTTAAAAAAGCGATCAGTATGTGTATTTTAATTTGGTTTTACAATACACACTGGTAAATAATCCTTGATGGTCTTCACCTTTGGCTTCCACAGGCAGCAGGCCCAGTAACCCATGCTTATTGGCGACTGACGGGGATCGGTTGGTCAGTCCCGCCTCTCTGAAATAACTCCCTTTAAAAATAACAAATGTACAACACATCTTCCCTGACATATCATGAATACGGGACACTGCTCACACAATTTATGAATGGGAAGCTTCAGGCGAGGCTGGTATGTTGACATTAATTGTAAGGCCGGGGTATGTTGACATTGTTATGGGTGGTCGGTCGCTTAGTCTCTCTGCTATACATTAGCTATGAATAAACCTACTTCGACATATATTTCCAATAAAACATTTTCCTCGTCAAACAATTTTCCATGATAAACTCTGTTCTCTCTTCGAATTAAGGGTGAGTATTGTAAACATGAAAATGTCCTATAGATTGCTTCCATCACTTTCCCAACAAACCTAGCTTCGTGCCGTCACACGGGTACATGTACTTATCAGTTTTCTATCTATTTTCAAAATAGCACGTTCTGAAGTAAAACTGTGCACATCATGTTACACGGTTAAAACTCAAACCGTAGGGCTTATTTGTCATCACGTTAAATGGAAACGCTAGCATTGAAACATCAACTATGCAAGTCGGGACAGGGCTGAATAATTCTTTACAAATGGTTCACAATAGTACGCAGCGAGGGGTGATTCGAAATCCGGCTGCCTTCAGCGTTATAGTCAATGCAGGGTGACGTGACTACCTCGTTGTTGCGCGCTAAATGTAATTAAACGACACTGCTAGCTTGCTGATTGTGAAGTCTTATCTATTTTGTCTATATTTTTTTCCATACAGATTGTCTAACGTTCATGGTGTACAACGTGTAGACCGTACAAGATGAATTTGATCCAGCTAGACGTACATTTTTTATTCCTACATTACCCGGCGTATATCGTGTTGACATAACCCGTCTCTATTGTGGTATGATGTACTTTCAACACACACCCCGTATTCATCAAACCAGGTCGCACGCTCTAGCGAGCGCGGGTTATTTGAATATAGGTCCACGTGAGATGTCAAGCGCGCTCCATTCAAACTGGGCTGACGGGTACGGTCTGTCTATTTAGGGCAGCATAGCTCTATTCATAACCTTTTACTTTTGTTTTCTTACGAATTCTTTTCTGCCTTATAAACACGCACCTTTCATCCCCCTCTTTCCCGACGCGCTGTTGATGCATGAGTCATCCTATCCGATCACGTGACTTGGATCAGCCAATCACCTTCGGATGCGCCTGGATCAACCGGATCAACCAAAAGGGGGTTGCTGGCGACCCGTTCTATACTACTAATCTCAGAGACCTCCTAGATGGACCTGTCGGTCGCGGTACAGTTGTAAGTTAGTCATAACATATCAGTGAAACATGTATCAATAAAATAGATTTTTGTGTTTATAATCAAGTTGGTGTGCAGTGACGCCTTCTTATTGTTAATAGCCATTTTGGAGACATAAATGCGAAGTTTAATTATTGCGAGCAAAGGCCACTCGCATTTTTCGCATTTATTTCACGCTCGCGTTATTTTCAAGATTTATAGTATACATATCAAAAACTGGAAACGAGAACAGGTTCTGAGTTCGGGACAGTGAGGTAGACTAGTGGACACTGCTTTTGTTCGTCATGACGAAGACCCGGTTTCGATTTCTTACACGGGTAGAATCTATGTTTTAATCCCGTTCTCGATATCCGTGATACCGATGGCAAAATTCCACAGCAATGTAAAAATAAATCGGTTTATGGTTTCTGATTGGACCACACCCGTTAAGATCCGGGTTAGAATAGAACCCATGCTTGCCATAAAAGGCGACTATGCTTGTCTAAGAGTCGATAAACGGGATCGGGTGGTCAGACTCACTGACTTGGTTGATGCATGTCATCGTATCCCAATATAGCGTGGATCGACGCTCAGGATGTCAATCACAGGTTTGTCTAGTTCAGTTTCGATTACAAACAGACTTCCGTCACATAGCTGGAATATTGCTAAGTGCGGCGTTGAACAACAAACAAAAATGTAACTGGACCTACTCACATTAGGCGGCGCGAGAAAGTGGACAAGAAGACCGCTAGTGAAAGCAATACATAGGACGATGGCCAGGACAAGGAACAGCACGATCTTTTGTGACCTTGTCATGTCTGACCTCTCCAGACCATCCTTCTCATTCTGCTGGTTAGACTTAGTAGTAGGCGTCTCTCCCTTAGAACGCTCTTCAAGGCTGTAGCTCTCCTCTCGGCCCATGGCTCAGTACTGGATCTGTTTCCTAGGTGAATAAGTGAATGCTGGTTAACACCGCAATCAGCAACAAAAATATACGGCTGCCCGTAAACAATCGATTATGAGCCAGACACGCTGGAGTACGTGGAATGATGGCGTGTGCGACATCGGCTCCACAGGAAGCGCTCGTCAAATCTCCATCATCATCATGACGGTAACCACACGATCCCAATAAGTCCCAACACGATGAGGCCAATCGTTGGTGTGTCTGGTCCCGACTCCATCAAGTAAAGAAATGTACAGGCCGCAGTCATATACCTGGAATATTGCCGAGTGCGACGTTAAACCACAAACATACACTGTCATAATCTCTATATCTTTAATCTAATCAATATACATTGTGTACCCATTCACAGAAGGACAATGCGTACTGAGATACCTTGCCTATGTCTTGTGGTAGTTAAGTCATTAGAGAAGTCACCCGGTCTTCCTTTGCTAGCGTGATGCAACTTGTGTATACCATATGTAGAAAATGAAGGCATATGGATCGCTTTAACACCACAGTGGTTTAATCTTGAGGATTGTCGGGGAGGTTCAGTAAAGAGGTACGGCCAGGTGTGCTACATCTTCCATCGTTGCACTGAAGCTATTTGAGTGTATCACGAATATATTATCGCTTTTAAATGACTACTATATTGTATTACAGTGTAACGTACCTTCAATGTTGTTTAGAGGTTCAACGTATATGCTGCAGCTCACGACTTCCCTGTTTGAAAACACTTGACGCTGATAAAATCTGCGTTGTGTTATCGGAGTCGTTCGGAATCTAAACAACACAGGTATACAAAGGAGCTGATAACATATTGACGGCATTGCCTAAAAGTCGGGCCGGGCCGGGCCGGGCCAAGACGGGGCAAAGTGTTATTGGCTAATTACTTCATTATCGGCGATCATACCTACATATTATTGATGCAACATACACACATGACATTACTGAACAATAACCTACCAAAAAGTGCACCATAATTAAGTTATTCGGAGTAAATCACTTGAAAACCAGAAAGTGGAGCTGTGTGTTAGCGTCGCTGATCTAGGTAACATGTAAAAGAGCAATCGTTCAACGAAATATGATTTGACACGTATCAAATACTTCTAGCTATCTTGATACAGATTTCCATCTGTCGGCATAACGTTTATATTTTTAGGATAATACTATATCTAAGTAAATACCACTTTATAATGTCACTGTTCATCGTATTTAAAGCAGACACGTTGGTTAAAGTAGACCTCTTCTCCCTGTACTCTCAACAGTCACACAAGTGTTCGGTCCGACTTGGCCCGGGCTGTCAAAATCAACTTTAAACTCGCATATGTATCATCAAATGGATTGACATCTATAAACTAGTATAATATCTACCAAAATACCACTTTATAGTGTCTCAGATCGCGGTATTTAAAGAAAACAAGGTGCTCTAAGTACAGCCCTTTTCCCTCTACATTCTCAACATAGTCTCAATCAGAAGTGTTTGGCTTGTGTTGGGTCCGCTTGGCCCGGGCTGTCAAAATCTACTTTAAACACACAGATGTATCATCAAATGTGTTTACATCTATAGATTAGTATCAAATCTACCTATATACCACTTTATAATGTTATCAAACATCGCATTTAAAGAAAACTGGTTCCCGGCTCCCGATGCCCAACGTCAGTTGACCTTTAGGTGGTAACGCACCCATCCAAAGAGTTACTTCCCTTTGACCATAGAAATTATCATCATTTCACTTTCTCACAAAGGCATGCAGGTGCACCATTTGAACAGGTGTTTAACCTATCTAATTCTGGAAAGAAATTGGCATTCCAAACATCCCATCCACCCACATACTGAGCAGTTTACACGGACATTACTTAATCTTCACACTAGGTTTTTTAGGGCAATAAATATGTGAAACTCATGAGTTAGTGAGTCCACCTTTATGACTCTTGAGGCATTTGTTACAATATTTAGGAAATATATTGATTGCAAAATGTTTGGTAATAATCAAATCATGGAGTAGAAAGTTGTACCACGAACAATACATAACTTCTGACCACCATGAGGAAACAATGCATGGAGTGTGGCAGACGTTGTACCACAAATCATTTTGTCGAGTTCTTTCCTACACCGGATTAATGTCATGGCCCCACAGCATTGTGTTTCCAAGGCTCCAAACATTTGTTACACGCACGCACGCACGCACGCACGCACGCACGCACGTACGCACACACTGTACCATGAACACACAGAGTGACAAAGATGAATAAATCCTCTGGTTGCAACTTTTGTTGACTAAACGGTCTACATTTTGGTACAGTTGCAATATGTTTCATCTTTGACAACCAGGCTATTCCTGGTAGGCCCAGGATACAAATCAAACATTTAAAATGAATTTAAAACGAATGAGTGAGTACGGTGTTACGCCGTTTTCAGCAATATTCCGCAAATATCAGTGCGAGGGACACCAGAAATGCGCTTCACACATGTACTCATGTAGGCAACTGAACCTGGGTCTTCGGCATGAGGAGCTAACCCTTTAACCAATAGGCTACCCACCGCCTCCTATTGAGAAGGAGATTATCCATCTCTGGCAGTCTGTGTTCATGTTTCAGAGTGGTCAATAATATTTTGGAGGCTTGGGAACATTTTGTCATAACATCCTGACAATGATTAGAATAGATGCAAGAACTCGTCTAAACGGTTATGATGCAACGCCTATCATATTTCATACAGACATTTCAACATTGATATCACCTTGGTGAGGTGAGGTGAGGTGAGGTGAGGTGCGGTGAAACGAGGTGAGACGAGGTGAAATGGGGTTTAACGTCGTGCATATTGCGACGTTAATTCACGTGTGTGTGTGTGCGTGCGTGGCTGCTTGAACTAGCCGGTTTTACAGTGCTAGTCGATTTACAGACCGTTATATAGCTGGAATATTGCTGGGTGCGGCCTTAAAGAACAATTTAATGTTTTAAGTGTGTTGCCATGGTTAGGTCATGCATGTCAATCCAAGTCAGGGTACTCCAGTAGACAAGTATTGCTGAACATGCCCCTGGTCATGACCTGAAACTAGTGTACCAACCATGCAGGGTCTGCTGATGGTACCTGACATATCGATATACCAGTCCCCGTGGGTTCCCGGTCAGAATAAATCCCTAGCATCCCTTATATTGCTGGTTATGAAAATGGTCATAGTATGATCACTATAGTCACTGTCGTACCATAAATTTGACGGACCCTTACAAGCTGCTGGTTGAATAGTAACTAGTAACACCCAGAATCGTGACTGGAGGAATTATTTCAGCTCATAATTAAATTTGCTCCATTTATATGATGGCTCGACTTAACTTCTCTCCTCAAAATACAGCCGAGCTCCTTCTCTATAACACCCCAGTGCAAGCGCAAATGAAGTCGGGAGCCAGTTCACGTTATTTTGTAATATCGCGTGATTTTACGAGACTTCATGTCTTCCTTGACGACGGTTGTCACTTTGATGTTACATCGACGCCATTTTTGATGCTAAGTCTGCACTTTGCTGTTCTGAAAGCGTTATTTCCCTAACCTTTATTGCAATTCCTGAACCTGTCACCATGAATGCGAGCACTTATGTTCAAGGTACAATTCTAATTACGCTTCAGTAGATTCCGTACCTACACGTTGGTATATTAGTGTTGATGAGGCAGTGTGTATCATGGCTCCTGTACTGACCTTCGAACACTGCATGCTGGGGCTAAGATGTTGAATGTAGGGGCCCTTGTGTACCTTGAACTTGTAAACATTATTAGAAAATGTGGGTTCTTGTTTCTTTTACATCTCATGACATTCTTTAGGCGCCTTTCCTACCATGGTAACATGTTGATTTGGTTGTAAAATGAATTCCGTTAATTTATTAATAGTGGTTTACATGAAGTGTTTGTGAGCCTTGGGGAAGTGTTTTGGGTGGGAACTGCCCCTACTGAAGTTACAAATAGCCCAAGTGGAACACACCCTGTCCCCGACTCCCTTTTTTATAAACCTGGATCTGCCCATGATTTCTTATAAAACTCTCAGAACTGACACAGCAGTCTGAGCCCAAATCAGTATTTTATTGCTAGGCTGAATCCCTTGTATTTTAGCAAATAGACTTAGTTTAGCAGTGAAAGGTATTCTGTAACTTATTATCCCTTTTATTGTCTGAGGGGTTCAAGTTATAAAGTAACAGGGAGATATACTTTGCAGTGTCTAGGCTAGCTGTGCTTAGCTCTTACAATTACTCTTTATCCAAAATAAAACTGGAACATTTTGGAAAAGGGGAACCCTTAAAAGATCAGCGATATACCACCTATCTGTCAGTACAAATAATTTATTAACTGCAAAATGATATATTAGTTGCTAGTCACCAGCCAAAGGTTAGGGACCACCAACATACATTCTGGGCGTTTAATATCCTGTATGTTTATTCTTCTGTTTCCCCACAGTTGATCGGATGATCTGGTTCCTCCAGCCTCTGTCCCAACTGACTTATCCTGCCCCTTGCCATGTAGGTGTCATAAAGGCTTGTCTTTAGCAATGCCTGTTTAGCACTTCCAAGAGTTTTCACTGATATGTGGAACACCTGTGTACTGGTCCCTGTTTTCATAAAGCTGTAACTGAATGTTTATACTATTTTCCTACCTTAAACCAACAGTATGCAATTAATAAAACCCTATTATGAATGTTGAGAGTACTTTGATTCAAAGGCTTCAGTAATTCTGTAAAGTTTGTCACATTTGTATTTCCAAGAATATCCTTCATGTTATCAACTTTACTATAGATGCTCATCATGTCAATCACTGGATTGTCTGGTCCAGACTCGATTGTTTACAGACCGCCTTCATGTAGCTGGAATACTGCTGAGTGTGACGTTTTTAAACAACAAACAAATATTTACCTTTCGGTATCTACTATATATATCATCTTTATTTACCATGTTTCTTTTGTCACACCTTTTCTGTCTTTACCACCATAATCTTTTATTTGCTGCAATAAAATTCAATGATTGAATAACCTTTTCCATCTACATAATATTCATTCCTCACACTAGATTCTTTCCACTACCTCCCTATCTATAGCAACCCACTTCAAAGTCCCTGACCATCCCTGCCCACTTGTCCCACCTGCCCGTCCCCCAGACCCTTCGCCCAAGCACTGTCCCCTCTGTGTCCCTCACCATCGCTGGTCAGTACATCGTGGACGACACTGACTTTGTTGAAGTAGATCTCGTGGATGAGGAGATCATCCAGCCAACCCACTCCTTCCTGAAGGCCTTGCTATCCAGGGTAGCCAACTTCTTCAGAAGAGTCAAGAGTGTGTTTAAGAAGAAGGATGATTAGGCAGTGAACTCTTAACACATATGTATATACTTATATACAAAACATTTATGAATCATTTTAGGACTGTTGAGGCATTTGTTACAATATTTGGGAAATACATAAAATCTATCTCTGTTTGTTTTTGGCTATTTCTTTTATGTTAATGAAATACATTATTTGTTACAACATTTTGTTCTGTTTTTATTTGTTCCTTTTCTGCTATTTTCTGGCTGCGTTCTAAACTAACGGGGGGCACGGGGGGCCCAGACGTCTACTAAGGCGCCGCGATACGCTGTGCAGAATTGCGTCCCTTGGGCACGCCAGAAATCTATGATTGTGGGTTCGAATCCCGGTTCGCCCCGATTATGTTTCTAGTTTTGTCAGCACCATACCCGTGCTCGTGGGTTTCACCTAAGTGGTAAACCATTGAGACCTGCATCACTTCGGGCTTTCCTCCCACATTAAGCTGACACGCCGTGATATAACTGGAATAACTGTTAAAGGTGGCGTTAAACCCATCTCACTCACTCACTCTAGACTAACGCATGGTGATCACACATGTAGTCCATAAACAGCTGCTGTGGGACGGCACGCAGGTGCACCATTTGAACAGGGTCCACTTGCACAAAGCGATCTTAGCGCTACAATTATTGTAAATCCTTAAGATCGCGATCTTAGGTTTCGGCTACAATCGTCATCCACTTGCACAAAGCGATTGTAGGCTAAGATCATTGTAAGCTACAATCGAAACTTACAATTGGTCCGGACCAATCTTAAGTATCTAAGATCGTTGTAGTCCCTGAATAAACTTGACAAAATGGCGTGCAAGGCTTAGTCTGTTTCACATAAATAATCTGCTTTACGTTCAAACATTGCCTCTCTTTTTTTCTAAACTTTATCATTCGAATCGACACTTTAACAACATGAAGAACGCACCACAAATTTAACGTCAGAAATATCGTTAATTACCATAGTTAAATACGTAACTATCGAGTCGATAGCTAAAAGGAATATTCCCATCCGACTCAATATTGAAAGAAATATAAAACAACATACCTTTTCGCTAAACAAGGGAAGGATAAAAACCTAAGTCGTCACGCAAGCGATTTGCAACGTCCGTGACCTTTTCGATAACTCAAGGGCAGCTAATCTTAGTTTATACTCTAGATGGGAGTGGTTTCCCTTTGTATAAGCCCGTAGAGTACAATCTACCTTACCCAGTGTATCAATGTTGTTGAATCGCTGAGCTTCCCCTATATATTTTTGGGGTCATATTCGTGTCAGTTATTTTGTCGTTAGTTTATCATGAAATTAATCTACAAATAAATACAAGCTGAAGAGCAAATCATACATGTTTAAATCTAAAATCAAATGGGACGGGGACGAGCGGTTAATCAGAGTTTAAAAGAAAAAAATACAAGTATTCATCAAACAAGCAAATATACATGATGAAACATTTGATTTTTTTTGCAAAATATCCCATAAATAGCAAAAATAAAATTCACATTTTAAATAAAAAAAATTTTAATTAATACCTAGGGAATATATATTAACAATTGCTTTCTCGAAACATTACTCATTATTCTTATTTCCTGTCTATGCGTTTTTGAAAGTTCCCGTCTTTCTGTGTTTTGAAATGGTAGTCATAACATCCTTTGTTGTAGCAACGAAACGAAAACATGAAGGATATATTTAGGATTTTACGAAAAACTCCCCCAAATAGATGACGATCATGCATTTACACGTTGGGTTTGAGGAAATATTATTATTATTTATTTTAATTTTCATAATAATTGTGTTACTAAATAATGTATTTATTCGCATTTCAATACTTTGAATAAAAACATGAGTAGGTATTTCTCTTGTTGAAATAGAAAACAATTCCTAAATCACGACAGTATTAATGCCGACAAGAATATATGCCTTCATTCTAGTAATCGTTTCCTTCAAATAATTGGGAAAAGTGCGATGGAGGGAGGTACGTGTTGCGTGTCGTTACCGGTTCCACTTATTGTATGCGCAGCAAACTATGCCCGTTTGCAGACAACTATAGACAGGAGTCGAGTTTAAAATATTCGTACCTCCACAGTTGAAGATTTCAATCTTAGCTAAGATCGCGATCTTAACTCCAAGCCGTCTAACAATCGCGCTAAGATTGTTCTGTGCAAGTGGAATAGGACAATTGTATGGTGATTGTAAAGTTGATTGTAGCCGCCTAAGATCGATTGTAACTAAGATTGTTCTGTGCAAGTGGGCCCAGGTGTTTAACCTATTTAATTCTGGAAAGAAATTGACATTCCAAACATCTCATCCACTCACATACTGAGCAGTTTACACGGACATTACTTAATCTTCACTCAAGTGTTTTTAGGATAATAAATATGTGAAACTCATGAGTTAGTGAGTCCACCATTAGGACTCTTGAGGCATGTGTTACAATATTTAGGAAATATATTACTTGCAAAATGTTTGGTAATAATCAAATCATGGAGTAGAAAGTTGTACCACGAACAATACATAACTTCTGACCACCATGAGAAATTAATGCATGGAGTGTGGCAGACGTTGTACCACAAATCATTTTGTCGAGTTCTTTCCTGCACCGGAATAATGTCATGGCCCCACAGCATTGGGTTTCCAAGGCTCCAAACATTTGTTACACGCACGCACGCACGCACGCACGCACGCACGCACACACTGTACCATGAACACTGTACCATGAACACACAGAGTGACGAAGATGAATAAATCCTCTGGTTGCAACATTTCTTGTTGACTAAATGGTCTACATTTTGGTACAGTTGCAATGTGTTTCATCTTTGACAACCAGGCTATTCCTGGTAGGCCCAGGATACAAATCAAACATTTAAAATGAATTTAAAACGAATGAGTGAGTGAGTACGGTGTTACGCCATTTTTAGCAATATTCCACGAATATCAGTGCGGGGGACACCAGAAATGCGCTTCACACATGTACTCATGTAGGCAACTGAACCTGGGTCTTCGGCATGAGGAGCTAACCCTTTAACCAATAGGCTACCCACCGCCTCCTGTTGAGAAGGAGAGTATCCATCTCTGGCGGTCTGGCTGGTTTTATGTTTCAGTGTGGACAATAATATTTTGGAGGCTTGGGAACATTTTGTCATCATATCCTCGGCTAAACGGTTATGATGCAACGCCTATCATATTCCATCCATACATTTCAACATGGATATCACCTTGGTGAGGTGGGGTGAGACGAGGTGAAATGGGGTTTAACGTCGCGCATATAGCGACGTTCATGCACGTGTGTGTGTGCGTGCGTGGCTGCTTGAACTAGCCGGTTTTACAGTGGTAGTCCACTGAGATAACATGCGGCAGTTTTACATTGACACCCCATTCAGACACGTTATACTGACCCCGAGCCGACCAGTCGTTGTTTTACCATATTTTAACGTCTTTGGTATGATGCGGCTTGAGATCGAACCACTCACCTTCCTCTCTCGGGTCAGACGCTCTATCCACCAAACCACGGAGGCGATATTTCGGTCACGCCACTCCATGAGATAAACATGTTATTTGATAAGAAAGGACAAATATCCTCTTTCCTTTACCGTTATAATAAACTAACAAATCATTTGAAATTATGTTTCACTTTTTTACTATTTACGTAACAGAAGTAAGAAAGAATGCTTGAAAAAAAATAAGTATTTATTCGAATTTCTTATCCATCATTGATTACCAGTTTTAAATTTTTAACGAAGCCCCAACATTAATTTTATATTTCCTAATCTGAAATATTCATATCATGATTTTTTTTTCATGTTATATCTTTTCTTTAATGAAATAATATCTGATCATCTGATAAAATATCAATAAGATGTTAAAGATTATATATTCTTAGCTGTCTCCTACTTAATGTTTTAACCCGTGAAGGTCCGGGTAGAGTAGGTTTTTATCAACCCATGCTTGCCGTAAAAGGCGACTATGTTTGTCGTAAGAGGTGACAAACGGGATCGGGTGGTCAGACTCGCTGAATTGGGTGATGCATGTCATCGTATCCCAATTTCATGGATCGATGTTCATGATGTCAATCACTGGATTGTCTGGTCCAGACTCGATTATTTACAGACCGCCGTCATATAGCTGGAATATTGCTGAGTGCGGCCTTAAAGAACAATTTAATGTTTTAAGTGTGTTGCCATGGTTAGGTCATGCATGTCAATCCTGTTTAAGCAAGTCAGAGTACTCCAGTAGACAAGTATTGCTGAACATGCCCCTGGTCATGACCTGAAACTAGCCTACCAACCATGCAGGGTCGGGCTGATGGAACCTGTCATCTCGATATACCAGTCCCCGTGGGTTCCCGGTCAGAATAAATCCCTAGCATGCCTTATATTTCTGGTTATGATCACTATAGTCACTGTCGTACCATAAATTTGACGGACCCTTACAAGCTGCTGGTTGAATAGTAACTAGTAACACCCAGAATCGTGCCTGGAGGAATTATTTCAACTCATAATTAATTTTGCTTCATTTATATGATGGCGCGACTTTAACTAATCTCCGCCGAGCTCCGTCTTTAACATCCCAGTGCAAGCGCAAATGAAGTCGAGAGCCAGTTAACTTTATTTTGTAATATCGTGTGATTTTACGAGACTTCATGTCTTCCTTGACGACGGTTGTCACTTTGACGTTACATCGACGCCATTTTTGATGCTACATTTCCACTTTGCTGTTCTGAAAGCGTTATTTTCCAATCCTTTATTGCAATTCCTGAACCTGTCACCATGAATGCGAGCACTTATGTTCAAGGTACAATTCTAATTACGCTTCAGTAGATTCCGTACCTACACGTTGGTATATTAGTGTGATGAGGCAGTGTGTATCATGGCTCCTGTACTGATCTTCGAACACTGCATGCTGGGGCTAAGATGTTGAATGTAGGGGCCCTTGTGTACCTTGAACTTGTAAACATTATTAGAAAATGTGGGTTCTTGTTTCTTTTACATCTCACTGACATTCTTTAGGCGCCTTTCCTACCATGGTAACATGTTGATTTGGTTGTAAAATGAATTCCGTAAATTTATTAACAGTGGTTTACATGAAGTGTTTGTGAGTCTTGGGGTAGTGTTTTGGGTGGGAAGAATCCCTACTGTAGTTACAAATAGCCCAAGTGGAACACACCCCTGCCCCCACTCCCTTTTTTTTAAATCCTGGATCTGCTCATGATTCTTATAAGCTCTCAGAATGTACACAGCAGTCTGAGCCCAAATCAATATTGTATGGCCAGGCTGAATCCCTTGTATTTTAGCAAATAGACTTAGTTTAGAAAAAAAGGTAACTTATTATCCCATATTTTGTCTGAGTGGCTCAAGTCATAACGTAACAGGGAGATATACTTTGCAGTGATTATTACCATTAGTCTTTATCATTTTGGAAAAGGGCAACCCCTAAAAGCCACCTATCTGTCAGCACAAATAATTTATTAACTGCAAAATGATATATAATTTACTAGTCATCACCCAAAGATTAGGAACCAGCAACATACATTCTGGGCGTTTAATATCCTGTATGTTTATTCTTCTGTTTCCCCACAGTTGATCGGATGATCTGGTCCAAACTGACTTATCCTGCCCCTTGCCATGTAGGTGTCATAAAGGCTTGTCTTTAGCAATGCCTGTTTAGCACTTCCATGAGTTTTCACCGATATTTGGAACACCTGTGTACTGGTCCCTGTTTTCAATAATGCTGTAAATGAATGTTTATACTATTTTCCTACCTTAAACCAACAGTATGCAATTAATATAACCCTATTACAAATGTTGAGAGTACTTTGTTTCAAAGGCTTCAGTAATTCTGTAAAGTTTGTCACATTTGTATTTCCAAGAATATCCTTCATGTCATCGTCTTTACTATCAATGCTCATGATGTCAATCACTGGATTATCTGGTCCAGACTCGATTATTTACAGACCGCCTTCATGTAGCTGGAATACTGCTGAGTGCAGCGTTTTTAAACAACAAACAAATATTTACCTTTCGGTATCTGCTATATATATATATCATCTTTATTTACCATGTTTCTTTTGTCACACCTTTTCTGTCTTTACCACCATAATCTTTCATTTGCTGCAATAACATTCAATGATTGAATAACCTTTTCCATCTACATAATATTCATTCCTCACATTCCATTCTTTCCACTACCTCCCTATCTATAGCAACCCACTTCAAAGTCCCTGACCATCCCTGCCCACTTGTCCCACCTGCCCGTCCCACAGACCCTTCGCCCAAGCACTGTCCCTTCTGTGTCCCTCACTATCGCTGGTCAGTACATCGTGGACGACACTGACTTTGTTGAAGTAGATCTCGTGGATGAGGAGATCATCCAGCCAACCCACTCCTTCCTGAAGGCCTTGCTATCCAGGGTGGCCAACTTCTTCAGAAGAGTCAAGAGTGTGTTTAAGAAGAAGGATGATTAGGCAGTGAACTCTGAACACATATGTCTATACTTATATACAAAACATTTATGAATCATTTTAGGACTGTTGAGGCATTTGTTACAATATTTGGGAAATACATAAAATCTATCTCTGTTTGTTTTTGGCTATTTTCTTTATGTTAATGAAATACATTATTTGTTACAACATTTTGTTTTGTTTTGATTTGTTCCTTTTCTGCTATTTTCTGTCACCGAGCGAAAACGCCACCGATCGGCGAAAATGTCACCTCGCATATTGACCACAACACGTGGTCCAGTTCAGCTTAACAAGAATAAATTGAACTAAACAGAGTAAAGTTGTTTTGCCCTCGTTGGGTATAGATGTTGATCACACATTATGTTTTTGTCTGTTTGTTGTTTAACGCCGCATTCATAAATATTACAGCTATATGATGGCGGTCTGTAAATAATCGTGTCTGGACCAGACAATCCAGTGATTGTCATCATGAACATCGATCCACGCAATTTGGGTACGATGACATGCATCAACCAAGTCAGCGAGCCTGACCACCCGATCCCGTTAGTCACCTCTTACAAGCATTGCCGCAAATTATGTGTATCTAACCTATACTTCAGTTATATACTCAGGAGGTGAGGGGAAGAGGGTTTAACGTCGCGTCCAAGATTATTACACTTATATAGCGACGTGTTTGTCCGGACTTATGCCAGCTTCCCGAGGACTGGACTTCTATAGTCATGTTAACTCCATTGCCTCGGGAAGATGGACATTGCCAGTTTTACAGTGCTAGTCCACTGAGATACCATGCGCAGTTTAACAAGGATACCCCACGCAGACACTAGATTTATTTTATCCCCTTTTTGCCGAGCGCCAGACAGGGTAATTACACTGAGAAAGAAAGGTAGTGAGTGGATAGTTTTGCGCTGCTGGCATCACTATTCAAGCAATATCTAACAACATTGCATAATATTAACACACTCACTCCAGTTATATTGCCACGGTCTGTGAATAGTTGACGCAGGACTTGGCAAAATATGACTAAAATCACGAGTAACAATCCAGTAGTCATCGGGGACCATGACACACAATCAGCAAGAGTCCCGTTCCAACAAAGCATATCGGCGCTAAGACAATCGTAACTCCCTTAGTTTAGCATAGATTTGCGACAAACGGAATGCTACGACGATCGTAACTCCCATACTTTAACATAGACTTGCGACAAACGGAATGCTACGACGATCGTAACTCCCATACTTTAACATAGACTTGCGACAAACGGAAGCTACGACGATCGTAACTCCCATAGTTTAGAATAGATGTGCGACACGTTGCTTACAAGTCACATGGCAGGTTTCATAAATTAAAAAAAAAATAGCTTTCTATAATAAAGAATCTAAAGCATGTCGCAGGAGTCCATTTGAGACCTGAAAGAGTGAATCTGTTGGATGTGTCGTTTGAGAGACGTATGGCTGCCAGTGCAGCAATTTTGGACCATAGAAGATGGGCTAGAGGTTTGATCTTTGGATCTGCATTCGATTTGTAGCAAAAATAGTTTTCATAAATTGAAATATTGCTGCCATATTTGATTGTGGACTTGCACACAAAACATTTAGAAAAGAAAACAACGTCCATGACATATCATCCAAGTTTCAGTACCAGTACTGTAGCTTCAGCCTTAAATACATAAACACACATGGATGCTGCTGTGGACGTTCTGAAGATGGTAATAAACTGTATCACTGCACATTCCTCGGGTTTGCACATTTCCCAAAGATCACAGATAACTGCTTATTTTACCTTGGTACAACGAAACAATTTGCTCAGTTGACTCAAGTTCTTGTGGATATACCTCATCATCCTCATATGGTGTAATGTCCACAACAAAACGTTTCACTATTATGCAGTTCCTGCTATGTGAGGCTCAGAACTAATCCATCAACCCCCGTAAGTACTATCTCAGTAGTCTGGTTCCCAGTTCAGCACCAGAGCAGCGTACACAGGAAACCATGTTATGAGCAACACCACACAAGGTTGAGATACGATGACTCCCAATAAGCCATGCCCGACCAATCCAGTCACTTTTACAACAAGCAGGTCACTTTGGCCTGATTCATCCCCAATCACCAGGGTTTGCTTACCATGAAGATATCTCATTTTGTTGATCAATTTGTTAACAAGTCGGCAAAACAAACAATAACCCATTTTGAGAAAAATGGAAAAGTTTATTGAAAATATATTTTTATATAAACATGGTATTTTACAGATCATAACTTCATGTGAAATTCTGAGATGGTTGATGTTGTGTTTGGACCATGCGAAATAGATTGCCTTGACATAATCTATGACATCTGATCTGCATTGAAGGCCACTTTAGACAAAAGTAAGAGTAAACTGACAAGAAAACATTGTTAGCGAGATTATACAAGTAATGACATGCAAACACTAAACACACAAAATTGTACATCGAAATTCCTGCTCCAATAACACTCATAAATATGGATACTATAAAACCTAAACCCAAATGTACACCTTAAACATGTACACAGCAAAACCTGTTCATACTCAGGTAGAAGCCAAACAGTATTTCCTGTTAGGCCTCACAAAGCCTGATATCAAATAAAAAACATGATACCTTGTGCAACTTATCAGGCATGTTGGACAGAAACACTATGTTTTCTGACCCATGAAGATCCGGGGTAGAATAGGTCTTCAGCAACCCATGCTTGTTGCAAAAGGCGACTATGCTTGTCGTAAAAGGCGAATAACGGGATTGGGTGGTCAGCCTCGCTGACTTGGTTGATGCATGTCATCGATCCCAATTACATGGATCAATGCTCATGATATCAATCACTGGATTGTCTGGTCCAGACTCGATTATTTACAGACCGCCGTCATATAGCTGGAATATTGCTGAGTGCAGCGTTAAACAACAAACAGACAAAACATAATGTGTTTGGCACTCACCGTCTTAGGGACCTGGGTGCAGTTGTACAAAACAACCATAGCGCTACGACTGTCGTATGTTTAGGTTTGTGAGTTACCTTCAGGTTAGGGCTAAGATCGCTTTGTACAACCTGGTACCATCATTATTTCAGGCAATAATGGAGTGAGCATTTTTCGTTAAATGCTGCAAACTGATAAATTCAAGCAGTGTGATGTCAGTCTGTAAATAATCAAATCTGGACCAGAGAAACCAGTGATCGATATTATGAGCAACGTCCCATGCCGTCAGGGTACAATGACAAGCAATCAACCAAGTCATCGAGCTGGCCACCTGATCTATTAGTTCACCAATGACGACCAGCACATGTTGCTGGGGACCAATTCTGACCTCAAATCCCAACAGGGTGGTGAGCAATGGGGTTACATTTAGAAATGTCCCTTCATTTCCAACTCTTATGTTAATCACAAATACAGACAATGACAATACCCTGTGTAAGTTTTGTTAAGTTTCCCCCTGAGTACTGCACGCAAAAATTCAAACCAATGCCTGACCATTCTTTTTTCATATACACATGTGCCTTCCCTAAATGTAAGTGCCTTAGTGATAAACAGATATCCTGACAAACAAAATCCTGTGTTTCACTTACTGGTACATTTGGGTTGCATCCTCCAAGAAAACAAGAAAGAAAAAATGGTCTGGGATAACATACAAATCACAGGCGGATCTGGAGCCCCCCACTTTTAAAAACCAAATGTAGTATGTTGTGGGCAGTAGAATTGACAGAGAGGATTTTGGACCCCTCCCTCTTAAAAAAACTTGGAAACTGAGAAGGTATTTGAGCAAGGAGACGAACTAACTACAGGGATGGGAATGAATTTTTTCCTTTTCAACTGAAACTTCTATGCACCAGAGCGCTGTCTTTAATTTGGGGGTGTTTAGGGGGAAACCATCAGATTTTGACAAATTTGTGGTCACTAAAATTTGCGGATCCACGGAAGATCCTCATCACTGTAACTACAACATACTTCTACGCATACCACATTTCATACCTAACAAATATCTTAGCATGTTCACTGACCGTCAAATCCCAGTTTGCTCATATTTGCATGTAAACAGCATTTAATCATTAACTGGTTGTTCTTTCACAAAATGTTGGAATGCCATTGTGATAGTCATGACAAGTGTTGTGAGGACAACAGCGTGAGGAGACTAACATTATAGGGTATACTTTACAGATATGTTGTCAATAACATGGGAGGCACTTAAAGGGCAAGTTCACACGGAAATGAACCTATTTTCCTTGTACTTTTTCCACATTAAAAGTGTTAACCTAGAGGTGTCAAAGACAAAAATATAAAAATATCACAATTAATTAACATATTTTTCGCATTAAAACGATTTATATTTTTCACATTTACCAAGTGTTCTATTTCCACAACAAAAACACCATGGCTTATGCCCCTTGCAATATGACGTCATTGGTGCCAATTGATAAACATTATGACGTCATCATGCTTTGTTAGAGCAGCTTCACGTGGTGTAGGTCCAGGTGTGTGATTCTAGCGTCTCAGATGCCAGCCAGCATAGTGTTATGCTGAGTCACCACTGCGCCGGATTGTGTCGTAGGCCATGTTGTTTTACCGCAAACTGGTACTTGATATCTTTTGCGTTGAAAATAGACAGGGACCCAGTTGAATTGGCACCAATTACGTCATAATCTAAGGGGGATAACTCAGGCATGTTTAGCTCGAAAAACGAAGGCCTCATAACGGCATATCATTTTCACACTATTGTGAGCTTCCTACTTTCACTGTGAAAAAATGAGTGTATATTTTCAAACACAGATACTAATTAATTCTAAAATTGCGTTTTGTTTAGAAAAAGAAAGAAAGTGATTTTTGCGTGTACACTTCCCCTTTAATGACATGGAAGGCACTAAATGACATGGGAGGCACTTAATGACATGGGTTGCACTTAATAACATGGGAAGCACTAAATGACATGGGAGGCACTTAATGACATGGGTTGCACTTAATGACATGGAAGGCACTTAATGACATGGGTTGCACTTAATGACATGGGAGGCACTTAATGACATGGGAGGCACTTAATGACATGGGAGGCACTTAATGAAGCTAAATATTCTATGAGGTAGAAATACTATAAATATGAGATGTGACATCATAATAACACAATAAAAAACGATACTTTCAATGGTGTTGTTTTCTTGATACATTTAATATGTTTAAACTTGTAACTTGTAGATGAAAGAGAGTGTCATTTGTGTGTATTGAATACCAGCACCAAGGCTCACTGGTGTTAAAGGTGATGAAGTTGTTATTAATTTCAATATGAATATCTCTTCTATTCAGTAATTCTGAAAATTATTTCATTTGTTTAGTTTCTCTGTGTGGTCAGTTTTATCAATTTCGGAGAGAAATAAACTTTGAACATTATTTTTGCTAAACACAAACCACTTGGAGACAAACACCATTGTGTGGAACTTTCATGTGTGGAACTTACAGTTGTCTCGAAGCAAAAGCTTGGTCCCTGCGTATTCATTCTTTATTCATCAACTCAAAAGTATGTATGTATGTGGATCCCTTCAACTGTGACACAACAGAGTTTGACTGTACATACTTATGGTCTATAAAGTTTCATCTGGCTGTGCCATTTTCCATAACTGAGGTGACATGAAAAGGGGTTTAATTAACGTTCATGATTATTGCACTTATATAGAGACATGTGCGTGCGTGTGCTCTTGTTCTAGTGTGGACTAATGATGCAGATATAGTTCTAGCCTACTGAGATACTATGCCACAGTTTAACATGGATACCACCCAGACACAGGATACTGAATCTGAGCCAGTTAGTCCTTGTCTTATCCTTTAATACACCAAACACTAGTTCGAATAACAAGTACCATCTTTTAAGGTCTGTTGCTATGGCGAGGCCGGGGATCAAAGTATCGCCCGGGGAGACTGTATCCACTCAACAACAGAGAGGGTCTTTTTCATAAGTAGTTGTGCCCCATTTCAGTAACATCATGATTGACCAGGTCAAGGACATATTTAAATTGTAAACAATTCCGTGTACTTGTATACCTGGTAGGTGAGGGAACATTATCTACAGATACTGGCATACAGTCTTAAGTTTGGGGCCGCCTTTCATTATAAGGGATAACTTGTAATTATGATATTGCCATATGTTGTCATACTTTGTTATGCAGCCATGTTAACTAATAACCCACTATCTTGATACACTTTGAAAGACAATATCCCTTTACAGCCCTGGTAGGATCCTTATTGGTGCTATTTCTAATATTGGCACTCCATTTGTTCTGAACTATGGGAAACTCCACACACATTCTACAGTAAACTGTTATAACGAACTCAAAGGGACCACTAATTTTAATTCATTTTAACCGTAGTTTGTTATAAGCATATATACAGCATATATGCAGCAAATGGACGGGCCCCAAAACAGTTTGTTATAAGGGTGTTTGTTATATCCATCAGTTTGTTATAAGGGTGTTTGTTATATCCATCAGTTTGTTATAAGGGTGTTTGTTATAAACGTAGTTTACTGTATGTCACAGAGTTCCATTTAGAAATATAGAAACATGAGAATACTACCGAAGAAAGTTACAGGTAAGTGTAAAAATTTCGTCTCTGAAACAAATATTTTATAAAGATTTTGTTGTAATTAAACTTTGTCTTTGAATACATAATCATGTTTATAGAAAGGAGCCTAGAAAATGTAATAATTTTCAAAAACAGAATAAAAATGATATCTAGCTGTGCCAAAGAATGTAGACTTGCTTTGGCATTTTGGGACATTTTTCTTTCAGAGTCTGTATAAGACTAAGCTGCAATTACATTCTTCATGTGAACAAAGGATGAGAGAGAGAAATATTAGCATCTTCATGAGATCCAGTTTCTAGGCTTGCTTCTGTTCTTCTTCAACATCGAGGGTCGGAGCAGTTCTTCGGTGCAACACCCTCCAACGGTTTAGAGTACTGGGAGTTCCAGTCTCGGAGGAAGACATCCTCGAGTTGCTGGCGGATGTCGCCCATGTCCCTGCTGCTGCTGTTGCTGGGTGTGAGGACAAAACCTATGCCTGCTGTGTACTTGAAGTAGTCACCGTACCAGTTGGATGTACCTGGGGAACAAAGGACCATCTCATCATGGACAGAAAACATCTGTAGAGGGGTGTTGCTGAGGTGAGCAATGATCAACCCCACTGGGATGCTATGACACACTATCCTCAAGGTCATAAATCAAGATGACTCTTGTGACAGGCAATGGGACCTATTCTGACCTGAAGCCTCCCTGGACTAAACTGACTCATATGTGTGATACATACCTATATAGGCATGCTGGTCTGTCACCATGAACTTGTTGTGGTTGACTCGGGCATAAGGAATCTTGGCCTGGGCAGGCGTTGCTGGGACCTCAAACATTTTCTGAAAATTTAATTAACTTTAGACATCATCATCATCATCATCATCATCATCATCCCCATCATCATCATCATCATCATCATCATCATCATGCAAATAGGCACTAGCCTGCTAGGCAGAGTTTGTCTAAAGGTACATTGAGGGGCCTAGCAAGATTTCCATCTTTTTAGGGTGAGTCCTTCTGTATCTTAACACTATTCCGGCTTGTAAATCTTTTCTTGTCATTGGGAGATTTCCAGCCTACCACTTCCAGCTTGATATGTGGGCAACACACGTCGCTCACAGTCAGTAGAGACCTGAGGAAGGTGGGCATGTCCTCGTCAGTGTGGGCCCACTTACTCCCCAGCATCCGGACTGTCACGCCACGGTTAATGGCTGCATAGCGTAGCTCATCGTCAATTATCGGCCAAAATCTGGAGAATAAAACAAAAACAGCGCAGTGTATGGTAGAGCATTATATATATCGCAAATCGGTAACTAAGGTAACCAAATGAATGTCCAATGATGTGGTCAGAACTAAGTAAAAGATCTGAGATTCACATTAAGAAAAGCACTGACCGCCAAAAAGATGCTGACCAATCAACTGTTTAAAAGTATGTAACTTAAATTAAACATACACACATCAATAACTGTCTGAGTAGTGGAAAAGAATACATCCATTTTCAACATAATCACACAGCTCATAGGTGGTTCAGAAGTATGTAAGGGGTGGTCGGGTAGCCTAGTGGTTAAAGCGTTAGCACGTCACGCCGAAGACCCGGGTTCGATTCCCGGCATGGGTACAATGTGTGAAGCCCATTTCTGGTGTCCCCCGCCGTGATATTGCTGGAATATTGCTAAAAGTGGTGTAAAACCATACTCACTCACTCACTCACTCACTCACACACTCACTCACTCACACACTCACTCCTCACACACTCACTCACTCAGAATTAAAACGTCAATGCCTCAGACTAACAAGTTTCAACTGTCTGATGAAAAGATTCCACAAGCCATAATAGGCAAAAATAATGATCAAAAGTATGAATGGCATCACTGAAAACCAGTGACAAGCAACTCGTATGTCACCCTTTGTGGCATCAAGAGCATGAAGAATGCAGCAAGAATCAAACAGTATTTGTCCTTACTTTCTCGGTGTAGAATATGCAATCATGGGCAGATAATCCATGACAGCCACATACACAAATCGTCTTGCCGCCCTGATGACAGCTATAATGGCCTCGATGTCTACCGTGCGCCCCTCAGGACAGAACTGTGGTGGTGAACTCTGTTGAAGAACAGACAGTCAAAATTATAGAAACAAACCCCAAATTTACCCAACACTACACAAACTGTGATCAATGAAAGTGTGTACGTATACCCTGTACTATTCAATGTCGTTAAAGAACACCTGATTCTTTCATATTACTACAGGAAATCTGACATGTTTGTTGTTTAACACCGCTCTCAGCAATATTCCTGCTACATGACAGCAGTCTGAAAATAATCTAGTCTGTACCAGACAATCCAGTGATTGACATCATAAGTATTGATTTATGCAAGTGGGATAAAATGACACCAACTACGTTGGCGAGTCTGACCACCCAATCCCGTTAGTCGCCTCTTACAACAAGCATAGTCGCCTTTTATGGCACCATGGGTTGCTGAAGACCTGTTCTATCCCGGATCTTCACGGGTCTTATAAGAAGATAAGTAACTGCCTGAAAAGGTAGTAAATAATTTCTTGTTTTGTCTTGTATATACTACTCAAAAGAAATTAAAGAACACTGGATTCTTTCATATTACTAAATGTCTTTGTAAAGTTGATTCTCATATTGTTTGGGTTGAGTCCCGTCCAGGATTCGAACCCACACTGCCAGAGTGAGGCACCTAATCACTAGCACACAAAGTCAGCAATCTAACCCACTCAGCCATCAAGGCGTCCACAAAGATAAAATCCGACAACTGGTAGTCTAGATCACGTACTTGGTGTACCCCTCTGACAAACGTAAATTGGCACGGCACCCATTGCAAAAGTTATGAACACACAATGCCATTTAGAAAGTGGTCAAATGCAACAAATGTTATATTTTGGATAACACTTTCTGAGTAAAGTACAGATTCTCATACCAAAAAGAAATTTGTACTTTACAAAGAAAGTGTTATCCCAAACATAACATTTGTTAAATTTGACCACTTTCTTAATGGCATTGTGTGTTCACTGTATTTACTGCTTGGTTGTCAGTTGGCTCTCATTAATAAAATAAGCTTGGTGACTAAAATAGTTAGATACTGAAAGGAACTGGAGTACAACATCACTTGTCTATATGGACATCATGACTTCCCTGTTTAGGGTGTAGCGTAACTCCTTACAGTGATACTGGAGTCTGTCTTGCTTCTGATGCTATCATCTGTAATACTACATGTTTATGTATTCCCGTGTTCAAATCACAGAAGGATAGTTTGACATGTTTTTATGAGCCATCTGTAAGTCAACCTGTCCATCACAGAAAAAGGCAGCAGTTTTGGGTAATTGTTCAATGACGTCCTTGTTGCAGCAAGTTTTCATATTTTGTTGTTCAGACACATTAGGACAATTGGAATATTTTCAAAACAGTCTTGTCTTATTATTTAATTTCTAAAAATATTAATTTGTTTGTAGCCTAAATAAATGTGGCTCCTTAAATTTTAATGTGGCTCCTTAAAGTCTCAAATGGGCCCCAGAAGACAATCTAACCTTGGAGTGCTGGACAAGCAGACGGACAACTCTCTAACTGACACCAACTTTCTAAAAGCTCTACTCACTGACATGTACACAAGTGCTTGGGTATCATTGCCACCATTGTAAGAGACCACTTCTGGAGTTTGGCCATTGATGTCGGTGTTGTATGACGCTGGCCAGGTTCCGGGTATTGTCACCTGGTCCTGTGCCAGGTACCAGTAGGCATCAAATATCTTCCCGATGTCAGTCGCCAGACAGCTACAGTTCTGCACCAGAACACCCATCTCTTTCACCTGGAGCATCGGAGAGAGGGAATGAATAATGGAAAGAGGGAGGGTGTGAAGTCGGGTCAAATAGGTGTCAAAAGGAATCGCACGCGTCATGGAAGTGGCCATTTGTTCATATAAAAATAGGATTTCCAAAAACTTGGATTCAACAGGAATCAGGTTGGCAAAAACAGAATCGGAATCAAGGCACTTCAAACACTTTCTCACACCGGAGTGAGGGATTGAACATTGATGGAGGGAGGGAATGAGTGATGGATCGAGGTGGAGAGTAATGGGTTGAGTGACGATCAAAGCGCTGAATTATTACTCTGGTTGATCAGTATATTAATTTTTCATTCTCAGCTCCCTGGGGAGTATACAACCCAAGCTGCCTGTGAGGTGCTGGAAGGTTAATAGTCACATCACCATCTCATCCTAGCGGGTACCCATTCACTCCTGGGTGATCAGAGGCATATTTTGAACAAAGTCACTTGCCCAAAGAGACACCACATGTGTTACATGTACTTCAGTGTGGAGCAGGATGGATGCCCTAGAAACTCTCAGCATCAAGGTGCCTAACACAGTCACTCAACCAACTACTCTCCATGACCAGCGTTTGCATAACTTCACCTGATTTGAGACCTGTGGGCTGTAAACAGGACCACGTGCCACCATGTGATTGGGCAACAATCAAAGACCATTTACTGTAGTTTTATTGTACGCATCTTCAGGTACTGGATGTATGCTAGGGGTCAAACGATACAGCAAGGTCATGATATGATACGTATCACGATACAATACAGATCACAATACGCATATTTACGTCAAATCGCATGGAAACTTCTTGACAATAAATATTTCAGAAGAGGTTCAAAAGGAAAAGCTAGCTGTAGACACGTTTGTAATGGCTATTTTTAGCAGTGAACTTTAACACATTTTGTGATATCTGACTGACAAAAACGCCAGGGGTCATTAAACGAGTAGTGAGTAATATATTTCAGCAAGTGTATCGTCTTGTATCGATACAGGAAAAAATTAATCATATATCGTATCGTCACATGAAAACTCACGATGCACTGGTGCACCTATGTATCGTTTCATGCCTGCAGTTATGATACTTGTCGAACCGACCTGTGTGAGTGACCGCCAGTCAGTGTTGGCGCTGCCCACGTAGTAGCTCTTCCTGTCAATCAGCCACATCTTCGTGTGAAGGATCCCTGCCCCCACCAGACGGGTCACGTTGAGGTTGCGAACCTCTGCATGTGCTGGCAAAAAAATTTCTTTATTTTATATAATTTTCGTATGAGTACACATAAAGTGACTTCTGCTTAAAAACAGAGGAATTTGTTGTCGTCCCTGGCAACACAACAGCAGGGAATACTTGCATGTCAAGGAAATTCAATGCAGGGATTTACCTCGGATTCCAGCCCAAGTGCCCTTGGTAGGCAAACAGGGACAAAATCGAGATATTGTTCAAAATTTAATTATTTTAACGAACCTCTTTTCTTAAATTCTGAGGAATTGGTAAATAACTAATTCAAATTGGGTATTTTTTACCCTGTAGCAAGCACATTACAAGAAGTAAAATCTTTTTATGAAACTGAACTCTGTGTGTGTGTGTGTGTGCGTGCGTGCGTGCGTGCGCTCGCGTGTGCATATTTGTCTGTGTGTCGTGTCTGTGTGTGTCTGTGTGTGGGCAGATGCTCTATCAACTAGTGTCCATAAGGTATTGACAAGGGATGGGTATTGGAGGTTTAAAGTGTATCAGTATTCACAATATTTTGCAATGAACAAGGCCATATTTTTAATTCAGAATCAATCTGATACATTAAGGAATGAAATGGAACAAAACAAGATGCTTGTACAACATAATGTTTACTCATTCAATAAATACGCAGCCATCTTGGGTCCCGGATGCTCGCGCCTGGGCAGCGAAGACATTTGGCAAGTATATAACTTTGAACACATGAATAAAACTCCCAATTTGAAATCACCAGACATATCGAGCGTGAAAAAAAGATATTGTGATACGTATCGTGGAAAGGATGAACCTCAATTTACTGATATACCGGTAATACCGCACACCCTTAGAATTGACGACAAGGCATTTTCTGTGTTAATAGGGTACTGACTACTACTGGCATTGTCTACACGGCAGTCTTTCTGTGTAAATAGACTGCTTGTTTAATACACAAGTATATCATAACATTGCAGTTAGCAAACAAGGTTGGTGTCTGAACGCCTTGAATCAAACATCCCAGGACTGCCTAACTGAGTTAGTGGTCATGACCCCATATGGCTTGTACTAGCCCTGCACTCTCTACATCAGCAACACCGTCAACTCACCATACTCCTTGAGATATTCAGAATCATGCTGAGGTTGCGATTTATCAGCAATATTCTGTACAATCTTTATCTTCACCTTCTGTTCCTTTCCAATTTTCATCAGTGTGTTAAACAACAACTGACCCTGAAATAATAGTAAAAACAATGTTATTATCCAAATAAGAGATGGAGGGAGGAAATTACGTCATTTGGACCTTGAAATTAATCTTTGATTACCGTTTTCGACGTAATAAGCGCCGCCCCGCTCTAATAAGCGCCCACGGCGATATTTTCAAATATATTGGCTAGTGAACAATCCCAGTTAGCACCCTTCCGATTGATCAATGTACTCAATTTGTGTACATTTATACGTGTATAATACGCACTCGTGTGTTATATGCACCCTTAATTACGGGCAATTAAATTCTGGAAAATATATCTGTCGTGTATAATACGCACAGACTTTTCTTTTGAATCATTTCAGGCTGTCAGCAGACACCATAAAAATTTACGATCTTTCGACTCTTTCACCAAAATTATATTCTAATAAGAGCCCCCTATTTCTAATTTCAAGAGCGCCCTGGGCGCTTATTACGTCGAATACGGTACTTAATTATCCAGAACACTACTCCACGACTGAGATAAAACTTCAAGCACTTCCCAGCATGCCATAGTGTCACTCACCACTCTGCTGCTGTTATCATGATCGGGCACGTCGTTAGTACGGAGTGTCCAGTAGTAAGACGCAATTTCAATGGTCTCATTAGCACTAAGTATCAGCTCCATCAACGCCTCGGCTGTGGGCAAATGGACTGTCTCATTGGCTGGGAATGTCAGGTTCTCCGGAATGCTCTCCACCAGTTGGATTCTTAAATAGAAGAACATTTTGTTTAACATTACTGCACATACATAGAAACTTGCATGCACATGTGTGTGTGGCTGTATGTACAAATCCAGGCCACTGAGATACCATGCCGCAGTTAACAAGGATATCCCACTCAGACACGGCATACTGACTCCGAGCCGACCAGTCCTTGTTTCATTCCCTCCCATATTTGCCGAGCACCAACCAGAGAAACAACAAGTCCCATCTTTTAATGTCTTTGGCCAGGGGACTGAACCACCTCCCTTCCTCTCTGTGTGCATGTGGCCAGAGGCTACATAACATATTTGTAACAAATAACAATGCAGGGAAACATACTCATCAGTGTTCCCGCTGACTTCTGAAACTGCCAGTCATGGTGGACTGGCAACTCTGCAAATTACCAATCCCACCTAATTTTCGTCAGTCCCGACTTTCAACAAGTAAATAAACATAAAAATTACCTTGTTAATTCTTTCAACATCATGTTCAATGTAATGACGTCATCTGAAGTAACTTACTTAGATCTACATGTCATTTACACAGAGTTCAGTTTTCTCTTTACCGTATTCGATGTAATAAGCGCCCCGCTCTAATAAGCGCCCACGGCGATATTTGCTAATATACTGGCTAATGAACAATTCCAAATAGCACCCCTTCCGATTGATAAATGTACACAAGACTGTTTATTTGTGCATAATACGTTTGTTATATGCACCCTTAATTATGGGCAATTAAATTCTGGAAAATATATCTGTCGTATATAAACATTTCAGCATAAACCACAAAATTTACGCTCTTTGAACTCGGTTGTTTTTCACCAAAATAATATTCTAATGAGCGCCCCCTTTTTCTAATTTTGAGAGCGCCCTTGGCGCTTATTATGTCGAATACGGTATTTTGAATATTTAGAGTCTAAGTTGCTCTAAATATATATTTAACATCAAAGCAAAGCGAAATGTTATTTCTTCGCACTAAAAAGGGGAAACCCTGATGGTAACAGACAAGCTGACTTCATTGAAGAAATATACTTAGGTTTATGAGGTACTTTATTACATGAATTACCCAATCTCATTAAAATCAGATCTTGGTTCTCGCTGCGGCTAAACAAAGATCTGAGGACATCCCATTACGGGTCACGTCAGACTGACCTTTCGCGAACTCTGACCAACCAATGGAATTACCGACAAGAAGTTGATATTAGCCAATCAGAAGGCAGCTTTCTCGTGCTTTACGGCACTAATTTCAAATTGGCGGTTACGCTTTGAAACATAATTTGACAAATTCTCGCTAAAAAAATTGAAACCTGAACAAAAGAACATTCCGAATGGCTAATATATGGTCTAGATTGTATAGATTCAGTCGTTAAGCCCGTAACTATCGTTCGGAATACCCCGTTTTAATGTTTTCGAGGCTGCATGATTAGAAATCACATTCTGACTGTCACTTTCATGATCTGGTAAGCGACGGTCTGATTGGTCGGATGAAAGGTCGTTATGACGTGAATGAGCAATGTTTAGCGGAAGCGAGAACTAAGATCTGATTTTAATGAGGTTGATGAATTACCAGTCAAAGCCTAATTTTACTGGTAAAAAAATGGTAATTACTGGTAAACAGAAACACTGACTCATATATATAGTATTGCGCACAGTCAAACAAGTTTTTAGGAGTCTGGAGGTGGGGTAGCCTAGTGGTTCAAGCTATGCTTGTCTTGCCAAAACCTCAGGTTTGATTCTCCACATTGTCACAATTTGGGAAACCCATTTCTTGTGTTCCCTGTCATGAGATTGGTAGAATAATGCTAAACATGCTAAAAGCAGTGTAAAAGCAAACTCACTCACTTTAGAAATCCTGATCATTTAATTGATTCTGGAGGAATACCAACTAGAATTACAAATCAAATCAGAACAATACACTACCGGGTTACTGTTATACAGGAAAGGGTGAGTGAGTCAGTTGGGCTTAACGAGCATTTCAGTCACACCATCATGACCACGGCGTGTCAGCTTAACGTGGGAGGAAAGCCCGAGGTGATGCAGGTCTCAGGCATTTACCACTTTGATGAAACCAACAAGCACAGGTATGGTGCTGACAGATTCTAGAATCATAACCCAGTATTTCCGCTGGCTTTTGAAACTCTAAAAAAGAACAGTCCCCCCTAATTTTTGCCAGTCCCAACTTTCAACAAATAAAAAAATGTATGAAAATTATTTGGTTTTAATTCTTTCAATTTCATGTTCAGTGCAAAGATGTCATCTCTGAAGTAACTTAGTTAGATCTATACGTCATTCACACAGTCACAATTTTCTCTTTGTTTTTTAATATTTTGAGATGAAGTCGCTACAAACGGATATTTGACCTAGAAATAGACAAGGGGTAACAGACAAGCTGACTTTGGTAAAAAAATTAATATCACTGATGTTTTTTGTTCAACAACAAAGATTTACAAGTACTTTATTTGCCAGACCACAGGGACTGGCAGTCACATGAATTACCGGTCCAAGGCTAATTTTACGGGTAAAAAACTGGTAATTACCGGTAAATGGGAACACTGATAACCAAGATTCAAATAAACACTGGATCCACGAAGATCTGGGTTGGAATAGGTCTTCAGCAACCCACACTTGTCGTAAGAGGCGACTAATGGGATCAGGTCGTCAGGCTTGCTGACTTGGTTTATGCATGTCATCGTATCCGAATTGTGTGGACTGATGATCATGATATCAATCACTGGTTTGTCTGATTCAGACTCGATTATTTACAGACCCCCATCATATACCTATGATATTGCTGAGTGTGGCACTAAAAAACAAACGAACAAACAAGCAAACAGGCCGATGTCATATAGCTGGAATATTGCTGAGTGTGGCGTTAATCACACCCAAACGAAAAAGGCATAAAGAACCAAATTAACTCTCTATTTAAATTCTCACCTGCACTGGTCATGGCAGACATGGTTGACATCATGTTCGAACCAGGCGTACGTGATGATGAGGCCAGCTACGATGGAGGCAAGGAGCAGCAACGCCAAGATGAAAATAAGGCAGATCTTGGCAGGGCGACACTTGGAATCCTTGCCTGGATATGTAGTATTCCTTCCAGGCTTAGAAGCAATAAGAGGAGCTGTTTCCTGCTGTACACTCATTGTACCTTGTCTGAGATTCCTGACAACAGTGGAAAATAAAATGGAATTTACGAATAATTCAGAATTTACAATTCAACGATCAGTGCACAAAGTGCAACAAACCAAGAAGTCTAAATATATGACTACATACACTGCCTGAACAAACCTTTCAATTTCAAAAAGATAATTCAAACTAACTGATTTTTATCACTAAAGAATCATTCTTACTGAACATGCTGAAAGTAGGTCAATCTATCAACAACACAATCTGACCCTAGTCAATCTGTCTTCAGGCAATCTGCCCCATGTCGATCGCTCCCAAGACGATCCTTACCTTGTTCATCAGTCCCTAGACGATCCCTCCCTTGTTGTTCCCTCCCTAGACCATCCGTCCCTAGTCCATCCACCCCTATTCAATCCACACCTAGTCGATCCCTTCCTAGTCGATCCCTAACTTGTCCATCCACCCCTAGTCGATCCCTCTCTTGACGATTCCTACCTTGTTAATCGATCCCTAGTCGATCCCTCCCTAGTCCTTCCCTCCCTAATCCATCCATCCCTAGTTGATCTCTCCTTAATCCATCCATACCTAGTCCATCCCTCCCTAATCCATCTGTCCCTAGTCAATCCCTCCCTAGTCCATCCCTCCCTAATCCATCCCTCCCTAATCCATCCATACCTAGTCCATCCCTCCCTAATCCATCCGTCCCTAGTCCATCCCTCCATAATCCATCCCTCCCTAGTCCATCCCTCCCTAATCCATCCATCTGTCCCTAGTCAATCCCTCCCTAGTCCATCCCTCCATAATCCATCCCTCCCTAGTCCATCCCTCCCTAATCCATCCATCCCTCCCTAATCCATCCGTCCCTAGTCAATCCCTCCCTAATCCATCCATCCCTAGTCGAACCCTCCCTAATCCATCACTTGACGATTCCTACCTTGTTCATTAGTCCCTAGTTGATCTCTCCCCAATCCATCCATCCCTAGTCCATCCCTCCCTAATCCATCCATCCCTAGTCCATCCCTCCCTAATCCATCCATCACTTGACAATTCCTCCCTTGTCCATCCGTCCCTAGACAATGAATCTCCACCTAAATTTCACTTTGAATGATCCATCCCAGATAGCAGTCTGTACCAAAACCTTTGGAGTCTACTCATCCAAAGTTGGCTGTAAGGATCATTTAATGTTCTTTTTGATGTCATTAGAATATTACAAGCTGTGCTTATTATATCTTACACAATTTTAATAGACTCGGGCTTTGAACTAGTCACAAACTGAGGTGGTAAAGTATGCACTGGATGGTCCATCTACAGAAAGTAAATAAGTATAATGCTATGTTGTCATGGTTACATATAAGTAGTTATTTGAATATAAATGACAATAACTTCAGCGTCTAATGACCATGTTGACATGTTGAAGTTAGTAGTACTGTAGTTGAGATGTAGCAGAGTTTTGTGTATATGAAGTACTAAACAAAGTAGTAAACATTTGTCATAAAATGTAAGCAGGGTATTTGTGAATGGAACATACAAAAATACCACAACATCAATATAACATTACCGACACTGTAAAGTGGAAATGTTGCTCAGGGTGAGGTCAGGTGAAATGGTGCTTTACGTCGCTTATATATTACTGTATGTGTGTCTGTCTGTGTATGTGTGTATGTGCACACGTGTGTGTGTGTGTGTGTGTGTGTGTGTGTGTGTGTGTGTGTGTGTGTGTGTGTGTGTGTGTGTGTGTGTGTGTGTGTGTGTGTGTGTGCATGCGTGGGGGCAGGCAGGCGTGCCTGCTTGTACAAATCCGGACTAATAGTCCGAGCGCCAGGCACTGTAACAACGAGTAGTTAGTAATTTATGTTTTCAGGTATACAGAAAAAAATGTACCATGTATTGTATCGTTGCATGAAACTCAATATATTGTTTCACCCCAAATAGAAATGAATGAAAAATAGCTGTTTTTTGTCATATTTTGTTTATATTAATGAATATTTTTCATGATTTTAATCATGGTGCTCACATGATTTGATGCACTTCGTGTTTTAAGACACGTTTTATTTCAATATATATCTTGATCACTGATCAGATCATCTTGAATGGGCACCACCATTTTCGTTTGAAGCAAAGGCAAGTGATTTGAGAGGTGGAATCTGATTGGTCAACAGGAGGGACATAGCAGGGACATAACTTGTAATAGCTAGTGGTGGAGCTAAGCTAGGGACTAGAAATTCCAGCCTAATTCGGCAAGGGTGGAAATTGGACTTTTAGAGTCAGTTAATTCCCTGGCCTTGGGAAGGTGCAGTTTTCATGCCTAATGTTCTCTGCAGTTCTCTGCATTTTTCCAAGAAAACTGATCTCTGAGGAGACATTCATTAACAAATTGTGTAATGTTAAACACAAAAATATTATAACTACACATGCTATTTACAAGGTTTCACAAAGCTAACAGTTATTTTGGGTTATCTGCATCAAAGGTCTTTCTCCAACGTGTGGATGGATTATCTCAATATGTGTGAAAAAATCAACCTGTGACACAAATCCTGTGACAAACCAACTTGTAAACAGCTCTAGATCTTGCCGACAGCCATGATAGGGCCCGAAAGTAAAGACATGATCCTACATACCTTGGCCCCATTCCACAAAGCAATCTTAGCGGTACAGTGATTGTAACTCCCAGACTTGAACATAGCCTTACGATCTTTGTAGCGCTGATATTGCTGGGACGGATCGACTTGGGGATGGATCGCATTAATACTAATACTGATATAGCATTCAGCTTTAGAGGTTTGGGCCACTTGCTATCACTAAGCCATGTTGATACCAGTACCTTTGTCTAATCGTCATGACAGCTTCCTCTGTTATCAGTTTCAGGTATTATGGATAGTGAAAATTTTCAATTGAAACAGTTTCCCGTGTAGTCCAAGCACTTTAAATATTACTGTGTTGTTTCTTCCTCACACATAGACGTCATTCTTCACCCGTTTGTGAAACATGTCAATACCAATCAATGTTGGACATAATACCATGTCAACACTTTCAGATGAAACAGTGTCAACATGGACACATATCGATCCATGTTACATATTTCCATATCACACATTGTTCTCCATTTCATGAAACAGGTCATTCCCAATCGGCGTTTAACAAATATCATGTCAAAACACGGCGACAACGAAAGAAGGAAATTTGCATTCTTATCATGATAACTCTTATCGTCTTGCCCTGGCTTGAATAGACCTACGTAGAGCCGACTTGTAGATTTATTGTGCTTACCTTTAAAATAAATCAATATAAAAAATAAGAATCAACCGTGTCTATTATTAAACATGATAACGCTTACCAGATAACACCGTTGTAGTTGCGAATGCAATATATGTACAATAACAGGTCTGTCACGAGACACCAGAACAAACGGGGGCGCCCGCAAAGGTAAACTGGGTTCCGTCTCTTCATAACACCTAGCTTGCGCACGTTGACGACACGCATAGAGAGAGCGCAACCAGCTTACTAAACGTACATGATGTCAGCTTCACTCTGATTGGATAGTTTGGGGGAACCCGCGTAGAGTGTCCCGAAAGATATATTAAATATAACTAAGGATGTACAATAAAGATCAGTGATTTGCAAACAATTGTATTATCCATATAGGTACATATTTGTAAGATTGTCACTCTAATAGAGTAACATTTCATAAAGGAGCAAGATCAGAGTCAAGCATCGACGGGTTTTCTAAGTATTTCGAAAAGAGGTGTTGGTCACCCAGGCACTCAGCGCGTGTTCTTTTCAGAAAGCCTGTATTATAATTAGGTGGAAACTAACCTCATTTATTTATTTATGTATTACAATAACAAGCTACCAAAGAGCTTTTACAGATTAGAATTATATCTTTGATATCGTGATTGAGATAAACATGTAAGCTAGTTACAACAACCAATAATTAAACTACTGACTGAGGGAGAACAGCCCTATCCTTTCTTTTATTGTTTGTTGTTACAGTGCGTGAGGTTTATTTATTTGACCGCTAGTTCTTCGTATAGTGCACGGAGAAACATGTTGGCAATATAAGGGAGGGGGTCGGCACCACCAGGTAGGGTTGTCCCCATTCACTGATGCATCTGAATTTACACCTGACGATATCATGCACGTCACGCCTACCCACGTTGTTTTAATGCTGTATCGATTTTCAACAAGTTACATTGTCTACGTTTTGTAAAAACTCGGCCTCATAACTATTTGGGCTGGTGTTATTAATATTCTCCACCATTTTATAAATTGTTGTTCGTTAATATATTGAAACAGGTAAGATGTACGGAATCACTGATCAATAGCCCAGAGGCTCGTGGAGGAATAAATTAACATGTATGTTTTTACCATGTATTGATGTTCCATCTTGTCCATGGTCTCGGATGACACTCTAGTATGTAGACATAATAAAGTTAAGCAGGACTGATTTATTCAAAGCAAATTTACAAATTTATCTAAATCATAAACAAAAGTATGACATGTTCCAATTACTGCAAGAACGTGCAGATATTGCCAAAGGTAATAGCATATACTTTATATGAAACATAGTATATACATATATAGTATACCCGTGATGATCAGGGGTTGAATAGGTCTTCAGCAAACCATGCTTGCCGTAAAAGGCGACTATGCTTGTCGTTAGAGACGACTAACGGGATCGGGTGGACAGGATTGCTGACTTGGTTGATGCATGTCATCGTATTACAATTGCGTGGATCGATGCTCATGGTGTCAATCACTGGAATGCCTGGTCCATACTCGATTATTTACAGACTGACGTCATATAGCGGTGTTAAACAACAACAAACAAACAAAACATATAGTAAACGTTGCTTACCCGAGTGAATCAACAGTGAATTTAAAGGTCAGGCTCACAGTGAAGAATGACTGAATGACGTCCGTATTTATGTACAGGGGCTATTCCATAGCACAATGTGGATAATCTCATTTTCCGATTACAATGGCGATGAAGTTGTTATCGCAAACTTTAGTGAAGCTATCTCGACTGAATCGTATCATTTAATTTGACCGATGCATTGATGATAAAGGTGATTATATTGTGTGAAATTTATAAGGTTTTTGTCCTTGTGAAATCCGAGGCAAGTTATGAATTTTACCCTTGGCAAGTTTACGTAATTGGAACGTGTTCGGTAAATTGGTAATACATCCACTCATCCAGGGAACTATAGCGTCATAAATTATTGTAAAACCTTTTTCCATTGTTTCCTATGTTAAAATCGTGGATGATGTTAGGGATCATGATTGTTTTGGGGGATATTTTTTTGTAGTGAAGACTCAGCGCACAATTTCACAAAAATATGCCCCAAAATATTCATGTTCCCTAACTTCCTTTGTTCAGTATATTTTGTGTGTGTCTTGGGGGGCCTTTAGGCTTCTATATGGTATACACAGCGCCATATATCGATACCAATTGGTATGTAGTCTCTGGTGGAGATCAGTCAAAAGACCATCTAAATCAATCAATCAATCAATCAATCTGGGAGATTTAACGTGCGCTTTCCGACTAATGCGTATCTCGCACACGGTCATCTAAATCCGCCTGCATTCACTTAAGTACCATACAGCAAGGCCCCCTCGCATTTAATCATGAATTAGTTTCAAACAATAATTAACAAAAAATTAGTCTACGCCATGCATGTGCCGCACCCTTTTCACAGCTTTTTGTCAATCATATTGAAATATCCAATAGTAATCATCTGGGCTGACTGTATTTACTCTTGACATTTTTTGTTTTCTTTTCTTTTTAAAAAAACAAACAAAACATAATTCGTTTCCTATTCATTAACTTCCGGGTCGCAATTTGTATTAACCGGAAACTACCGGATGGCGTCTGTGGTTTCGGTCGTGACATGCCCACAAGGTGGGTGAACGTGATATGCGGTGGTGTTATACCACGTTTTCGCTCTTTCGTTGCTGAATAGATAACACATCATCTTATATCCATGAAGTAATTGTTAAAATTTCATAGCCGTACTGAATTTTGTTGATACTAGCGAGGTAAAGTTCATGTTTGAAGTTCCCATTTTGAGTTGAAATCTCGCACAGTCAAGCTCGGCTCCACAGTGATGTGATTTGTAATTTGTATCTCGAAAAGGCACATCAACTTATGTGGTGTAGACTGTAGTCATGTTTACAAAAGAAAAAGGTTTAAATGGGTTAACGCTCACTGGAATTAGCTGTTCTTTATCCCAAGGGTGCAGCTGATCTTCATAAGCATAATCCTTTCCTTGCCATGTTTAGGCCTATCCCAAAGACGTATATAGATGTATATATGTTTCCTGTAGGCTGTACCTTGTTTGTATGTGTGTTTTCACCAAAACTCTATTAATCATGTCCATAAACCGTGTCACTGCAGGTTTTCTTTTCACAAACAGCAAATAAGTATACAGTATATATGTAGAGTAGTTAACTAAGTAAAATTGCTGGTGGAAATATTGGGGTAAGTAAAAGGTTATTCTGGTCCCTAATAACAACACCCTCACAGTATTTTACTTATGTCATTGTTGGCAGGTTGTGATATTTTTGTAACTGAAACAAAATTTGTATGCTTAGAAATTTTGTTCCCCAATAATGTGTTACCCTTAAAATAAGAAACTGTCTTAACCCTTTTTCGTATTTCTAAATATTCATTTATAAGACTATATTATCATTTATTAGGTTTCAAAAACGACTATTCATTCATAACACAATATTATCGTTGGATTATGGGTTTCCATCATACTTTTTAGATAGCCATGTTTATCACGATTTCTCTCATGATAACGAGTTGTATGATGTTACAGTGGAGCAGTCCATTCTTCGCATAGGTAATATATTGTATACTGCAGAAACGGTGCTGCCAACCGTCACATACATTTATCACTCTGAAGTGCTTGCTTGCACCTCTGAACTTAAATATCACATACGGTACATTGTCCATTTTTCAAAGAAATTGAATGTTTTTTGATATTTTAATTATATGACGGTGCCCAGTCAAGATGGTCTGATCGATAATCAAGATCTTTAGTGATAAACAAAACTGGTCTCACCTTGGGACAATGCTTCGAAACACTTGAAAATGTTTATTCTTAAAATTTACTAATGCAGATTTCACTCTATTTAGCTTTGGAAGGGTATTAAAGAAAGTTATTTTCATCAACGACAAGAAGAAAGTTCTATTTATGTAGAATGTTTCAACATGTTTAATGCATTGTTGATGCAAGCGGTGCTCCAGATAATTTTTTAACCAAATGAGTACAGTACTGCTCCTTTGTCATGTTTGTAGAATTAACAAGTACTGGTATGATATTGTGCCGCCATCATTCAAAGACTGTGTGTACTCCCTTTGGATTTTGGTGCCAAACTAAGTAAATAATACTGAGACGAGATAATTTGAGTGTGATATTATTAGCTAATGACAATGCAGGATTGGGAGGAGATCCATTTGCTGCTAACACGAAATGACATGTTCCCGTTTAAGCCGAAGGTAATGCCCGATTGATAAACAGAAGTTAGCCACTGTTTTGAACAACGATAATTGAGCATGTTGAGTATAAATAGGCAAGTTACATTGGCAATTAATCATGACAGTGTATAGTATTTTTTCCCCATGTATTAGATACGGTTGTAATTTGCATTCCGTCTGTAATTGACAACTTTTCATCCTGATAAAACACCAATACAGCAACTGTCTGAAGCACTGTGCAAGACTAAACTACAATAATCAATATTATTAATTGCCCTGACAAAATATCATCCCTTTGCTTCTATCTTGGTTAAACACCTGAGGTATTAATGATATGCAACTTGTTATTTAATTGTTCAATAACAAGATAATTATTGTTTGATGAAGTCTATTAATGTTTCATTCTTTGCACCTGCTCACACACATGTTCTTGTGCTGGTGATCATGGAGATAATACTATTTATACTTATGACATATATGCATCTGCATAATTAAAATAGTTTATATATATAAATAGAGTATTTCGCCTGTAACTATGGTAACTCCAGTTAAATACATTATGCACATAATTCTTTCGAGAGCTGGGGGCACGGGTGGCCCAGTCGTCTAAGGTGTTCGTTCGTTCGTCGAGGTTCGCTGTGAAGAGTTGCATCCCTTGGGCAATTTAGAAACCCATGATATTGAGTTCGAATCCCGGTTAATCCCGATTGTGTGTCTAGATTTGTGAGCACCATACCCGTGCTTGTGGGTTTCACCCAAGTGGTAAACGTTGACACGCTGTGATATAACTGGAATACTGTTCAAAATGACGTTAAACCCAACTCACTCACTCACTCTTTTTACCATCGAATGGGTCCGGTCTTTGCTTTCACATACTGACCTCATCAAGAGCAATTATTTGTATTATACTTATTGTTTTCTCTCTGGATAGTATCAGTGTGGAGGTAGGAACAACCAGAGAGAGCTGGAACAATGTCTGAAGATACAACTGAAGGTGAGGGGCAGCTGTTTGGAGAGAGCTCGGTTGACTTGACTACCACTCCCGTTACAAAGACTGAGGGTGAAGTAGAACAGATTAAAGGGTTTTCATCAGAAAACAGGGAGAAAGAGACTACTGAGGAAGCAGACCATCAAAGGGGGAGCGGGGAAGGCGGTGACAGTGAAATTCTCAGTGTTGCTGATGATGCTGGAAGAGATGAAACTGTGGATGAAGTTCAGTGTGATGGCGGCCATGTAGGAAGTACCATCACAAAGGATGATCATGATGGTGGTAAGGTGGATAATGATGCAAATCAGTCAATGACCAGCAAGGGAGCTGAGGCTTTGACAGATGAGACAGGAAGTGGGGAAAATATGGAAGGGAGTGCAGTAGATCCACAGCCGCCTGAGGATGATAAACAGGAAGTAGCTTCAGGGGTGCGTACGCAGAAGGAAGGAAAGAAGAAGAAAAAAGATAAACAAACTGTCATTGACAATGGTATGTTTGTTTCTCGATGAAAATAACAATAGTGACAACAATGAATCTTTGAAAAAGCTTTGAAGAAAAATATGTACATACTACACAGGAGAAAGTCATGTTTGTCCAAATTTGACTGTTTAATATATTTATTTCTACAATTATTTTCATGTTATTTGATGACAAGTCCAGTGTAAATAACTGTATGTAAATATGTTTACACAGATCTCGATTAAAATTTGAAAACTGAACAAACGCACATTCCCGAATGTCTAATATATGGTTGAGATTGTATAGCAGTTCTGGAATACCCCGTGTTAAAGTTTTAGAGGTTGCATGATTAGAAAATACATTCCAACTGTCACTTTCATGAACTGGTAAGCGATGCTTTGATTGGTCGGATGAAAGGTCGTTCTGATGTGACCCGTAATCCTCAGATCTTTGTTTAGCAATAGCGAGAACTAAGATCTGATTTTAATGAGATTGGGGACACCCCTAAATTTCCTACACTACATAATCAATGTTAATTATGTCAACATTTCAAACTTCTTGGTTTCATATCTCAGATGAGGAAGTAAATGTTGGAGATTTATCCCAACTGACAGAAGATTCTCGCAACATTCTGTTTGGCCGCGCCTTGGTGTATGAACGTGACAGCAAGAAGAACTGTGCCCTAAAGTGTTACTTGGCCTGCCTGTCCCACCTGACTCCTCAGTCCAACTTTGTTCTGCTGCCACAGTGTCTCAGAAATGTCAGTACACTTCTATTCTGCATGCCTCTGAAGATGTAGGTTAGAAATGTTTTTTAACAACCCATGCTTGTCATATGAGGCGACCAATGGGATTGGGTGGTCAGACTTGCTGACTTGGTTAATGCATGTCATTGTATCCCTATTTCGTAACGGATGCTCATAATGTCAATCACTGGATTGTCTGGCCCAGACTTTATTATTTACAGAAAGTTTTCAGTATGCTGGAATATTGCTGAGTGAGACGTTAAACAACAAACAAAACCAACATGTTTAAGCAGTTCTCATGTCCATATGTTGTGAAGGAGTTATGTCATGTGACAAGTAGGCACATTCAGCATGTTAACTGTTCCATGAAGTGGATGAAATAACTAATCAGCTGCTAATTGATATAGGAAATGCCCACACACATAATGTGAACTCTCAACATCTACTGAATGCCGTATTGAATCGTAGACCATTCGTTGTGTGCTATGATGAATAGATAAACCACTAAACTTGTGAAGTTCACTTAATAATTTTCAAACAATCCTGATAGTTCAACACGTCAGTTTTAAATCATACATATTCAAGTACACACACGTCTTCTCATGTCTTCACATTCAGCCGCTAACCGCACAGGCCGCAGACACCTAAACGAGTCTACTGGCGGTAATGAAGGCCGGGAATCAACCAAGCGCTAACGGTGAAGTGACACCAATACAAAGGATATTCAAAGTCCTTTTACACACGCTTCAGTGACTTTGCCCACCCACGCGAAAAACGGGGTCCTGCAGTAGGAATTGAAAATCCACATCCCAAAGAGGCCACCCTGACTCTTCAGAAATTGATCATCTCTCTATTTTGAACCAACAAAATGTTTGAAAACTTTCTGAATACTTCATGTGTCTTGTCAGCTATTGTAAAACTTTACTTTCCGAAATTGTAATAACAATACCCATGACACTAAGCATGCTAGGCAATAAACATGTTGTAGAATACTAGTATTTTACCATATTACCATCATTAGTGGCAGTTTGATGGACTATAGAGTCAAGTGTGTTGGTGTGTCCCAGAGTGAGTACACAGATAATTTATTTTCACAAGTCCTTGTCTATGAAAATAATCCCACTTAATCAATTTCTGGTGTTTTGAAGATTGTTAAAGCGTGTATTACCAGTATTAATCATCAGGTGGTAATTATGCTTTTTATGAAAAATATTATCTTGTTTCTTACGCTACAGATTGCTGATCTTTACTACAGAAAAGAAGAATGTATCCTTCAGACTGATCACGAGGATTGATTTATCTGACTTAGAACCATGTATTACTCCATTTTGTATTTTTTATATGTTCAAGCGTAATTTGATGTGGAGAGTCCACATGTCTACAATCTGATTTATGCTTGGTATGTGTGGCTTGTTTCCACTTAAGATTCTATCAAATAATTATACTTGGTAACCAGGATAACACAATGATCAAAGATATATTTATCTCCCTTAGTTTACTGACTTTATGTTTCTCCTTAACCACTACACAAGATGAAAAGGCAATTTTGTTTATCCAAGCTGAGAAGCTCTTCTATGAAAATGCCTTGGTTGATACAAATGAAATACAACAGAAGATAGGTGAGTGACAGAGTCTTGCATTATCATTAACAGGATCTATCAGACAGATGTTAGACCACATTAAGAAATAGGTATGAATTCAATGAGTAGACATAAACAAATCTGTAATATATGATCATGATGACTTTATCGTTGTTTTGTTGGGTACATATTTTTAGAAAGTTTATTTGTATGTGTTTTTAGGGTGAGTACAAAGTGTGCTACATGTATATGTGAGAAGGGTCATTTTGGGGATTGTCCCCTGTAAAGATCTGAGTTAATTGGTCTTCTGCAATCCATGTTTGTTGCAAGACGCGACTAAGAGTATTGTGTGGTCAGACTTGCTGACTTGGTTGATGCATGTCATCATGTCCCCAATTGTGTAGATTGATGGGCATGATATCAGTCACTGGATTGTCTGGTCCAGACTTGATTATTTACAGACCACATATAGCTGGAATATTTCTGAGTTTGATGTCAAACAACAAACAGACAAGCATTTTGAGGATTGTGTGAGGATGAACTGAGAAACTTGCCTTACAGGCAGGCTTTTCTAGGACATTCATGTGTGGGAATGAAATTATTATCTAATCTTTACAAGATTATTAACATGAATTTATGTGGTAGGAATTTTCATCTTCATCATTGTCCATATCCACAGAGTCGTTGCGTCAAGGGGCAGGTAACTCTGATTCATCCCGATCTAATGAAGATGCTAAGATAGCTGCTGACTCACTTCGGGCAGATGAATATGAACATTTGGCCAAACTCTGTGTTGATAAGAAACAGTGAGTATATTGTAGTAAAAGTATTTTGTTTAGGTTTAAATATACTGGTACATTCAATATTTTGGACAGATAGGTTTAAACTTGAATGGTACTTGGCCTGTTTTACTGGTAAGTTACACAGAATTACCAGTAAATCTTAGCACTGAATATAGGAGGAATACTGAGAAGGGTTTGAAACATTGTTATAAGCCTGAACATGATAGTTCTAGTAGAACTGAAAAAGTGATCTGTTTGACATGGCATTGCTGACTGAGTGACCATGAAAACAGCAATGGGACGTTTTTAGACTTACGTGTGTGTGTGGAAAGGACAAGGGGGATGTGTCAGTGGTCACATTTCACTGTGCAGAGTTGCATCCCTTTAAAAGCCATACCCAAAGCTCCTCACACATGTCACAGTGATAACCTGTTCACAGAGCTCTATATATACTATTGTGTCTGCCGGTCAGAACTCCTCACTGTACTAGGGTTCCTACAACCATGCATGGAGTTGAACTTGCAACAGACTGGTATATTTTCAAACAAGTGATGACTGTCATGTTGTGAAGTTGAATACTCTCCCCACAGCTAAATTGTTTTGTTTGTCCAGTTGAATGTAATTAGATTAGTTGACCATGTTAGTGAGAATACAAGGAGGATGTTATGTCTTTTACGTAAGTCTGCAATCTCGATCCAATCTGTTTAAACAAACAAATGTGAATTTGTCTGGGAAATGATCAGTCTGTCCTAAGACTTTTCTCAATTGACTAGTATGGCATTCCCAAAGACATAGACAAAAATATTAATAATTTATTAATTAATATATATTTGGGTTGGAGGGAAACTGTTCAAGATTCTTGTAATGGCCGCTTGCACACTGGTGGTAGGCTATGATACTAGGTGGGTAACGAAAGAGTCACTCGCTGGGAAGCAGCATGGCCGTACCATTGAGGTTTAAATTCTCACATTATGATCCTTACAGCCTCTGCAGCACTGTACCTTATATACTGTGATCCAACTTAACTACTTCATAAGCAGTATCAAACCACTCACTCACTCACTCACTCACTCACTCACTCACTCACTCACTCACTCACTCACTCACTCACTCACTCACTCACTCACTCACTCACTCACTCACTCACTCACTCACTCACTCACAGTAATATTCATTGTACCAAATATTCTTGAAAGAAATATAAAATCCCTGTAATTGAAGTCATTATCAAATGTTACAGTACAATACACAATTTAATTATGTGTTATACATGTTGTATGGCGAAACAGTCTTTGATTATTTTTTATTCTGCTGCAATTTATAAAGAATAAGATGGACATGCATATTAGTTTTGTCTAATTTGCTATAGACTGCTTTCATATATTTTCAGGCCCCAACTGGCTCTTGAGTATGCTGGAAAGGTGAGTTTTGCCAAACAGGCAAATGCGAACTACATGAGAACATTTTTTATAGGGAAACATTCCACTGTTTCTAGATACATGTAACATTAATATTTCAGTGATTTATCTAGACCTGTTCAGAAGTCTGCAACAAATGTCCAAACTGGAAATAAACCTTTCACAACTCATAATATTCAACTAATGTTACAGCATTGTAGAGGTGACTTGTATTTTACAGGTGACAGGGCTAGTAATGGTATATGCTTTTTATTTAGTTTTTATGACATTACATTGACAAGGTCTTTTACAAACTTACCAAGAACTTTCATTTATCTAAGGCCACAAAGCTGCGGCAGAAGATCTATGGAAATGATAATCCCATCACCAGGGAGAGCCTGGACTTTTTTGCCACATTATATGCTGAGGTCGGCAAGCAGCAGTATTCAGGTTAGTGCAGACTGTTAGTAAGGCCAGGCAAATATGCTGGTCAGCTGGCATGGTCACCTTGATAAAATGCTAGAATTGCTCCCCAGCAACTTATGTAGGTTGTTAAAAGTAACTTAACGGATTAGTTGTCAGACTCAGTGACTTGGTTGATTATGTGTCATCGTACCCTGTTGGCATTGATCGTCGCTCACAATGTCGATCACTGGATTATTTATAGGCCACTGTCATGTAGCTGTAATATTACTGAGTGCAGCATCAAATAAACAAAGCTGGCATGGCAAGACAAGTTCCAGTGAAAATCAATCAGGACCCGATGATTTATGATTAATGTAGTCTAGCTGTAGTGGAAAATATCAGTTATATTTTTGTCTACCATACACAGAATGAGAGGCCTTTATGGACAGATGTGAAAGTGTGAAATTTCATAAACTTCAGATTGATCAGGGTTTGGATTACTGGGGGTCCTTGAGGTTTGCTACTCTATTATTTGAATCAAGGAAGTGCCTAAATCTTTACCTTTCAACGCTAGGGCTAGAACCCCTTGACCTTCAAGTTTAATTTCGAACACTGCTGATGTTTTGCAGTTGTCTGGCAAAGTGAGATTTATGTGTCTTTTTGTATGAGACCTACAGCATGTACAGTGTTTGATATATTAATACAGATTCCATAACACAACTGAATGATTCCGAGGGGAGTGAGGGGGCATCTGTAAGTCCAGCCGTGACCCCCTCCATGGAGCGCTCTCCATCCTCCATACTGCGCCAAAGGAGAACAGGAGATGGTGAGAAAATACAGTGGACATCAAGTCATTCAAACACCACTGAAGATATTATAATTGTGAAAATGATATGTAAAGATATCATGTAGAAATAAAAGTCTAAAAGTTCTTTTATCCATTATGGTTGGAAACCACGTTGCTTTATTATATTCCACATGAGTTCAAAAGTAAATATGAATAAAAGTTTGGTGTGGTTAGTTTTAAGCACTTCAGTGTACAAGTATGTAAAGTTTGTGTGTTTTCATAAGAGAGTCACTTGTTTGTTTTGTTACAGACAAAGAGAAAAAGCAGGTTCGTTTCCAGGAGCCAGAGGGAGGGTCATCAAGCACGGGATCAGACAGCACCAGGGAGCAAGGTATGTAGCGATATAAGGACGGACCTCTGAACTAAGCATATGTATGTCCACAATAGGATGCGGATTAAAAGTTCACTGAGGGGAATCTTAAGTTATCAAAGGTCCGCAGCAGCCTATGCTGGTCGTAAGAGGTGACCAAATGGATCCTGTGGTCAGACTCAGTGATTTGGTTGATTGTCTAAGTACATTGATGATGTGGATCGTTGCTGGCAAAATTGATCACCGGTTGTTCACAATATCGATCACTGGATTGATTATTCATGGGCAGCCATCATACAGCTGGAATCACATGACCTATTGCATAACACAAAAGTAAATATACAGACAATTAACGCTCACCCGATTCCATGATGCTGGTTTGGGCTGCATCATTTACAGCATATGTGTACAACAACATTTTTTACAACAGCAGCCATTCAAGAATTGTGAAGGGATGTCAGTCCAGACAGTGTGAACTTGAAACTAATGGTTGATACACAATATTTTAAGTTCTCATATTAAGTGAATTGTTTGATAGGCATTACTTGGAAGTTAACAGATGACCAAGTAGAGACAATCTATGGACAACAACTTCTTTATTTACTGTTAAGGGGATGTTTTGGTATAGAACCTTATACCGTTGTCAAGCAAGGCTTGCTTTTACAGTAAATGAAGAAGTTGTTGTCCATAAATTGTTTCTACTTTCCAATATTAAGTGTGCAGTAAATGTGTTACTTCCGACCCACATGGTTATGCATTTCCCATGAGTATACGATACTGATAGCACTGACAACCTTTACGTTGTTTCTGTTTGACAGAGGAGTTCATATCCCACACTCTGCTGTGGGTGCTGTTTGCCATCTGTTTCCTGTTGCTGTGCATCTTGGGACTGTGGCTGCTGTGCTCCATGTCGGACACCTTGGCCTGTCAGTGGGTGAAGGGAGAACTGCACTATTTCTACATGCGCATCAAGTACTACTACTACCAGTATGCCTCAACCAAGAAGATCAAATATGCTTGACTTCATCACGTTGAGATGATTGTCAGTGAGTGTTGAATCAAAATATTTTTAGGTCGTGACACTTTAAAGAATTTCTGAAATATTTGAATAGGACGTATAACATGTATAGAATAGCTACTGATCAAACTTGGACAACTAATTCAAGGTGACTAGATGCTATTTGAAAAAATGTGATAAGTACAATTGTACTGACGACAAAGATATGTTTTGCATTGGGTTACCAGATGGGTATTTATTTCTTCTGCTGCATTGGTTGTCAGAAAGAGAGATTAATAACCGAGTGTGTTTCTGTCATATATCATAAATATCATATATTAGGAGTATACATTGTATTCTGCAAACCTATGGCAAGCATAATATGTGTTTTGTTATTCCTAATATATAATATTTATGATACAGAAACATGTATGTAACATTAAAATTTTGAAATACTGTAACCTATACGACCCATTATATGTTGGTAATTTTTGTCATTCTTTTTTGTGCCAAGTGTATACCTGGTCCAGTCACCAGCACTTAAAAAAGTATCTTTCTTTCTGAAAGGTAACTGAGCTTGCTGAACAGATCGTTTACAATTTTAGTTGAAGGTATATTTATATTTAATCACTGTTTGTTGTGAGCCTCCAAAGGTATAACTAAGTTTTAATATTTTATTCATTTTGAAAAAGTTTGTCTGACCATGTGAAAAATGCCTGTACTTAACCTATCGTAAATATTTTGCAGCAATAAGTAGCTTCTGTTCAGCACAAATCAATATATATTTTGTCGTATTTTGTAGTATTACTGACTTTTGACAAGAAATTGACATGATTCAGCTAGTCACACATTTTACTTTTCTTGTATGGTTGTTCAGGCGGATGAAATGTGTAAAGGCAGATTCTTTTTATGCTGTTACATATCTCCATACAAAATGCAGGCAGTAACCAGAAGAGATGTCTGAAGTCTGTTAATGGCCATGTTGAAGGTCTGTCAGAAACATCAATAGGCTGGTGATCTTTGAGGATGTTATGAGTATGTTATCATAGTCAGGGGTGAGTATCTTCTGCGGATTCGCGAATTTTAGTGACCACAGATTTGATAAAATCTCATGGCTTCCCCATAAACACCCCCAAATTATGGACCACGCTCCATTGCAAAGACGTTTCAGCTGAAAAGGAAAATACTCTTTCTCATCCCTGCATAGTGATAGTATTGCTAAACATAAAAGTTTTAAAACAGAACCTTATGAAACAGGCATGCTTTAGTGTTTGTGGCAATTTTCCCATCACTACCAGTCGAAACTACTATCGCCATACTTTTATTAGTGGAATGTTGACTACCTTTTATGATTTTTTTCTTCTTCTAATTACCTGCATGTCTCAAACTGAATGGTGTAGAAAATTGTTAGTACTTTTTCCTGTTCATTTAAACTATTGATAGTGTAGCGTATCCCTTTTAATATTTGATATTTTAACTTGTCATTGTTTGAAATTAGGAGAGCCATGGGGTCATTGAAGATTGCTGCAATATGATTTGAACCCTGTACGTTTGAATCTGTACGTTTTAACATCGGGGTTATGACAGGGACCCCTTCAATATCATGCTTAACCTTGGACGCTGTCATTGATGTATTGTACATCAGACAATGTTAATTGTCAACAGCTTTATGGAATAACAAATGGTTTATACTACATTTCTTTTGGGATATGTGTTTAGTGTCACAGGATAGGTCATGGCATGATATTGCTGGAATATTGCTGGAGTATTGCTGGAATATTGCAGGAATATTGCAGGAATATTGCTAAAACTGGCCTCAATTCTCTCTCTCTCACAAGATGTCTGTCAGTATTGGAATATGAGCTGGTAAGGGCTGTATGGATGGAAACACCTACGTTCCTCTTGAGAATCTGCAACAGTACTGTTACATTAATATTCTTTTATTCACACAAAGAAATATTTTTGTTTAACTATGTCAGAAGCTTGTGTTATCATGTTTAGACAAAAGGTCACAAGGCAAAGTTTTTGCAAATGGAGCAGACATCCCATAATTCTCCAGCATGATCTTAAGTGATTTTTAGGAAAGCACTGCCAAGTCAGCCCATGAGATATCGTGGATGATATACAGATTTAAGATCAACAATGATTTTCTTTTTGTTGAAGCCTCGGCTGTACAGTTGAAAGATAATTCATAGATTATCATCCCTTTGAGAAAATACAAATGGTCTTTTTCATTATGCTTATTATCATAAAAGGAAGACTGACGAAAGTGGAACAAAGAATATTTATCATTCCACAACCAATATTAAAATTACTATTGGTAATAATTTTTGGGAATCCTTCAAACAGTGTTTCATTAAAGCATCATTAATAGCAACTGAAGGTGTCACCAACAACCAAGCATTGTTTGTTATTAATTTGATTCCTTTTGAAACAAGATGTATGAAGCACAGTATCGAGGCTATAGTTTCATTAAGATTGTTCCAATCTCAATTATTGCATGGCTGCAATTTTCATGCCTTTGTTCAAACATTCCTACAAAACTAAATGATGTTTCACACTGTCAATATTAAGTAACACTATATGTGATAATACCTACAGTATTTGATAATCAAATATTTTTTTATGCTTGTAATTTTTATGATAATGTTACCCATGGTGTTGTTCTTACACTGTCTGTGAGAAAACATGCTGATGTAGTTACCCTATTGTTATTTATAACATTTTTTACATACTATCTTATTGTATTGTTACCCATGTCCTGTTCTTTGTAACTTGTTACCATGGTTACACATTTACATACCACAGTTTAATGACTTTTAGTTGAAAATGTTTTTGTACCCTACAATCATAAAAACATTCAAACAAAAGAATGTTTAAGAAGGGCATGTTTTCAATCAAAATGTTTGCCATGTTTATGGTAGGCACATTAGAAAACAGTTTTTGTCTGTTTTTTAAAACCTTTTTATTTTCATATTTGTGGACGAAATACAGTTAATTAATATAAAAGTAATATGTGTGTATCTGACACTCAAATTAATCCTGTTTGTCAGAACGAAATCCATACATTCTTTACTGAATGATCAGAATCTGTTTAAGTTTGAAGCAAATCGGTGACACATTGAATACTGAATTATGTGATATATGTAATGAATGCTGTCTTTGCTGCTATCTCTACTTAGAATAAAGCGGGGGGCACGGTACAGAGTTGCTTCCCTTGGGCACGCCAGAAACCTATGATTGTGGGTTCGAATCCCGATTATGTTTCTAGGTTTGTCAGCACCATACCCGTGCTCGTGGGTTTCACCGAAGTGGTAAACATCTGAGACCTGCATCACTTTGGGCTTTCCTCCCACATTAAGCTGCCACGCTGTGATATAACTGGAATACTGTTAAAAGCGGCGTAAAACCCAACTCACTCACTCACTTAGAATAAAGCTTTGATGTCACAATTATTTCAGCTGTAGATTACCTGTAACAAATTGAAGATTTACAGATGCAATGCAAATTTTAAGGTCAGGCATTAATTCTGAGCACATGCATTATGAATGTACTGGCTACAATGATCAAAACGCACAATATGCATGTGCAGTATGAATGTACAGGCTTGTTAAAATGCAGCTCGGATATCGAAAGCACAAAGTTAAGGATTCTCATGTTTTATGAATGTACTGCATGAAGTTTCCGTGCACCATATTTATGTTGTAATAATTTTCATTTATATTGAGTTATTTTAACTTTCAGGCTGTATTTTAAATCTGATTATGCTGTATGTTGTTGCTTGAATGCTGTATTTTAAGTCTTTTTAAGCACACGTAAGTGGACATTATTTGTAATGACTGTCCAGGTACTTGAGCGTTATCTTTAACGGGGGCACGGGTGGCCAAGTTGTCTAAGGCGCCGCGATTCGCTGTGAAGAGTTGCGTCCCTTGGGCACGCCAGAAACCTATGATTGTGGATTTGAATCCCGGTTCGCCCTGATTGTGTTTCTAGGTTTGTCAGCACCATACCCGTGCTCATGGGTTTCACGGAAGTGGTAAACGTCTTAGACCTGCATCACTTCGGGCTTTCCTCCCACATTAAGCTGCTACGCCGTGATATAACTGGAATACTGTTAAAAGCGGCGTTAAACCCAACTCACTCACTTATTATCTTTAACAGAATGGAAAACTGTTTTTGATCATGTGACTTACTGAATATATTGCTTCATGGTAACTCCCATCAATATTTGCCTTCCATATTTCGTAAACTAGAAAGAAGCATGTTGGGGTGTAAAAAGAACATTCATAGAAACTGCAAATTGTCAACAGCACAGAATTTATAATTGAAGCCAAGTAGAGGGAAGATAGTTATCCTCGAATACAATTGGTGCAGTTAAATTGTGTGGTTTCTTTTATGTCATTATCAGTATGAATAAGTTTTCTTCTCAGATCTTATTCTTAAAGATAATGCTGTCATGGAGGTATATTTTGAAGTTCATGTTTCACTTAAACTAACAGACTTTGTTTTTGCATGTTTCGTCTTTTGATTTATATATGTAACGTTACTATTTTCACAACTATATTGACTGGAACTCTGTCATGTTCATATAAGTTTACATTTTCTAATAGTGTATATGTGATTTTGCACAAGTAACACACATTTCTTTGATTTGTGACATGTTTAGGAGGAGAAAAGGTGTTTTGTGTGCATCTTGTTGATGTCATGTCTGAGGAGCTGTACTGTATGAATCGGATGATTACAAAGAATCCAAAACTTGTTGATTCAAGGACATTGCACTTTCAAACATGTGAGCTTTGAATCATATTGAATCATTTGTTGATATTTTTAAGAGTTCATGTAAGGTTTATATATGTACGGTTTGCTCAAATCATTGTCAGCATGTGTGAAAATCAAACTTATTTCGTTTCAGAGATGTGACAATGTTTATGTATTGCAATTTGACAAATCAAATTTTTGCATTTTGATGCTTTTACTTTTGATTTTATATTTTTGGGGACGTCAGTGTTTAAGCTGACAGTTTTTATACACTAGTTTGTTGTATGTGTGTTTCCAAACTAAGTCCTATTTATTTGGTGAAGGCTTCACATGCACACACACATGCTCACACACGCGCATGCACACACACACACACACACGCTCTCACACACATACACACACACTCATGATTTGTTGAAGGGATATTCAATATGAACTTGGGATGATTACAAACAGTGTACAATCATATACAGTCAAAATCAAACAAAATATGATTGCTTGAGATGCTAACAGTTTACAAACATGGCCTTCAATTCTTGTTTACTCTGCATACATTCTGGAAAGATGATGATTCTGTGCTGACAGTTTCTGTTGTGAACCAATGAATTTTTCAGTTCATGTAAAGTGGTAGTTTGTCGTCAGCAGAAGTTCCCGTGGCCTGTGACCTGTGAACACCCTGGTTAGAATAGGTCTTCAGCAACCCATGCTTGCCGTAAAAGGCTTCTGCTTGTTGTAAGAGGCAACTAACGGGATCAGGTGGTCAGGCTCGCTGACTTGGTTGATGCATGTCATTGTATCCTAATTGTGTGGTTTGATGCTTAAGTCAATCACTGGATTGTCTGGTCCAGACTTGAATATTTACAGGCGGCCGTCATATAGCTGGAATATTGCTGAGTTCGCGTTAAACAAGTAACAGACAAACCTGTGCTTTCAGTGTTCCAAACTTCTTCCTTGATTTTCATTCTTCATATATTCCATTTCAGTATGTATAATACATGAACAATAATGGTTAGGGGTTCTACAATTCTTGTTTATTTATATGCCTTCTTCCAAACTGTTTTAATCCTGATGTTTTTATTTATTTGTTGTTTGTAATATTATGATGTCAAAACAGTCTTTGAGCGAAAAGGACCAGTCAAATGAAACATTATCTGAATGAGATAACTCTGAGAGATGTCAGCACTGGACAATATATTAACAGTGTTGACAAATCAGGAGGCTAGTTGGATTGTCATTGATTCTAGGGGACTAGAATGGGGTTTGGGGTTGGATGTATTTCAATAAAATGTTTGCTTATTAAAACTATTCCCAAAGGGCCTGTTTGAGATTTTCTAATTGCAAAATAGGCCACCCTTTTTACATTGCTTGGCTATTGAAACAAGGACCTGGTAATACTAGTTGTGAAGTTTGTGAAGGCTAATACATATCACACTTGTTAAATACTTTTACAGAAATTTAGCCATTTATCATTAACATCTTTGTTTTATGAATGTCATTTACTGTTATTTTCTACATTATTCTGATGAAACTGTTTTCTTCATATTTCTGCATGGTAAAGATGTAGGTTCCTGGATCATTGGTCTGTTTGTTGGTTCATTCAGTTGCTCTGACCAGTTGAAGCCTTGAGTATTGGTGAACCACAGAACCCTTTGGCAGTACATTGATACTTTCCTGTCTCTGCATCAAGTTGGCCATATGTGGAACCTATTGAGGATGTGTCTCGCATGTTGTTGATGCTCTAACAGTCCTGCTTGTATTGTACAGTATTATACACTCTTCCGACACGGAAATGCTACCGGACAGTAGGAAGCTGGACTTTCATACTGGTATGCTCTCTTTGTATTAATTTTGCTTCACAAATAAACTGCTTTTCAAAACACATGGTTGTTACATGTTTACAGACAAAATTACAGAATGGTCGATAATAGTTTTATTAACAAAATATTTCAAATATACCACTCAAAAGAATATTTTCATGTGACTATAGTTAATGTCATGCTCTTTAACTTCTTTTGAGTAGTATACAGTCACATCACAGACAGCTCCTTACATCAGGAAATCCTATGAGCATAGGAATGTACGAGTGAATGTTGTTTTATTCTGCATCCAGAAATATTGCAGGTATGTCGATTATAATCGATATGAACTTGGCAAACCAGGAGCTGATGGCCTCAACGATGACTGACTGACCTCTCCAACCACATTTTCATCAGAGCTGGAACCTCCACAGGATCATAGGCAGGATGTCCCAGTAAATACTGAAGACATTTAGCAAAGTTTGTGGTGCCTGCTGCATGTCTATCAAGCTGGGCCAGTGTACAAGTTGTTGGTAGTGACTGTCAGTTTCCATAAGCCTTGGCTAAAGAGGGCGACAGTTTGAAGGCCTTCCTGTACAGGTCTGCTGCCTCCATGCACTCCCCACAAGCCTGAAATAATAGTTCACACTGATTCACATCATTTAAACCATAATGGTGACGTCATGCTATTGTTGATGCAGTTGATTCTGAGCCAGGAATTCAATGGTCATTCTGGACATATATTTTAAACAAGTTAACTGACACAACTATATGTAAATATGCAAAATCATGGAGAAATTATATTCATGGCTTGTTGATTCTACTTCTGGAATCAACACATTCTCATGATTTCTTCATTAAACCAAAAACACCCAACTCAGATTTCCTAATTCTTCAGCAATATTTGACAAAGTGTAACCATGGTAACAAAACATCACCGCTGTTTCAGCAGCAGACATCAACACTTAATTTCACATTGTACTCCAACAGGATCTTTAGAGAACCGGGCTAGCTCACTGTCTTTAAACATGAGGTGTTTAACACTTATGTGCACATTTTTCAAGTGCTGTCGTATCTCACCTCTTTGCGTTCAGCATCTTGTACCATCAACAAGGCCTTCTGGTCCGCCTCGGAACAAGTACGGGGACTCACATTGCGGAACATTATGTCAGTCCTTAGAATATACTTCCGGCCATCCCTAAACAACAGAGTATCAATAAATCACAGTATGCCTTTTGTAATGTACTTTCATTGATCAGAGTAATTTTGATTTTCAATGCATTTTCAATTCAGGATCAATGTTACATGTTCATTACTGAATATTCTCTGCAAACACCAGTGTCAGCACTGACACCAAACTCATGTTACTGCAACTGTGTCTTGTAAGGGGTAGGGTGGCCCAGTCACAATGTTACTGCAACTGTACCTTGTAAGGGGTAGGGTGTCTTGTAAGGGGTAGGGTGTCTTGTAAGGGGTAGGGTGTCTTGTAAGGGGTAGGGTGGCCCAGTCATAATGTTACTGCAACTGTACCTTGTAAGGGGTAGGGTGTCTTGTAAGGGGTAGGGTGTCTTGTAAGGGGTAGGGTGTCTTGTAAGGGGTAGGGTGTCTTGTAAGGGGTAGGGTGGCCCAGTCATAATGTTACTGCAACTGTACCTTTTAAGGGGTAGGGTGTCTTGTAAGGGGTAGGGTGTCTTGTAAGGGGTAGGGTGTCGAGTAAGGGGTAGGGTGGCCCAGTCATAATGTTACTGCAACTGTACCTTGTAAGGGGTAGGGTGTCTTGTAAGGGGTAGGGTGTCTTGTAAGGGGTAGGGTGGCCCAGTCATAATGTTACTGCAACTGTATCTTGTAAGGGGTAGGGTGTCGAGTAAGGGGTAGGGTGGCCCAGTCATAATGTTACTGCAACTGTATCTTGTAAGGGGTAGGGTGGCCCAGTCATAATTCACTGTGTAGAGTTGTGTCCTTAAGGCAAGCAAGAAACCAGTGAATGTGGTCTTGAAGCTCATGTTCAGCCTGATTATGTTTCTAGGTTTGATGTGGGTTTCACCAAAATGGTAAACATCTCAGACCTGCATCACTTTGGGCTTTCTTCCCTCATTTAACTGACGCACTATGATATTTATATCTGAAATACGGTTCAAGGCATGGTAAATACAGGTACATTAAGCTAAAAAAAAATAGTCTTGGTTCTCAGGCACTGCCCGCATCATCATAAAGTTCACTGCACGTTTCATTTTTATTTCCATTTTAATTTCTTTTTTTTTAAATCCTTAAATATTCCAAGTCCAACGGTAGTCATTACAGTATTTCAGTATTTTACTCAGCAAGGAATACATTTATGTAGGGAGGCCCTTTCCCAGGTTGATTGTACACAATTGTTCATCTGGTTACACAACTGTTTCTTTGGTTACACAACTGTTTATTTGGTTACATACTTGTTTAAACACACCGCCATCCCCAAACCCCCAACTCCAACCCCGACACAACCTGGCAACCCTTTATTTTAAAAAAACATTGCCTGAGAACCATTTCTTTTATTTTTTTAAGCCTTACAGTTTGTATGTTTTACGTCACTCATTCTGGTTAAGTGTTTGACAAAATGGGAAATGACATAAATGTAGGCACATAATAAAGTTAATTAATAAAGTGCATATGGACCAAAAATTGCTACACTGATATTCTAATAACCAATGACTTCTGTAAGATGAAAACATATCTACATAATGCAGTATGGAAAAAAGTAAATCATCAGAGATATGTTTTTATATACAAAGAAGAATCTGATCTTATGATCTACAGCACTCGTGTGTCAGGTTGTTGAAAGGTCAACGCCTGGCATTCCACTGACCCCAGTTTCTCCCCCTCATGTAGGCGGTGATGGTTGAAGACGATGGCCATGCCCGGCTCAGGCCGGATGCGATACAAGACGTTCTTCTCCTCTGCGCAGAACTTGCCAGTCTCATCCTGAACACAAACACAGTTTCTCTAGCTTTGTCTTTTTCTTATGGTTTGTTCTCCATTTTTTATTTTAACTATTTTGCCTTTGTAACATTCTGTATTTTAGGGCTACAACTGTGAAAGTTTACATATTATGTCTGTAGCCATGGTATAGATTTACCACAGCTAGGAAACATGCCACATATACACTTAGAAAAAGGTAAATTGTTGTTATTGGACTACACTTTTAACTGGTTCCTCTGCTTTGTATCTTATGGTATGACCCAGAACAGTGGTGACCACCTAAAGGAATATAGTGTGCTTGTATCAAATGTCCAAGAGATATCGGTAGTATGTTGGACCTTTATCAAAATGGCATATCAATCAATGAATGCTGTATATTTGTTTGTTTGTTGTTTTATGCTGCACTCAGCATGATTCCATCTATATGAAGTCAGTCTGTAAATAATCAAGTCTGGACCAGACAATCCAGTGATTGACAGAAGGTGAGGTGAAATAGGGATTATTGCACTTATACAGCGATGTGCATGTGTGTGTGTGGCTGCTTGTACTAGTCCGGACTAATGCCGATTTTATAGTGCTAGCCCACTGAGATACTATACCACAGTTTAATACCCCACTCAGTCTCAGTAGACGGACCATAAACCAACCAGTCCTTGTTTTAGCCTCTTAATGCCGAGCACCAGGCAGGGTAACAACAAGTACCATCGTTTAACGTTTTTAGGTATGACGTGGCTGGGAATTGAACCCATGACCAGGCAGATGCTCTACCACTAGACCAAAGAGGCGGTCTGATTGACAAGACCATCAATATACGCAATTGAGATATGATGACATGCATCAATCAAGTCTGACCACCCAATCCCGTAGGTCGCCTCATATGACAAGCATGGGTTGCTGAAGACCAGATGGGACTTGTTGTTACCCTGTCTGGCGTTCGGCATTAAAGGGCTAAAACAAGGACTGGTCGGCTCGGAGTCAGTATACTGTGTCTGAGTGGGGTATTCATGTTAAACTGCGGCATGGTATCTCAGTGGGCTAGCACTATAAATCGGCATCAGTCCGGACTAGTACAAGCAGCCACACATACACGTGCACGCACGTCGCTATATAAGTGCAATAAATCTTGGACACGACGTTAAACCCCATTTCACCTCACCTGCTGAAGACCAATTGTAGTCCTTATCTTCAGGGGTCTGCGAAGATTAGATACACATAAAGCTTCACAGGGAGTACACTTCTTGTACGAGTTGCTACCTACCTTGTACAGAACTTGTTTCTCATCCACAAAGTTGGTGCTTCCCCCACTCAAGTCTCCATTGAGGTAGAGCATCAGAGTCTGGAGTGACCGCTCGTCCGTGCTGCTGGAGAAGTGACCGTCAAAGTGGGGGCTGAAGTGTCCCGCTGGCAGGTAACGACATAGTCGGAACACCTGGAGGAAACAGGTAAATGAGTCATGTCATTTGGAGTGATTTTCCTCATTGTTTTCCACGGAATGAACCATAATAAGTGCCATATAAAAACATTGTTTTCCACGGAACGAACCATAATAAGTGCCATATAAAACATTGTTTTCCACGGAATGAACCATAATAAGTGCCATATAAAAACATTGTTTTCCACGGAATGAACCATAATAAGTGCCATATAAAACATTGTTTTCCACGGAATGAACCATAATAAGTGCCATATAAAAACATTGTTTTCCACGGGACGAACCATAATAAGTGCCATATAAAACACTGTTTTCCACGGAATGAACCATAATAAGTGCCATATAAAAACATTGTTTTCCACGGAATGAACCATAATAAGTGCCATATAAAACACTGTTTTCCACGGAATGAACCATAATAAGTGCCATGTAAAACATTGTTTTCCACGGAATAAACCATAATAAGTGCCATATAAAAACATTGTTTTCCACGGAATGAACCATAATAAGAGCCATATAAAACACTGTTTTCCACAGAATGAACCATAATAAGTGCCATATAAAAACATTTTGTGAACTGAATAGTAATCAGCAAATAAGTACAGAATACAGAAATGTGTGACAGTATTTAGGAAGGGGGGTAATTAATTATGGCATGTACAGTATCTTCAACATGTTCAAACCATGGACTATTATGTTATCTTGTTCAACACGTGTGGACCTGGAACCAACACAGTGGTGAGGGGGGGGTTTACACCACTTTGAACAGTATTTCAGTTCTATCTTGGCATGTCAGATTGATTTCGGTGAAAGCAGGTCCTACAACGTTTCTTCAATGAAACCCTCAAGCACCATGAGCACAGGCATGGTGTGGACAAACCAAGGATCATAAACAGGGTGACCCAGGGACTTGAACTCGCAATCACACATTTCCTGCGCACCTAAGGGATGCAACTCTGCACAGTGTATAGCTGCAAATTAAACGATTGGGCCGCCTATGTCCCCAGATCCAACAATGAATAAATGCTTGTTTTTAGGGTCTGTCTGGTGCACGTCCTGTACTGACCGGATTGAGTCCCAATGGTTGCCATGTCCCCTGGAGGAGGTAGTCAATGCCTTGTATATGCTTCTGTTTGGGGTCACCGTCAATGACAGTATTGGACAGGAAGGGCTCCAGTCTTGCCCACAGAAGCTTCGCTAGCTCCTGACTCCTGAAGGAAATTCTAAGAAGAAGATACATTTATACAATTTTTATTCTTAATGTGTGATATTTATGATACGGAAACACTTACAACTAACACTTTCTCTATCACATCACTTAAACAAGCAAACAAACAAATTACAAAGAAATTTAAAGAATTGTTATAAAAAGAGTGATAAAAAGAGACTCTTTTACCAGAATTCAAAACACTCGGGTATGAGGAGAAAACATCTCAGATTTTCTAAAGGATTTCATCAATTCATACTGAAAACAGAGACTTTCCAGTCTAGTAAATTTTGTATCCATATATCTGTATATAATTCACAAAAAGCAAGTTACTAAAAATCAGAATAACCACACCTATTTAAAAAAGTATGTTGCTGACGAAATAGACATTATTGTTGACATGACGTGATGACGTCACAATATTAATGACCTCACGTTGCCCCTGTATTTGTCACACCTTGTACACAAGAAGCTAGGGCTGGGACGGGTAGCTCGGGTACTCGGGTCGGGTGGGTACTGAGTAGGACCCGGGTACCCACAGGACTACTCAGGGCCGTGGTTAGTCATGTGATATATTGTTGAATGAGAAAAAAGCCATACTATAACTCCATCGTTACCTACAAATCGTTAATGTTCGGATATCTTTCTGACTATAGGCACATTACTTCTGACTTTTATACGTTTTGAGTAATGATACAGCTTCAGTCAACTTTAGTGTATGCATGACCAGATCGTTTTATGGGTGTATCTCTTGAGACCTTCAGTGGGTATCCGGGTAGGGTCGGGTAACAGGGGGTCGGGTACCCGGGTAGTAAATTTTGACTCGTCCCAGTCCTACAAGAAGCCGTTAATAATCGTTACGTCTGAACAGCTGGTGAATGAGAAAGAAATTACTTTTGATGCCCGTTTCATAAAAACAGTGTGACACACGCACACGCACACGCACACGCACACGCACACACAGACACAAGAACACACGCACACGACAGTGATGTGAACGGTGCAGCTACCGGTGACAACTTCTGTATTCTTCCTTCACGCCGATGAGAGGTTCAAAACCCACTTCCTCTCCCTTGTCAATATAATGCCGACACTCCTGATTGCTCAACAGACCGTGAAGCAGGAATCCCTCGTCCCCGAAGTCTAGGATGTCGGTCCTGTTGACCGATTCCTGGGCGAACCCGTCCTCCTGTGGACAACACACATGCTTCAGTTCCCCCGCATCGTATAGTATCTCGCCCTCCTCGTTGGCGCCGGCTTCGGTCCCCGCTACAAACTCGGAAGTCATGTCTGATACAAGAACTCGTATCTGTGTATCAAATTCAGATTACATCCTGGCATGGTAAGAAACCTCTGTTGTGATTGCACAACCAAGCAGGAAGATGAAAGTTTGTTTACATGTACGTTACATGTGATTAGAGTTATCTCCCCTCCCTTTCAGCCTACCAAGCTCCTCACAGCAACAGCACCCTCGTTACACTCCCTGGAACGGGCTATCGCTGTGAGGAGCTTGTCAGCCTTTATAGCTGATCATAAAGAATGAACATTCTGTAATATAAGTGGCATAGCGACGATTGAAAATATTGAACTTTTAAGAGATGAGGCAAAACAAGAATTTTCTATTATTATTATTATTATTATTATAAAATTGTTGATTTTATGGGATTATAGGCCTGTGGGATAACCGATAAGTCACTTAAATTCTCCCCAACTCAGTTCTTGCAGGGCAGAACAGGACCGCATCCACTCTTTGTATACAGGGTATGTGATATTGCTGATAAATTATTTCAGTAAGGCAGTGTGTGGAAGGAATATTTTTATACGGAATGTTTTTTTTACATCTATATATTTTTTCTTCTCTTTTTGACATTTGTATGACTGATCTTAATTTAGAATAATTTTACAAATATTAATATTACTTTTCCATGTTTATATTCAGATCAGAATTGTTCTGCCATAAAATAGAAACAGATTTACAGCTTCATTGGCCATGTGGTCTCAGAGATGAAGAAAGTTGAATTTGAAAACTGACTGATCAATGAAAGCCAGGTCTATCAATTGCAAGTATTAACTCCGAGTGAATACTGATGGTTGAGTATGTAGGAATAGTATCTGTAGGAAGGATAAGAATTTGAATACTTATATCCTGTTTTGTGAAGAGTGTTTCCAGGTTCTTACATTCGGCTGTCATCAGCAGTAGAACACTGAAGCATCAGTAGTTATCAAAGGTATTGTTAGGTTTTCCTACAGCGAGATGTTTCATCATGCTGCTGCAGTCGAGTGAAAGTAGTTCCATTACATGTGCCATTACATGTGCCCCTCAGGTGGTGAGGTGAAATCAGATTTACCACACTTATATAGCAAGTGTATTCACATGTGTGTGTGTGTGTGTGCGTGTGCGTGTGCGTGTGTGTGTGCGTGCCTGCATACGTGCACGTGCACTTGTATTAGTCTGGACTAGGCATATTATATACTTGAGGTCTTCTGTAAAACTTGACTCCAGGGCCCATAGAACACTCCTGGGCCATAAACAGAATTGGCCCACCCACCACATGGTATATCATCCAAGCCTTGATTTCTCCACCTTTATATAAAAAGTTATAAAAACACCTGATTTTCTGTTGTAGCTATCGACCCATGAAAAATCAGGGGTAAAAGGCGACTATGCTTGTCGTAAGAGGCAACTAACAGGACTGGTGGTCAGGCTCGCTGACTTGGTTGATGGATGTGCTTATTTCCCAATTGTGTTGATTGATGCTCATGATGTCAATCACTGGATTGTCTGGTCCAGATTCGATTATTTGCAGACCACTGTCATATAGCTGGAATATTGCTGAGTGCGGCGTTCAACAACAAAAATACAAACAAACAAATGTTGTTGCTATCTTTATTTCACAGTATTTTATTTTATATTACATATACATCTCTGACACTATGTACAACAAACTATCAGACTCATAAAATCAAATAAAGAACACATTTGTGATTCATGCATCAGATTTAGAATCTTTGTGAAACCACTGGACAGATGATAAATAAACAAATATATACATAATATATACATAGCAAGCACATGTGCACTGACATAAAAAACAACTGACCTGTGCCTGCTTTGAATGTACAAGCAGTTCAATACTGATTGTGACAAACATACTGGTTTTTTTTTACATATTTTATTTTTCACATATAAATAATGATCATCTTTTCTTTCAAATGATAACATGTTATCTATACATATTTGAGCTATTAAACATATGTCCCCTTTGTTATCTTCCAGCATGCCATCTCAACAGTAGTCCAAACATTTTGTTGGAGTGTAGATGATGTGAAGCGTGTGAGTGGATGTCGTGAGATGCCAACATCAGCAATGTATTGGCCACATGATAGCTGCTTGTTTGTTTGTTGTTTAACGCCGCACTCAGCAATATTCCAGCTATATGATGGCGGTCTGTAAATAATCCAGTCTGGACCAGACAATCCAGTGATTGACATCACAAGCATCGATCCACGCAATTGGGATATGATCACATGCATTAACCAAGTCAGCGAGCCTGGCACCCGATCCTGTTTGTCACCTCTTACGACAAGCATAGTCGCCTTTTACAGTACTGTAATTAATTGAATCGAGGCCAACCACACATGTGGCAAACAGCACAAGTATCCACATCATCAGTCCGTACACACGTCACACAAAACATCTTCATTCAACAAGCATGGGACCTCTCGAGATGAGGTGACAGGTTATGTCCTATGAGTAGGCTGCTACACTGTCATGTCACCTCTCTAGGAGGTTGAATATACTACTGCTGGACTTTGACTCGTGTGTCTTGGTTCTCTGGCGTTTAGCAGGAGGCAAGTTAGATGGCCTCTTGTGCGCTGCTGGACGGGAAACTGGCTTTGACTGAAAGTATATATATATACATATGTTCAACACCCACCAAATAATTTAGAACATTTAGAAGCAATACTGATAATGTAGAAATTAAATACAAACTCTACACACAGCAAAAAAAAACCAAACAATGGAGTCATTACCATATTTTATGATTAAGTGGGACTCTCAGACAGAAGGCGTGTAATGACTGCTTGAACTAACAATGGTCGATGGCACAATCATTAATGACTGATCAAAATGTCAATACCTAACATCAAAACTCATTGAAGACACATAATATGTGCAACCCCTCAACACAGCTTTATTTTGTGTGGAAAAGCTTGCATTATAATCAAGAAAATATGGCAGTTTAATGTACTGATTAAAAAAAAAATACTTTCAGCTTAGTAAGTCCCTGCCACACAAAATACAACTTTAAGAATATGTTCATAGAGCTAGCTCCCACAGCAATCGCCTCAACCAAATGTTAAACAGGAATTTCAATTCTTCCATGTTGATAATAGTCTGCTTTGTGGGAAGAAAAACATGCACATCACACTATATGCAGTACAACTATTACAATATCAGACAGGTGCTTGCTTATAACACAAACCTGTAATGCAGCTTCAGATTTTTCAGGGGAGACAACCTGGAATACAAAGTTTTTCGAATGTCTCGTGGCATTGGGATTGACTCCAGATTTTGTTCTTTCGGCAATCTTTGCCAGTGCTTCTTTACCACGTGTGAGGAATGACCCTTTCCGCTGATTCTGAAACAAATGTGCACTATGAAAATATAAAACTTCCAAGAATGCATGGTTCAGTTATTACAACCTTACATGCATTTTTTACTTCCATTGGACTTGGAATATTTGAGGATTTGTTTTGGTTTTTAAAAAATGGAAACAAAAACGAAGCGTGCAGCGAACTTTATGATGATGTGGGCGGTGCCTGAGAACCAACTATTATCTTTTTTAGTCTTAACAAAGACTTATGACAATCGTAGCTCTACGATCTGTTTGTGGAACAGGGCCCTGGTCTTGTACATCATGATGAAGGATTGGAAATAACCATAAAGCTACTCCATTGATCTAAGTCACTCATAACATGGAGGTGTGTGGCTCAATTTTTTAGTCCGACACAGGTTCAATAAAAACTATCAACAAATACACAGCCTGGTGGTGTGTAAGTAAAGTACGCACCGCTGGTTTCAGTGCCGGCTTGGCTGGGCTGGGGGCAGCCTTCTTCTCAGCCTGGGGCTTCTTGCATTGTCTCTCAGGGAGAATCTTCACGGGATCTGAAAACAGAGTTAACTTTCTATGAAAGAGCAAGCATAACCAACATTTCCAACTGTTTGTTTGTTGTTCAATGGCGCACTCAGCAATATTCCAGCTATATGAGGGCGCCCTGTAAATAATCGTGCATGGACCAGACAATCCAGTGATTGGTTGGTTGTTTTTTTGTTTAACGCCGCACTCAGCAATATTCCAGCTATATGACGGCGGTCTGTAAATAATTGACTCTGGACCAGAAAATCCAGTGATTGATATCATGAGCATCGATCCACGCAATTGGGATTGATGACATGCATAAACCAAGTCAGCGAGCCTGACCACCTGATCCCGTTAGTTGCCTTTTTACGACAAGCATAGTCACCTTTTACGGCAAGCATGGGTTGCTGAAGACCTATTCTACCCCGGAATCTTCACGGGTCCAATCCAGTGATTGACATCATGAGCATTGATCCATACAGTTGATATACGATGACATGCAATCAACCAAGTCACTAAGCCTGACCACTCAATCCATCTAGTTGCCTCATACAACAAGCTTAGGTAGCAGGGGACCACCTATGTTCTTACCCGGAATCCCCACGGATTCCCATCAGTTAGAATCATCTTCAAGTATTTACTTTTTCACGTCAAACAAAACAAGGATACCTTTTACTTTCAAAGCAAACTTCTTTCCGAGCTTGAAAAACTGGCTGTTTGCATTTTCATTCTCATCTTTTTCCTGCAAACAAAAAGATGATACACATTTGTTTCATTTTATTGTTTTCTATTAAACGTCACATTCACATTCCAATTATTTGAAGATGGCCTGTAAATAATAAAGTCTGAACCAGTGATTGGTATTAAGATCAAGGTCTCATCCTCGCAGGGTATTATGGCACATAATCATGATCATTGACATTCTAGCAGACTAGGCAATCTCATTAAAATAAGATCTAAGTTCTCGCCGCTGCTAAACAAAGATCTGAGGACATCCCATTACGGGTCACGTCGGACCGACCTTGCGCAAACTTTGACCGACCAATGGAATGACCAATCAGAGGACAAGCTTTCTTGTGCTTTACGGCCCTAATTGCAATTGGCAACTGCGCTTCAAAACCTATTTTGACAAATTCTCGATTAAAAATTTGAAATCTGAACAAAAGAATATTCTGGAATTGCTAATAGATGGTCCAGATTGTATGGATTCAGTCGTTAAACCCATAACTATCATTCGGAATACCCCGTGTTAAAGTTTTTGAGGATGCATGATTAGAAATCACATTCCGACTGCCACTTTCATGATCTGGTAAGCGACGCTCTGATTGGTCGGATGAAAGGTCGTTGTGACGTGACCCCTACTGTGATGTCCTTAGATCTTTGTTTAGCGTAACGAGAACTAAGATTTGATCTTTATGAGATTGACAGACTAGGTAAATACAGTGTAAATCTCCAACATTCCATACCCTTTCTTCCTGTAAAAACTTCTCCCTCTCAAATCTCTCCATCCTCCATTTTAACTCGTCAGCATCCTCCTCTGGTGCGTCCTCGTCAGACCCCCCACCTCCAAACATGTCCTGCTGGGTATCGTCATCTGAAACACCGGCATGTAAGTCCATGAACAAGTACATCCTAGCCAGTGACATCGGTTTAAGCTGTGTCCGTCATATCGCATTGTGTCTGTTAGCATGGAAGGAAAGACCAATGTGACTCGGTCCCAGAAGTTTTGCCAGTTCCGTGAAACCCATAAGCATAGCAAAGGCAAATCTGGAATTCAAGCCCTCGAACAATGGATCATGGCACAGTTGAAGAATGCAGCTCTACCAGTTTTGTAAGCACAATCGTCAGGAAGACGACCATTCTGTATTACATATTGTGGAAGTCTCGGTTGGAGTGAGTGAGTGAGTGAGTGAGTGAGTGAGTGAGTGAGTGAGTGAGTGGTGTTTAACGCCGCTTTTAGCAGTATTCCAGTTATATCACTGCGTGTCAGCTTAATGTGGGAGAAAAGTGATGCAGGTCTCAGACATTTACAACTTCGGTGAAACCCATGAGCACGGGTATGGTGATGACAAACCGGGGCGAACCGGAATTTGAAACAACTATCATAGGTTTCTGGCTAGCCCTAGGGACGCAACTCTGCACAGCGAATCATGGCACCTTAGATGACTGGGCCACCCATACCCCCTTGGGTTGGAAGTTAGCCAACTAAATAATAGTAATAATTATGAAAGAAACAATAACTAAAACAGACAAAATTACCAGTTTAACGATGCTGACAAAAAGTTTAATTCAGTTTCTACTTATAACCCACTTGACCAGGCTATAACAGATTATATTGCATTCACTAGAATGTCATGTCATGTCTTCCAACAACACTTTCGATTTGGTACATTAACAACTAAAGTAAACAAATTTTCAAAGACCCCACCCCTAAGTTAAGTCAGCTTATCTTATTTCCAGCTTCAATGATTTCTTGAACCATAAATATGAAAGCATTAAAAATGCAACCTACCCATATTTTTCCATCTAAACCTTCTCATCCTGCCTCCCCCTTCTGAGTACAGATCTCCATCCGGCAGGTACATCTCTTGTAGTCGAAGAATCTCACGCTTGTCGGCATCGATAGTTTCCTTCCTGTTTACGGGTAACAATATACTCATGAAGTCCTAGATGACAATGATGATTATGAAATTACGTAACACTACCTTTAATGAATCAAGCCGACACTAAAGTCACTTTTTCAGTATGATTTTATAAAACAGAGAAATATTTATAAAGGTAATAATGAAAACTTCATGAATTACATAATATTGAAGGTATTTATTGTGAAGCATGAGAATGTCTACACAGAGTTGAGATGTATATGTACTCACAGATGGGCTCGTCCAACCTGGTTGCGGAGCTCGTCCTCGGTCATCGCTACATCCTGGTCCCCCAGCTCCATCTCCATGATGTCCTCATCCTCGGGGAGGTCCAGATCTTCATCACTCTCTGCCTCTGAACCGGACAACTCCGCCTCATCCTCGATAAACTCTTGTCGCATTTTCCTGAATACAAAAAATCCACAGTTTTCGTCAGCAATGTGTTCTTGGTACATCACTTCTTACTTTAACACTGGGATGAAATAACACATGCTGACAACTGTAATCTATTTCATCCAATGTGATACACATAGATGCTATCTTGCTGATAACTATTAAATATTATCTTAGATACATATCCAGCATGGACCACACAATCCAGTGATAGCTGTCAACCAAGTCAGTGAGCCTGACAACCCGATATCATTAGTTGACTCTTACGACAAACAAGAGTTGCTGAAGACCAAATCTAACAAACAAGATGTTTAAAGGAAATTAAAAGATAAATTGAAACAGCATAATGAATGATTAAAACCAGGGAAAAAAAACCAAACATATGCTTAAGTTAATTAGTGCTAAATTGTTATCATATAATGTTTTAGTCATAATATGATCTCTGTGAAAACTTAAGACTGGATATGATTGATAGAGGAACTGTGGCTGTCTGTAAGGAGACAATTAGAACTGAGCTGCATGCAATAGGTTGGGAGAAAAGTTGAGGAATTCCATCACCGATCATGAAACCTGAACAAAACGAGCGAAGGTTGAACTGGTGCTTAGAGCATAGAAATTTTAACAGATGAAAGTTCTGTGTGGCTTTTTCCTAATACACTAAAATTCTGGACCAAACAAACTGAAAAACCTTTGTATCTGCGCCCAAAGTACAGTCCAAAATTTCACGTGTGGGGTGGCATATCTGTGTTAGGGGCAACGCTCCTGTGTGTATTTGAAGGGAATATGATCAGTGAGCAGTACACAGATATTCCCGAGGGACATTTACTTCCATCTGCTCAAGTATTCTATGGAAATTCTTGGATTTTCCAGCAAGACAACGACCCAAAACATCGTTCAAAGCATTCTCAGGCCTGGTTTCGGACCCAAAATATGACATTATTAGATAGGCCAAGCTACAGCCCTGACCTCAATCCAATAGAAAATGTTTGGGGGCTTATGAAGGAAAGTGTCAATAAAAATAATCTGACAAATATTGCTGAAATGAAAGAAGAGGTGGTCCGATATTGGGACAGCATGAACCACGACTTTCTAACTTCTTTGATCAGTAGTATGCCCTGCCGCCTTGAAGCCTGCATTGCTGACCATGGTGACTTGACGAATACTTAGTGTTCACCTGTCTTTGAAGCTGGAGTTATGTTGTACTAATATTGTCATACTGTACAATGTTAACTGTCAATACTAATCTTAACATAATATCCATTCAACACAAACACACAAAAGAACAATTCTCACACAGCAGTTCTTACCCTGTTATCTTCCCTCTGAACCCTCGGAACGATTTTGTCACTTGTTGAGGTTTCTGAGGAATGTCTCCATCAACCTCATCATAGTCTTCATCAGGATTCTCATCATCAGCTAGCTCATCCTGCACAAGTTGCAAGTGACAAGGAATCAGGAAACAGCTTGATAAAAACACATTGCCTCAGAAAATTTCTCCAAGATATTATTCTTCATGAATTACCTGCCTCATAACATTCTTAGGAAAATGATCAGTCAATAGTCTAAAATATTGGCCAATCTTAAGCCCGACTACATGAGTGTTGTAGATCTCGAGCTTCAAACAGATGTTATACAAAGAGAACGCAAGATCAACATCAAACAGATTGAGTAGTCAAACCTTATCAACCAATCTTAAACCTGACTAAATGAGTTTTGTAGATCTTGAGCTTCATACAGATGTTTTACAAAGAGAACGCAAGATCAACATCGAACAGATTGAGTAGTCAAACCTTATCAACCAATCTTAAACATGACTAAATAAGTTTTGTAGATCTTGAGCTTCATACAGATGTTATACAAATGGCATGTAAGATCTCCATCAAACAGATTGAGTATCTACTGGAATATTTGTAGTCATACCTTATCACTGTCCATTTGAGCCTCATTGTCGGAGAGCAAGGTGAAGGACGTATTACTCTCCTCATCTTCCTCCAGCTTCCTCTTGCGTCCCTGAGACTTGCCCTGAGTGGCCCTGAAGTACATGGTCAGTTTGCTAACAAATGTTATGCCATGATCTTATTGTTTGTTTGTTTTGTAACGCATCACTCAGCAACATTCAGGCTGTATGTCAGCGTCTGTAGTGAGTGAGTATGGTTTTATGTCGCTTTAGCAATATTCCAGCAATATCATGGCAGGGGACACCAGAAATGGGCTTCACACATTGTACCCATGTCGGGGATTGAACTCGAGCGTAAGCTTTACCCACTAGGCTACCCGACCGCCCTTCAGCGTCTGTAAATAATCAAGTCTGGACCAGACAATCCTGAGATTGATATTGTCCGCAACGGTCCATGTCACTGGGGTACAAGGAAACGCTATGAACCAAGTCATTGAGTCAGATGACCTGATCCATTTGGCCGCCTCTTGCAGCCAGCAGAGGTTGCTTAGGACCAATTCTAACCCTGAATCCCATGGGTATGTGATGCCTTGAGAGTGAGTTGGGTCTAACGCATCTTTAACAGTATTGACGTGTCTGCTTAATGTGAGATACATCAATGAACTACAAGAGTATCTTGTGTCAGATTCCAGAATCCCCAACATCCTCTCTATCTGACACTGAACAAATATGTGAGGGAACTAAATTACTGACAATGATGCATCAGTAGTCTGCTGTAATCTATCATGAAACAAGGGCAAAAGTGAGCATGGCTCACTAATACCCCCGACCCACCTAGTGTGTCAGTAGTTTCAATTTATATAATGTATAGGGTTAAGGTTTGAAAAATTCATAAAAAAATGGAAAATTAATAAAAACAATTTTTTTCTTTTGACTGTACTAAGTTTGAGATGAATCCACTGAATAGTTTAAGAGAAATCGCGCTGACAAAGTTTTCTGACGGACGGAACCTTGGTTTAACTATATACCCCCGACCTTTTCGTGATGAAGTAATTTTCCACACCTATGTGTATCCCCGTGTTATGGATTTTTGGACAGTTGTAGTTTTCTCTCTAATCACATGAACAACAGTAAAACATCTCATTCGCTCATAAAAGGCGACTTTCTCTGAATAGCAAGCCATCATCTGAGTATTTACAATTTCTGTGTGATGTTATAGCGAGAGCAATTGCATTAAACATGGCCGTCAGAAAACGTATATCGGAAACCTATGAACCGACAATACTTTCTAAGAAGTGTTACTCACTCTCCTGGGAACATCCCTGAACACAGACCCAGCAACTCATCCATGCCACCTTGTGTTGCATCAGCGGCAGAATCTGCGTTGTTGCCAAACAGCTGCTTGCACGACGACTTCTTACTGTCATCTTGACTTTCTGGAAGATCAAGATTGAATATGATGTCAAATGGATATGTAAATATTGTTAAAAAAAAAAAAATGGGTGTTTTTAAAGCACAAAAACATCAGTAATCCATGAAGAGACATGGGGTTATGTTACTCAAGCACTCATTTGGCCAAAGTTGCATACATGGCCCTTGTGTCTTGAAAATTAAAGTGAGTGAGTGAGTATGGTTTTACGCCGCTTTTGGCAATATTCCAGCAATATCACGGCGGGGGACACCAGAAATGGGCTTCACACTTTGTACCCATGTCGGGAATCGAACCCGGGTCTTCGGCGTGACGAGCGAACGCTTTAACCACTAGGCTACCCGACCGCCCCCTTGAAAATTAAATGGATTTCCCAGCATCTATCATCCACATCTACTGTGAACAGATTTATGTACTTGTATCCCCGAGGCCACTAAACATGCTAAACGGATCAGGTGACTTGGTGGATTGCATGTCATCAATTCCCAATTGGATCGATGCTCATGATGTCCATGATTGTCTGACCCACACTTGATTATTTACAGACCAGCCATACAGCTGGAATAATGCTCAGTATGGTGTTAAACAACACCCACCCACACCTAATCATTAAAGCTGAAGATTGTTAAAGTAACCCTCATCGCTATGGACAGCATACGTCAGCAAGTATATAAGAAACATTTCTACTGAAGTACCAAGTAAAGTGTCACACCCTGTCGTAAAGTGTCACACCCTGTCGTTCACACAGAATGTTGATTGCAATCAGAAAGAAAAACATTTTAAAACAGGCCTCAAAGTAGCCAATTTGACCTAAATTTCAATTTGTCTACTGTCTAAATTCAGACGTAGCCAAATGATTACTTTGAAAAATATCTTGTGGCAACTAAATTCTATTGCTTTGTATTTGAAGACACAAAAATAAATAACAGCTGATTGTGGAAAACATGTCTGCTCATAATTGTACTCTCATATAATACCTCCTATAGTCAACAATGAACAGAAATACATATATATTGATGTACAGTAATTAGAATTTTATTTCAGTTGACAGTGCTCATTGGATAGACTAGTGTTATGACTTGTACATATTATAATAGTTATTTGATAAAAGATGTTTTCATATGCTTTTGGCTACCTACAATCATGACAATATTGGCTTGACTTCTTGATTTTACCACTGTCAACCTGAAAAAAGAATTCTTGAAGCCATACGGCTACTTTGTAAAAAGCAACTTCGTAATATATACAAATAATTCGGGAGAGTTGGCAGTTATGTGTGAAGTGCAGTGTTTAACAACAAATACACAGCAGGACCAGAAACTTACCTACAAACTGGCCAGAGCACAGGCCCATGAATTCGGCCATGTTGTCCTGGGTGCTAGATATGTCTTTCAGCCCGAGAGAGGCTTGTGATGGCTTCTTGGTGGTGGACTTCACTTTGAAGAACCTAGAAGATGACGAACATGTGAGGACTCTCCAACTAATTCTTATACCTGAATGAGGTTTGATTTGTTTGTTTGCTTGTTGTTTAACGCCTCACTCAGTAATATTCCAGCTATATCACGGCAGTCTGTAAATAATTGAGTCTGGACCAGACAATCCAGTGCATCAATCAAAGGAATTGGGATACAATGACATGCATCAACCAAGTCAGCGAGTCTGACCACCCGATCCCGTTAGTCGCTTCTTACGAGAGCACAGTCGCCTTTTACGGCAAGCATGGGATGCTGAAGATCTTAACCTGGATCTTCAAAGGCCACTGAATGAGGAATGGAGTGAATAGATGAGGTGTGTGACGTGTGCTGTACACAGGACGATGTGGCATATAATGACTTCATTGTAACATTTCTGGCCTACCCATCAGCATCCAACATCTGAGACTGCGAGTCTTCTATGAGGAAGTTGAGGCCCTGGGATGGCTGGACATCACTGGCGGGGTACATGGAGGAGGTGAAGGGCTCTGCTGCAGTGCCGTACAGATCCTGGGAGTCCTCGATAGGAAGCGACAGGCTCGACGTCTTCTTGGGCTTCTGGAGAGGTGGATTAGTCAAATAGTTTGTATTAGGAATCAGCTATAGAAACTAACAGTTTTAGTCCACTGGTCCTTATGATAACATATGGCAAAACCCTTAAAAAGGACATTTTTTTCACTAGTCCTTATGTTACCTTTACTATTTGTCAGTTTGGCAAGGACTAAAGGACTATTGCCAATTTCAAATGCTGGGTATGCAATTATAGACCACCAACTTTATACATTGTGATACGTTTCTGCTTCATAAAGAGGTCATGTATGGACAGCAAACAGTACATTATTCATAAATAATTGAGTCTGGACCAGACAATCCAGTGATTGACATCATGAGCATCTATCCACCCAATTGGGATATGATGACATGCAACTAAGTCAGCAAGCCTGACCAGCTGATCCTATAAGTTGCCTCTTACGACAAGCTTAGTCACCTGAAGACCTATTCCACCCCGTATCTTCACGGGTCTTATTCATGAGAATGTCTGACACTGAAATATCACCTTTTTTCAGTCAGTGAAGCCAGACTGCTACTCACCTGTGTTTGTGTGGCTGTCAGGTGTTTTGTGAGGGGGGACATGAGGTCGTCGTCTTCTTCCAAATTGTCCTTTGGAGATACCCCTTCTGTTGGAATCTTGAAACTGGCTGGAAAGAAAAGTCAATATAGAGAGTGAGTGAGTTGGGTTTAACGCCGCTTTGAACAATATTTCAGTCATATCACAGCATGTCAGCTTAATGTGGGAGGAAAGCTCAAAGTGATGCAGGTCTTAGACGTTTACCACTTTGGTGAAACCCATGTGAAGGGGTATGGTGCCGACACACCTAGAAACAAAATAAAGTTGAAATAAAAACACTTTTGAACTAATTTCTTGTGTGAGTCAGATTGATTATAAATTCATTCCTATGGCGACTTTAATCAACTAGGTGTTTGCAAGTACTTGCAAAAACAGAAGGAGACAATTCACCACCATTTCCTTAAAGCTCCCAAAACATTTCTTTCAGACCTTGACCTTAAACATGACCACTATCACCAAGTCTCTGGATTCTACACGTAAAAATGTAACAGTAACTGGCAATGACTGACAACCATCACAATTACATAGATGACCTTGACCTTAACTTGACCAAACCCTTTTCAAAGCAGGGCTCCATCCCAGAGAAAGTATATATGGGTACCAAGTCTAATGACAAATGCATAAAATTTTAACCACAAATCTTTTCGTGAGTTTGTTCTATCTTGTGACCTTGACCTTTTCATATGCACACAATTGTGTGACCTTGACCTTTTCAAATGTACCAAAAGAATTAATGCCCTTTGGCCATTTGGAAGTATTCAGGGGAAGAATAATACCTAACACAGGCTTTGAAATTCGGGTTTTTAAAGACTAATTCACAAGTCCTAAGAGTTTGTGGCTAGTCCTGCTTGAAAGAGACAAAAATGTTTTCTATGTTTACAGTTATTCAGCTCGAATTTGTAGCAAAATTGAAGCATTGAGAACTGGTTCAAAATTAGAGCCCTCAAAGTTACTAGATGGCAGTGATATCAATAATCTTTGTGTAGTTAACATGAGAAACATCCCCTGCAGCAGCGGAGACAGCAGTGAAATTCCACCCAAACCTTAAAGCTATCCTGTTTACCTTTGCTTGGTTCCTGTCTGGTGGCCTGGGCAGGAGGCAGGTTGCTCTCCTCGTCATCACTGATGGTCAGCTGGCGCACGTGTTTCCGCTTCTTCTTGGAGCTGGACCGCACATCTGACACAATGACACACATGATAATGCCACAGTAATTGTACCTTTCATCATGTTCATATTACCTGGGATTTATCTTTGGCAGACGAATGGGGAAAAAACTTAATTTTTATAACAATTGGGATTTTCTAAAAATCCTTGTTTTCTTTAATTCAGGAGTATTGTCATATTTCATTCAATGCAAACATATGAAACTAAACATTAAACTTAAAAAGCCTCTTCTTGTTTATTGGTCCTGTGACATGAAAGTCACCTCTACAAATCAATAACATTTGTTATTACAATAAAAAACATGACTTGGCAGTTTTACTGACATTTGCTTCAGATCTGGGGCCAAATGGGTAGGTCCAAATAAATCTCAGATATATCGACAACATAACACACATTTGGTACACCTTTCACCCATAGTGCTCAAATACTGACTATTTGGCATGAGCCAAACCCTAAACTCCCAAAACCTTGACTTCAACTCCAACATATTTTGAAGTTATCAAAAACGTATTTTTCTGAAAATCCTCATCAAGATCAAACTTTGCACTGCTTCTCTCTAATTAGTATGTAAAGTGTCCCTTACATTTGTTAAAGGTTGCACACAAAAACGTCCTGTAAATAATCAAGACTGGACCAGACATTCCAGTGATTGATATTGTGAACAGTGATCCATGTCTTTAGGGTACGAGGACACACAACTAAGACAGGATCCTGACCACCCGATCCATTAACTTGCCTCTTACGACTAGAACAGACAGGGAACCAATTCCAACTCGGAGGCCCCACAGGGAAAAACAATCTGTCTGGTCTTACTCTGTGAAAGATTCTCAAGGTCATCGTCTGCATCGTCATCAGATGTGTCCAGCTTTAGTTTCATGGTGTCTCCCTCCTCCTCTTCACTATCTTCAATGTCATCATCGTCATCAGCACGCCCGGCATTGACGTCCTTGTCAGGGTTGTAGTCGTCATCATCTTCCTCTGCCTCCCCGTCCAAGAAAGGGTTTGCCTGCCACAACGCATAAGACAGTTAAAACACAGTAAAACTCATTCTAATCATGTGAAACTGGGGTTGTCATTTTTGGCCCTTGCCAAGCAGCAAAGGATGATAGTCTGCTATTGTACAATCAACCAAGTCACCGAGCCTGCCCAACCAATCCATTTGGTCGCCTCTTACGACCAGCATAGATTGCTGGAGTCCTATTATAACCCAGAATACCCATGAGAATCCGAGTTTTGCCAGTGTTTGCTCATAATGATAATTAATCATGATCATGATCCTGTTCCCAAATAGTCTCGGGTTCTGGTGCAGTTGAGCTGGTCACAAGGGCAACTAAACAGTATGGGTGAAATGATACAGCAAGGTCATGATAGGATACGTATCACGATACATAGGTCATGATGGGATATGTATCGCGATACGCATATTTACGTCGAATCGCATGGAAACTTGACAATAAAAAAAAAATATAAAATACTTCAGAGTAAGTTCAAAAGGAAAAGCTAGCTGTAGACACATGTTCTTCGTGGCTATTTTTAGTAGTGAACTTGAAACGCTAATTACAATGCATTTTGCGATATCTGACTGACACAAATGTCAGGAATCATTAAACAAGTAGTTAGTAATTTATTTCAGTGTATCGTCTTGTATCGATAAAGAAAGAAATGTATCGTTTTGGCTTATGAAAACCAATGACTTAACCCTAATAAAAAGTAGATGGATAGGTTCAGCTCTTCGGACTTGTGGTTATGAAACAACTTGTCCGTCTGTATTGTTACTAGTCTCGGACTAATGGCCCTCATTAACAACTTTTACCTTTCAATACCAGAAATCTGCGCTCAACTGAGGGAGCATGTGTGGCTTCTGACTCCCTCAAAACTTGGCAAATTAGCTGGCAATATGAATGTCTCCAGTAACCGATCCTTGGTTAAACATTGAAATCATTTCAATATTTTTAAAGATCCAGAATCCAAAACATAATGGTGGACAGTGGGTTGTACCACTGACCAGTTGAATAAAGTCCTGTTACTGTATCGTACCTCTCTTTCTTCAACTTCCTCCTCTTCCTCAAATTCTTCCTCCCCAAACTCGGCATCAAACTGATCATCCTCAATGTCAGTGTCCGACTTCTCCGACATCTCATCAGCGTTGTCCAGGATTCTCTCCTCCTCCGTGTCAGTGCCGCCCTCGAAACCCTCCTCATTCTCCAGTGCATAGATTTCCTGCCGCTTCTGGCGGGACTCCTCGCGCTTCACCTTCATTTTGTTCTGAAGTTGCTCTTTCAGGGCCAGTAGCTTGGCTCCTTCAAACACAAAAAAAATAAGAAATTAATGTGAGATTAGAAATGAGTGAGTTTTAGCAATATCACTGCTGGTGACACCAGAAATATTTTTCACAAATTGCATACTTGATGGGAATCAAACCTGGGCCTTCAATGTGATGAGCAAAGACCTGAACCACTTGACTACCCCCCAACCCCCCCCGAAAGGAGGGATAAAAATGGGTTTTTCAGATTAAAAACGATGTTTTATTGGTCTGTTTTCAGTCGTACAATTGGGTATCTCATACCTCTAGTCGCACGTTAAAAGGAAGCTAGAAGCTGGAATGTAAACAATAAACTTGTTTCCGTCCGGTTGCGCATGCACCTCCCGATGACATGCCACAAATCTCGAAGAATAAGCCATCAAGCAGGACTGGACTGGATTACTTCCCAGTGGGGATGGCTGGGTGGGAACGTACGACTGAAAACAGACCAATAAAACATCGTTTTTAATCTGAAAAACCCATGTTTTAGTCTGTTTTCAGTCATACAATTGGGTAGAATTCGACGGAACACTGGAAGGAGGGTCTGGAAAGTAATCCGGAAGTGACCTCTTGCACGTCGAATGTACCAAGTTCCTCACACCCGTAGTGACAATAGAACATTCGACCAGATGCACGGACGAGACAAATTGTTTATCACGAACGCACAACATGGTTAATGCTCATCGACACACAACTAATTATCGATGCGACAGGACAACTGCACGCGTCAGTTGAACGGCGATCGAAGTGGTCGACGTATAGTTTAGTTACAGAGCAACTCGCAGTATACAAGGTAACTAAACAGCATCTTTAATGCTCTTCGACCCACAAGTAAGTATCGATGCGACAAGGCAGCTGCACACGACAGTTGAATTGCAATCGAAGTGTGGACGGCATATAATTTAGTTTCAGAACGACTCGTCGTATCCAAGGAAACTAAAACTGCATGTTTAATGCTCTTCGACCCACAAGTAAGTATCGATGCGACAGGACAACTGCACACGTCAGTTGAGGTGCGATCGAAACGTGGTCGGCTTATAATGTAGTTACAGAACGACTCGTCGTAGGCAAGGTAACTAAAACAGCATGTTTAATGCTCTTCGCCACACTACTAATTATCGATGCGACAGGACAACTGCACGCGTCAGTTGAACGGCGATCGAAGTGGTCGACGTATAGTTTAGTTACAGAGCAACTCGCAGTATACAAGGTAACTAAACAGCATCTTTAATGCTCTTCGACCCACAAGTAAGTATCGATGCGACAAGGCAACTGCACACGACAGTTGAATTGCAATCGAAGTGTGGACGGCATATAATTTAGTTTCAGAACGACTCGTCGTATCCAAGGTAACTAAAACTGCATGTTTAATGCTCTTCAACCCACAAGTAAGTATCGAAGCGACAGGACAACTGCACACGACAGTTGAATAGCGATCGAAGTGTGGACGGTATATAAAGTGGTTCAGAACGACTCGTCGTATCCAAGGTAACGAAAAATAGCATGGTTAAGGCTCTTCGACACACAACAAATTATCGATGCGACATGACAACTGCACACGTCAGATGAATTGCGATCGAAGTGTGGTTGGCGCATAATTTAGTTACAGAGCAACTCGCAGTATACAAGGTAACTAAAACAGCATGTTTAATGCTCTTCGACCCACAAGTAACTATCGAAGCGACAGGACAACTGCACACGACAGTTGAATTGCGATCGAAGTGTGGACGGTATATAAAGTGGTTCAGAACGACTCGTCGTATCCAAGGTAACGAAAAATAGCATGGTTAATGCTCTTCGACACACAACAAATTATCGATGCGACATGACAACTGCACACGACAGATGAAATGCGATCGAAGTGTGGTCGGCGCATAATTTAGTTACAGAGCAACTCGCAGTATACAAGGTAACTAAAAAATACGAGCAGTACTTCTAGTCGGAGACAATGTCGAAGGCGACCTGATCGAGAGGCTCGTAAGTCTAACTAGACAGGTAGCGCAGAACGATATCGAGGTCCCAGGCCGGCAGGCGGAATTAATGTGACTCATCTTCAACCATGAAGGCACGTAGAATTTTCTGCAATTCCGGTATTTTAGTGAGCCTGTCGCCCGTAGGAGACGGCTCGTCTAGGTAGAAGGTGACCCTGATCGCCTGCCGACGGAGCCATTCTACGACCGTCTTCATGATCCGTGTGATGAAGTCTTCCCCCTACCGGCAGCTCGTCTAAAGGTAGTAGGCTCCGACGACGGTGACGGCGGGGAAAAGGGACCTCATTACCTCCCCCGCCGGCTCGCTGTCGACAGCATAGCAAGCGGTGGTAGCTGGAGACGAACAGCAGTGTCCATGGAACCCCAATGCCTGTCTACTACAAGAATCTTGGAGGGCGCAGGTTTCTTGAAGAGTAGCCCCCAATCCAAGTCCCTACTCATGGGTGACGAAAACGGCATGCCATAGATCGGGTAACGCGATCGAACAGGTGGTTTGCTGAAACTCTGCCCCGGCAGAGCAGAGGCAAGTTCTGGTCCATATCGTGAACCATGGCTCTGAAGACATTGGGAGGAGAAGACTGAAGAGACTGCGGCGTATCTCCAACCTTTAAGCCAGCACACGTCGGTTTGTCATCATCTTTTGATAACTCAGGCAGAAAAGTGAGATAGCCAAGCCATAGCCAGGCTGTCGTCACAATCCATCGTCGACGTCGATTGTGTAGATGTAGATGAAGGTACTGGTGTATTGGTCGATGGTCCATGGACCTCTGACGTAGTCGAATCCTTCTTGGTCGACGCCCTGGAGGTGAGTACCGCCGTCGTGATCTGGGCTATCAAAGCTGGGGCGATATGAAAGTGAGACGAGGGTGTCGATCGGTCATTATCTCTACGACACTGTCGTCACAATCCATCGTCGACATCGATTGTGTAGGCGTAGATGAAGGAACCGGTGTACAGGACGATTGTCCATGGACCTCCGACGTAGACGAACCCTTCTCGGTCGACGCCGTCAAGGCGAGTACCGCCGCCGTCATCTGGCCTATCAAAGCCGGGTCGATATGAAAGTGAGACGAGGGTCACGATCGATCATTATCTCTACGACGGTGTCGTCACAATCCATCGTCGACGTCGATTGTGTAGGCGTAGATGAAGGAACCGGTGTACAGGACGATGGTCCATGGACCTCCGACGTAGACGAACCCTTCTCGGTCGACGCCGTCAAGGCGAGTACCGCCGCCGTCATCTGGCCTATCAAAGCCGGGTCGATATGAAAGTGAGACGAGGGTCACGATCGATCATTATCTCTACGACGCTGATCTCCCAAAAACTCCCTTCGAAGGCGTCGCACGTCCCCGTGGGGGCGAGGGCTACGATCTCTAACTGTAGAAGTACTACGATCCCCATCGTAGTTATCGTCCGAATCGAACTCCCGACGACCTCGAAGGCGACGAACGTCCTCGTGTCGTTTACTGTCACTCGACGAGGCCCTCGACCTGTCGTCCCGTGAACGGGAACGACTTCTAGAGAGGGATCTGTGTTCACTGTCGACCCGCACGACGTTCCTATCGTCGTTGGTAGGACGAGAGACGGACCGACTGGGGACTGTAGTCCCCTCGTGGTCCTCGTCACCACCCGGTCCCGTCGTAACGGGGGTGGCTGAGTGACGCTCTCGATCAACCGATTGACGAAGATCAGTCGTGCGGGTAGTATCATCAGCAGGCGGGTCCCGTGTCTTGTCAAAAAACATAAGTTGACTGAGGCGGGTCTTTTTCAACTGATTTCTTGGGTGTGGCCGACGCGCCACCCCCAGGGCCAGATGTAGGGGGTGCAGAGTCCAAGGATCCACCCGATGACCTCCTCTGCCTGTAGCGCTGGTCAGTAGCCCGCTTCGCCAACGCACGAAGATACAAGTTAAAGTTGATAGAAGACAAATGCTCACATTCTTAACAACGTTTATTCCACGAACACGTTGAAAGCCCGTCCTTATTTATGCAGGAAGGACAATACTTGTGAGGATCTACTTTAGACAGTTGTCCTTGACACGAGGCACAAATGCCCGACATGTTGCCACGTGTATAATCAAGTGAAACACGTGTTGAACCCAAACAATGGATTACCAATGATTACATTCCAGGAGTCTACAGGTAAGACATAGTATTATTACTGTATTAGAACAACAACTGTAGACACACGATACGGACTAGTAGAATACAAACTAGCAGTCTATCGCGAAAGTCCTTCTCGAGCGACCAGCTCAGAGGCGCGCTGAGAGATTTGTGGCATGTCATCGGGAGGTGCATGCGCAACCGGACGGAAACAAGTTTATTGTTTACATTCCAGCTTCTAGCTTCCTTTTAACGTGCGACTAGAGGTATGAGATACCCAATTGTACGACTGAAAACAGACTAAAACATGATTAAGCCTGGGCCAATCCTTGGTTGTTAGCGTTGGGCAAGGAGAATAACTCACCCTTCACATGATCACTTGTAGTAAACACCCGAACTTCATTATTTCCTAAAGTAATTAACCTGTTGTATTAACTGTAACCAACCGAAGTTCATGCAGCATGTTGAGTGTTTCACTGCGACTGCATGACAGCTATGTCTATGATGAAACACCATAAACCATGTCGTACATTCTAACCATCCCATTCCATAAGACAAGCATGTGGTACTTGGTTTAAACAGTTACCTCCCTTTGTCTATTAACCAAGTTTCAACTAGTGGTGATTTGGGGGTTCACACATGGGGAAAGCATCCATGCATCATGAATGAATGCTTTAACCAATGCTACCAAACTGCCTGACAATAACTGTTAACCCAAGAAATATGCTTAAACACTTTGATTGGCATGTTAAATTGAGACGTGTCACGGCATGCTTGGCTTGGCCTTCAGCATGACCAGCGAATGCTTTAACCACTGGATACCCACACCCTAACAGTTTGAAGTTCTTTCATAATGATATGTAAATAGTCTCAGAAAGAAAAAAACCCACTTGAGACATTTAGAGCGAACAGGGCCCCATTCCACAGTTATCTTAGAGTTAAGACAATCGTAAGTCTCATACTTTAACACTGACTTACGACAGTTGTAGCTCTAAGATAGCTTTGTGGAACAACACACTGATCTCTTAACTAATTAGTTAAAAACACACCTTAAGAAGTTGAAATAGCAGTTGAAGAAGACACAGACTCATTACAATATACTCCTGTTTTCTGCTGACCTATGACCTCACCTGGTCTGTCCAGCTTCTGTAGTGTATTGTCCTCCTCCTCGGCCACGTGGTACGTAATGGACGTCAGTTTCAGCTCCGTCGTATCGTCAGACACGGCTGCTTTCTCTACAATACTGCAACACATGCACCATAATTGGTTCAAGTTACTGGTGAGGTGAGGTGAAATAGGGTCTAACATCGGATCCAAGATTATTACACTTGTGTACATATTGTGACGTGCATGCATGTGTGTGTGAGTGCGCATGTCTCTGTGTGTGCCTGTATGTGTGCGTGCGTGTGCATGTCTGTGTGCATGCGTGCGTGCGTGCGTGCGTACATGCGGACGCTCTACCACCCGACCATGGAGGCGGTCTTCAAGTTATCCACATGAATACATATTTTATCTAATTTCTAAATAAAAAGTTTCAACTGGGAAATCTAGCTCTGGGTAATATCCAACTTGCTAAGAAATGTTGTCAGTGGTCAAAGCTCATTTGAACATACAGGTACTTCTCATTATTCTGTCTACCTTGGTCATACAGCTAACAGCTAATACAAAATAAACACAGCTTCAATGCTCCCCTTTGAACATGTTGAAATAAACATTTCAACAAAAAACATGTTTTCAAACAAAGACAGCATTTGAGTATTTCTTGAATATAAATATTTTCATGTTTACCTAATATCAACATCTTTGGCATGTTTGTGTTGCTTCTTTTTAGAATGTTCCAAAAATCGGTTCATGAGTTTATCTCTACCAGTGTACACTGGCTCCGCTTCACCATCGTCATCCAGATCAATGAAGGAGTCCGGCCCACCGCTCAGCTTGGGCGTTTCATTCTTCAGAGAGGACAAAGCTTGGATTTTGGGCGTCATGCCAAGAGTTACCTCACTATCAGGAGTTTCTTCCTTGCCATTAGCACTATGGTCCCTGTCCCCAGGAAGCTCATCAGGAACACATGCACTATCAGTCTGTTTAGTGTCATTGTTACTATCTACATCAGCATGTTCCAAGTCTGTAGGACTTTCTAGGCAGCTGTTATCTTTATGTACGTTTTCCACCGTCACTTCTGAAGTTGTATCGGGATCTACATCCATAACTTCATTCACAGTTTCTGTAATCATTTCTTCAGGGTTTGTCGGTTCCATTTTATTTACAATATTGTCATTTATACGAAAGTTCTCATCCAAGTCAGGGAGTTCATCGCCTTCGAAGTCCATCTTTTTACTGAGGGCATCCTGGTGTGTGGTTTCATCCTTGAGATCCTGAGTCTTTGTGACTGGATCTGAGGTGGGCGTGGCATAATTAGGGTTGGGCGTGGCATCTGTATCACTGTGTTGAGGCTGACTGGAGGAGCATAGGACAGCGGGGGAACAGTTGGCAATCACATGTTGAATCACACTGGGTTTCCTGAAATAAAAAACATTTCTCAATTTCTAATTATCTCAATATTAGTATGTGCCTTCGACAGATATTTTACAAATTCTTTCATGCTTGTAATGAAGGTGCTCACATGATTTGATGCACTTCGCAGGGTAAGACCTGTTTTATTACAAAATAGATCTTGATTATCAAGCAGATCGTCTTGACTGGGCGCCGCCATCTTGCTTGAAGCAAATGCAAAGTGATATGAGAGAAGATAGAATTTGATTTGTCAATAGGAGGGACAAAGAAGGGACATAACTCGTAATAGCCACTGGTGGCACTACGAACAAGCCTGGAAATTCCAGCCTAGTTCGGCAAGGGTGGAAAGTGGACTTCTATAAACAGGCCCTGGCCTCGGGAAGATTACCAAACTAAGGGCGTGCTACGTAACGACAATTTGAAGTTAAGGCCAGACACTGCACCTTACAATTGACAAAATGCTTCACAAGTATTTGTTAGTTTTAATTGGTTACAACTTTGAGGTATACATATTAACAATTGAAATGGAGTCTTTTCCAGGTGATGTTGCCACCGGTTGCCATGGAAACATCCAAGATGGCCGCCGCAAGCCTGAAAAAGATTGAAATTAGTTTCAGTTTTTCTCTAAGACCAATAAAGATATTTATATAATTTCAATTGTATAACAAAGCTTGTATGGTGTTGGGTACAATGACAGAGAGAAAAACTGAAAAAAGACTGGTATATATTTTCAAAATAATTTTTCAAAATTTCACATTTTTTAGGTTGATTTTTACCCATAATTTATTTTTTAAAATCAAAATGGCAAACAAATTTTAAAAAGTCTCTCTGTTATTGTGTAAAGTAATCCTCTGCCTATATGTACACCAAATTTCATTCAAATCGGGCCAATAATGGTTGAGATCTATGTTCACTAAGATCCAAAATGACGTTAATGGAGAAAATGAGGAAATAAGTTTGTATATGGTTTTCTTCCTTCAGCACCTATTAAACACTTACAAAATCTTAGTTTACTGATGGGATGTATTCAAGATACTTAAAACAATGCATGTACAAAGAAATAACAGGACTTAAAACTCCCCAGCACCATACAACAAGCCTTCAGCTGCCTCAACATGAACTCGGTCCCTTTTTTTAGCCTCCCACTTTGCACTACGTTCTATCTTAGATGTCTCCTGGCTTTGCTTCCTTGCTTTGAGGGTTCTCACATTATCAAGTCTTTCAATAGAAGCTGCTGTTATTTCATTAGCTTCTATTGCAAGCTTGTTAATTACCTGAGTAATGTGACATGTACCCTCATTGAACGAAGCTATTGCAGACACCACTGCCCGATGCAACCGCCTTGCACCCACAAAAATGGTCTTCGGACAACGGGACTAGATCACGGAATGCAAGCATTCATTAGCATTCTGTGTCTTGCCTTTCACCATCCTCTTAAGGAGGTTTTCATCAGACATTCTTTGATATACAGGTACCATCTTTTCTGCAATTTCTGCATCGAGACAATGTCTGATGTTGACAAAACTTCCTTAGTATTTTCAACAACAACCTGTGAAAGAATGTTTTGTTTTTGTTGAAATGTCTTAGGATGGAGACCTTCCATTCCAAAAACCAGACAAAACATTTTCATTGCAGCATGACCAAGTCCTACCTCTGACAGAGCATAAAAATGTCATTAACCTGAAAGGGATTGGTACCAGATTGATAACCTTACCTTTGTGAAGTGTAATTTTTGGCAACACACATCTGACAGTTTTGACATGTCAACATAACGTTTACAGCAAATCCAAATCTATCAAAATTGTCACTCTTTTCAAACAACAAAGACCCCTGTTCGTGACATGATAGGCATTCAATCTCTTGAAAAAATAAATTCATTTGTCTCATGTCAATTAACATCCATTGAGGTTTTGGTTCATCATTGTCAAGCACGGGAGATTTGATATTTTCAGCAGCTTTAAATTTTGATAGTTTTATGTCGCTGCGTGAAGTTGCATTCAATAAAAAAGAATTCTCACCTTCATTGTCTCCAACGGGGATGTTTTCCCCAACGGCGTGGTCCCCGGAATATTCCGATGCATCTAAAACGTCCAAGCTGTCAGAATCTGACACAGGGATGATCGCGCTGTCAACACGGGTCGTAACTCTAACACCGCATTTCGAACGTGCCTGCTTCAACTGACTTGCCCTTCGCCCCCTATTCTAACCATAGGCGTGTTGTGACCCGTGTTTTGACCTCATTTTAAAAAAATACAACAATTTTCAGTTAAGAAAATATCAAAAACGATGTTTGCCTGTCAATCTTTTCGCAAAGCAGCCGCCATTTTGTATACCTACCGGAAAAGACCGGTGTTTTGTTGCTAAGCCGAATGGTGCATTGTGGGATACGTTTTACTTTATTTGGATCGAACGAATATTCCCGAATGTTGCATTACGGGATATTTCTCCTTAAATGGTAATTTACGTACGAATGTCTCGCGGGAAAAACCGACGATAGCCTCACGTGGAATATCTATTTTTAGAATGTTTTTGCACAGAAAGATGGCGGAAACGATCAGCTTTCTATCGATGTATAACATGAAGGGGTTCGTTACAGCTGCGGGGGCGTTGTCATGGGTGAAAGTTCAGGTTTTTCCACATTGATTACGATCATATTTAAAAACAATACCACACATTATGATTTTAATAACGTTTTTTATTCAGTAAATGTACACAATATCGTAAAAAACATGTTGCATCACAAAGTACATGTATTATATATGCGAAAAAAATCAAAATCTCGATTTTGACATATTGAAGCAATTATGTTAATTTAAGGTGCCGTGTCTGGCCTTAAGCCTTCAGTCAGATGTAACTCTGAACGCCAGACAGGCATCAGATAACAGTGTAGCTGACAAACAATACCCTGACAGTTATAAACTAGCTACAGATGACCCCGATGGGAAGAGCCGACTGACGGTATGTTGCCCGACAAATGCAACTGTGAATCATAGATAGATTATTTTGCGGTAATACATGCCCAAAATCAAAGTTATGAAAAATCTGAGTATCCCCCAAATAATTTAAGTACCAAGTTATTGGCTACGACCTAACAGAATCTTTCAAGACTCGGGCTTTTCAGCGTTAGAAATTGGCACTAGTCCTATAGACATTGCCAAACTGCTCAATAGTTGAGGTATCAGAAGGACAAGTAGAAATTTGCCCTTTTTAAGGGTTTTGCTATATGTTATAAAGACTAGTGGTCTAAAACTGTTTGTTTCCAACGCTGGGCTTTGGACTAGTCAATAGTCACACACTACAATATTGGCATAAGGATTATCAGTGATTGAGTTAGGTAAGCCTTTATTTTTGTCATTGTTTGTAGCTGGTCCTGCTTGAATGAGACAAAAATGTTTACTATTTTTACATTTTCTGTCAGAACTGATTCAGTTGAGAACTGATTCAGAATTACATCCCTTAAATGCTAATAGTCAATAGTACACCCACAGGGGTGTAATAAATATTGTCACCACTAGGTTAGCAGACCTTCTTATACCATTAGCATGGGTTTGATTCAAACTGAAGAAAATGTGTGAACAACATTCTTGGCGTCTCCCTCTGAGGCATTGCAGCCCTACATCTCCGATCAGTGAAATGCAACACTCACTAATAAAAGACCACGTCAAATACCTACTACTCCATGAACCAACAAGTATACAGAAGAAAACAACAGTTTATCTTACTTGAATTCTCGGACTGCCCTGAGAGCTTTGTAATCTTGTTGTTTCTTTGTCGCTCGTGCCAGAAAATCATTGAGAGACTTGGGCGTCGGCTGGTGATATGGCAATGATACCTGAGACTCTGAAAAAAACGTAAAAACGTGTCACAGAGAAGTATTTAAATCAGAGAAACAGCTATTGTAGTGTAGTGAAAGTAGTTTTGAATATATGACATTTTCATCAATATTCCAGCTATATCATAGTATCTTGTACATGGTCCGGATCAGGAAAACCGTGCAGCCTTCGAAATTTACGCTAGTCTTCTAGCCTGAGACTACTAAATTGTGCTGAGGACAAGTTAAAATAAAATGCTGGTAGTCCTCATAGATAAGTAGCATTTGAGGGTAATAATTCTGAACCAGTTCTCGTTGTTTTATATCATGCTACAAAATGGAACTACATAAATCTGACAGTAGTAAACAGTTTTATCATGTTCAAGCAGTGCTAGATACAAAATCTGTCGACTAGTCAAATAATGTTTCCGTTTGTCGAATGGACTAGTCTTAAAAACAAAGGCTGCGGTGGTAGATTGCCTGAGAAGTGATCAATATTCATCCACTTTTTACCAGGGTATACACTGTGATCAACAGACACCTGATTATCATTTTACAAGGTATTCAATCTTTCAGGACAAGAAATATACTGGGGTATATCATGTTACTAAATCCCCACAGAAAACAGCTATACATAGATAAGAGACGAAACATAGCACGACAGACAATCTGTGACTGGGATGACTTTGAAAATGTCTGTATTTGTCTTAGTTTCTAGCTGCAGACAGTGTTCAGTCCCTCTGCCTGTATGCTCTTAATCACTGACCTCGGACAAGCCTTTGTGATTCACTGTGGATGTCCATTAAGTCGTCTCCTTTTGGTTTAGCCTTCCTGTCTTTTCCCTGGCGAGGTTTCTTGGCTGCTCCCTGGATAATTGAACTTCTATCAGTTATTGTTTCTAAATTTGTTATTCCTAACACTTAATATGTTTGTTTGTTGTTTAACACCGCACTCAGCAATATTCCAGCTATATGATGGCGGTCTGTAAATAATCGAGTCTTGACCAGAAAATCCAGTGACTGACATCATGAGCATCGATCCACGCAATTGGGATACGATGACATGCATCAACCAAGTTAGCGACCCTGACCACCCAATCTCATGCTTCTCGTGAAAGGAGACTAACAGGATTGGGTGGTTAGGCTCTCTGACTTGGTTGATGCATGTCATCGTATCCCAATAACTGTGTGTGCAAAACTAATAGGTAACAAGTACAAAAGATATAGTTATATCACTTTAGGTAATCATAAAGCTGCTTGATAATGTTTAGATCATTTGTAAAAACATCCTTTTTGTTTCACTTTGCGTTTATGAGGCAGTTACTTTTTATTTTATTTTTCTCAGTAACGATAAGTTGTCAATAATGAAATACCTTCATTTTCAGGAGTTTGGCTTTAAGCTTGGGATCAAGGTTGTCTTCATCAAATCCCTCGTCATCCGCATTATTATCCTCATCACTGCTCTTTCCTCCACTGCCGTCACTGTCCCCGTCCCTAGGGGATGCTGCTGTATCTACAAATATATACATTCAGCTTTACTGATAAGGATTTGTAATAGGTTAGACAAGTCACATTTGATTCTTTAACTTACATAGAGTAACGTACACTGCAGTTGAGAATATGAATCGGAAAGTTCACAAATCATAAGTTTAGTAATCATGTTAAGCTAAATGTTTTCACAGGTAGTATTATCAATCACTTCATGTTTTACTGTTTCTTCAGATATTTCCAGCTAAAACCAGTACTTTTTTCTATTATTAGCCATTACATCACATCACATCTAAATTATGTCACGTCCTCACTTCCACCTTTCAATCACTCACTCTGCCTTGTCATAGCTGATATCTTTGTAATCACTTAATCTTAATGAGTGAGTGAGTGAGTGAGTGAGTTACTATCAATTTATGCTGCAGTTGGCAAGATTGTAGCTGTATCATAGCAGCCTATTAATAATCCAATCTTTGCCAAGCAAACTGATGGTTCCACTTCCACCGTTACAGCATGAACAAGGATTCAGGGTATTATGACACACCAATCTCATTAAAATCAGATCTTAGTTCTCACTACATGTTGTACCACTAAACAAGGATCTGAAGACTTCCCATTACGGGTCATGTCAAAATGACCTTTCATCCGACCAATCAGACTGACGCTTACCAGATCAGGAAAGTGACAGTCGGAATGTGTTTTCTAATCATGCAACCACGGAAAATCTAATACAGGGAATTCCGGAAGACAGTAATGGGCTTTACAACTGAATCCACACAATCTAGGCCATCTATTAGCCATTCCAGAATGCTCTTTTGTTCAGTTTTGAAATTTCTAACTGAGAATTTGTCAAAATATGTTTTGAAGCATAGTCGCCAGATTGGAACTAGTGCCGTAAAGCACAAGAAAGAAGCCTTCGGATTGGCTCATGTCAACTTCTTGTCAGTCATTATCTGATTTTAATGAGATTGGTTGACACTACAGCTGATTATCGATATGATTCATATCACGATACGGACCAACAATACCGCTGGTATGACAATACACCACATCAAATAGTAAGAAATTATGAAATCACTGAAATACCGCTCTAAAACCTCTTTCTTCATACATTTATGTATAGCATCACAAAAAGTTTATCAAAGAAAAACACAAGAACAAAACAAAAACATGCTTACAGGGGGTGCTGTGATACTTCTGCCATTATGGGAGGTAACTCTATTAGTTCCTGTGCTATTCATAGCGTATCGGGATCTCACAAACCACAAACTGACGATTCAAGTATCGTGTGTATCTAAGTATCGATATCGTAGGTATTGGTGCATCGCGATAGCCCTAGATGACACCCGGTTTATTTGGCTCTTACAACGTGCATAGTTACTAAGGACATATTCTGCTCCCAAATGGTGATGTGAAAATACCAAACTATAACAGTTTCTTGGGTGGGTACACGTAAGCTGAACAATAAAATGGGACAACAAGATTCTGTCTGACAAGACTTCATAAATTCTCCAAAACCGTATGTTTACTAACCAGAATCACTATCTTCTGCATCAAAGAGGTCACTGTTGAATATATTCATCTGAAATCAGACACCAATTGTTGTGAAACCATTTATACATACCTTGTTTCAATAAGTCAGCAAGAGTGTGAATGAATTTTAGGCAGCATTCAGCAATATTAGAGCTATACCACAGCAGCATGTATATAATATTTGGGTGTTGTCCTACACTGCGCTCAGCAATATTCAAGGCAAATGATGGCAGCCTGTAAACAATCAAGCCTGAACCAGACGATTCACTGCTAGATATTGTGAACAACATCCATGTTGACAGGGAAAGATGCCACATTATCAACCATGTCACCGAGTCTGACCACCCGACCCATTAAGTCTCCTCTTATGACCAGCACAGGTTTGTCGAGGCGACTAACGGGATCGGGAGATCAGGTTTGCTGATTTGGTTGATGAGTGTCATCGTATCGCAACTGCATGGATCGATGCTCATTATGTCAATCAGTGGATTGTCTGGTTCAGTTTCAGTTATTTACAGACCACCGTCATATAGCTGGAATAACGCTGAGTGCGGCATCAAGGAACAAACAACAATAATTAAGCCTGGCCAGGGTCATCAGAAATGTTCCATAAAGTCTGAGTAAAATGCAAGGAAATTTACCAGGTCCCATGGTAATCACCTGCTTCAAGGTAAGTATAGTTAAATGTAGTACATTCTTCAACTGATATCCTACTAGAAAAATAACAAGTCATTTGTCAGAAACATGCCATTTGTGTTACAGCCATTGGTCCTATGTCAGCCGGTTGCAAAGGTATTATAATGTCATTTTTCAAATTTAGATTTAAAGCCAATCCCATCTGTCAGGTTGACCTCTTGCTGCTTTGCAAGAGGACAATCTCCATAACCCAATGTTGGATTTCAATAAGAGCATCTCAGACCTGTTTTTACACATTTTGCATCTATGCTCACCTTTTTTTGAGAGGCATCTTGTTTGGGATCTGAAAAAGTGAAATCATATAAATGTAATCACACATTATTATGAGCTTGCCATTAATAAGTTGTACTCATTTATTTTTATAATAGTCACACCATTTCCCAGCTTCCTGGCTCACAAACATTACTAGTGAGCGAAGATATTCATTTGAACAGGGTTGATGAACATCTTGTTACTTCTGACATGTTCAAGGGATAACAATAAGACTCGTGGAGATCCGGGGTAGAATAGGTCTTCAGCAACCCATGCTTGCCATAAAAGGTGACTATGTTTGTCGTAAGAGGCGACTAACGGGATCGGGTGGTCAGGCTCGCTGACTTGGTTGATGCATGTCATCGATCCCAATTGCGTGGATTGAGGCTCATGATGTCAATCACTGGATTGTATGGTCCAGACTCGATTATTTACAGACCGCAGTCATATAGCTGGAATATTGCTGAGTGTGGCGTTAAACAACAAACCAGCCAACCAACCAACTCTCCTGAGTTACAACCAATTACATCTGTACAATTCCTGAACCACTGGGGATGCATGTAAGCTGCATTTACCTTCATCCTCACTGTCAACAGCTTCCTTGTTTGCCTATAGACAAAAAACAAACATATCGTATTGGCATAATTCGTAAAATCTAAGTATTTTTTTACATTTGTATACTTATCCTGCATTGCATTTACTGACCTTACGACAAAGAAGACAGCGCCTCGCGATGGCCCTGGGTGAAAAAAAGAAATGCTGTTTCCGACACAAGTCCACTTTTTACAGGACCACCTCCACTGTCATGTGACAGATTGTCCATGTCACATCCAATCCATGTTGCTGCGCTGTCTTCTTTGTCGTAAGGTAAGTAGTCAATGCATTAAGGTGTAATGTAGGGTAAGTAAAGAATTACACGATTTATAACAGCAAGATTTCACTTGTGAGACACATGAAGATCATCACTGTACATACAGCACAAATTACCTTCTTTTTCTTGATGACCTCTGTCAGGCTGTCACTTTCTTCTCCACTAGCATTGCCTTTTTCATCAACCTTCATTGAAGCTGAAAACAAAAAGTCACTAAATAAACATAAAACTCATATCAGGTAGCAGGTAGTTTACCTAATAGTTTATTATTATACTTATATTACACAATCATATACCGCAGGTATCTGCTCAAATTTGTTTTATTTTCCCCCGACCAGTGGATCCATTCGCATTCCAGTTATCATTCTCAACTCCCTGGAGAGTATACAACCCAAGCTGCCCAGGGGCGCTAGGAGGTTTTCACATCGATCTCACATATTGGTTACCCATAGGCACATTTGAACTAAGTCACTTGCCCAGGGTGACACCACAAATTTGACACTTGTGTTTCGGGTGGATGTACGTATTTGTGTTTCCACCATTTGGTCATCTACCATTGGATGAATGGGTTCTTTTGAGTGCACAGGGTGTATGTTTGTACTGTACACTAAGGCGAGTGACAACAATGTAAGGACCTGTAAACGTTGTTGGTCCCAAGGCTGAATAACAACCCAGTCACAAGTGGAATAAGATCTCAGCACCTAGCGCTTTTGACCGCTTGCCCAATTAGCCCCCAATATATCATCACATCGCTCCTACTTAGTAAATAAACAGAACAATATCATGGTGTGTCAGCTTCTGTCGGTTGAAAGCCTCAAGTTGTAAAACCCTGAATGGGACACAGTTCAAAATTAAACATAAAAGTCAAGTGGTCCATGCAATGACCATAATGGTCCAGTTTAGAAATCGAGAGGGACCCCAGATTCAAATACTATCTGCGAAAGCCTCAATGATCACAGGACCCCCTCAATTTGGAACACTGTAGATCATATGAAACACAAGCTTCAACTTACAGTTTGACTGAGCATCCTCATCGTTGTCTGAATCACTATCCATGATGCTGGAGAGAGCCTCGGAAATTGTCTGGAACCACCAAAGACAATAATGAGTAAGTGCTGGGTCTGTAATATTTGTGGTTGGAAAATGCGATGTAACAAGATATTCTTAGTGGTATGCACAGACCATGTGTTAATAGAATTATCTCCCTTAGAAAAAATGTTTTGTTGACGATTTGTTGTGTGGAACACATGGTTGACAATTGGGAAAACTGCGATGGGTTGATGTAAATGAAGAGGAACCATGGTGTTCACGGAGGCTTCGATGTATATGTTTGAGAAAATATATTTGTTGTGTGGTGAGATGGCTCCCATATTTGACATGCATCAGAATAAACACTCAATCTTTGAGTTTGTGTTTTCTACGAGTTTCAGGTGTGAATACGTCCCTAGTTGGGTAGCGCTCTAGAAAGTGAAAGCGATCAAGACCCGGCCAAACAGGGGTACTCATACCTTCAACAATGATCCATGCAATTGGTGTTTGTTGACCTATTTCACCTAAATGTTGATAGTTTTTATTTAAGTTTGAAATCAAAATGATAACAAGGAATCTCAAAGTTAAATGAAAGTAGGTGTCTTCAGTATAATATTGAGTCTGTTTGGCTTTATGCCACCTCTGACAACATTCCAGCCAAATTCAAGCAGGAACCTCTGAGGAGGTCTAGGTAGTCTTGCCTGAATTTCAGATTTTGTTTTTGCCTCTAAAATGATGACATTAGCGCTGTAACGATTCACCTATACCTACAATATCATTGATAGTCAGGTAAACACGATACTTGAATCGTCAGTTTGTGAGATCACGATACACAATAAATAGAACATGAACTGATAGAGTTACCTCCCATTATGGAAGAAGTAGCATAGCGCCACCTGTAAGCATGGCAGAACACAAGGACGAGGACGTGCCAACTGTTACATTAATAACCATCCCTTAATTTAACACTTTTTTGTTCTTGTGGTTTTCCTTGTTAGCGTTTTTGAGATAACAACAAATAAATGTTTGAAGATAGAGGTATTAGTACTGTATTTCAGTGATTTCATAATTTCTTACTATTTGATGTGGTGTATTATGATACCAGTAGTATTGTCAGTCCGTATCGTGATACGTATCGTATCGCAAGATACCAGGTGACACTCAGCTCCACTTGACATATTATTCTTTGATATCTACACAACACGAAATTAAATTGGAATGGACTTATTAAAAGTGCCTTTGTATTTCATTCAATAAAAGTACCTTTTTCTTTGCACCATTTACATTTGTAGTTTTAATATTACTCTCAGCTTCTTCATCAGACATGCTCTCCCCATCTCTGCTGGCATGGTCCACATCACCATGAATGTCCTTGCTGTCATCATCGTCGTCGTCGTCAATCATCAACTGTAACATTAACAAGCATAACTTGTACACACGTTTTCAATACTTGTTTATTACTTGTCATTGCTTATAAGAAGAGTTTCTCTATCCCTTTGAGCAGATTTCTTGGTGCTTTTGATAATTTGTCATGGCTGTCTACAAATGAAAATACACACTCACATGTTTCTTGTTTTTCTTCTTTATGACCACAGGCTCATCGTCACTGTCAGAGTTGAGGTCTACAATATCAACAACACGATTGAGTCTGGGTTGGACAAATAACATTTCCCCATATATAGCAAATAGTGCTTCAGACACTGTTGAACAGACACAGGGGTAGACACCATTGGTCCCATCTAACTAGACCGAGGTCATTTTGCCTTTTCGGCATGTTCGTTGTACTAGCTCATTTAACATACTAGATTTGTGGAGGTAACAAGTAGTCCCTCCAACTTTTCACTAATCCTGGACAAACAGACTACTGACCGTGTCTATCCCTGGAAAATTTGCTGGTAAACAATGTAAAATATCATAGTACAGTGTTCCCGATGGCTTTTGAAACTACAAGTCCTGGTGGACTGGCAAGTCTAAAAATTTACCAATCAGTTCCAACTTCAACAAATAAAAAATTACCTGGTTATAATTCTTTCAACATAATGTTCAATGCAATGACATCATCTCTGAAGTAACTTAGTTAGATCTATACGTCATTCACACAAAGTGCAGTCAGAATTTTCTCTTCTTTTATTCTTTTTAAAAATATTTCGAGATGATATACCTATTTGAATATCGCCACTGTTTTGTTCAACAACAAAGATTTATAAGATACCTTATTTGCCAGTCCACAGGGACTGGCAGTCACATGAATTACCAGTCCACGCCTAATTTTGCCATAAAAAACTGGTAATTACTGGTAAACAGGAACACTGATCATGCTGATAGTAACCATGGTAACACTAATCATGCTAATTTCTCACAGTCAAAACATTTTTATCACAAATATGCCACCAATTTCATTCTTTTAAGGCATAATTAGACAACATAAAAAGGGTTAAATGCCACCACAATCGACTGTCTTACCTGCAATATCTGGAGATGTTCCTGTCATTTCATCATCCATCCCTGAGTCCATTTTCTCACTGGTTTCATCCTCCATCCGCTTTCCCGGGGGATCCTTAGTGCCCTCAGCAATCGGGACAGCCTGACATGGATCATCAGGTTGCATGATCATAATGCGCACATGCTTACATGCAGAAGGTCATATGTACATTTTTAATCATCTTCCAGGAGGCAAGGGAGTTCGTCAAGGATGGAAACTGGACTTTTATAGTCAGTTAACTCCCTTGCCTCAGGAAGATAATTTTTACTTGGTTTCAAATTTCTTTCACAGTTCTATCGTTATATACTGAGTTATTACATGCTTTTGTAATTGATGATTTCTTTGTGTCAAAGTGGTCACAATAAACAATGATAAAGTGATCTTACACGTCTAAGGGGTTTTACCTCTATTTATTCTAATGTTGGATACAGAGAATAGTTATTAAAATGATTAAGGGTCAAAGTCCACCTTAATTATATAAAGGTCAAATGAAGGAAGTTGTTTGTTCTTTATCATTGAAAATCTGTGATGACCTGACATTTCCTGAAAGGTGACATATATATAAGAACCTCTTGCCATGCTTGCACGTCTTGCAGGTGTGCTCTCTCCTACCAAACACTGTTAATCATCTTAATATTAGTTTGTTTGTTGTGACATCAGCCTGCCTCAATAAAATATGATAATAATATAAATCATATCATTTTTCATATGCTTGTGTGTTTTGTTTACTTTAATTTTGTTTGTTTGTTTGTTGTTTAATGCCGCACTCAGCAATATTCCAGCTATATGACGGTGGTCTGTAAATAATCGAGTCTGGACCAAACCATCCAGTGATTGACATCATGAGCATCGATCCACGGAATTGTGATACGATGACATGCATCAACCAAGTCAGCGAGCCTGACCACCCGATCCCGTTAGTCACCCCTGGGTTGCTGTAGATCTATTCAAACTCGGATTTTCACAGATAAATCATGTTAATAGTATTTAAAAGATGATAAAAGCCACATCTAAAACAAGTCCTTAAAAATTCCACTTTCAATTGTCTTTGGAACAACAGTCTAGTATGGTTGTGTGAATATATCTACTTCAAAGGCTATAGCCTAATCACTGTTATAATTGTTAATTGACATGTAAAACAACATGTAAAAAAATACATATCTAAAGTAAAGGTTTATGTGTATTCAAAGGCAAATATTCTGGAAACGAAAGAGATAAAACGTAATGAAGATGTGGACTGTAGCTATCTATGACTAGTATGAGTGACCATGTGGATGTCTGATGATAGTAACTGGCAGCATAGTGCGTACCTACTATTTCACAGCAAATTGATCAGCCGGTAATTATGCTGATGCTGGATAGCGAACGGGTATGGTTTTTAATGCCGCTTTGAGGAATATTCCAGCAATATCACAGCGGGGGACACCGAAATGGGCTTCACACATTGTACATGTTGTAACCATGTTGGGAATCAAACCCGGGTCTTCAGCATGACGAGTGAAAGCTTAAACGACGAGGCTACCCGACCGCCCCGATGCTGGATAGTAACAAGAACAGCACATGCAGTAGACTGCAGTATTTGGGTCCCCACTTCGGAAGGAACGTTTTTACGTGTTTACGGAAGTTGTCGATTGAAAAACGTTCCACGCATGCGCAGTTCGTTATTTACGGTCGAAGCGAGAGGATTTGTTGGCCGCCATTTTTCTACCGAACGCTGTCTGCAGTTCAGTATTTTCTTACACAGACAACACACTGGGGGTGCAAGGGTGGTTTGTCCCCCCTTGTCGAAATATTAAAGCAAAAATGGGGGGTAAATCGCACGACGGTAAGTTCATTCTGTTACTTGAACAATATATTTTGTTGGGCGGACAACACAGCGGGGTTCAAGGCAGGTACAACCCCACCTTTATGACATTTTTAAAGAAAAATACATGGGGTAAAGGGGGAGGATCCCCCTTTTTCAAATAAATCGCAATATGGTATAACTTCATTCATGAAAGCATGTGAATTTTCATAGGAAAATGATCATCGATAGATACTTTCTCATTCAAACAAATCATTTGAAACGTTGAATTCGTTTTGACTGTCATATAGATTCTAGGACCTAAGTCTGTGGATCCATCTAGACCTAGTTCAATTTCTTTTTCTGCTTCTTTTTCATCTTTTTCTTAAACGATCATTTTGCTTCCTAAGTTTAATAAATGTAAACACGGCCGGTGAACTTAGAAACTGATCAATTGAACAACTGAAATATTTCTTTTCTGATAATGTTTTGAACAAAATAATTGTCATACATTCCCGCATTCGCCCCATACCTATGCAAAGATGTCTTCACTGTACGCCAAGTCGACTCTGTTTTATTTGTACAAGCCACACTTTATGAATTTACAAGTTATGAGCGAAGTTGCTTTCGTAGTAACGAGTCCATATAAGGAAAGTCACATGATCAGACACGTGACGTCTTACGTCATTTATGTCCCGCCCACAAACAACAAGAAGTTGACAGTACAATAATTCGGCTTCACTTTCCATCGTAAAACTCTCGACCCCCACAGGGGCAGAGTTTTAGACCATACTTTTCATGTCCAGCACATTTTTTGGGTCCTTTTTGCTAAAAAATGCCTCCTAACGGATTTCGGCACGCTTGCGCGTGCGCGCTTATATATAAGCGAAACTGACGAAGGCAGTGGTTGCCTTACGGAAACCCCCGAAGTGGGGACCCAAATACTGCAGTTGACCCAGTTTGTACCGAGCAGAGAGTATTTGAGTTAAGTGATAATAAGCTAAACAAAATTTTTAATTTACCTTATGCATTCATTGTCCCCACCATAAAATCGACTATCATATTAACCCCCCAAAACAATATGTGACCATTTCTAAATCGAAAAGAATGCTTGACATGACCATACTGCCCTCAGCTAGAGTAACATTAGCCTGAACATGTGAACCGCAAGCGTGTCAATCATTGTTTAGAAAACTTGTCCGAAAATTTACAAACCACTTTGTCTCTCGACTAAAAGTATTCTGATATTTATATATCTCAGCTAAGTACCGCACAATGTCGTATCTACAGGGTGAATGCAGGTTCATGAAATAATATAATATCTTTCTCCATCCCCATAAACATGAACAAATGACAACAAATAGTCATGAACGATGAAGCAGACGATTTTCTCTCATCATTAATGTTACATTGTCTGTGTTGTCCACATAACGACTAAAACTAGATACCTCTTTTGTATCCTCAGCTTCTTCTAACACACCAGTCATGTCTGTAATAATATAATCCGTAAGTAAGATCGATGAAATTACTTGTTATCTTCTTGTCAGATTTGGCGCAAGACGATCATTTAGTATTTCCCGCTGTAAAGTTACACGCATGCGTATAACCAACTTCCGTGTAAAGGGCAATCACTCTGTGTCAATATCGATAGTGTTCTACGAAGTCTAGATTCTCTTACGAGAGTTCGATTCCAAATAAAATGAAAAAAAAATCGTTCATAACCTATTTTTGTAGGTTTAGGCTGCTGCTAATAGCTGCCTGACTCTGATTTTTTTCATGACAATAAATGTAGGTTTTATGTTCACAAAGCCTGGATCAGTGGATGTGGGTCAGGGAACTGGTCACCATCATCTCCTACCATAAACAAGTAAGACTGCTATATCCTAAACAGTCAGAGGTATCAAATCACAATTGCACCTCGGACTGAAACTGCCAATTTGACATCTGCATCACTTTGGAAGCTAACATTGATAGAAAAGTACTTCTTTCTCCATCATTGTCAGTATTTTTGTACATAGAATTCCAGGTGACAAAATGTAGAACAGTTACAGTATTCAAAGTATGTGTGGCAATGCATTTTGACGAAGAGAGTGTATTTGAAGTTTTTTGGACCACAGAGAGCTTGAAATTTAGCACTTTTTGCTATATATGACTGACATCATATATGTTCTGCATCAATATGAATGAGCAGTGTGACGTCATATAATAGCGACGTGCTATGCATGTACAACTAAACAGTACTTGCAGGCACTTTCAATAACAACTAAAGTATAATGATTAAAAAAATGTTTTATCGTCCCAAACTTTGTTTTCATTGGACTTGACCAATGCCACATCACTCAGTATCTTAGCTGACACCAAAGAGTTCTTGTTTCATTTTGTCATGGGTGAGTGTGTGAGTGAGTATGGTTTTATGCAGCTTTTAGCAATATTCCAGTAATATCATGGTAGGAAACACCAGAAATGGACTTCACACATTGTACCCATGTGGAGAATCAACCCCGGGTCCTCTGCATGAAGTTAACGCTTTAAAGGGGCACTAATCTCTGGCTTCTTCTCGGCTGTCTGACTAGCTCACTAGCTGCTGTGCGTCGATTTGCTCACTAACACAACTGGGCGTGACAAGAGACTGGGCTACTGTCTGTAAAGACAGCATAAATAAACTTGGAGGCAATATTTTTTTTACGCATTTTTGAACACTGATTGGTTACCAGCGATCAGAGACCATATATGGTGTAGTCAACATGCAATGTGCCCCAGCTGTCACTATGTATGGATACCATGAATCAGTACACATTTTGTGAAATTTTAATCTTTGGGTTTATAGATTTGCCCAGGGCCAAAATCCACTTTCAGAAAATAAAATAGAATGGGCAAATCAATAAATTCATAGTATAACATACAAAATCCTGCTGCAGGAGTAGTTTAAATTCTCAAAGAGAGAAGCGACACTGGTGCATTGTCGGCAAACTTTGCACTATTTTTTTCCTTTTGCTTGTCATAATACAGTACGTAAAACATTATGTTTATGTTTTATTATTTTCTCATACAGAATATTAGACTTGACTCAGTGTGATGTTGATGGGTATAAGTCTCTTGTCAGGTGTCTTTTTTTAACTTTAAGAGTGAGTCTATGGAGTGCATTCTCAGTCTAAAGACTGGGTTTTCTCACAAAATGTTGTGTATGCAGTATTGAGATATCGGGTATCAGGTGGTTATCCTCGCTGTCTTGGTTGATGCATGACATCATATCCCAATTATGTAGCTAAATGCTCATGATGTCAATCACTGGATGGTCTGGTCCAGACTCGATTATTTACAGACTGCTGTCATATAGCTGGAATATTGCTGAGTGCGGCATTAAACAGACATACAAATAAATCTTTGTAGTACCCGGTTTGAAGATGTCAGATGGAAGTCTGGAGGCCTAAACAGAAGGGTGTCTGATGGCAGGGTATGAAACTCCCAAAAATTTCAGCCAGACCACAGGACTGGCTAGCTGAAATACCCTGACCAAAACCTGCCTGCCCACTATAATCATATGTTTCTCCGGATAAGCTAACGGGGTTTCTTTTTGGTTACATTCATCTTTACATGTGAATTAATGCTTATCATTGGGAAATATTTAGAATATTTTCACATATGAAATATAACCCGACCGTCAGGCAGGGGGATTTGAAAATCTGGCAGCCCGAGTTGAAATCAACCCAGGTAGGTATTTCGAACACTGCTGATGGACCGGTCTGGAGTGATTTAAAGTGGCTTGAAGGATAGAGAGTCAAGGCTAATGAAAATCATATTAAAATGTGATGTAGAAAGTATTTGCCTGACACCATTTAATACTTTGTTCTGCAATTTTCTCCGTTGTATGTGAGCTAGTTTGCGAGCTAAAAAGATGTAAACCACAAAATAAAAATGTGTGGCCTTAGTATATCTTTAAACAAACTAAAAAAAATGGTATTCAGACAGTTCTTTTTATTAACAAGACAAATAATCATTTATAATAGGAAGAAAATGAATATTGTACAGCTTCATATGTAAAATAATTGCTGAATATTGCAAAACATGTCACACACACATGTGCCTGAGATCAACAGCTCGTGTTCCAGTCAACATTACAGAACATATCGAGGCAGGTAGCAATGTCTTAAGTCTTTGCAGAAGAACAAGATTAAAGATGAGATCTACCCACTCACACCAATTTTCCAATGTTAAATGACATGAATAGTTACATTTATTTCCTGTTTAACAAATATATAACAGTGCCACATGGCTCTGTGAGCACATACAAAGAACCTAAGTAGTCTTTGAAATTCACGCTAGTCTGCTAGCCAGAGACTAGTAAATTGCGCTGAGGACAAGTGAACCTGCAATGAAAGGAGTCCTCATAGATTAGAAGCTTGTAAGGGTTATAATTCTAATCCAGTTCTCAATGCTTCAATTTTACTACGAACTGGAACTGAATAATAGTGACAGAAAATGTAAATATAGTAAACATTTTTGTGTCATTCAAGCAGGACAAGCTACAAACTCGGAGAATTAGTAAAATAGTGGTTTCCCTGGACAAGTAAAAAACAAGCTAAATTTCTGAGGCTGTAAGTATGTATATACATGCTTCTGACATCTATTGATCCTCTCCATATAAGTCAAAAGAAAGGAATTGTTAAATTTGGCTGAGCAAAAAAATGCAAAGTCATTAATTAACACATACATATACTCACATACAAAATATAGATAACCATCTCACATTCTCTCTTTTTATTGATATTTTTTTCATAACACCATAACTGATAACTGGATAATTTGGTTCAGCACTGCTTTGAGCAGTATTCCTCTTATACCACAGCATGCCAACTTTATGTACCGGTAGTCGTCGAGCTCAAAGTGACAAGGTTTACCTTATTTGTGAAACCCGACCACATGCAAGTATGGTGCTGACAAACCAAGCATCATAAACTATGAATCCAGGATTCAAACCCATTAACATCGGATTCTGGCATGACAAAGAGATTCTTAGTAACGCAATTTCTCGTGCCTTAGATCATGTGTACTCTATTAGGTTACTGTCTAAAATGGGGAAATGAGTTCTAATACATCATAACCATGGTACCTTCCAGACTGGTCCACTCTCATTATCTAAAAACTCATCACTTAAATTCGAAAAATTCGAAACCTTATTGATGATGGTAAATGCACAGGATAAATATGATAATACAGAAAGGCATTAAATTCATGGGCAAACTAGTTCAAAATATTACAGTTACTCTTTACATAGTACTCGACTTTTGATAAAAATATTTTTATCTTTCCATGACACACAAATTTGATTTTCACGTCAAGTGTATATTTACATAGAATGACCTAACTGTTGTTCTCATCAAAAGTAGAATAGTATGCTTTGTGAATACTGCTAACCTAACTTAAGACACATGAGGGGGCATGGTTGGCCCAGTTGTCTAAGGCACCGTGATTCGCTTTGCAGAGTTGCGTCCCTTGGGCGTCCCAGAAATGTATGATTGTGGGTTTGAATCCCGGTTCGATTTTGTTTCTAGGTTTGTCAGCACCATACCTGTGCTCGTGGGTTTCACCAATGTGGTAAATGTCCAAGACCTGCATCACTTCGGGCTTTCCTCCAACATTAAGCTGACACGCTGTGATATAATTGGAATACTGTTAAAAGCGGCATTAACCCCAACTCATTCACTCACTTAAGACACATGAGTAAACCAACACTATCTTGTCTATGTAATGTCTGGAAACGACAAACTGAGCTGCAACATGCTGGAAGATTTGACTGTAAAACATATACATATACTAATGGAAGAGAATATATGGATGTCAACTTCTTTATAATGAGGAACACAACGTTTCGGAGTGTATGCTTACTCCTTCACTTCTAAATGCCTTTCAGAGACCATATACATATACTGGAAATAAATAAATTCATTACAAGACCAAATGTAAGGTTAAAACTGAGGACCTGTTTTCTTTAAATTGACACCAAATTCACCCTCTTCTCAAACATGTCGAAAGGTCCTAACTGACATGTCCATAGTCGTTATATGTTGTCTCCAGGCTAAATGTTTCTCATAGAAATAAACAAATAGAAAAATACATAGACAATGACAGACACAGCAATGAACAAGAACCAGTTACCAAATTGTTATTGTCCAATCATAAGTCATCAATATTAGAAATAATGTTTTCAAATTTGTATGCACTGCAGGGTGGTACCACAAATAAGTGTCCTGATTGTTTGATTGTATAGCATTATGAAACTGGTAAAGTATAAGTAAAGGCCCATTTGTATTGAGGTTCATTGCAAAATAAAATTGTCCACGAGAAAACTAGACATATTCATATTATTTCAAAACATTTATGTTAACAGCACCACATGCAAACCCTATTTTGGACTTGGAGCTGCATTAACGCTGTCTGTCCTGTATGAGATGCAGCCATGGAAATATTATCACTCACAGAGATACATACACCCTTCACCCTTCAACAGTGCTTAAAATAACTCCTTGACTCTTGTGTCCAGATAGATTTAGATGGACTAGTAATCCATCTATCACATCATGGTAGCAATTATATTCCCAGTGTCTGATTGTGTATGGTGTTACTCCACTTTTAGCAATATTCCAGCAATATCACGGCGGGGGACACCAGAAATGGGCTTCACACATTGCACCCATGTGGGGAATCGAACCCGGGTTTTTGGTGTGACAATTGAACCTTTAACCACTAGGTTACCCCACCACCCCTCAATAATATTCCCAACTTATTTCACATAATTATAATAATACTTGAATTTAGCATTTACTTTTATTGATTTCGGTGCAAAATGTTATTTCGACCACTGTTCTCCAGATCACAGCCACGAAAAACACATATATACGCTTGAATACTATGTTGTTGCTCACAACAGACTTCCTTGTTGTCCTACACAATCAGACCATCTTGTCCCCACTCAGCTGGCCTGATTCTTATTCTTATCATCCTCTAATGCCTCTGGTCGGTGCAGAGTCCATATGCAGGTTTGCCCTACGCCTGTCATGCTGACAACTGAGAATCCCTTCTTCTCCAACTTGTTGAGGACGACACGGGGCGGGTCAGGGCTCTTGTACTCCAGACTATAACACACAGAAGTAAGGACAAACTTTCAATAACTGACGACACGGGGCGGGTCAGGGCTCTTGTACTCCAGACTATAACACACAGAAGTAAGGACAAACTTTCAATAACTGACGACACGGGGCGGGTCAGGGCTCTTGTACTCCAGACTATAACACACAGAAGTAAGGACAAACTTTCAATAACTGATGACACGGGGCGGGTCAGGGCTCTTGTACTCCAGACTATAACACACAGAAGTAAGGACAAACTTTCAATAACTGACGACACGGGGCGGGTCAGGGCTCTTGTACTTCAGACTACAAAACACAGAAGTAAGGACAAACTTTCAAAAACTGACGACACGGGGCGGGTCAGGGCTCTTGTACTTCAGACTACAAAACACAGAAGTAAGGACAAACTTTCAAAAACTGACGACACGTTGCTAAAGTCGTTGCTATGGAAACTTGAAAAATAATTTTTTTTAAAATCCCAAACTATCAAACGGCACCAGTTTACCACTAGACCTATTAATGTGACAAGTTTGGTGAAGAAATTTTGTATGCTTTTCAAGATCTGCTCCAGAAAAGAGCACTACCACCATTTTCAGTCTAAGTCAAAGTCGTTGCTATGGAAACTCAAAACTAATTTTTTTTTAAATCCCAAACTATCAAAAGGCACCAGTTCACCACTAGACCTATCTATGTGCCAAGTTTGGTTAAGAAATCTCACCCTCGTAGCTTTTGATATGAAATATATCAACACTCATCGAAAAAGGTCTAAACTTCTTCATCAAGCCTAAAATCTTTTAACTTTTATTGAAAGTGTTAATATATTTGTTGTCAAAGGACACTCGTATCTTATCCTCATTTTATCTGCCATATTTATAGTGTATAAATGATCTAATCATATCTGCATTCATATTTACAAAATGACAATGCATTAGTTAGTAAGTTCAAGGTATAAGCCTACAAGGTCAATTTTGAATGTTTTGAAAAGAAAGCATTTACCCAAATATAAAAAAATATCAGACTGTGAACAGAAATCCTGATTAAGATAATTGAAATTTAATTAATTTGGGCTGTTCTCACAAGTTGTTTCCAAGCTGTTTGTACAAGGATGCACCAAGATAGTCCATTAACTGGAGGTCACTCCATTCATCTCCAACAACTGTCGGACCATTCTCCTGGAAATAAAACATAACTGTGATCAACACAAGCACAGTGATTTACCTTTGTCTGTATATTTGCAAGTTTTAGGAACCCTCGATATTTTGGGGGTCTTTGCGTTTAACAGGTTTAACAGGGGTGGGGTGGGGTGGGGTGGGGGTGGGGGTGGTGTGGTGTGTGGGGTGGGGGGTGTCTCAGGGTGACCACTGCATCAACAACAAGTATGATACAAAGTATGCGTGATACCTTATGCTTATTTCCGATGGGGATTTTTTTTGTTTTAAATCGAAACGTGTGATTCAGTGGAGAAAATCTGGCACTGTCTGTCCAACATTGATTGTATTTCTAATGAGAATAAAAGTAATACATCAACATGATTAATCCACAAGATTCAATTAAAATATGGGTTCAATCATTTCAACATTTATACTGTTTTGCATCGGATGGGATGCATAGTTTACGTTATTTGCGTCCATTCTTATTTTTTTATGCATATGGGATGCAATATGTTGTGTCTGGTAAAACACTACAAGCATTATGAATATAGGCCACATATATTTTATCTCTGTTACAATGCAGGCCACAACCTGAGAGCTACAAACACTGATAATGTGAGCGTTGCCTGGTGAACGGCAGTCTTTCCTTAAACATGTGTTGACTGTGTGTTAAAGGTAGCCTTATTCCATGACCTGTTTAATCCTGAAATAATGCTGTCATCCTATTTTCAGTGCATGCTATCACGCACAGCATTTTATCCACAAAAGTCCCAAACAGATAGGCCTACATATCACTGTTGAGTGCAGAAATGGACTTCATTGTGTCGTAGAAAATCACTTCACGTATTATGCACCTCCGTCTGTTACCTGGTGACTGAGCAGATGCATAACATGATTTTGATAGAAATGTCGGCCGGAGCATGTAACATGATTTTGGGGTAACTCCCATTTTTTTCTATCTCAAACGTACCAGTCGTATCTGTGTGCTTATCAACATGTACGGCATTGTCACGGCTGTTTTTCTGTCTATTTTTAATTTAACCTCAGCGTCAGACTTGGTCTCGTCTAACTTCCTTGTCTAGAGTTAACTGCCCTTGTCATAAGCAGGTGCGCGTCGTCTGCTTTGCACACTAGACTTGGCGAGGCTGTATTTGTATGAGTTTTTCCCCCCATGAGTTTTTTTAACGTATATCCCGAAAGCTTATGAAAAAAAACCTGTGCTATATGGGTTGTGTATATATGCTAATAGACAATGTTATAAATAAGAACATCGTCGCATTTATTTTTGCTTTTAAGTATATATTTTATACAGTATGTATACATTGGGGTGACTATGCGAAACATTGCGATAGTATGACCAGTGCGTTTACCTTCTCACAGACCCGTGAAGATTCCGCCCCATGCTTGTATGGTGGCCGAGAGGGGACATCGCTTAATTTCTCGCTCTATCGCTTTATCGCTTTCTCGCTTTAGCGCTCTATCGCTTTCTCGCTCTATCACTTTCTCGCTTTCTCGCTCTATCGCTTTCTCGCCCTATCGCTTCTTCTAATGACTAAACATAGTCATATGAAGGAATCGGATGTTCTTTAACTTCTTTTGAATAGTTTGTGCTGTAAATCTTGAAATTAACGTTAGAGTTAATTATAAATGAAAAAAATAAATAGCGTAGACATAATTACCGTATTCGACGTAATAAGCGCCCAGGGCGCTCTCAAAAATTAGAATATTATTTTGGCGGGAAAAAAAAGTTGAGTTGAAAGATAAATTTCGTGGTTTATGCTGACAGCCTGAAATGTTTATGTACGACAGATATATTTTTCCCGAATTTTATGCCCATAATTAAGTGTGCATATAACGCAAGAGTGCGTATTATACGCGAATAAATTAGTCTTGTGTACATTAATCAATCGCAAGGGGTGCTAATTGGGATTGTTCACGAGCCAATATTTTAGCAAATATCGCCGTGGGCGTTGATTAGAGCGGGGCGCTTATTACGTCGAATAAGGTAATTATACTTTGCATTTATGTCTCAGAAATGACTGTTGATAAGACGGCCTCACTGAACACTTTGAATAGCGGAAATACCAACTTGAAAATAAACCAATCAACTATCTATTTCCACATTACGGTTACTGAGAACAATATGTCATCCAAAAACTAGAAATTACATAAAGGACATCCGATAGTATTACCATTGCTTGGGTGAGGACTTTGATGACATATACTCCGCAAACAGAATAAACGTTGATATAAGCGTTGTTTTTAGGAAAACACTTTTGCTTTTTGGGAAGTACGTACTACTCAGCGCTATTGAGCGGTGTTTTTGCTATTTGTTTTGATAACTTGGCCTGGGGGCGGGGGATCCAATAGCTAAATAGGGCCATAAATCAATTAAATTCTTTTTTACGCAGAAATACGTGGATTGTTATAAAAGCACATATGTCTGTACTGTTAAATTATATTTCAGTAGATAGTGAGAAAATTTCAACATTCCGTCCATATGTATAATTTGAAACGGCGACTGGAAAAATCTCAGCTCTCTTTTATGATTAAAACCCACAAGAGGGAATTTTGCTATACCGCGAGAAAGCGAGAAAGCGATAGAGCGATATCCCCTCTCGGCCACCATATGCTTGACGTAACAGGCGACTAATATTGGAGAGGGTCGTCAGGTTCGCTGACGTGGTTGATGCATGTCATCATATCCCAGTTGCGTAGATCGATGCTCATGTCAATCGCTGGATTGTCTGGTCCAGATTCGAATATTTACAGACATCCGCCATACAGCTAGAATATTGCTGAGTGCGGCGTAAAACAACAAACAAACAAGTAAACCTTCTCACAAGGCAGAATTCGTGACTTCATTCGTCATGATGAGAAAGCCAGGCATGATTTATAGTCGGTTCACAACTTCACACACCAAAGCCATACACACAATCTGGACATTGATTGATTGTGAAGTATTTGAGAAGTGGTCGCTCTGATTACTGTCTGATAAAGTTTTGAGCGTGTTTCTTAAGACAAAGTTTTTGTTTTTTAATGAAATGAATGGTAAAACGTCTATATAGATACATGTAAATGATAAATATGTTGGTTATCAGCATCGCCTACTTCAGTTTACAGACATCCAAACTATTAATATTTTAATTTGACGTATAGCAACTTGACATGAATAGTTCGGAGTGTTCGATCGATAGTTACTCCACTCTATTTTGTCTACAATGTTGTTGTTTTTTGGTTGGAAATCGTGTGTGTTAAAAAAAAACCATGTATAATGTTGATATACACATCATATGGTTAGATCTTTTTCTGTACGAATAACCGTTTCATAACTGCTTTTTTCATAATCAGTATCTTTTCAAAATAATAGTAAGTTCATTTTTAATCTAACTGAGGTCATTGTTGTACCAGTTCATTTCCAGTGGACTTGTCTGAACTTATTCAACAACGATTTTTTTCATGTTATGTCGCGTCACATTGCTTACGTTTACTCATTAAAGACTTCAGTAAGTCTAGTTGATTGTAGGAGTTATCTGTCCTTACTAACCTTTGTTTTATAGGTGGCGCTTCAATTTTCCAAAACAATCAGAGACAATCGGCGAGTTCTTGCGGCAATATCCCTGCTATTATAATGCAATGTCATTTTTCCGACAACACGCGGCGATTATTTCGGGTATTGGAACCACTGTAATATTTGGTACAGGTGCCACAATTTTGTATTTTCGCCTGGCGCACGTCGCACGGGAGCTTGAGCGGCTGGGAGCCACTGTCGCAAGTCTCAAAGCTGACTTTGCAGAACTAAGAGATCGACTTTCTACAAGCTCTGGTCGAAGAAGAAAGAATCCTTCATTTTATTCACTTGCAACAAGCAGCGGAGATGACGATGAAGAAGTCTATCTGGATGCTTACGGAGGGTAATGATGTGTTTACTGCTTGCCACGGCGATCAACAATTTATTATTCTGTAAAGTTGGAGTCAGGCAAAGGAGTTACTTCCACTGGTTTTGTCACAGGACTAGTTTTCTCCTTGAACTTGCAACTGAGCAAATAATTGAATAGTTAGTGCATGGACATGTACTATGATCTTTCAACACTAGTTGTATGGTTACAGTTGTGAATTGGTTCCTTCATCACTGACGTGTAAACCTTAACACGCCTATATATTTTCCTGATCCCATTAACACCTAACGTTACTATTTATTAACTCTTAGCCCTCAGTCCTTTGCTTTTTGTTTAGGGTTGTGAGTAATGTATGCCCAGTGAATCTATTGTAAGTGTAAAGTTGAATTGCCTTTGATAAGCATGGATACATTGTCATATACATTCTATTTGTATGCTGGGTAGCAACCAGTTTTTGCGGAAGAAAAATTATCACCAAGCCCCCCACGTGATAGTGACTTGTGTTACCTTCTACTGCAAAACTGACTCTTGTTAGGAAATATTAAACAACACCTGATCATGCTGATGGAGGGGTGTCACATGACTATTTCACACGTAACCAAAAATCCAACAACACAATACAATACATTATACACATTCATAAACCATTGAGATTTGTATGTAAATGTTTTCAGGACTTTTCCAGTGATAAAAAATTATGTATAATATTAATAATCAGAATGTAGAACATGCTGAATGAATGTGGAAACCCGCTCTGTGATGACACTCGGAATATGAGATTTACAATTGTTATGTAAGCACCTAATCTGTTGACAAATTAATCTGTTTACACAAGAGACAATCAACTGGTGCTCATTGCGTCCCGCATCAATTATGTCTACGGTCTTCTGAACAATCTTTATCTGTGTTTCTCATGTCTGTGAAAAAGTGTTTATGAAATATTTGACTTATTAAAAGTATGACACTTTTTACATGACCTAAAGTTCGGTTAGATGTATATTTTATTTTATGAAGGCTTGAAATGTAGGGTGACATGGTTAAATTCATAAAAAAAATCATCAATTTCTGTTATATTCTTTGATGTTTATTTCATGGGACTGTTGTCACAATGATGAGTGGGGTCATTTTTGGCAGGACAATATTGGGCTGTTGTGGTGTGATATAGAGATGAAAGGGAAGAGAGTATTGTGTCACCATTTACAATTAGATCTCCATAATGCATCATGTAATAGGATCCTGTTGATATCCTGCTATGACATCCTTCATGCTGTCATTGTAATGCTATACTCAGGATAATATGACCAGGATGGCGACACAAGGGTCATCATTTAGTGTTGAATGTGAAGTCAGATATCATGGATAAATTTTACGGCCAAGGCATGACATGTCTGTGGATGTTAAAGGAAGCAGTGAAATCTGTTCAAATATCGTCCTTCACATATGCTGTCTCCTGGTTGTAGATACATTGTTACACCGGCACTGTTCGAATATGTGGTCTGTGGATCTGAACATGCTGAATAAGGGTGACTATTTTTAATAGGGCTATTTTCACTATTGCGATTGTATTGCAGTCCCGGACAAATTCTGCAATTCTGTTATCATGAATTAAAAATTGAAGAAAATGTTACTTACCACAGATTTGCAGAAAAATTGTGGAATTTGCCCTTTATTATCAATCAATACACTATTTTTTGTAATTTTAAAACTTTTTTTATCAAATTTTGCACTTGCGTTATGCTGAAACATTTCACATGCGATTCAAACATACAAATTTGTAATAAATAATTCTCAATTTTCAAAGGTCTTGTATTAATAGTGCCACATTAACATAAAGGTGACATATTAAACCAAACCTGAAATGTCTCAACTTTAGAGATTAAGATTTTTAAAGACAAAAATTAGTTTGTATCAATTTTTTAGGGGAAATGGTTTAGTATTTACAGCAGACTTTTGGTACGTTTACCGCAGAATTTTGATAATTTTACCACAGAATTTGGGACTGGTATTGCAATAGTAGCCCACACTGTTGGAATAGCATTGCAATAGTATTGTGATAGTAGTAAAACCAATTTTGTTAATTAATGTAATCAGGTAATAGAAATGAAGTATTGCTGACAGTCTCAAAGATAGACATTGTCCTCCCAGTTGCTACTCAAATCAAAGGGAAGTAACTCTAATCTGAAGTTGTCGTAATCCTTGCTTCATTTATAATTGCAACTATTGAAACTATCGATTGTTATGTTTACTATTGACGATACATTTGGCATTTTCAAATTCCTATCAATACAGAACTGTTGAGAAGCAAATAATTGCCATAGTTCGATCGTTCTTTAGATTGTTAAACTCCTAATGTTGAAGGTAAACATCAAACTTGTATATTCATCACTCATTCGAACTGTTCATGCTGTTTGGGCACCTTACAGATGTTTATCCAACAAACGTCGAAAACAGCATTTCTTGTTAATTCAATCTTTTTAGTAGTGTCAGAGTAATGTCACTTTGCATGCATATTATTAATCAGTATTTTGTTCATGTAAAAAAGTATGATAGTGCAGATAACCTCTTACTGCGATCAAAGTATGAGTGACCCTGAAGATCTGGGTTAGAATGGGTCTTCAGCTACCCATGCTTGTCGTAAGAGGCGACAAACGGGTTCGGGTGGTCAGGTTTGCTGACTTGGTTGTTGCATGTCATCGTATCCCAATTGCGTAGATCAATGCTCATGATGTCAATCATTGGATTGTCTGGTCTATTATTTACAGACTGCTGTCATAAATATTGCTGAGTTCAGTGTTAAACAACAAAGGTTTGAGCATGTTGAGTGTTGGTTGGTTTGTTGTTTAACGCCGCACTCAGCAATATTCCAGCTATATGACAACGGTCTGTAAATAATCGAGTCTGGACCAGACAATCCAGTGATTAATATCATGAGCTTTGATCCACACAATTTTTCATCAATCAAGTCAACGAGCCTGACCACCCAATCCCGTTAGTTGCCTCCTACAAGCATAGTCGCCTTGGTGTGAGTTTGAAAAAGTACATCCATATTTCAATGCTTTCCAGAAGTGACCTTGAGTCTTTGAAGGAAGTGGCTGCAGAGCTCCATGACAACTTGAATAGCACTGCAGGACATGATATCTTTACTCGTGTTGACCGCTTGTTTGATGGGGAAAACACAGACCAAGAGGAGGCATACCGACTGCTTCTCAAGAGCAAAGCAAGGGTAACTGACCAACCATTTTACTCCCTGTGTTTCTCAGGAGGGACGCCGGGTTAAAACTACTCCCCAGCAACTTAAACTGGTTGTAAGAGGCGATTTAACTGCTGGGGTAGTCACACTCAGTGACTTGGTTGACTGTGTGTCATTGTACCCTGATGGCATGGATTGTTGCCCACAATATCATCAATGGATTATCTGGTCCAGATTTGATTATTTATAAGCTGCTGTCATATATAGCTGGAATATTACTGAATGTAGAATTTATTTTAAAAAAACACCGAACAAAATTTCCAGGATAGAATTGGTCCCCAGTGAGCGATGCTTGTTGTAAGAGGTGCCTCAAGGACTTGGTTGATTGTGTGTCATCATACCCAAATAGTGTGGGACGTTGTTCAGTCACTGGTTTCTCTGGACCAGACTTACCATAGACCTAAATTATTTTGAATTGTTACAGTAGTACATCATGTACATATTTGGGACTTTCCTAAAATTCACTTAAAATAAATACAAGAAATGGTCCAAGCATTATTCCCTGTTGATATTTATAAGCTTGGGATAGGAGTGATTTCTTAGGACAAAACACTTGATTGGAATGCTCTATATCTTATCAGCACCCTACAGATGTTGAGTTCCTCTGGAGGCTGTCAAAAGCATGCTACCTAGTTTCAAGAATTGAGGGGACCAGAGGAAATGATGAGAAGAAAAAAGAATTGTTGTACATGGCCCGAGACAATGCTGGTGATGCTCTAAAACTCAATGACAGCTGTGGAAATGCCCATAAGTGGTGAGTTAATGCAGTTGTTTTTACACTGTATACTGAAAAGAAAATCAATGATTTCTATGCAAATGCCCATGAGTGGTGATTGAGGTAACACTACTACTTTAATACCGTAGTAGAACTCATTGATAGCTGCGCAAATGTCCAAGAGTGGTGAGTTGTCACCACTATTATTATACCATAGAACTAAAACTAATAATAATATGTTGCTTGGCAACCCAGTTCATGTTAACCAGTGTTAGAAATTAAGAGGGTTCTTAAGATTGTTTGCTAGTATTGTATACTTGGGACCCACTAAATCTTTCTGTACAATTTATGATGACAATTGATCGCTAACTTGTCACACATTTGTGTACTTTTGCTGTTAAGTAATGTTATCAGATTCTGTGATTGAAAAGACCCCATCTTTCCAGGTTTGCAATAACTCTTGGGAGTGTTGGTGATTACGAAACAACGCAGAACAAAATCAAGAATGGGTTTTATATCAAGGTAACATGTTTTCTTTGTTTTCTTCGAATGTTTGAAATGTATGTATTTTTATTCAGTGTCTATTTGTTAATCATTTTTTGAAAGGAGCAAACTTAATCCTGAAAATCTACATGATTTATGAACAAATATTTGAACATATTGAGAAAAACTGTTAATAATTGACATTTAAGATGACATGATTTTCTCTTCTGTGTCAGAAACACATTGAAAAAGCGATAGAGCTGACTCCTGGTGACCCCTCAAACCACCACATGCTGGGCAGATGGTGTTTCAGTGTGAGTACTTCCCACCATACACACAACCAGCACATTAGTAGTGAGGCAGTGTTTGAAATAAGGCATGAAAACCTAGAGGACTTTGTTAAAATTTGTACACTTGTCATTACCCTTATGTTAAAAACAAAAATTTGTTGAGGTCTTTGATTGAAATAGTAGCTGACCTCAAAGACCCAAGGAATGATCTTTATTTTGAAATACTGGTGAATGTTCCAGTGTGAGTGTAAGCTTGGCTCTAAGATCTGGAGTTTATATACATGATGAGGAGTGAACATGTAACAACACCGGAGCTAACTATGTTGAAACATGTAACAACACTAGAGCTAACTATGTTGAAACATGTAACAACACCAGAGCTATGTTGAAACATGTAATAACACCACAGCTAACTATGTTGAAACATGTAACAACACCAGAGCTAACTATGTTGAAACATGTTACAACACCTGAGCTAACTATGTTGAAACATGTAACAACACCAGAGCTAACTATGTTGAAACATGTAACAACACCAGAGCTAACTATGTTGAAACATGTAACAACACCAGAGCTATGTTGAAACATGTAATAACACCACAGCTAACTATGTTGAAACATGTAACAACACCAGAGCTAACTATGTTGAAACATGTAACAACACCAGAGCTAACTATGTTGAAACATGTAACAACACCAGAGCTAACTATGTTGAAACATGTAACAACACCAGAGCTATGTTGAAACATGTAATAACACCACAGCTAACTATGTTGAAACATGTAACAACACCAGAGCTAACTATGTTGAAACATGTAACAACACCAGAGCTATGTTGAAACATGTAATAACACCACAGCTAACTATGTTGAAACATGTAACAACACCAGAGCTAACTATGTTGAAACATGTTACAACACCTGAGCTAACTATGTTGAAACATGTAACAACACCAGAGCTAACTATGTTGAAACAAGTAACAACACCACAGCTAACTATGTTGAAACAAGTAACAACACCAGAGCTAACTATGTTGAAACATGTAACAACACCAGAGCTAACTATGTTGAAACAAGTAACAACACCAAAGCTAAGTACGTTGAAACATGTAACAATAACAGAGCTAACTATGTTGAAGTATCCCAATTGCGTAGATTGATGCTCAAGGTATCAATCACTGGATTGTCTGGTTCAGACTCTTATTTACAGACCACCATCATATAGCTTGAATATTTCTGAGTTTGGTGTTAAACAACAAACAAACCAACAAACAACTGTGTTGAAACACCAGAGCAAAAAAGACAACCAGACACAAATCGAAAATTGATAGTGAATGTTCAGAAGAAGTCTGTACATGCCAGCAACAGCAGCAGTGATGTGGAGTGATGATGATTGAAGTGTTTGATTTTCCAGGTATACATGCTCTCCTGGATCGAGAGGAACCTTGCTGCCACACTCTTTGCCACGCCTCCAACTGCCTCCGTTGATGATGCTCTTAGGGAGTTTCTCGAGGTACAGTGTGACCAACCATTTTGTGAATTGTGATAAAAACATGGATTTATTCCTTCTGGATTAGGTATTATTTTTTATCATCATCCCAAACTGGTTTCCACAGGAGATATTGCTTGAGTGAGATCACTTTGAAATTGAATCACTATGCTTTGCAGACCATTCTGACATTATCAGTTACCATGACATCTTAATAAAATGACATAGCTTATCTCTCTGCCACCAGAGCTGGGGCGGGGGGGTAGGGGGTGGGGGGGGTGGCACGGCTGGCCAAGTCGTCTAAGGCGCTGTGATTTGCTGTGCAGAGTTGCGTCCTTTGGGCTTGCCAGAAACCTATGATTGTGGGTTCGAATCCTGGTTCGCCCCGATTATGTTTCTAGGTTTGTCAGCCCTATACCTGTGCTCGTGGGTTTTACCGAAGTGGTAAACTTCTGAGACCTGCATCACTTTGGGCTTTCCTCCCGCATTAAGCTGGCACGCCGTGATATTACTGGAATACTGTTAAAAGTTGCGTTAAACCCAACTCACTCACTCACTAAATTGGTTGACTGTACTTTTTATCCCCCGCCACAAAGTGGAGTTGGCGATGTTGGGATAGAGTTTGTCTGTCCGTCCATCCGTCCCCTTCTCAAAGGGAACAAATTTTCTCAAGAACTTTTGAAGTTAGAGAAATGAAATTTTACACTCTGATATAACTGGTCATGATCTTAAATTGGTTCGAAAATTGGTGTCTTAAATTCTTTTTTTTACAGAGTTATGGCCCTTCCTCTATGCTTTTCAACTTTGCTCATAGTGTGTCAATTTTTGTCAGAAACTACTGAAGTTGCATGAATGAAAGTTTGAATGCTTATCTAAGTGATACTTGTCATGACGGAGTTCGAAGATTAGGGCCATAAATTATTTTTTTTACAGTTGCAGCCCTTGATCCATGTTATTTTACTTGGTGCATAGTGTCTGCAATGGGGACAAGGTTTCCCTGAAACCACTGAAGTAACATCAATGAAACTTTGCAGGCTTATCTAAGAGATACTTGTCAAGACTTGAGTTCGAATAAATTATTTAATATGCCATAAATTATTTTTTTTCTAGAGTTACTTCCCTTGCTACATCTTTTGAGATTTTGAGCATACACAGTTATGACCCTTGATCCATGTTATTTTACAAAGTGCATAGTGTCAGAAACTGCTGAAATTAGCTTATCTAAGAGATGCTTATGAAGACTGAGTTATTTTTTAGTTTAACATTTAATCATTTTTTCTGATGACACAAAGTGGCCCTGGTGCCTGTCTCTCCTTAGGCCACACATTTTTAGTTTTATGTTTCACGGATTCATGCCAGCTTTGCCACACAAGGTCAGTCGAAATAAAAATATAAATAGCGACGCCCAGTCAAAACGATCTGATTGACAATCAAGATCTATGTTGCAATAAAACGGGTCTCACACTGCGAAGTGCACCAGATCATGAGAGCACCTTTATTAAAAACATGGAAAGATTTGCAAAATTTGCTTTGCAAATCCTGCAGTCGACTGAAATCTGCACATTCGAATCTGTGTAATTCATTATGCAATTTTGATTGGACTGTTTGGACTCATTAATTAAGTCCAGCCAAAATGTAACTCCAGATTACCAGCCTAGTTCGGCAAGGGTGGGAACAGGACATTTATAGTCAGTCAACCCCCTGACCTCGGAAAGATGCCATCCAACAGGACCAGTAGATGTTTGTATCTGCTGTTTCTTTGGACTCCTGACAATGTCCTTGACCATGTTAACTCAATCCACATGAGTTGTCCTTCATCCATTGGTTTATCCATCCAATACCTATCCTCCGATTAACTTTCTACTTACAATTCATATATGAGTTTTAGTGTTATTGTTAGTTTTGTAACGTGTTAGATGGACTGACTGTGCTGGGATCGAGGATTCTGAAAATTGAGTGACAAAATATGTTTCTTTCTAACATTGTATTTTCAGGCTGAGAAGTTAAACCCTGGCAGATGGAAAGAAAACATGCTGTTCATTGCAAAGGTGATAAGTCCAAATAATGTAGACTGGTAATGATGATATCCTCTCTGCAAAAGAGGCCCTACTCATTGGGACTCTGGGAATTGGGAATACTGAGTGTGTCGCAAGCATTCTTTCTCCGTGTCAGAGGCAACTAAATTGTTTTTATCCCCCGCCGCGCGAAAGCGCGAAGCGGGGGATATAGTATTCACGACCGTCCGTCCGTCCGTCCGTACGTCCCACCTGTTTGTTGCCGCGATATCTCAAGAACTAAACACTGGATTGTCTTCATATTTGGAACTATGGTGTATATACAGACTCCGCAGACACCAGTCGGTTTTGGTGACCTTGATCCCATTTTCAAGGTCACAGCAGACAAATCTGCTTTTAGAGTTGGAAAACGGTGTTGCCGCGATATCTCAAGAACTAAACACTGGATTGTCTTCATATTTGGAACTATGGTGTATATACAGACTCCGCAGACACCAGTCGGTTTTGGTGACCTTGATTTCATTTTCAAGGTCACAGCAGACAAATCTGCTTTTAGAGTTGGAAAACGGTGTTGCCGCGATATCTCAAGAACTAAACACTGGATTGTCTTCATATTTGGAACTATGGTGTATATACAGACACCGCAGACACCAGTCGGTTTTGGTGACCTTGACCCCATTTTCAAGGTCACAGCAGGCAAATCTGCTTTTGGAGTTGGAAAACGGTGTTGCCGCGATATCTCAAGAACTAAACACTGGATTGTCTTCATATTTGGAACTATAGTGTATATACAGACTCCGCAGACACCAGTCGGTTTTGGTGACCTTGATCCCATTTTCAAGGTCACAGCAGGCAAATCTGCTTTTAGAGTTGGAAAACGGTGTTGCCGCGATATCTCAAGAACTAAACCTCTCGATTGTCTTCATATTTGGAACTATAGTGTATATACAGACACCGCAGACACCAGTCGGTTTTGGTGACCTTGACCCCATTTTCAAGGTCACAGCAGGCAAATCTGCTTTTGGAGTTAGAAAACGGTGTTGCCGCGATATCTCAAGAACTAATCGCTGGATTGTCTTCATATTTGGAACTATAGTGTATATACAGACACCGCATACACCTGTCAGATTTGGTGACCTTTTTCCCATTTTCAAGGTCACAGCAGGCAAATCTGTTTTTGGAGTTGGAAAACGGTGTTGCCACAATATCTCAAGAACTAATCGCTGGATTGTCTTCATATTTGGTACTATGGTGTATATGGCGGGGGATATTTCGTCACTCTGTGACAAATACTTGTTTTGTTTGTTGTTTAACGCCGCTCAGCAACATTCCAGCTGTACGACGGCAGTCTGTAAATAATCAAGTGAGGTCCAGACAATCCAGTGATTGACATCATGCCCATCGATTAGCAATTGGGATACGATCAACCAAGTCAGGGAACCTGACCACCCCAAATCCTGTTAGTCGCCTCTTACGACAAGCATGGGTGGCTGAAGACCTATTCTTACCGGGATCTTCACTGGTTGGCAACTAAATTGGTTTGGGTGGTCAGGTAACTAGTTTGGGGACCTGGTTGATTGTGATTAAATCAATCAATGTTGTTTTTTTCTTCCCCAGACTAGATTATTTACAGGCTGCCGTAATACAGCTGAAATATCGCTGACTGTGGCATAAAACAAACAAAATGAATGCCAAAGAGTTCAAATTCCTAGCTGCTTGAGCTGTCCAGTAAACATTGTCCATCTTTGCACTCACATGTCCTCTCAAGTTTATTGGTCCGTATCTTATTGTTCATGATAGAAAACTTCATACATGACAGTGTTAAGATAGAGTCGACTGAAACATGTGGAGTTGATCCCTCCTCTTAGACTCTTTGTAAATAATCTTTATACGATAATGTTTAGAGTTTGTGTGTGTCTACAGAGCTACATTGAGAAGAGGCAGTACAGTGAGGCCACAGAATGGCTGGAGAAGGCAGAGAAAATTGAGATCAAGAGTGCTGACGTAAGTGCATATATTTAGTTCTCACAATGCTACTACTTCACACAGACTTAACACTTTACAGTGTTAATATAATATCTTTAAAATGGTCTGTTTGTTTCCAGTACTTGTACATGTTTAAGAAACCAAATATGCCTTGATACTGTCAGCTAAAACCACTCACCTATCGAACTTTGTCAAATCTATTGTAATACATCATACATGTTTGTTTTGGGTTGTGTTATATACAATCATGATAGACTACCGGCTACCTTTTGCTCACTTTCTCCACTGCTTTCCTGTCCGTTGTTTACAATTGAGTGAACAGCTGGTGAAAGGGAGATTACTCATTCAGGCTTCACACACAGGTGCCTCATTCGCAAAGATGTCTGTGTCAGCATGTCCAGTTGTTTAATCATGTTAATTGTGATGTATTTTTGATAAGACAACAGTGTAGTTTTTAAAAACAATATTACATTAAGTAATATGTTACCACTGTTATACCGAGGCTGTTGTCTCCCACAACTGCTGCTATAGTGAAATCTACCACAGAGATGTCAATTACCTCATGCAGCACGTTCGTAGCCACCTAGCTGCCATGTGACACCCTTCACTCTTGTCTCCTTCGCTTGCGTAGCAAGATGTGTAATCCTCTGCTGAAGCGTTCCTCAAATATTCGAATTAAACAAACATGTCTGACATGAAAATGTCCCCGGTTGCAACCCCCTCTACCCCTGCTCCTCGGTGTTGCGGAGTGTGCTGCAAGTTCTTGTCGTCCCGGGATCCCCATGATCGTTGCCCGCGGTGCAGGGTTCCTTGCGGGGACACCCAATGCACCCTGTGCGAAGGTCTGGGGCCTGCGGAGTTTGATATAATTATTTGACACTGTCCCCTGATTTTAAATGTGCGAGGAGTAATAGACAAACACCGAGCCAATATCCAATTGATGTGTAAATGATACAGTAATACCTGATCATTTGTCTGTAATGTTGACTCCAGTGGGGACTGCAGGTAAAAATAATCAAACAAACAATACCTCATGCATGTTGACAGATGGTATTGTGTGAACAAAATGGCTACTCCCAAGTATCGGCCCATGAAGATCCGGGGTAGAATAGGTCTTCAGCAACCAATGCTTGCCATGAAAGGCGACTATGCTTGTCGTAAGAGGCAACGAACGGGATTGGGTGGTCAGGCTTGCTGCATGTCATTGCATGTCATTGTATGATGCTCATGATGTCAATCACTGGATTGTCTGGTCCAGACTCTATTATTTACAGACCGCCGTCATATAGCTGGTATATTGCTGAGTGTGGCGTTAATCTTAAGCCTGCTGAATTGTTTTCACACTTCTTAGCCCTGCCTGCTGGATTAATTTGGTAAATAGATATGGTGAGTTTTGTTTGTGGGTGTCCTTATGCTATTCGCCTGTCGAACTGGTTCGACAGTAGAAACACGGGTAGTGACAGACTCTGCCGAACTGGTTCGACAGTAGCATCGAGAGCTTTAAACAACAAACAAACAAACTCCCAAGTATCAATGACTGATGCCAGTAGGGTTTCAAGGTCACAATATAGGTCCCCAGCAATCTGTGCTTGTAAGATGCGATTATTTGGATCGGTTGGTCAGACCTGGTGATGTGGTTGATTGCATGTCGTCTTCCACAGTTGTGTGCCAGGACCATATGATTGTAGGTTTGAGTCCTGTTTGTCTTAATTATTATCCTGCTGATTGGTTTCATCACAGTGGCAATACATGTAGTAGAATAACTGCCTCACTTCGGGCTTCCTCACAGACTGACGAGATGTGACTGAGGCACTCTCCAAAGAAGGGTAAAGCTGACTCATTCCCTCATGCCTTGATGCTGTGTTCTTTATGGGGTGGTGGGATAGCCTAGTGGTTATAGCGTTCGCTCGTCACGCTGAAGTCCTGGGTTCGATTCCTGACATGGGCACAATGTACGAAGCCCATTTGTGGTGTCCCCCACCGTGATATTGCTGGAATATTGCTAAAAGCGGCGTAAAACCATACTCGCTCACTCACCCATGACAAAATTAAACACAAACTCTTCGGTGTCAGCTAAGAATAAGATACTGAATGATGGATTTGCTGGATTATTGCTAAAAGTGGCGTACAACCCAACTCACTCACTCACTGTGTACTTTTCATTACAGGATGAAGAACAACAGACTGAGATCCAACAACTGCTGGTCAAGTACAGGAGATAATGCCAATGACTGATAGGAACTTGCATAATTGTGGCCTGATGTATGTAGTGGATATTATTCGTCTTAACATCTGAGACATGTATGTGACATAACCTTTCTTTGATTAAGAAAATACTTACATCTACATTGTGTGAGAAGGGTCAGGGACCCCAAGGTCAGGAAATAAGCAATATCATGAGTTTTGTAATTTGTATGATGGTAGAATATATTGTATACATTTTTTACTTCTATGAATTTTAGTACATATTGTTGTAATTGAAAACATTGAGTATTGAACAGTTTGATCTAGATGTACATTACCCTTCCAATGTTTGAGGTAATGACTACCCCAAATGACAATGTATGTGAGCTATTTATTACTTTATCCTGTTCAGAGTGACGAAGAGACTGAATTTATGTAAACCTAGACGGACGGGACTCAACCCAAAAAAGGGAATCTGTACTTTACTAAGAAAATGTTATCCCAAATATAACATTTGTTACATTTAACCACTTTCTAAATGGCAATTTGTGTTCATAGTTTTAGCAATGGGAGCCGTGCCAATTTACACTTGCAGAGGGGTACACAAAGTATGTGATCTAGACTACCAGTTGTCAGACTTTCATTTTGGGGTTAGATCGCTGACTTTGTGTGCTGGCGATTAGGTGCCTCACTCTGGCAGTGTGGGTTCGAATCCCCTACGGGACTCAACCCAAAAGGGTATGAGAATCTGAATCTGTACTTTACGAAGAAAGTGTTATTCCAAATATAACATTTGTTACATATAAACCTAGAGTTTAACAAATGGGAAAGTAACTATTGTCATTGTGCCAAACAGATACTGAACAAATTGTACTAGAATACAGTGTGTACTAAACCCATGTTTCACACTCTACCTTCTTTATACGAGAATGCAAAAGCAGTACCGGGTACATCAGAAGGGCAAACGAACAAAGATTTGATTGGTATGAGTGTTTTCTATTTCATCTCACTGACTCATGAAAGGTTTGGATTATCATTTACAATGCTCTATCAGACATGAACTGAGAATAGTATTCATGTTTAAGCAAGTCTTACATCATACTGTCCTCTTGTCCACGTGTTTCAGATGAAATGTATAGCTTCATGAGATTGTAGGAGACTTATCTTATAGGAGTATTAGTCTACAGAAGGGTCGTGGTTCAGTTGCAGTAAACAAGGGTTGTGAAATGATATGTTTTGTATACCGGTTCTCCAAAATGGTATGTTTGAGCTTGCCAAATGATTCCTCTGGATAATCAGCTTATTTAGGAAGAGCCATTCACTGCAAGTTGAGATATTAATCATGTTAATACAGGGTTTTACATGATTCATTAGGCACAAATGTATCAAACATCTCGAGGGACTCACAGTAATATTCGGGGTGGTCGGGTAGCCTAGTGGTTAAAGTGTTTGTCTCACCGAAGACCCGGCCTCGATTCCCGACATGGGTACAATGTGTGAAGCCCATTTCTGGTGTCACGCCATGATATTGCTGGAATATTGCTAAAAGTGGCATTAAACCATACTCTCACTCACTCACTCACTCACTCACTCACTCACTCACTCACTCACTCACTCACTTTCTCACTCACACAGTAATATTCATTGTACCAAATATTCTTGAAAGAAATATAAAAGCCCTGTAATTGAATTCATTATCAAATGTTACAGTACAATACACAATTTAATTACTTTACAGGACCCTGTAAGCACCTTTGAAATTAATTATTAAAACCTCGAGACCCTTAGTTTTGTCGGTCAAGGGAAAACCCTGATTAATATATCATTGCACAGCCGTTGTGTGTCAGTGTGTAATATTGCACATCACAAGGACATGTGCTGTGGTAACATGACGCCTCTTGTTAAGTATGATGATCCTGTATGCCAATTGTGTACAGCAGGGGAATATGTCAGATAAGATTCTCCTTATTGATGACCTGTATCTTGCCTGCTATCAGGTGTCCGACAAGCAGTTTATGAGTGAGTGAGTGAGTATGGTTTTACGCCGCTTTTAGCAATATTCCAGCAATATCACGGCGGGGGACACCAGAAATGGGCTTCACACATTGTACCCATGTCGGGAATCGAACCCGGGTCTTCGGCGTGACGACCGAACGCTATAACCACTAGGCTACCCGACCGCCCCTAGTAGTTTATGTGCATGCCAACCTTGTGTACTGTACCTGATTGTGTTAGTGATGATGTTCTGATAATAGTATTTATGCTGCTGTATACATGTCTTGGTTTTAATGACAGGCTGTTGATCAGGGAATTAGACCTTCTAGATGTTGTGGAGATATAGATAGGAAGATTTAGCTAAAACATTACCATCGGCACAGGTTGAACTGCTATTGTTTGCTTCAGATACCCGAGACTCGGGATTGAGATTATGATAGCACTGACTGAGAGTGTTGTATTTACCAAAGATATTTTCGAAGTGATATTTAGTCCTTAATTGACGTGTACAACAATTTGATGTTTTTACTTCTCTAATCTAATTATGACTCAATCTTTGCAGCTTGATTGATTTCACCACTGGAATTAATTAACCGTTACTTAGCGACATAAAGTAAGATGGTGTTGTTGCACAAACTATCATGTTCCTGATGTAACGTTGCAGTTTGCTCAAGTTGATGGTATAGTGTTGTGGCATAATTTACAAGTTTATTTTTTAGAAACAAATACTATTTGTATAGTTATTGCTTAAAAGGAGGATTGATTTCCAGTTTTGTGGTAACTCTATGACGTCAGTGTTTGAGAACTGAAACAAGTATTTTTTCAGTAGATGATTTTGTTGTGATGCTTGTGATTTTTATTTCTGTAACAATTATACAAAGAATCCAGTAGAGGCGGCGTTAAAAGACGAAAACATTGGGTCCAAAAAGAAGGGAATACATTTTGCATTGACTGATGGTATGTTTGATAGTGTGTGAAGTTTATGATGAAAAATATCATTTTTAGTTATTCATCTTAAAGCTCAGCATTAGACTCTTAATTATTGGGCTTTGAACGAACCACAAATAATATTCCTTTTACCTGTATGTAGGAATCAGATCTATAGCAGGTCACAGATCTATAGCAGGCCTCAGATCTTTGGTGATTCTCTGATCTGTGGCATGTGTCCTATCCTATCCTATCCTAACAATTAATCAAGAACTTTATACAACTTATGCCAACCTAACCTACAAATGGAACTAACCCAAACGATAGTTAAGGGTTGACAGATAGTATATGGTAAAACAAGTGAGCAACAATTAAAAAAAGAAACGGCGATCCTCTGTGATATGTCCTAGCAAAATATGTGTAGTCAAACCTCGCTTATCCGGACACTTGTGTTTTCTCAAATATTGTGCGGTTAAAAAAGCACTGTTAGTAATTGAAATTCACTGTCCAGATCATTTTTTCTGGATAAAAGAATCATGTTATGTACCTTAGTATTTATTTAATTTCACGTAAATATCGTCCTGTAGGTGAGGTTTAAGGGGTCCATTGTATATGGCATCATTTTACATGAGAGTGTACGATTCTGATATGAATAAACAAATCTCTCACAGATGGGTTATCCACCATAGATTTGGCTCCTACAGACATGATACACCATTAAAAGTTTGATTGTCCTGGTGAAATAATGTTTAAACCATAAGCTGCAAGTACCTGTGATATTGATGGTGACTGGATACGAGGTTGATACGTGTGGCAGCTCAGCATTCCCGTATTACCTTCTGTCCCGGTCATTATTCCACAATACGATTTTCGGGTTACATGACCATAACACAGGGGATCCAATCGCATTGTGGAACTTCGATTCCCATGGTCAAGATGTAGGATATGGCTTTTAACAGCTGTACTTGTTGATTGTTCTGAGATGCATGTTTTGTTGATATCATATACATCCTACATGATTGTTTACGTATTACCACCAGTGTCTTAAGGTGGGCAGATTGTTGAAGAATGCTTGGGCATAATTCTTTTGTATTTTGTATGTCTGTTATTATCTGGTGCGCCCCGATTATGTTTCTAGGTTTGTCAGCACCATACCCATGCTTGTTGGTTTCACCGAAGTGGTAAACGTCTAAGACCTGCATCACTTCAGGCTTTCCTCCCACATTAAGCTGGAATAGTGTTAAAATCGGTGTTAAACACAACTCACTCACTCACTATTATTTGGTGACCATGCCTGTCGTAAGAGTCGACTAACGGTATCAGGTGGTCAGGCTCACTGACTTGGTTGATGCATGTCATCGTATCCCAATTGTGTGGATTGATGCTCATGATGTCAATCACTGGATTGTCTGGTCCAGACTTGATTATTTACAGACCACCGTCATATAGTTGGAATATTGCTGAGTGCGGCGTTAAACCACAAACAAAAAACAAAAATTATGTGGTGACATTTTGACATTATCTCAAGTTCTCAACAGAATCTAAATATTTAAGTTCATACTCTGGATTATATCTGATTTATGTACACACAAAAATAAGATGTTCAATGATAAAAAGTTCTGAGCACCCCTGACATAAGAAAGGTTTCTGCCCAAGAACTAAGTATTGTTATTTTTCAGTCTTTTGTCTCATTTCAGTAAAATAAACCAGGATTGAATGTTCAGTTAGGTTAAAAAAGTAAACATTCAATTAGGTTAAATAATGTTTGTTTCCACATTGATTTTGTGAGTGTGAGTGCGATGTTAACATGTGGGTATGTTGTGTATTGTTGATGAAGGCAGGTGTATGTCTGATTTCTATATGGACCATTTTCTCTCATCTAGTATATTGCTGATATAAATTGAGTATCACATGTTGTTGTTGTTGTTCTTATCACTTACACATCATGCCGGATGAGGGAAAGAGTGAGTTGGTGTGACTGAATGCGTGGTCTCATTTGAGGCTGTGTAGCCATGCATATTGAATGCTCACGCCTGGTGCACCCATGGTGATTCCGGGTCAGAATATGTCACCAGCAACCAATGGGGGTCGTAAGAGGCATCTTAATGGATCGGGTAGTCAGATCTGTGGCTGCATATTCTCACCCCATCAGATCGTTGTTCATAATATCAATCAATGGATTGTATGATCCAGACCAGTGCTTGTCGTGACAGGTGACTAACGGGATCAGGGGTGGTCAGACTCGCTGACTTGGTTGATGAATGTCATCTATCCCATATTGCGTGGATCGATGCTCATGATATTAATCACTGGATTGTCTGGTCCAATTATTTACAGACTGCCGTCATATTGCTGGAATATTGCTGAGAGCGGCTTCAAACAACATACAAACAAACATATTATATGGACCATTAATTGCCTGACTCTATCTATCTATCTATCTATCTATCTATCTATCTATCTATCTATCTATCTATCTTTTTCATTAACCATAAAGAAAATTATATTAATCTTTTTTTCATTGAATGTATGGATCAGATAATCAGGCGATAAACAGACCAGCACAATAGTGTAGCTGGAATATTGCTGATTGAGACGTTAAACAACAAACTTTCATATTTGGTGCATTTGTCACGGACTACCCGGACATCGTTGTCTTCGTAGCGCTCTTGACGGAAGGTGTTTTTTTCAGTTTAGGAAATTGGTGGAAATCACTTGCTGCCAGGTCTGTCGAGTATGGAGGGCGAGGAAGCTCTTCGAGCATTGTCACATTGTCGCACAGCAGCCTTTGCAAGTCGTTAGGTGTGAGAAGAGGCGTTGTCATGAAAACGTAAAACTCCAGCAGTCGGCATTCCTCGCCTCTTTTCTTTGATAGAATCTCTCAGGCGATGAAGCAAATCAGCATAGTAGGCACCGGTAATCGTCTTTTTTAACCAACAAGGATCACAACCTTTGCATCACAGAATACAGTGGCCATAACTTTCTTCACTGATCTTAAAGACTTTTGAATTTCTTTGGTGCCATTCCATGGATTGACATGTTGACTCTGGATCATAGTGGTAGATCCGTGTTTCATCACCCATCACAAATCCCTTTTGGAATTTGACGAAATCCTCCTCAATTAGCTCTAATTTTTCTCTTGTAATGTCAGTTATTTTTTCATTAAGATCAGAATTTAGAAACTTTGGCACACAACGAGCAGATATCTTATTCATCTGTAAATGTTCATGAATAATAGTTTCAATTGATTCATGGTTTATACCTGTGTCTTCCTCAAGTTCAGCAATTATCATACGTCAATCTGACAGTATAAGTTTTTCTATCTCCATGATTGAATCTTCACTGATGGAAGTTGAGGGACGTCCAGGCCTAGGGTCGTCATCAAGGCTTGTTCTCCCAGCGACCCCGTGAAGATCCGGGGTAGAATAGGTCTTCATCAACCCATGCTTGTAAGAGCGGGATCGGATGGTCAGGCTCGCTGACTTGGCTGATGCATGTCATCGTATCCCAATTGCGTGGATCGATGCTCATAATTTCAATCGCTGGATTGTCTGGTCCAGACTCGATAATTTACAGGCCACCGTCATATAACTG